CTTCCCACCTCCCAGCACCCACCCACTTCAAATTAAAGCCCCCTCCCGGCCGCAAAGACGTCAAAGTCGATCTCGTCGCCCGTTGCCGTCGACGGATCCAGCCGCTTGCGATCGCACCGCCCGCAGAACGAGTGGTCGCATGTGATGCAGTTCTTGTAGAGGCTCCACGCAAAGGGGCCTTCCCGGCAACCGCACTGCGCAATGCGTCAGTTATTGTCGTGATTCATTCAGTCCGCCAGCCAGCCAGTGGGCAGCTGAGACAGGAGAGAGATGGAGTGCTGGACTACACTTACGCAATAGAACAAGATCTCGCAGCGCGACGACTTGCGCGGCCGTTCAGTCGTGTCCGCGTCCTCGAGCCTCCGCTTCCGCCGGCCCGTGTGATCGTTGCCGGCGGCCGTAACGGCAACAGCAACGGCAGCCGGATCCGGCGACGTAGACCGCGGCGGCAGATCGGCCGGCTCGTTATGGTCGTCGGAGTCGCTGGCACTGTCGGCGCCGGCGAGGCCATGGTACTCGGCGCGAGGGTCTGGGTCCTCGTCGCCAAAATCCGTCTTCTCCATGCGCGTGTACGCCTCGCCCTTTGGCTTGTTGGCCTCAATGTCCCACCAGTCGGCGATCTTTGCGTGGTCCTTGAAGTGCTTGTCGATATGGTCGAAGCGCTCGTCCCACGCCGGCACCCCGCGGTGCTGCAATGGCACAATGGCCTGGCAGAAGCCGCACCAGAACCGGCTTTGCCCGTTGCGCCCGATGCGCCGCTCCTTGAGCTCGCGCTGGACCCCTTCTCCGTCCAGCTTGTGCCGCTCTTCGAGGTGCTGCTGAAACACCGGCTTGTGGTAGAAGAGCAGCGCGCATTTGGTCGAGTTGGCGCGCGCGTCCGATGCGGAGCAGGGCTGTTCGCACCGCCACATCTCCAGCTGGAAATGCTGTGAGTTTTCATGCCGCTTCCAGTCATTTTTGCTGCCGAATGTCTTACGGCATTTGGGGAATGTGCACCCGTAAGGCTTGGTGTGGCGTTTCATATGCTTGCTACGGGCACAATCAGCGGAACGTCGAATTTTCTAACAGTGACAAAGCATACTTGAGATCGCATGTGCGAGGCAAGGTCTTATCACAGATGCCACATTGTACGCCGGACACTTTGCCTGTCTTACTGCTACTAACCACGTGTGGTTTTTTCGCAGACTTTTTGATACGCTTGGACAGAGCTGCGAGCCCTTGAAGAACTTCAGCAGTGGTGATAACCCCTTCAGTGCCATCTGGGCCCTCAAAACTTTGCGAGGAGTCATTTCCTTTGAGATTTGCATTCCCAGCGCGGTCTGCCTTAGTTTGGCTGGCTCGAGGAGCAAGAAAGTTCTCCGTTTTATCCAAATTTCTGAGAGCCCGAAGAACAGCCTGATCTAGTGGCTCATTAGGATTGCCGTTATTGATATGAGAAACGATGGCGTGAGAAAAGTGGTTGAGAAATTTATCTTGAGGTTCTTCACTTTTGGGACGAGTCTTGGAATGAGTCGTCGGTAAGCCATTTTTCGCGTTGTAGTTTGAAGAGGATGAATCAGCAGGAGCAGAAGTAGCCGTCGCAGCTTCTGCTAGCTCCTTCAACCTTGAGGCCCCTGAAGAACTGCTTGCTGAGCGTTGATTATGTATCAGTTGCTCAGATACCATGGCCGGATGTTTTGTGTCGTTGCGTGATGAGGGTCTTTGTTGCTGGGCCAATTGGCTAGATGTCTTCTGGTCACTGACAAAAGCATTTTGGTGAACAGTAGTGTTTGCACCGTCATCATCTTCGTCTCTTGATAAGCCAAAGTCAGGCGAGTCTTGCTTGGCAATATCTGGGACATTCGACTTCCCATCTATGCCAGCTAAGCTGTTTTCTATTGGTGAGATTGGTTGAGCACGAGGCGTGGAAGGATCGGTGGCTTGCTCATGGCATTGAGAGCTTCGCGTGTTAGTGTTTTTGTAAAACGAAGCTGATCGGTGATGCTTACCGCCTGATCATATCTTCTAGGTCTTCATCGTGGTGCATGCGTTGCACGTGTTGCTTGAAATTATCTAGACGGGGCCATACCTTGTCTTTGGTTTTACACCTTTCTGCAACGCATTTAAAAGACTTGGTCATTCCCCCAATTTTATGAACACTTTTTTTGTGTCTCTCCAGATCATTGATAGTAGTAAAGCCGTCCTTGCGGGTACAACCTGGGTGAGCACATTTCCACGGCTTCTCATGTTTGAGCATGTGTTTTCTGGTGTGAGAATATATAAGTAGACTGGCGCTCTGAACGAGAGAGTTACGCACTTGAAATCTGATGGGCATTTGGCCTCCTCATAACAGCGGGGGCAAACGAGCTTGCGTTGTTGCTGCAGTGTTCGGCGGGCGCTTTGGTCTTCCGCTTGCTGGGGAAAATGCGAGGCGTCAAAGGTGGGCGGCGAATTGGTGGGCCCAACACCCAAGGTGAAGCCGCTAACGTGCAAAGGCAGATCTCCACATTCCCTATTATAATCGGTGGGTTCGGCGCTTATTATAGATTGCGTGGCGGCGGCTTGAGAGGCATACCCCGAATCTGAAAGCTCCGAAGGCGGTGCCTCTCGGTATGTAATGAAATCCAAATTTGCTGGCACGGTGAGGTTGGTTGATGCAGCGGACGACTTGGCTTGGTTGTTTATAACCCGGACGCTGCTCCAGGGTGCGTCGGCGTCGTTGTAGAAATTTGCTATGGGATTCGAATATCCAACATCCATGTCTCTGGGCGTGTATGGCCGCTGGCTTTCCAACAATGGGTGCGAGCTGGGATCAAAGTTGACGTCGCCGTGATGGAACGAAGACTCAAATCTGGGGAAGGTGAAGCTGCCGTCAAACGATCTGGCCGCGGCATCTCTGGCGTCGGGGCCATCCAACATGGACTGCTGCATGCTCGACTCCAAGTGTTTCGCACTGGCCTGAGAGCCGCTTCTGCTGTGATCATAGGAGCGCGACGGGGCGGCTACGCTGCCACTGTAGTACTAATTAAATCGTCAACGCGAGAAAGGACGGGCACGAACAGACACATGGCATACTGGTTCGGAGCCATAGCCATATGGATGATAGGCATTCTGCGCCATGGCCGGCTCTACAACGCATCCAAGTCAGCGATCAAAGCAAGCAAGCAAGCACACCCCGGCGGCGCCATCGGAAGCACGTTCTCGCAGCGCAAACGCAAACGAGGGGGGAATAAGAGAGACGCTTGCCTCGGTACCGGAATTAGCCTCGCACGGCGAAGGGACGGCAGGTAAGTTGGGGGAACTGGGCAGCAAAAAGGCCAGGGCATTAGTACTCTGGGCGGCTTTCACCGCTCATGGAACGGGCGGCCTCCAGCGGGACGTGGTTGTGGGCTGCAGTAGGCTGGCGTGCACGGCGTCCGGTGTGACGAAAGGGAAAAAGAAGGTGCTGAGGACAAGGCCAGGGTGCGGGTCGCGGAATGCTGAAAGGCAACCGGTCGCCTTGTTGCCTGCTGGTATTACTTCTCTCGCATTCGTGCGATGGCCATGTCGCAGACTGCGGCGTGGCTATGCTCGCTAGTTGCCGTGCATCAGATGACGCGCGGAGGCACAGAGAACGCTTTTCAGCTCTCAGCCTGCCGTGCTCGAACTTTTCGCCCGCCCTTGTTCCTGCAGCGTCCCCGCACCGTGGGGGCCAGATCTTTCTTTTCCTCACCTGGGGGCTACTAACTGGCAGATCATCCCGCTTCGGCCCCCCGTCACTACGTATGGCAACCAGGTGAATAGTTTCATCTCACAGCGGCCGTTACTAAATCAAACCCAACGTTCGTCTCCAGCCAAAAGGGGATATCGTCAACAAGCACCAACAAAAAGCAACAAAACGCCGCATTACACCCTGTCCTCCCCCCAAAAGGAAATACGTCAAGCTCTCACCCTAAAGACCCAACAGAGTTCATGTTTCAGATAGACAGCCCTACACCCCTAGAAGTGATAGCCCTGCTGTTGTTGTTGTTGCTGTTGCTGTTGCTGCTGCTGCTGCTGCTGCTGCTGCCGCCTCCCATACGTCGAGGGCATCTGCTGGAACTGGTTCATGTATTGCCCATCATTGCTCTGACTGTACTGAGCTGAAGTAGATGGCATCATCGCGTCCGAACCAAAGTCCTGAGATATCCCAATGTTCCCAGTGTACCAACTAATCGGCAGATCGTTGCCATATGTCGACGGAGCTTCGATAGGCGAGTGGAAGACCTGGGCATCATCCGTTACCGGTGCAATTATCGGCGTGATCCGAGGTGGAGCAAGCTGGTTCATCATGAATTGATTTTGGTTTTGCATCCTGTTGCCAGCGGTGGGCTGCTGAATAGGTGCTGCTCCCGGGTAGGAGCGGACCGCGAAGCTCGGCGTCATGTCAACAGCATGGTACTGGCTCATTTGTGGTTGTTGAGGTTGCTGTGACGCTTTGTAAGGCACCTGGGGCGGTGGATAGGTGTGCATCACGTTCGAAGACACTGCCGAGCCCTGGGTGTCTTGGGAAAAGGAAGAATAGACAGAACTGGTCGTATCAGAGAAAGGGTTTACAGTTAGATTTTGGCTGAACTGAGGTCGGTTGTTTGAGTTGTGAGGCTGAGCAGCAGCAGAAGACGAGGTTCTGGACCTTTGGTGCTGAGGATTCTCGATGGGACTAATCAGCGTATCCGCGTTTAGCTGCTTGTCTTCAACCAAAGGCAAAATTGGCATGCTAATCTGTTCCATATGCTTGGCAAGGTGGATCGTCAGATATTTCCAAGTGTGGCAGTAGTTACCGCAGAACCGGCAGGCCTCTTCAGACGGTTTTTTGGTGGTGTCATGGCGACATTGGTCGACAATATCCATCGGTTCGTTCTTCCCTGCGCTGACACCACGACCAGTCCTAGCCTTTGGTTCAGGCATCTTGTGCTCGCGAACAAGATGTTGAACGAAGTTGTCTTTACGGTAGCAAGTGTGCTGGCAACCCTCTTGGTTGCAAGTCCAGAACTCTATCTGCCGATGACGTTCGTTCTCATGTCGGACCCAATCAGCCTTGCGCTTGAACGACTTTGGTTCTGTGCAATTAGGGAATGTGCAAGTAAAAGGCTGTACGTCTTCATAGACGTGTTTTGTCCAGTCTGAGGGCTTTTGGAACTTCTTAACTTTGAAGCAAAGTGGGCACTCGAACTCAGCCGGCATGCGTTTTACAGGCGGCAATGGGATTTCAGGAGGGAACACGGCTGGTTGCAAAGTATCCCTCTCAGCCGCATCGAGTCCATCTTCAGACAAGCTGCCGACGTAAAAAGTAGCGGCTTGCTGCTCGTTATCCTTAGTACCTGTTCGGGGCGGCAAGAACCTCCAATTGCCACCTAGGGATAAACAGAAATTCTTCGAGGGGCAGTTCATATCTTGGACGTTTTTGAGGTGCTTGACCTTCAGCTCAAGTAGCCTCTTGTATCTTCTGTTTTGTTCCTGCGTTATGCGCTCAACCATGAACGGCTCAAGGCGTGGGTTTAACTGCTTGGCATGCGCGCGGAAGCCGTCAGGTGTAGGGTCAATGGAAGCCGGACGGACTCCCAGATCCATTTTAATTGACTCTGGCTCCAACTCAGCGTCATCTTCGTCACCGCTAGCATCTGCACCCGTCGAAGACGGCCCATGAGACCCTATATCCATGGACGGGGTTGTCAGTGACGGAACAGGCGGACCGCCGTGGTTCCTCATGAGTGTCACCAAGGTCGACTGCTTTCCGATGTCGCTGCGGCTCCTACTCCTTCGGATAACATTCTTGAGATAAGGAATGGGACTGGATGATGGCGCGGGTCCTGTGGTACCGGAAGGCGCTAAGGTGGTGGCCCGAGTATCTGGCTTTGGTGACGTTGAACGGCCCCAGCTGCCACTGCGCTTTGGTGGTACGTTGGTTTCAGTTGCCAAAGTCGGAGGCGAGGCAAAGGCGGATGGTGGTTGCGGCGGCTGGCTGCCTTTGCGCTTGAGACCACTGCTGTTTGCTCTTCTTGGGAAATTCCTGAAGTTTTCCAATATACTCGGCTTCCTTTCCCTTTTACCTTTTAGCTTTGCTGCGCTGACTTCAGCTTCAACTGGCTTGGAGGTGCCACCTGCGTGGTATAGACTACCCATATCCGATTCGCTCTTGCGACGAAGGGATAGCGAGCCAAGAGTGGCCGCGATAGAGGCTGTCTCAGATTCCTTAGCCTGTTGACGGAAACGCATCATCGCAGCGTTTGAAGTTGGAGGCTGAGAAATCCCTGGAGGTGCAGGCAAGTACTGTGGGTCTTTCCATGGTCGAGGCGGCATGGGGTTACTTTCTGGAACCTCAGACAGAGCAGGGAAGTATGGGTTCTGTTCAGAGGTTCGGGCGATTGATCGGCTAGCCGGGGGTGATCGAGAGCCATCGCTGTCATTATCTGACTGCTCAAAATCTTCGAATTCTGACCCTTCATCCTCGCTCTCGACCTGGACGAATGCGCCAGGCCCTGGGATCCTAGGATCGTTGGGAATCCGAACACCAAGGTTGTTGGTTTGGCGAGCCAGAACGGCATTCGCGCTCTTTGACCTCCGTCTACGACGCATACTGCTAGGGTCGCCGTCGCTCGTCACATGGCTGACCCAGTCCTTCACGTCGCGATTCTTTTCGTCAACCAAGCGCCTCTGTTCAAGTTCGTCGAGAGTTGGAATCTCTCCTGCATTCATATCGCTTCTGGCATCCGGGCTGATTCCACTCTGGCCAGATACGTTTGTAGAGATCCACTTGCCGTCCTCGCCACGCTGTGCTACGGCACCTCTTATGGGCAGCGACATCGAGTGGGTTTGATGCTCATGTTCGTCTTCAGACAGAAATTCCTGGTCAAATGGCGACAAGTGTGTACCAGACCTCCGGCTGTCGTTGCTTCTCCTACTCCAAGTACGGCTCATATCATCGTGGCCAGAGGGTTCGTCTCGGCTACAATGCTCGATCGTGACAATCGGGCTTACAAAATGGGTTTGTAAGCTATGGCCCTGATCAAAGCGCGAATCTCCCGGAGTCCCGGTAAGAGCAGGGCTGCGTTGCTGCTCAATCTTGAATGGTTGGTCCAGTGGTTTGCCAAACTGACCAGAGGGCAGCGATCCAGGAACTGCGTCACTGATCGGCAAAGGATTCGCGAAGACGGAGGGATCCACTAGAGCTTCATTGCTGGAAGCAGGGCTGTCTCGGCTTGTCGGGCTTGGGGACATGAGATGTGATGCGCCAAAGATAGGAGCACGTAATCCACCGCTCGAGGGTTTTGGGTTGCTGTCAAACGGCGTCAAGGTGGCAGTGGTGGCAGTAGTGGCAGAATAATCTGGCAAAGAGGCGCTAAAGCTGCCTGGGGCCAGGGAGTTGATGTCATCGTCAAGCTGGGGCTCGAATAGCTGAGGGAAATTCGGTGTCGGCAGTTGGCTGTAGTCGGTGTAGTTGGGATCCGAAAGATACGGATCCGGGGTTAGTTGATCGCGGAAGGATAACGATGGCGAAGCGCTGTCGCCGGGCGAGGTAAAGGATGCTTGGACGGTTTGAGCATCTTGGTAGGAATTAGCAGGCCCAGTCAGATATGAATGCGACTGCGTTGGTGGCTGTAAGGTTGAAGGGTCCTGGTGGTCCGGCACGGACAAGGCTGGCCTCATATCCTCGGTCGACGGATGGCGCGAACGAGTCGTCTCGGCGGGCTTGCGCTGATGATGCTGGGAGTGGTAGGCATGCTCGGCTAAGCCGAAGTCGTCGTGAGAGGTGGTGAAGTCGAAGTCGAACATGTCGTGAGGATGCGCATTGTCATGATAGGGCGGGACCATGGCGTCGACGGCAGACATTATGCGGAATGGGATCAGAGTCCACGCAAGGCACGGCCGCGACCATGCGATTGCTTTCGGATGGCGAAGACTGTGCCGCGCGGCAGGTGGGGAGCTTGCGAGGGGTTTAGTACGTAGGCGCAAGCAACGAAGTCAAGGGACGAGCACAGAGAAGAAGGAAGCGTGGGATGGGTAGAGAAGCTGACGGGTAGCGGAGCTATGCTTCTTTCATTGCTGCTGCGGGCGCTTCCCGCAGGACAGGCGATTGGCGCAATTGTTTGTAGGGAGCTCAGCCGCAGCAGGTGGGGGATGGTCAGGCACCACTGGCGGGTACAGCAAGGATCAGGACATCATCGGGGAATGTGACACTCGCTAGAGAGGTGTGGCAAGCACGGGCGCAGCGGGCGAGGCTGACCACGAGGCATGGCCAACATAACTAGTTCTGGGCCTCTATCTCGTACACGCCGCGGGGAGTAGGGGAATACCAGGCAGATTTGATCTGACCGGGCGCGAGCTGTGCGGTGGCTGAGTGCTTCACTTGTTGCTTGCAATGTCCAAGCCACGGCTAGTTTCCCCACCGGCTGATGAGGCTCTTTAAACTTGCTCCGTGGCTCCTTGGCTCCTTGGCTCCGAGAGGCGGCATGCCTGAGGCGGAAACGCGGAGGCGGAAGCCTCGGATGGATCGAAGGGGGAGACGCGCGCGCCTACGGAAACACGAGATATGATAGCTGTGCCGCAAAGAAGGGAAACTTGCGGAATATGCCATCTAACCTACCTAGTTACTGTACATGCACCACCCCACGCCCCTTACACCCTTCCTCCCGCCCGCCGTACTCTTCCAGTCCAAACAACTGTCAATAGGAATACGCGTCGGGAGATAGGGTCGACGCTGCTTCTCCACACACGAGACCCCGCCGGCGGAGACTCGGCCTGCGGCATGGCGCGCATCAGTCCCGCTGGTTCGCGGGCGAAAGGATCCGGAGGGGTCTGGTTAGCAGCTAGCTAGCTCCTGGCTCCTCGACTTACCGCGTCGCATTCCCTATTTCTTGGGGCGGGCGCGCTCTTACTTTCCTTCGATATCCTCGAGCGCCTCTCCTCCCGCCCTCTTGATCCTCGCTCCAACAACTCCGCCGAAGAAGAAGCGCTCCGCAACGTTTACTCGAAACTGCATGTGACAATCTCCACCAGACCATACGTGCAACCCAGCAACTAACACCCGCAGCCAGGCCATTCTCCCACCTCCTACATCCTTCCTTCCCTCGAGCGAACAAAATGGTTCAATTTATCCCGTCGCCAGACCCGCACGCTCTTCTGCCTCCGCTTCTCGCCTGCCTTCCGACTTCCTTTGCTTCTCCGCGGCCGCCACCAGCCCTGCTCCCTCTCCTGTCGCCCATTCTTCGCCAGAGAGTAAGCCTGCTGGCCACCTCTGGCACGGACTCATGGCTACCGCTCCTCAACTGGGACCACCAGCGTGCCAGCAAACTCCCCAAGATTGTCGAGGACATCACCATTGAGCCGCACCCCTCGTCTGGCGAGATCGAGATCGATGGCGAAGTAGGGATCAAATACCGGAGACGGGACGAGGAGACGCTGGAGGCTCGACTCGAGGTTGAGGAATTCAGACTGCTCCCCATATACCTGTGGAGCACGACGGACGAAGGTGCTGCGTGGCGGCTTACGGAGCTGCGCGCCCTCGAGGACCTCAAGGACGGCACGGAGTGGTTCCCCAGCATGGACGAAGCTAACGAGGCCTCAAAGGCGACGTACATTGTGGACGCTCTCCGCGCCAACGAGCTGCCCGCCCAAAAGCACATTCCAGGGTACAAGCCACAAGACCTGCACCTGGACGACGAAGACGGCGACGACGACTACTGGAACGCATACGACCGGACGCCGGGCAGGACGCCGGCAAGGACACCGGCAAAGCAGTCGCCGGCGCCGCGGCCGGGCTCCTCCAGCGTGCAGCCGCCGTCGGCGTCGGAGCTCGAGTACTTTGCGCGCTACGCGGCCGAGGTGCAGCCCGCGCTGGACGCGCACGACCCGGACGAAGAGAGCCCTGAGACCGGCGCGTCGACGCTGAACGGCGACGCGCTAACGCAGCAGCTGCAGACGGAGCCCGCGGCCGCCAACATCGGGCCCGCCGGCTACGACTCCTCGCTGCCGCCCGTGCTCGCCAACGGCGGCGCTGCTGCTCCCGAAGCCGCCGCTGCCGCTGCCGCTGAGGAGCAGCTCAGCCACCCCCGTCCCGAATCTGCCGCCTCGCTGTCCAGCTCCGTCGAGCGCATGGAGCAGGAGGCCGCGCGCCAGACGCAGGCCGAGACGGGCATCAAGCAGCACATTTCGACCGACATCAAGAGCCTGTTCCGGCTCGCTCGGACCGTGGGCATCCAGCGCGACGAGTTCGAGCGCATCGTCAAGACGGAGCTGGAGATGCTCAGCATGTTCGAAGCTGACGACTAAACGACTCGTGACGACTTTATTGGTATGTAGCAAGCAGCAAATTGCGTCGACCATGGCTTGGGCTTTTCTTCCATCTTTTTCTCGGCATTGCGCGCACAGGAGTTTGTTACGGTGGCACGGCATACTTGCGAGCGGCGTTGTGTATCTTTTTGTTTTTTTGTATTGTTGGGGGGGGTGCCCATGGTCCGCTGTAGATACCACCCGTTGTAGGGCAGCCCGCTGGCGCCCGAATTGGCGCGCATAGGTACTTCTTCTTTTTTTGTTTAGTCGAAATACAAACACTGATCCCACGACCCTCTCTGCCCAGCATTGAAAACGATGGCTCGCTCGACGCAGCAGCAGCAGCAGCAGCAGCAGCAGCAACTAATAACAACAACAGCTCTCCCCCTCCCCCCAGCACCGCCAACCAGCACAAGCCCAAACTCAACCCCTCCTCCTCGCGCTCCCGCCCGCCGCCGACGCACCCGTCGCCTGCGCCTTCAGCTGATGCAGCACGTCCTGGACCCGATCGGCCTTGACATTAAGCTCCTTGGGCATGCCGGCAGCGGAGCCACGGCCAATCTCCTCGACGACGGCGTCTGGGTCGGCGGCGCCGACGGGCGGGATCTCGGAGGCCAGGAACTGCTGCATCGGGCGCGCGACCAGGTAGCCGTCGGCGGAGAACCAGCGCGTGAAGGGCGCTTGGATGTCGATTTGCTGCCACACGCCGCTGGACGTGAAGCGCACTCGCAGCTTGTAGATCGGTATGTGCTTCTCGCAGTGCGAGGAGATTTGGAGCTGTGGTGGGTGGGGAAGTTAGTGTTTGTGGAGGTGGAGGAGGAGGGGGAGATGTGGTGGTGGGGGCTGGAGGTTGTGGTGATGGTAGTGCTTGGTGTATATATATATATATATATACCTTTTCCCCGTTCTTTTCGCCCGAGTATATCAGCCCCTTCTCGACAAAGTAGGTCCAGTACATAAAGGCGCCATTGAGCAGGAAGTAGGCCAGGACGGCCGGGGCCGTGTAGGGCTTGGTGAGGTCCCAGCCGCGGGTCCAGTCGAAGTAGAAGAGGACGCCGGCGATCAGCACGGCGGTGTAGCCCAGGGCCAAGCGCACGTCGGCGTGCGTGTGCGACTGGCGGAACTTGAGCGAGTTGATGTAGTTGGGCAGCGCATCGTCGGTCGTGTTCTTGAGGTCTGCGAGAGGCGGCGGGTTAGCGCTGGCGGCCATGCCATGTAGAAGAGACGCACCCGGGAGAGAGTGGACGGCGATTCTCGTCTGGCCCGACATGGTTTGCTCGAGGGCTTGCTTGCTTCTGCGCTGCTGTGGGGTTGTAGATTTCGAGGGCGCCGGGCGGTAGATCGATAGGTGTTCTCTCAAAGCTTAGGTAGCTGACGATCCCTGTCACCCTCCGAGCCTGAGCCATGGCCATCCAGTCTATGGAAGCCGTGCCCGTTTCTCTCCACCACGCCTCAAGCATCTCCATCGCCCAGCCATCGATCGATCCCCCGCCCGCAATCATGGCGCAACCAGTGGCCCAGACGATCCATAGGGATCCCTCGCTATTGTGCGGCGCCCCGCGCACACGCGCCCCCCTCAGACCGAGCAAGCAGCTGACCTCGTCCGCAGTTGGTGGATACTGTTCCCCATTACCGTCGTCATGGTGCGAATCGCAGCTGCATCCGCGTCCCCATAGCCTCCGTCCTGACATGTCCAGGTCCTGACCGGCGTCCTCCGTCACTACGCGATGGTGCTCCTGCAGAGCACGCCCAAGGCGCAGGCGCTGCCCCAGCTCCGCCAGCAGCGCTGTCTCGTGCGCGGCGTCAACCTGCGCAACAACTCCAACGTCATCTCGCCCTCGTCGTTCCAGAGCCGTAAATCCTATCTCGTGTCGGCCTTCAAGGATGGCGTCTTCCTCGCGGACCCGGAGGCCAGAGGCAAGCCGCGCCCTAACCCGATGACGGACCCCGCCATGATGGAGGGCATGATGGGCGCAATGAAGGGCAATGTGGCTATGATGGTCCCGCAGACGCTGATTATGGGCTGGATCAACGCCTTCTTCTCCGGGTTTGTCATACGTGAGTGCTCCCTCCCACGCCAGTCATCGTCGGAGAGGCGGGGAAAGGGCGCGATTCGCTGACACGACCATTTCCTGAGAGCAGTGAAGCTGCCCTTCCCATTGACCCCGCAGTTCAAGTCGATGCTGCAGAGTGGCGTGGGGACGCGCGACCTCGACGTGCAATGGGTGTCGAGTTTGTCGTGGTACTTTCTCACGCTTTTCGGGCTGCAGCCCGTGTACAATTTCATTCTTGGCAGCAACAACTGTAAGTCGATGGAGCCGGGTGAAACGGCGCGCGCATCTATGGCAGAGAGCTAACGAAGGCGATGCAGCGGCGAATCAGGTCACGCAGCAAATGGCCATGGCCAACCCGGCAGCTGGCATGATGGGGCCGGACCAGGACCCCGACAAGCTGTTCCAAAATGAGGCGGAGAACCTGGAGGTGGTGGATCACTACTGGATTCTCGAGGGTGTGGAGGATCGGCTGCTGGCGAAGCTGAGCCAAGGGTGATTGGCTGCATTGGCATAAAAAACCAGCGCGGACTGACCGGTGCTGGCGAATGTGGTGGGCGGGAAGGCAAGCAGAGCCTCGTGTAGACGCAATAGCACTCTTGTGCAGGTAGTGCATCAGCTGAGGCCAAGCTATGCGCGCGCCACCCGGGCAAGCCAGGCATCAGTTGCCTGGTTTGCCTCGTCTGCGTCGTCCCGCCCATGTGGCAGTTTGGCGTTTGTCGCCCCCAATCCCCGCCCAAGTCTCAGCCGCAGCGCGTGAAGATCCTGATTTTCCCTTTGTGCGCCCACACACACACACGGACCGGTCAGCCTGCAGGGGTTTCAAGAGGGAAGGAGCGAAAAGAATGCGGCTCTGCTCGGGCGGCCTCTTGCTCTCTGCTCTACCTTAATAGTTCACCATGCAGGCGGCCGCAGTGTCACGGCCTAGAGAAAGAGGGCGAAGCACTTTCAGTCCAGTGTCCAGTCCAGTCCCAATCTTAGTCCTTCCTCCCTTCTCTGCCTCTCTGCCTCTCTGCCTCTCTGCCTCTCTCTGCCCTACCTGTCTGCCCTACGAGGTGGAATCCGTGCTCCGCCTCCCTCCCTTCGTCATAACCTCACAAGGAAGACTGCATAAGTAGTCCTGGACCCCATCCTCTGTAGACTGCATGTACGCCTTCACGCCCGCCTCAGGCAAGCTAAATTTACTCACTTCCACCAAGTCGTCTCTGCACATGACACACTTCCGCGCGGCCTTCTTATTGCACACCTCCCCCACCCCTACCCGCAATTGTCCTTGAGCCTATACGTCTATTGTCCAAACCACACACACACACACACACACACATATACACAACACTCAAAAAATCAAAATCATCCACCCGCCATGGTTTCTCTCCAGCCGTTTGGCGATCTCCCCCAGATCAACCTCGACGCAGAGGGAGAGTTCAACGACTTCGGCACGTGGCCAGCCTACGACCGCAACGTCCCATGGATGGCAGAGGTCTTCGGCTCGGAAGCGATGGTGGAAGCCACCTACACCCCCGCACGGGATTTGTCAACCATGCAGCGCTTCCTGGCCGGGCCCGAGCTGCCCATCAGCGCCTCACTGTTTCAGCTGGACAACAGCAGCAGGAGCACGCGCTTGCCGCGCCCCTTTCAGTTCAGCGCGCAGCAGCAGTACGAGCCGCAGGCGCCCTGGCCCTTCCCGGAGGGTCGTGGTTGCGCCCGCTACGGCTCCCCGGACACCCACCGCTCGAGCTGGTCGGTCTCGAGCGGCAGCAGCAGCAGCATCAGCAGCGTCAGTAGCACCGGCCACTGCCAGTACCCGCGCGCCGACGTGCACGGCGGCCACCCTAGCCCTCCCCAGTCCTCGGGCAGCCCCGAGTACGGCTCGGCGCAGGACACCACCACAGCCTACTACCCGCCCTTCTCGGCCTTCCACATGGACGCCGCCGCCGTCGTCGCTGGCGGAGGCGGTTCCTGCGCCCTCCGCGAAATCCAACAGTACCCGTCGCCGGCCGAGGAGCCGGAAAACCCGCTCGAGGGCGAGGACGCCGCCGAGGTCAAGCTCGAGTACGGCGCCTACGGCGAGCAGGAGCCGCTCCACTACCACGCCGCCGCCAAGATGAGCGCGGATGACCACCGCCGTTGCCAGCGCGTCCAGGACGACGACGACGACTTGCTCGACCCGATCCGCGCTGAGTCGGTGCAGCCCCTTGAGGTCAAGCTCGAGGACCCCGCCGACTCGGACTACGAGCCTGGCTTGTCGGGCTCTAAGCGCCGCCGACGCGTCTCCCAATCTAGCATGAGTTCGCGGAGTTCATCCAAGCGGACCAAAGCAGCAGCAGCAGTAGGAGCAGCACGCAACAAGCAGGGCAGCATGACAGGCACGCGCAGCAATGGAGCCGGAAAGCGAGCCAAGGCAACGGCCTCCTCTTCTTCCTCCTCATCCTCATCAACCAACAACAGCAACGCCGCCGCCGCCACGGCCGACGCGCCGCGCCCCTTCCCCTGCCCGCTAGCCGGCTACTCGTGCGCGGCGACGTTCGCGTCCAAGAACGAGTGGAAGCGGCACGTCAGCACGCAGCACGTGCGGCTGGGCTTCTGGCGCTGCGCGCTCTGCCCCAGCAGCGTCGACGGCGGCGCCACCGTCTCCTTCAACGACTTCAACCGCAAAGACCTCTTTGCCCAGCATCTGCGCCGCATGCACTTTGCGCCGGAGCAGCAGCAGCATCATAAACATGATCGAAAACCCTCGACTGCCTCCACCACCTCCACCACCTCTTCCTCTACTTCCTCCGACAACACATCCACCACATCAACATCACAAACAACACCAACAACAACCATAACCGAAACCACCATGCCCGCCTTCCAGAAGACGTGCTACCGTCGCCTCCGCGATCCTCCCCCAGCAAGCACCTGCCTCTTCTGCACGCGCAGCTTCGCGGGCCCCGGCTCCTGGGACGAGCGCATGGAGCACGTAGGCCGGCACTTTGAGGGCGCGCGCAAGCGGCTGCTGCAGTTGCAGCAGCAACAGCAACACCAGGGTCACGCCTCTGTGGGCGCGGATAATGGTGGTGCTGCTGTTGGTGGTGCTGTTGGTGATGGTGGTGAGGGTGATGGTAACGGTAGTGCTAATGCGGCCCTTCTCCCCCCCGTCCACCGCTGGCGCGAGGACAGCGCGTTGCAGGCGTGGCTGTGCCGCGAGGGGCTGGTGAGGCAAGATGCCCGCGGCAAGTGGGTGCTGGGTGATGGGCGGCCGAGGAGGGGCGAAGGGGAGGGCGAGGGCGAGTGTGACGACGGTGGTGGGGGAGGGGATGGTGAGGGTGTTGTTGGGTGCGATGTGTAAGTGCGTGCGTGGGATGGTGTTGTTTGCTTCGGTCTTTTTCTTTCTCTACCTTATCGTTTTCTCGTTCGCTTGTCGTCTCTTTCCTTCGATATCGTCCTCCTCGGCGGTTGTTGTTGTTGTTGTCGTTGGTACTTACCTAGTACTCTGTTTGATGGAGCCATGGAAGAAGGATGGAAGGAAGGAAGGATGGATGGATGGATGGAAAGACAAACGGCGAAAGGCAGCCTACATCTACGTTTTCACGAATCACGACCCAAACGACTGGACTGGACTGGATAGATACCCCCTCAATACAATAAATACAATACACACTCAAATAAACAAACACAAATCTTCAGTTGCAAACTCCATGTCTTGCTGTCTCTCTTGCTACCGCCAAACGCACAGAACCACCTGCTCTCCCAACCAGACCAGCCCAGACAGTGCACCACTCGCTCACTCACCCGCTCACTCGTTCACCCCCGCGCAGTGCGTGCGTGCGTGCGTGCGTGCGTGGCAGCCGTGCCAGCCGTGCCATGTATGTACGTAGCGTCGTACCCAACCCAGCCGTGTCATTCCGTACCGCGCCGTGTGATTCAGTGTCCTGTCAGCGTAGCGTCCGCAGTTCAGTTGGTGGCTGTGTTGGTGGCTGTGTTGGTGGCAGTGTTGTGTAGTGTAGTGTTGTGTAGTGTAGTGTTGTGTTGTGTAGTGTAGTGTTGTGTTGTGTAGTGTTGTGTAGTGTTGGTGGCAGCGCCCACGAACGGACGGGATTGATTGATAGCTGAATGAATGAATGAATGGATGGATGGACGGATAGACGAGACTCGCGAGACAAATGGAGAACAATGTCCGTTCGTCCGTCCCCCGCGCGCGCGCAACGCCCGTCGCCGGCAGCCACTGTACGTGTACATAACAGTGGTGGGTGCGTGGGTGGGTGGTGGTGCCCCACGCAGCCCGCAGCCCACAGCCCCAACAACGGCAACCTATCTACCCCTCCCCAACACCACTCACACTCCCGCCGCGCCACACTCTCGCACTCACACAGTCCACCCTCACCTCTCACCCACACACATACACACGCTCAAAAAAGCATCTGCGTAGATAGATACTAAACACTGTCAATTTCTTTTTATCTAGTTCCGTACCCGTGCCATCATAACGCAAACTGCAAAAAAGCAAGCAAGTATAAGTGACTAAGTAAGTAGAAAAGCAGGCACTCCGACGACAACGGCAGCAGCTAGCAGCTAGCAACCCGACCGCCTCTCTCACAAGCAGCCGTCCTAGGTAGCTCGCACAACAACAAACGACGACAGACGCGCGGCGCCATCGTATTTCGTTGTCATCATCGTCGTCGAAGACCAAACGCAAAAAGGAAAGGAACAAGAAAGAGAGAGAATGAGAAAAAAAGGAAATCTATCGACAGCCAGACAGGCTTTTCGCCGACCCTCGCGGGAGACACCGTCGGCGTATGTACGTATGTGCGTGCGCGCGCGTCTCGCCCAAGCAAGCAAGAGACACGGGAATGTGTTATGTAGAGAGGAGAGCCAAGCAAGTAAGCAGCAGAGAACGACCAACAACGACGACTAAGTACGTAAGGAAAAGCAAACAGCAGCAACAACAACAAGCAATGTGCAATGCAGTGTGCAAGAAAGGGAAAGTGTGAGGTATCTCCGCGGTTTTCCAGCAAAAAAACGAGGAAAAAAGTAACAAAAAAAGAAATGTGAAGATCAAAACAGCCGCCATCCGCCCCACCAAGTATCAGTGTGTTTTATGTGTAGTAGCTGTCTCTCTCTGTGTGTACTGTACTGTTTTGTTGTTGCGCTCGCGCTCTCGCTCGCAGTTTTGCGCCATCATCATGCGTGTCCAAAAAATCAAAGCAAGCAATCCAAGGACGGACCGGAATATGTCGAAAACGAAAGACATGGCCCGCACCCTAGATGCGTCTTACCATAAAACACCATCGGCTATGCTCAAAGCAAGGTAAAAGCAAAGGAAAGCGAAGACGCAGAGCTTGCGGTGTTGTGTCTCAGGCCGTCGTCCATGACGGCTAGTTTTCAACACTTCGAAAAGAGGGGTATTTGACGGCGACTTGCTACACAAGCGTTGTTCAGATGCTCGTTCATTCATCAACAGGTTTACTCCATGGCGCTCTCGGCGCGTCTCGTGACGCGTCGGACAGTGCCTCCAGTGTTGGTGCTCTCAACGTCACTGCTTTCGACGCTGCTCGCAGCAAGCCCACTGTCGCCGCTGCCGTTCATACGAGCTTTGCGGCCCGCACGACGTGCCTGAGCTTGCGACCCGCACATCTTGAGAGTACGCTGCAAAGTCTTCAAGTACAAGAGGTGCTGCTGGGCAGCTTTGCTCGCTTCGTTGGCCATCAGGCGAGGATCAGCGTCGACCTCGAGCGCATCCGGATGAGGCGGGATAGGACGGGCCGCTTGCATCGTGAATTGCGGCTTCCTCAAAGGAATACCATCACCGTTCAAGTCGTACGATTGTTGCGTAAAGTTACTGATGGCGCTCCGCGGAGAATACGTAGCGACAGAAGTGCGGGGCGTCGTGAGTTGAGTTAGCTGCTCATTCGCAACCAGAGCAGCAGTATCAGGAGAGGCAAAATTGCTGCTTGAAAAGGATCCTCCGCTCGTTGAGGGAGGTGTGTCGTCCAGGTGGTAATTATATGGGATGTAATGTTGGGGGGCCGGTGTCGTCCCAACATTGAAACCATGACGAGAGGCCCTGATTGTTGCATCGACGACTCTTGTGGGATCAGCGAGGATTTCGGTGGGGCCATCCGGGAAGTCGCCTTGGCCTGAATTGGAAACCGACAAGTCGGACTCTGTTATGACCGGTGCGTCGCTCGGCTCACCCAACATCTTCGAGAGACGATCACGTGCTTGCAATGCTGATCCATTGTCGGAGACATAGCCTTGATTATAGCCGTCGTCTTTCTGGGCCTGCAAGAGGGACACGCGGTGGTGAGGAGCCGATTGCGACTTCTGATGATACGAAGCCCTGTTGTTGCTCTTCGACAGTTGTGCCTGATCCTCAAGGTCGAAAGAATCCGTGACCTGAGCTGGAGCTTCAGGGCTTTTGATGGGCTCGGGGTAATCCGTGGCAGAGGTAGCAGGACGAGGGCCGAGAGTAACGTCAGCAAAATCGAGGTCAATCATAGAGCCCCGGTTCGGCGATTCAGGCGCAGACTGGCTGACATAGAAATCGTCGAAATTACCGATAGGCTGAGTAGCAGCGTGCTTCAGTTGAGGACGGAACGCGGCGCCTAGAGGTGGAGAAGGCTGCAAAGAGGCTCTCGCGACAGGGACAGGATAGTCCTCTTCATCGACCGGGCCCATTGGGAATGAAAAGCCAGGAAGGAAGCTTCGGCGATCATCATTAGGGTCCATGTTCGAAGGTGCCGGCTGGTCCTTTGTAAGACGACGCTGAGCAATCTTGCTGTTGCGGAAGTCTTGGTTGCCATCGCCAGTCATCTCAGCCATGGAGGATGCGAAACTCCATTCCATGGTTTTGCGATTCGCCTGTGCGAAGGTCCACTCCATTGTTTTACGGTTCGATTGCGATTTTTCAGGTTCCGGATCCGCTGCCATAGGGAACTTCCAGTCCTTTGTGGCACGCTTTGAGCCTCGGTTTGGCTGATATGGATAATCGTCTTCTTCCTCCTCGTACATCCTCAAATTGAACCTGCTGGCTCTTATGGTTGGTGCAGCATCCATATCTGGTACAACAACCATGCCATCATCTAGGTCGATCATTGTGACGCGGTTGGAGGCACGATCACCTCCATAGTTGCGAAGCGCAAGGTCCGAGGCATTCGAGGAACGGTCCGGGGCGTTTTGAAGCTGACGGGGCGAAATTTGCTGAAAAGGTTCGTACCGTCCATTGTACTGATAGTCTGGTCCATCCGGATTGAAGAGCCTCTCCATAGCTTCACCACCGCGCCTGACTTGGTTCTCCTTCATCGCCTTTTGTTGGAGTGCGAAGTTACGTCTGCGGCCTCCTGGACCGGCAGGCTTGTCTTCAGTGGCTGAACCATTCTCTGTGGAAGGATCGTTCGCGGACCCTCTTTGTTGCTCGAACTTCCTGTCAAAGTCTGCAGTGGTGCTGAATACCCAGTCGTCTTCCGTCTGAGATTGAGGGTTCAACGGATCCATAGTTGCAGCACCTCCTTCATGCCATAGAGACGACCTGTTACCGCCGCGTGACTCCCACTCCTTGAATCGCTCTATCAGTGCAGTGAGACTTTCTGTCGGGTATTCTTCTTCGGATCCAGCAAGATATGGATGGTCAAGGACTTCTTGCGCTGACGGCCGTTCCTCTGGACTGGACTTTAGGCAGAAAGCGATAAAGTCTGCCAATTCCTGGGAGTGGCTCTTGCTATCCAAGCGTGGCGCTTCTGTCCTCAACATAAGATCCGCTACTGCGGTAGTGGCATTTGGAGGCACTCCAGTGGCCATCTCATAGATTGTGCAACCATACTCCCAAACATCAATTTCGAAACCATATCCGGTTCCAATGTCCTCGCGGATCATCTCAGGGGGCATCCAATGGGGCGTGCCAATGATGGTCGCCCTCCTGTCGTAGTTACTTTGCAGGACACCGGCAACACCAAAATCACATAGCTGTACACAGCCATCTTCTCTGATGAGAACGTTCGCGCCTGTTTTTGATTACATTGTCAGCTCGACCAAAAAAATGCCGATCGAGGGCACACAAACATTTCAGGTCGCGATGGACAATACCCGCTTGATGAACACTTTCAAGGGCGACAGCCAGTTCTCTTGCGATGGGAATGATGAATTTCTCCTCAAGAGGGCCTGGTCTGTTGGGGAGCGGGTTTGGGTTCGCACGGCACAAGGTCCTGACACTGCCACCAGGGCAATAGTCACTGACAATCCAAAGTGTAGAGTGAACACTGAAGGTGTCATGCAACAAATTGACGTTTTTTGCTCCGCTGTCTTTTAGGGTTCGGAGGATGTTGGTCTCTTTTAAAAAGTTGTTGACAGCGTCATCTCTGCGGTCGTAAGCCTCCAGGTAGTCGGCCTTGTCTACTTCGAGAATCTTGATGGCGATGACGCCATTGGTCTCGCGGTTTTTGCTTGAAGAGGACCAAGTCAGCGTGGTTTGAATATCGGCTGAACAGAAGCTCAATGAGGTGGCATTACCCTTTGTAGACTCGACCAAAACTGCCTTTGCCGATCAACTCGAGAAAATCATAGGGCGGCGCGGCCGTTCCACTTCGCGCGGCGCGGTCTTCGACCACCCTCTGCGCCTCTTGGGCCTCTTGGATAGCCCTGGCCTTGGAACTGGCGGTGCGGGGGTTGAGCAGCGAATTGGCCATGGCTCGTTCACGGGCGCGACGGGCGTTGCGGCGCTTGAGCGAACAGGCGGAATCGGGGAGCTTCCAATCGTCGGGCAGGGACGGCGACTTGTCGGAGCGGAGATGCGGCGGCGGAAGCTCAGGTGAAGCGAGGATGACAAGGGCTGCGCCCCAGCTGGACGGGTCGGGCGAGGACGGGGGTGCGGGCGGTAAGCTGGAGGAGATGCGATGGGAAAGCGGGCTCGGCTCGGTGGCGCGAGAGGAAAAGGACTTGGCTCTGGCGGGACGGGGGTTGGGAACTGAAGGCATGGTTAGTCTGGCGATTGTCGGCGGAGGGTGCTTTCCATGCTCGACCTGTTGGAAAAAGCCGGGGCGACGTGGCGCCATGGTTGGAAAGGGAAGGTTGTTGTGAAGGAAAGAGGAAAGAAGACTTACGCGAAAAGGGAAATCAGGAAGGAAGGACAGCTAGAGTCGGGCTTGCTGAGGCAGTCGTGGCGCGGGGCCTTGCATGGCTCTGGGGTAAGACTTCTAGAAGAAAGCGGGATTCCCAGCTCCTTTAAACGCCCCCAGATGCTCCCTGCACGGCAGGCGGGCGAAGTCGCAAAGACCAAAGCAGCACACGACCTGGCACTGGAGGGTGCAGCGACGGAGAGCGAGCCTGCGCGACGGTCTACGGGCTTGGATGGGAGTGTGTGCGGTGAACAATGTTTTGTTGCATCCCCCGACCAGGGAAAAAGGGAAGGGACGTCTCGAGGATGATCGCCGCAAGGGTCTCGTTTCCACCTCGCACGGCCCTCGGCTCCCCCGGGGCCTGCCGCCGCCGACCTTGTCTTGCGCCCGCCACATCTTCCTCGTTGCATGCGCCTCATGATGTCAAGCTCCAAGGCCTCAAAACCCGTCTTCTTAGAGTACTCGTACTTCCATCTACCTACCTAATCTTCCATCTACTACTTTCAACAACATCATCACCATCATGCCTCCCAACGACAACTGGCTGAACCGTCAAGTCCAAGGCGCCGTCGCCGGCGTCGGTAGCATCGCCGGCGGCCTCGTCAACAACGTTGGCAACGGCGTTACGGGCGTGGGTCGAGGCATCGGCAACGGGTAAGGCCCCTTCCTTCGCATCCCCGCCTAAATGCTAACGCGTCCCAGCGTCGCAGGCACCACCCGCGGCTGGGGCGACAGCGTCCGCGGCTACGGCAACAACATCAAGGACGCGACCCGCGCTGCCGGCCCTCGCGCTCCGACTGCCTCGAACCCGCTGGGGCTGGCTGGTGGCTCGACCAGCTCGGCTGCCATGCTCAAGTCCAAGACCACCGGCGCCGTCGGTGGGGCGAGGGGAAGTGCAGGCAATCCGCTAGGGCTGAAATAGAAAGGTGATTGACATTGGGGTGGGCCTCTCTTTATGACTATCAATTTGGCGCTGCCAGAGTACACGCACTTCTCGACACTTGTATATTTGCACGACCTTGGCGTTCGTTGGCTTTGCCTCAGGGTCAGGCGGACATCATGTCATCACCGACTCAGCCAGGTCTCGACATGACGATATGATTGGTCTCGTCGACTACCGTTTTTAGCACTGAATATATCCACATCGTTCTTCCGAGTCGATCCTACACCCTTGCGGCCAAGTCTAGAATGCAGTGCCGGACTACCACGTCGGTAGTTTAGACACGAAGCTCTGTAACCTTGTCTCCACTCAAACTCCACGTCGAAGGGGGATCAATCAAAAAGATCCTACGCCGAACCCACACTGCCGGAAACTAAACCTTACCCAGAAACGCCGTTGCGTGCGTGGGCACGCAGCTTCCATCCACTGACTTCGGTGATAGTGCCCTCTTTATATCTCTTGTCGTCATGGAGACTGAGCAATTTGTAGATCAGAGTCGCACTCCTCTTTGTTCTCCTGGGCCAAAACTTGGACACAACAGAGGTTGACGCAAATACCCTTGCGCACATTATATCGCAACGTCCTGCTCGAAGTCAGGGGTGTTCTTCCTCTCACTGTAGTCTCCTTTGATCAGTACAACTCGCTAAGAAGCGAGACATGGGTCGAAGAGGAAGCAGGCATCCAGTTCGGCGCATTCCCGTTGCTCCTGACCGAAAGCGTAGTTTATCTCCTGGGCGGAAGTAAAGGAGTCGGCCGTAGGATCAAATGAGACATTTTGTCGTTTTGTCTGTCGTTTTGCCTGACGTTTTGTCTGACCCACGCCAAGATCTTCGCTTTCGAAATCGGACTCTGTAGTGTACTTTCGCTAAAGGCTCCCTATATATAGTGGTTTGTTGGACTGCGCGCGTGGAGGTGCCGTGAGCGTGGGATGAGGAAGGGGACGGAGAATTCTGAGTTAACGCCGACGACCTCCTCATGACTCAGCCGTCGTTGTAGATCCTCCACCTGCGACCCACGCGGCCCTCCACGGAACCCTTTCATCATCTCCTTCACGCCGTTTTCCATCTCAAGAAAGCGCAATTATATCAGAGCTTATCGATATTTCATCTCGTTGATTCGTTGCCAACGGGCTCTTTCCGTACTCTGAGCATTCCGACCGTCATGGTATCATGTTCAGATGGAAACAACTATGGCAAGCACTGGAATTGCATGATCGCAAAAGAGAGTCATTGTTGGCGCTAAGATGAACTGTAGGAAAGTTATATCATTATCAAAAGTTAACTAGAGAATGGAACACTTGACAGGGAGTCCGCAAGGTCCATTCTTGTCATGCTTCTCCTTCTGTTGAGGCTGCGATGCTGAAGCTTGCGGCTGTGATTGCTGCTGGGCACCAGCAGGCGCAGGTTTCGCCTCCGATTTCTCCTCAGTGGCACCCGCCTTGCTAGCATCTAGTCACTCGAAGTTGACCCTGGCGACGGTGTTGTAGAAGCCCTCTCCCTGCTTCTTGGCGAGCTCAAGCTCGTTCTTCGTGGGCTGGCGGGAGCCGTCGGGGGCAGCGAAGGTACCGGCGCCCCAAGCAGAGCCACCACGGACCTCAGACAGGTCGGCCATCAAAGCAAAGGTCGTCTTGTAACCGAGGGGAACGAAGAGCATGCCGTGGTGGACGAGAGTGCTCATGGTAGAGATGACGGTGGACTCCTGTCCACCACCGGGAGTGGCAGTGGAGACGAAGACACCGGCGTACTTGCCATAGAAAGCACCCGTCTGCCATTGGCCACCGGTCTTGTCCCAGAAAGCCTTGAACTGTGCGGGGAAGTTGCCGTAACGGGTGGGGATGCCGAACAGGAAAGCGTCGTACTTCTCGAGGACGTGGGGGTCGGACAGGACGGGGATGTTGGTGTCCTTGGGAGGAGCGTGCATCTTGGTCAGGACCTCCTGGGGCAGGGTCTCCTCAATCCTAATTGAGGCGTTAGCTGAAGCTGAAAGCTGAAAAAGCCCGGGACAGAAATGCTTCTCGGAATGGTTGCGGAGAATACTTACTGGTAGAGGTCGGCGGAGCCACCGGCAGCCTCAATACCCTCCTTCTCGGCCAAGGCCAGAGTCTTGATGTGGCCGTACATCGAGTACTATTGCAACCATCATGTCAGTTTGTTGTCTGTCAACAGCTCGGACAAAGCCATGGATGCGGGGCAGAAGCTCAAGCCAAGCACGTACATAGATGATAGCAATCTTGGGCGCCATTTTGAAAGAATTGACCGAGGGGAGTGATGGATGGAGAGATAGGGGGTATCAATCTAAGCAGAGGAGAATGAAGCTGGAGATGCAAGGTGGGGTGCCGAATGAAGCTGAGCTGCGGGTTAAGTACCTCTTGAGCTGCGGGGTCCCTGGCTGGAGGGGAAGCTCAACTGCCCGGTCCGTGCGCCAGATTTCGAAGCATTTCCAAGCTTATCAAATCCTTACCAATCGCCAGACACACGCCTTCCCACGTGCGGTTGGAGACGTCCCCTGAATACGATGGCCATCGTATGAATATTCACGCAATTTCCAAGTAATGGCACCATGTCCGTTAGGCCTCCGCTTCTCCGCTCCTCTGCTCCACCCCTTCTCCGCTCTGGTACCATTCCTCCGCCTCTCTGCAGCCTGCTTCCTACCCTGACCATTGGCATTGGGGGCCCAATTGCTGGTTTTAGCCTGAATTGCTTACCCCGGGCACAAAACCCTTGGTTTCCAACATGCAATACATTACAACGTAGGCTCAACGACATTGGTTGCGTCTGGCCAGCGAGTAACGCGACTCTCCGGCTTTGTTTGAAATACGTAAAGACAAAATGAATACCACTTTAGGATCATTGGATAGGTGCCCATAGGAAAACTCGTACGAGGCTCGTCTCTCTCGTTTACAGACCACGTCCCTTCTCCAATTGCTCATGGTAAGGCGAACTGCCGATCGCGCTTGCCGAATTTGGCTATAGTCTACTATGAGGTGGCCTGTGGGAATTTGGGCTCATCAGTCCAAGAGTCCAGACTGAGATGTAGTTTTTGAAGCTATGGCAATGGCCTACACGAAAGGTTGGGCGAGGCTGCCTTCATAACATTGATTTACTTATCACAACTGGAATACACCACTGGGGAATGGAAATAAAAACGAACTGGATTTCGATATACAACTTGTTATACATCATTCTCATGGTCAAGACTCTTAAGCCTTGTTCAAGGCTCGATTCGCCAATCTGACTCCGCAGCGCTGAAACCCAGAACAGAAATGCAAGGCGGAAAATAGCAAACCCACGGATGCAGTGTCCTATCTCTTGCTTCCCACCATCTCATTGATCGTCTGCTCCAGTGATTTGGGCGTCCTTTCATACTTGGCAAGGAGCCTCTCGAAAGTTCGGTCTTGGTTTTCGCACTCATTTTCCTTGAGTGCAGCGTAGGTCTTGGCCCACCAGGTCACGTAACGCGGATCCATGCCACGTTCTTTGTAGTACTGCTCGTGCTCTTCCCTGCTCACGACCTTGAGCGCGATATTGCGACTCTTGGCACGTGAAACCATGGCGGCAATATCCTCAAGGGTGTGGGTCCCCGTGCTCGCCAGAGTAATAGTGACGCCAGAAGAGCAGGATGACTGTTCATCTGTAATGATAGAGGCCGTAGCAAGCCCCAGGTCATCGATGGCGGCCCAGCTGATGGGGCCATCACCCGCAACTAGGACTTCCTGCCTTCCATCCTCATTGGTGGCATCGTAGTGGCCAAGGTAAAGCGGCCAGGATTCGTTGTAGAGACCTTCGCGGATGATGGTGAAATGGGTGTCGGACAGCATCTGAAGAAATTCCTCAGTGCGGTTGTGAGCAACCATGACGCCGCTCTTGCTGTTCTGTCCGAAACCCAGAGAGGTGTAGTAGATGTGCCGGACGTTAGCTGCGCGTGCGGCACGTATCGCGGCAAAGTGGTGAGCTTCGCGTCCTTTGCCGTAGGGCGCGTCGTCGAAGTCCATTTCTATGCGGGGAGTGGATACGATGAGCACGCACTTGCAGCCGGCGAAGGCTTTCTCCATGGACTCGCTGTCATCGTAACTGGCCTGGCGAACAATGACGCCCTTCTCTTTAATGGGAGCCCAGAGCGGGTCGTCGGCACTGGAAGAAGTCGAGACAACAAGCTCGTTTGGCGGCAGGAGGTTGTATTTAAGGAGATTGTGGAGGACGGCGCCGCCCAGTTTGCCGGAGGCACCGGTTATGGCAAGTTGAGGCATTGGGAGGATGTAAAGAGGGTTGAGAGATCAGCTGGCGAAGCAGAGAGGTGGTCATATGAAATCTACTTATGTATGGACTCACGCGCGCGTGTACACACACACCACAGGGTGGCATGGGAGTAAGACAGACCTTTACTGTGTAGAGCATGCTGGCAACATTAGTAATCCTGTTAGTCCTGAAAGCGGATGGTCGACTGAGCTTAAAAGGAGCCTCTTTCGTTAGTAAGGTCGAAGGGCGGAGCTGCCTCTCGGTGTTCGGTCCTCGGCCGCCAACCGCAAAGAAACGCGCCCGGCTTATCGATACGCAATACCGCCAGGCCCGTATGGCATCAACAGTCGCCGCGATTTTTTCTCCGCCAGCTCCACAGCAACCACCATGGCAGAAGCAAACAACGACCACCTCATTCATTCCGACGACCCGGAACACCCGGCCAATCACATCTGCGAGCTCTGCCGCAAGTTTTACACTCTGGGCTGGGTACGCGCTAAGACATAGGTCGTACAGATGCAAAAAGAGGCCGCTGACCCTCTCTGTGTTACTGGCGATTCTAGGTCACTGGCACTGGCGGCGGCACTAGTATCAAGCATGGCGACCATGTCTTCATTGCGCCCTCGGGCGTCCAGAAAGAGCTCATGAAGCCCACCGACATGTTCGTCATGGACTACAACACCAAGGAATATCTCCGCAAGCCTCAGGTCCTCAAGCCCTCCGCCTGCACCCCTCTCTTCTACGCTGCCTTCACCCGCGGTGCCGGCTGCTGCATCCACACCCACTCCCAGTGGGCTGTGCTTGTCACTCTGCTCGTGGAGCGTGACTTTGGTCCCGATGCCTGCTTTGAGATTGAGATGATCGAGCAGATCAAGGGAGTTCCGAAGGGTCGCGGCAAGGCCGGCAACTTGGGATACTTTGACAGGCTGCAGATTCCCATTATCGAGAACACTGCGCATGAGGAGGACCTTGCCAGCACTCTGGAGGAAGCTATGGATAAGTACCCTGATGCGTATGCTGTCTTGGTCAGGAGGCACGGCATGTGAGTATACTTAAACTTTGGTTCAATTTGCCATTGGGATGCAAGATACTGACGAAACAAAGCTATGTCTGGGGCGACAACGTTCACAAGGCGAAGACGCTCTGTGAGAGCTTGGATTATATCTTCCAGCTTGCCGTTGAGATGAAGAAGCTGGGTCTTCCCTGGACCAAATAAGCGTTAACAAGCGTTTGCTTTACCGTACACGCAAGTACATATACCCTGTTAACATCCGTCACCGCGAACCGAGATCTACTGTATAGCGAGATAGAGGGCGACGCAAGCAGTCCCTACAGAGTACTCCTTACCTAGCTCCTAGCCCGAGTGCTGAGTATGGGTGAAAAGGTCTTAGAGCGCATAGAGCCTCTATATATCTTAACTAGGTCTCTTCTTCTACTCCGTACAAGCATTAGCATCTCGTAAGACGGCGGATCTCGCTTCACGGTGATGGACGTTAGCCCTGGTTTTGCCGACAAAGGGATCTTTATCAGCAAGATATCCGTCATATATCAAATCAAATTTTGTGACAAAACAATCTCTTTTCTTGACATGGGTCTTGGTGTGTCTATGCTTCTCGTAGACGCTCCAAGGACCCACCTCCCATGAGTTTTGAGTTCGGGCTGACCAACAGGGTTCAACCTTCAAGGACACTACCACAAGGTCGACGATCCACTTCCTTGCAAAGCCATCGTGCACAGATCTCGCATCGACGCCAGCTGCCTTGTCCTCCTTGGCAGATTTCCCCTGACACTCGCGATTGAGCCTCAAGCCGTAGCTGTCTGATTTTCCAGGAAATTTGGCATACACTTCACCTCCCATCACAACGCGAACTCCACGTGCAGTCCGCCAGTTCATACACAACTTCCATATTGATCTTCCTCTCTCAATCCCTTTCAAACTCAGCACGACCCAGCACAGCTCTACCAAAACCTCCCTGACACATACTAGCTCACCCAAAACCACCACCATCCCTAGCCCCTCCCCAATTCCCTGCCAACATCGAACGTCTACGGGAGCAAACTCCGTACGCACATGCACTCCCAGCACTGCCCCTCCCAATCAGTCAGCCAGGCACACCACCACCCCCCGTGACACATACTAGAGTCTAACCTCGAACGTCTACGGGTCTCAACTCCGTGCCCTCTCGGCCTGTAAGAGGGGCTCCTGGTCTCACGTGTATCCAAAAGCGCAACCCAGCCCAATCAGTCCCTGCGTCCCTGCTCATGCGTGTGCGTGCGTGCATGCGTACCTAGTCTAGCGTCGATGCGGCTGTTCAAGCCATCGGAGCTACCTCCGCCTGGTGCCGCCCGGAAGAGGAAAACAAAATAAAATAAAAATACCGTAGAGTACTCGTACCCAGCACTTTCTCCGTCCGCGCGCGTCATCTTTTGGACCCTTGCGGATCTTTGTTCCGGCCGTTGTCCGCCCTCTGCTGGCTCCAGGCTGGGCTTATTCTAGAGTAGGAGTAGCCTAGCCTCAGGACGGCTTGCCCGATTGGCCCATTGTTCATCCGATCACACTTTGCTCGTCTCGTAGCGCTGCTAATGGATCATGATCATCGCGCTGATGTCCGTGGCGGTCTGGCGGCTGCTAGCGATTCTTCGGGGTGCTGTCCATGCCCTTCCTGCCATTTACGGATGCAGAGTAACGTCCGTCACCGTCAAGCGAGACAGAGGGGTACAAGCAATCCCTATGGAACACTCCTTGTCTACCTACATATTTAAATTCTAGATGGAAGTAAAGAGATTTTTTAGGTACAAACTCCTTAACTAGATTTCGTTTCCACTCCGTACACGCATCGGTATCTCGTCAAGCGATAAATCCCGCTTGAGGGTGACGGATGTTAGTTAACCGGATATGATGAGCCGAAGCTCGTGGATTGTTCCAGCAAGTTCCATGCCTAACAGAGTAGACGACGTTCGGTGAAAGACAAGAGGCCGGAGCTCTACTCTATGACACACTCGCAATCAGCACGCACGTCATTGTCAATAGTATTGGAGATTCCGATCTGATCAAAGAAGCACGTCATGAAAAATCTGATGATTGATTCTTTCGGCCATGCTAGGCTGCTTGCTATAAAAAAAAACCAGAAATGTGTGAATTTTTCCCCGCCTGCATAGTATCGACTCCTATCCACCTCAGCCGTCTTTCGCTGACTTCGACTTATTGTCGTTGTCGTGGCTTACTCGTTCGCATTGCTCGGGGTACGCCAAATGAAAAAATCCTTATGTACAAACCCGCAGATCGCTTAAGGCAGAACCAGGAAATGAGTCTCGACGTGCTGAGCCCTACTCATCGGGAACTCACGGGCCGAGAAAAGCACTCTAGAAATGTTGGTGCTGATAATAGCCCCATCTTGTGCACTTAACCCTTGCGGTAGCAGGCATCAACAAAGCTGGTTAGCAGTGCAAAGTGGGGAGGGGTATCGCTAAGCTGTTGGTGCCTCAGAACACCTTAAGCGGAAGCGGTAGCCTCTCCCGCAGGCTTGTCAGCCTCCTTCGCGCCAGCAGTAGAGTCCGGAGCGGCCTCCACGGGCTTGGCGTCTTCCATTGCAACATCGCCCTCATCTCCAGCGTTGGTACCAAGGTCAGTCTTTGTCTCGACAGGCGCCTCAGAGGGCTCCTTCATCTCGACATCCTTGGGCTCCTCAGCCTTGGAATCCTCGACCTTGGCTTCATCAGTCTTAGGCTCCTCTGACTTTGCTTCCTCGGCGGCGGCAGGCGTCTTTTCGTCAACAGGAGACTTGGCGTCAGCAGTCTCCTCCTTGGCACCGTTGGCTGCAGCTTCGGGCGGAGCAGAAGCAGACTCGGTCTCGCTGGCGATCTGCTTGTTCCAGGCGGTAAGAAGTTCAGTAGAGCGCTTCTTGAAGTTGTATTCCTCATCCTTGGGGATGGAGTCAAGCTTGATGATAGCCTTGAGGACTTTGTTGATCTTGGTCTCCTTGATAATGCTAACTTCAATATCGGTGCGGCGTTCCAGATCGCTAAAATGCTCTGACATCTGCTGCATCTCCTCCTCCTTTGGAGGTTGGTCACGAGTCAGGAAGCCCTTCTGAAGGCGGTGGCGTAGAAAGAGGACTGGATTATCATCATAGCCTGGTTAGAGTTCAGGAGGTTCCCATAACTAACGACATTGGGGAGCAACTCACTAGCTTTCTGGCGCTTTTCCAGCTTCTGAGCTTCGGTCAAAGGCTCGGATTCGGCCTTAGGGGTAGCCTCCTCGCTCTCGCTCTTGATCTTGCCGGCCTTGGTCTTCGATGCCGGGGTCTTCTTAGCCTTGGCTGGGGTGTCAGCAGCGGGCGTCTTCGGGCCATTGACCTTGAGCTTGGTTTTTGGGGTCTTGACGGGCTATTGAATATATCAACAAGGGTTCGGGGGCACATTGGCCTCAATACGCTTACCTTGGCTCCCTCGGCCTCACTGTCCGTGTCCTTCTTCCTCTTCTTGTTAGACTTCTTGGTATCAGTCTCGTTTCCGGCGTCCTCCATCTCGACGTCTTCGTCGGCAGCGGCACCACCCTTGCTCTTGCGCTTATTCTTGGGGGTCTTTGCCGCCTTCTCCTTTTCAGCGGCCTTCTCAGCCTTCTCAGCCTCCTTTTGGGCCTTGCTTTCAAGTTCCTTGGCAAGGGCCTTCTCGTGCTCCATCAGCACCTCCTTGAAGTGCTCAAGGGTATAACCCTCTGCAGTAACCTTCCAAGCGTCCCAGAGAGCCTTCGACTTCTTGCCTTGTTCGTCGTTGGCAACTGCCCTCTTAACATCCTCCATGTCCAGAGGAGCTAGGTCAGTATTGACCTGCCATGCGCTAACAAACATTGTTAGTAAAACATAATGAACTGAATGATAGGAACTTACAATTCGTTGGTGCCTAAGAACATGACAGGGTACCGGCGGTCCCGAACGTTCTTACCGCCGTCCGCAAAGTCCTCACGGTACGTGCCATCAGCGCGGCAAGCACTGACGGGACGTTTGTTAAGCAGTGTCTCTGGCAACATCGGCTCATCACAGACAATGACTGGCCAGGCTGCGTAGCCCTTCATTCTCGCCATCCAGTACTGGCCGGGCTTGACTTCCAAATTGAGGTTCGCGACGGACTTCTTCTTGTTCAGCTTCTTTGCCTTGTGCTCAGGGACACCGCCCGATGATTTGCGCCTTCCGTTTGACTTAGGCGTTGCAGACGTGCCGTTGGTGTCAACAGAAGCAGCTTCACCCGTAGCTTCGGCTGTAGTAGTGTTAGCAACTTCTCGCGATAACGCGAGAACCGGCGAGCGTCGTCCCCACGTACCGTTCTCAGTGTCCTTGGAGCTCTCAGCTTCCTTATCGGCGGCAGACTTGTCATCGATCGAGCTGGCGGGGAGTTCGTCGGTAGCAGGCTGAGCTATGAGTGAGAGCGTAGAGTTAGCAGAGGTCGGGCGAGGTGGTGGCCGCGATCGTCCTGGCATACCAGCATCGGATCCAACGGCGTCGGTGACGTCTTCGGCGGGCGCGGCAGCAACCCCATCGGTAGTCGCATCAGCAGTGGTGGCCCTCACTTCAACTGGAGCGACAGAGGCATCCTCGGGCTTCGGCGAGGTCGCGGCAGCAGAGGCGGTCGCCTGATCGGCCATTGTACTCTATGCGATTAGAGGTGCGCGAGTCTGGGACGTGGGTCGGGTCGGCAGCGACGCGTAAACCCGTGCGTAGCTGGCGTAAACAAGGCTCGTGGGTGATACGCGCGACAAGGAAGGGGGCGCGGTGATGGTGAAGCAGGTGTCGTGGATGAAAGGCGATGGGGGTGATGGGTTGCACCGGTCGTGGTGGAGAGGACGGCGCGAGGATGGTGTGGTTTTAAGAATGACGGGCCAAGATCTCCAACGGAAAATGTGCTGCTTAGTCAGGAAGTCGCGACGCGCTCGCGAAGTACGTAGAGCAAGACGGCCAACGCGACCTGGCGACGGGAAACGCGACCGCTACGACGGGTACCCACTCGTGCTTTGTTCCTCTCTGCAGCAGTGGTCCAGCTGTCGGCACCGTTCGTTGTGCGTTGTGTGAGCAGCCTTTGAACCGATCGGAGGGATCGCTTGCGCTCACGAACGTCACGCACCACCCGAGCTCTTCCCGCGCGCGGATGCCGCGGTTACTGGCCTGACTGAGTGCCGCAGAGCTGCAGGTCTCCACTCGCCCAGTCCCGGATGCAGCTGCTGAGGTGTAGGTCCTGGAAGGGAGCGCATCCGCCCATCTTCATTGCGGTCGATAAATACAAAAGCCCCGAGGTGGCACATCGTCGAAGGCATCGTGCTTGCTCGACCAGGCCGATACAGCTCCAGAGCCTTTCGAGCTGAAGACAAGCCACCAACTAGGGCTTGAAGCTAATTCATGCAGCGCTTGGCGGACCGTGAAACCAGGACCGAACAATCCCAAGCTCTTGATTAAGCAATTCCGTGTCATTGTTATTGGTGATTTGTTCGCATTGCATGGCTGCCCGGACGTCTCGATGAAGAAAGCTCGAATAACTGTCCCCTGTCAGCGGTCTCGTATCGGAAAAGGGTCTAAAAATTGGGGGCGTCCTGTACACGACCCAACCTTATTTGATGCGGTTACAGAGCGGGAGCATGCAGATATGCATAACCATTGTTTCTGCGCATAGGGTCTCATGTCAATTCGACGACATAAACAAACCAACAAAGTGAAAATCATCCCTGAGGTGGCCTGAGGAAAGGAGATAAAGAAAGTAAGAAAGTAACGAAATGCACAATACCTTCAACCTTTTCTGTAGCCGCAGTAGCACATGATCTGCTACAATAATCATAGCATACCCTGTGGGTTAAGTCACGTCTACGAAGGGTATATACGAACATACCCCTCGCGTAACTATTGAAACGCGTATGACTTTTTGAAAACAACAAACGAAATAGTAAAAGATTGCAGACTTTAATGAAACCGTTTCTTGATAGGACCGTTTGAGCAAATCTCTGGAGGAAAGAAGTCAAGAAACAACAAGTTGAACAGACTGAATTAAGAAACCAAGTGTAGCCGGCACTGCAATGCTCGAAAACTTACTGTAGCGTTTCAGACCTTGCAGACTAGTAACTTCTTTTGGGCATCAATTTAGGCATCCTAATCCCCTGGTTTAGAGCAGCTGTAGCGACAACTCTGGGAATGGCAGTTCGTCGTTATAGCTTCCGGGATCAGTCCAGATCTTCATGTGCTTACGGTGGGACCATTAAGAACGGTGTTTCCACCAATCAAGGCGCCCTCCTAGAGCAAGGCCTTATACTCAGGGCCCTACTTGGGATTTTAAGCATCTGGACGTGCTCTCGTAAAAGCATACCAGCACCCAAACCACGCCACCGCGGTTTCCATTTCCAACCCCGTGTTGCTTTGTATCCTATTTCCGCGCCAGAGCGGGACGCCCGACTCAACCCATCAGCCGAAGATATATTCGATGAGGAGTGTGACTCGCGTCTGATCCAGCGACTTGTATTCGGAACACCGAGCGGATGGTGTGGTCGGTCGGGAAAGGACGGTGCTTTGGAGTTATTCGCGGTGCGCGTTGCGGCCGGTCTTTGCGAAACAGGATGCGTTGGACCAAGATCGATCTCTCTTGATCTCGGGTCAGGCGTGAAATGAGCGACTGAGTATAGATCGCAAAGCTGTCGAGGAAACTGTGAAGGCCGGACGTGTGCTCTTGGCTCGACACGATACAACTTGGCTTCGCTTAGTAAAGGGCGCCTGCAAATAGAACCACTCCACGTGAACCAGGCCCTTGGAGAGAATCCGCGGAGATGTCATGAACGATGGATGGATAAATGATACACGAGTATATGTTCCGTGGCTTAGGTGTTAGGAGTAGGTATTTGCATTGCGACGCCAGAGAAATAACGTACGCATTAGCTGACTCGCTCAACCGTACCTACCTATGCGATCACGTACAGCGCAAGCATCTTGGCAACACAAGACCTAAGACTTGAGACCTTGAACCTTTCGAGCAGAAACTCGCGTTTAGGATACTAATTATCTACAGGCCAGCGTTGGATCCGCATCTGGGTAGCTGGGTAGAGAGACAGCCTAGTGTTGAACTCCCATAGCTCTCTCCTCAACAAGGAGCCGCAGCGTATCCCAAAGTAATTCCTTTCCCAGAGTCCGAACCGAAACGCCAGTCCCACGCTTGGAAACCATCTCCATACCAAACTACCAACTCTAAGGTCTCCTCTTCACAAACTCCTCGAGATCGCTGCTCGTCGCAACACCAAGAACGAACCTCCTGCTCGCATCCGTGACAACAGCGAAGTCCTGCTTCTGGCCGCCGCTCGCGCCGCCGTTGAAGAAGTCCTCCAGCTCCTCGAGCGGTGTGTCCATCGTGATAACCTTGTATGTCTTGCCCTTGCGCTTGAAGCGCAGCATTGCTTGTTCAACGCTGTCGCTTTCTTTGGCCTTGCCATCCTTGAGCAGTTCCCTGAGACGCGGTATGCTGAGGTAGCCAAGTAGCGCGCGGGTCTCGGGAGACGTGACGGTCAAGTGCGTATAGTCGCGCTCGAATGCGGACATGAGGGCATGCGAAATCGGGTCGGTTGGGCGGACAGAAAGAGCTGGCGGCGGGTCGAGGTCTTCAACAGTGGCCTGAGATTTAGGTCAGCAACATGGCTTTTGCCGTCCGATAGCTTCTCCTGTTGCGACGTTGACTATGGTGTTGGCAGAGCACATCATGCCCCGCGATGATCTGACATGGAGCTTACCCCGCGATACTTGTCGGCCCAAGCGGACTTGTCGGAAGGCGCCGAGGCGGCGTTGGATGCGTTTGCGGACATTGTGGCAGCTGCCATTGATTGGTATGATGCTGGGTATCTTGGTTGAGAAGCGAGCGAGCTTTGTGTCAAGCAGCCTGATAGTGACGTGGTGGGGTGAGGCTCCTAGGTTCATCACATGCAGGGTCCTGGAAAAAAAGAGGCTCAGGTATCAAATACGAGTCAAGACATCAATGTCACCGGGTCAAGGCCGAAAGATGTTTATGCGAAAAGTTAAAGTCCCTTTGCGGTATTATAGTACTACGAAATTTCACTGCAACCGACCAACACCATACCTCGAAGTGAAACTTGGCAAACCCTCGCGGTATTGCTAGGCTTGGCATAAGATGCTGTGGAGGTTCCTTCTCCAGCTAGCGATTTTGCGCATTCCGGACGGCATACTTGTATCAAATAGCACTTTGTTGATGTATTAGGGTGCCGCTGTGGCCCGCGAACTCACCCAAAGCTGAAGTTTGGTATGTCCATATTGGCTCAGAGTGGTAGTGCTATAAGGTCCTGTATATTTTTTGCGACATATTAGCGCCGTCCCGAGAAAAGTAATTTGAAGAATTCAAGATGCTATGCATTCTTTCAGAGAGAAGATTATTTTTTCGCCATGGCTTTAATGCCCGTAGAAGCCTCAAGGTCTCGTATACGACATGCAAGCATAATCGCGACGTTCCTCCCATGAAACAAACTACAAGCATCTTGGCAGTACGACTAAGGATGACGATACAAGGGTTTTCATCATGATATGCGTGGAGAGAGGAAGTAAACAGCGACGTACCTTCAACGCAGAAAACAGCATCGAAACGATGCCTTGGTCCCCCAGGAGGCACCTACCTCATGCGCTTATTCTAGTGCCTGGATCTTGTTGTGGTTCAGTCAACCAGTCTGCCATCCGTCAGAATACCGCATCCCAGTAAAATGCAGCATTGGCGGAGCTAGAAGATGAAGCCCATGATCTGGTCCGAATCTCAATAGTCCAGCTCCACAGCAACGTTCTTCTGTTCGTCTAGCTCGCGAGCAATCCTGCGATAGGTGATCCCTTCGTCTTCCTCGGGATTGCTTGGGTCTTCAGTATTGCGCTTCCGTTTCTTGTTTCTCCGCTTATTCTTGCTTTTCGCTTTGGGCGTGGGAGGGGGTGATCCCCCGAAGTTCGGTGTGTCCGAAGGTGTAGCAGATGGCGCACGAACATTGACGGGAGTAGCTTCACCAGTTCCGTTGAGTGGAACAGCTCCCGTACCCTCCTCTATCACATCGTCCTCAGCCTGTCGTCTTCTTTCCTTCAATGTGGCTTGGATCTCGCTGTGTCTGAACATAGCGATCTGCTCGTCTGTGAGCGTGCGCTTGACGCCGTCTGAGTAGTAACCAAGGCCGTCGTCTTCTTCATAGTATTCCCAGTCTTCCTCATAGGTGTACTCTTCGGCTTCATCTTGCACTGGCACAAAACTGGCTGGAGCTGGAGCAGTGGGGAAGTGTTTGCGCTGGAAGGCGCGCAAGTCCTCCTGCAAATGATATGAGTTTATCGCAAGCTGAAGATGGAGTAAAGAACTTACCTCTGTCACTGTTGGGACGTTCATACTGAGCAGCCGGTATGGGCACCGGGTATAGTGCTGCCTTTCAGACGTCCCTTGGTGTTTGTTGTGGAGATGAAGGTGGAGTGGCAGAGCCCAAAGCTCAAAAGCGCGTTTTGGCCCGAGCTTTGCGCAGGCAGGAGCGGCGCGCGATAAGATAGCGATGGCGTCGATGACGTGAACGGCAGGTGATGGGTCACTGGATCAATCCCACTCCATGCCCGTCCTCTCTCCCCGCCGTGTGACATGTCATTGTCAACGCCAGCATGAAGCGCGCAATACTCTTGGGTTCCGTTGTAACATTGTCCCTATTCCTCACTGCCGCCGCCAGAGCTGGCCCTCTCTGGCGCGAACGACTTGATCAAGCACCTGTATTAACCTCTCCGAATTTCGCCATGCCACCTACGCAAGACGCTTCAACAGGCGTCATCCTGTCCGATGTTATTGGCAAGGATAGGATCATCAACATATTCAGCGGTTTCACACGCGACATAGATACAGTCTCCGCACGCTTGGACGACGGATCAAAGAATGCGACCATCCTGGCACCTGAGAACAGCGCCATCCACAACCTCCCTAGGAAACCTTGGGAGGATCCGAAGGACTACGAGCAGTTAGGCGCAGATGCTTATGGAGGCTCTGATGGGCCGGACCGTGCTTCAAAAAACTTGGAGAAGTTTGTGAACGCACATATCATCCCCGAGAGTCCGTGGCATGAGGGCCACAAGATCAAGACGTTGGCGGGCAATGTTGTGTGGTATGAAGTGAAAGATGGCAAGAAAGTGGTGAGTTAAGCTACCCGCTTTTAGATTAAACTAGTTGCTGATCTTTCAAGATCCAACCTGGGGACATCGAAGTCTCCAGCGTCGCTGACAAAGTGGGCAATGGTGAGCTTTGGATCATCAAGGGCGTCTTGAACTACGCTTGATTCAGTATTCTATACCTAGCCATGACTTGGATTTGGCGTTAACGATGGTTTCTGAGATACCTTTACACAAACCATAGGCCCTAGAAATCAATTCCCTACTTGGGCGTGAAGGAGCGTTGCGTTCATGATGCATGTTTTGGTGTATGAACACAAGAGTGGGATGACCAGAGGCACTCCTTTGACGTAGCGGGATCTGACTCCGGGAACCCCACTTTTGGTGATCAGCCCCGCAGTACTTCGTACGTATACCTATATAATTTCCCTGTCAAATCACTGTCAAGTCACATATCTCACCTTAACTATCAAGATGACAGATGCTGAGGATCTCCTAATCTGCAAAACGTGCGCGACGCAATTTGACGCGCCAGCCTCGAACCCGCTGCCCAATTGCAGGATATGTGACGTAAGATCCATCTCATCCAACATGGCTTGTGATTATGGAACGCCTGCGGCGCTGACACTTGGTTCAGGACCCACGTCAGTATGTGCCTTCAAGCGGCCAGCAATGGTCGAGTTTAAGGGAGCTACGCGGCAAGTACGAAAACAAGTGGAAAGAAGACCCGGACTTGAAGGGTGTGTGGTCAATCTGGACTGAGCCAAAGGTACTGCATCACCTCAATAGCAACAACACAAACGAGATTTTCTGACCACAATATACAGTTCGGCATAGGCCAAAGAGCCTTCCTCATCGAAACACCAGAGGGTAACGTTCTCTGGGACCTCATCGCCTTCCTCGACCAGCCCACCATTGATTTCGTGAGTAGCACCCGCACAAGAAAGCCTCAACCCAGACTAACCAACCCCAAAGATCAACTCCAAAGGCGGCCTCAAAGCCATCGTAATCTCGCACCCCCACTACTACACCACACACCCAGAATGGGCCCGTACCTTCAACTGCCCTGTCTACATCTCCGCCGAGGATGAAGAATGGGTCAACCGCGCCGCCTCCGCCACTGCGCCTCGCCGCCTCATCACTGAGCCCACGCTCGACGTCGTTCCTGGTGTCACGGCCATCAAGACCGGTGGACACTTTCCTGGCAGCCTGGTCCTGCTCTGGAAGAAAGAGCTCTTCATCGCGGACTCGATCGTCACGGTGCCGGTGCGTGCGCTTCACATCTTCCCTTTCTTTTGCTATAAACTCGTTGGCTATTCTGCGCCTTGATGCTAATCTATTGCTTCAGTCTGGCCTTTACTTCAAGGACCGTCCTCCTGGCACCACGAGTTATACGTTCATGTGGTCCATTCCCAACATGATTCCGCTGCCGCCATCCGAGGTGATGAAGATGTGGAAGGCGATCGCGCCCTACGAGTTCGAAGCCACGCATGGCGCTTTCCTGGGCATGGATGTCCGCCGTCCGGATGCCAAAAAGGCGGTCTTGGAGAGTATGAAGATCCAGGTCAAGTTTGAAGGGCACGAGAACCACGCGATTCTGAACGAGACTTGCGCATGAAGCATGAATGGACGTGACGGCGGCGCAATGTGTTCACTTGGCAGGTCAGTATCATTAACGTCCGTCATCGTGAACCGAGGTTCACCGTATAGCGAGACAGGGACGATACAAGCAGTCTCTACAGAGTACTCCTTGCCTAGCTCCCAGCCTGAGTCCTGGGTATGGGTGAAAGGCTTTTAGAGCACGCACAGGCTCTACACACCTTAACGGGGTCTCTTCTTCTACTCCGTACATATATCACCATCTCGCTTCACGGTGAATCTCGTTTCACGGTGATGGACGTTAATGCAGTGCATCAGGAAATGTAGGCTGTATTAAGCAAAGCTTTGTTTATCTCCTGCCCTTGTTGCTGGTGTCCGGTACGTAATTATGACCTCAGCACCATTGAAACTAGGTACCTATGCCCGAGTACCTGAAGAAGAAAGCCAGCCCTCCATCCGACGTGCTTACAGAACCACCCAAGAGAAGACCCAGAATCGCTCGTAGCCGATCAGCGGAGAACCCATGGACCTCCACTACTTTCCAGAGTTGTAACGGGAGCCGCCCTGGCCGTTGTTGTAGTAGGTGCTGCCGTTGGGGTTGGAGTAGTAGTAGCTGCCATCTAACAAACAAACACACAATCAGTTTCCGAGCACGACATCAAGACGACAATACGCTGGACTTACCGCTGCTACCACTGCCGGAGCCCTTGGAAGACATGGTTGTTCGTGCTTGAAGGTTGGTTGTTGGTTGTTGTTTGCCTGGAAAGTCGGAGAAGTCGTTGTTGGGTGGAGGAAGGGAAAAGCCAGACGGCAGAAATTGCTGGCCTTATATAGGCGAGGGGTGGGTCTGGTCACGCTTGTCACTTTAACAGGGAGGATGCTTCCATATACGGAATTCCCTTTTGGGTGTGTTGTAGCAGGTAGACCGTGCACATCTTGGGGCCCGAGCAGCATTTTAATAGCACCAATGTGGTTAGGCAGATAGCAGAAATCGTACCGATTGGGAAGACTTACGTACAGTCAAGACGGTTAGCAACTTCCGACTGTTAAAGAGTTGTTCGTCGGCATATCCGCTAGCTTCCGGTGCCTTTCACACTTCTTTACTATTATGAGGAGGAAAGAAAGTAAATCAAGTTGTAAATATCTTTTTGACAGACGGAAGCTGTCTCTAGCTCAAAGTTGTAATCAGTTATGACTGTAACTGCTATCTTTGAAGATCATTGTCGTCAACAATGTCTTATCTCTTGTTTCAATAAAAAGTCGATCAAACCGTTTGCCCAGTATATTGCTTTTTGTTCGTCTGGATCCTAGTATTTTTTGTTTCACTGCAACAGGCGAGAGCACATGATTGTTCAGTATCCATAAACCATGAATCATTATGTCTTCTGACAGTTAAAATTTACAGTTCAGTCGTAATACCTTCACAGGATTCCAGCAATGCACCAACCAAACCTCCTATAGGATCAGTCGAAGACCACCAATGGAGAACATGAGCAGTCGCTACTCTGAAGAACAGCACCAGGAAGCGTCCAGACCATTGTCGCAGTAGAGCGGACAGCTACTGGAAGTAATGACCCCAACCATTTTTACCCCACTTGCTGTCATCCGGATTGAAATAGACGAGCCTGTCACCTACAAAGTGTGAAGGTCAGCACAGTACTTATACTGCAGTGACTGAAACGAATTTCCAATGAAAGCACATACCATCCTTGGAGTAGATAATGGCGCTTGGGCTTCTGCCAGAAGCACCATAGTCTCGATTGCCATAGTGGTTTCCCTTAGCAATGGCCGTATTAGAACAGACAATACAAGTTTTAATGTGAGGGAAAGGATGCACCTGTTCATTGACACCGCTTCCCGTTGTGACATAGTCACTACGGCTGTTGTTGGTGGCGACCTTTCCAACGCGGGCAGAACTGTTAGTGGAACTGGCGGGGTTGTTGGTGGTCCTGGTAAGGGCGCCTCTGGCAGAGCTGTTGACGGAGTTGTTGGCGGATCTGTTGGCGGAGCTGGTGGCGTTGGAGCTGCCAGGATAAACGACCAGTGCCCTCTCGCTATTCGCCCGAGTAGGAGGGCTACGGACGTTGTCGCTGGTGGTATTGGAGCCGGGATACACGACCATTGCCCTCGCTATTCGTCACAGTAGGAGGGTTGTGGACATTGTCATCAGTGGTGGCTGTGCCGTTGGTGTTGGATGGAGTGCTGGAACACATTATGGAAATCGTTTCGTTGTTCACAAGGATGTTCACGACGAAGGATGGACCGCCGCCATTGCCGGTGTCAGAGCCTCTGCTGTCGGCCATGTTGGTGGTGTCGATGATGGTGATGTTGTGGCAACGCCCTAGTTTATTTGGCAACATTTGGTTTTATTTTATAGACCTTGACAGCGAAAGGAAAGTGAGAGTAACGGGTTAGGCAGGAGCTCTGCATTTCGCTCTAAACGGAAGGTGAGAAACAAGCCGGTTGCCGCCAGCATAATCTAAAGGGGCCAAGTTGCAGCTACTTCATATAGCATGAGCCAGAGCAAGAAGGTTCGGTATGGCCGTGTAGCACCGAGGAATCCTTCCAAGCTCAGAATCAGAATGATATTTGGGTTTCAGCTCCCTAATCCATCACAGATATCCACCACCAGAGAACTTGCTTCCAAAGTCCGCTGCGCGATTGAGCATCTCCTTGCGCTTCGCATGTCCGATCTTCATGCCGCCACCGATATCCTTCTCCCTATCGAACGCGCGTTTGCTAGGATCGTCCTCGGCATCCTTGGGTACGCGCGCCTTATGCTGCTCGTACAGCGAACCACCGCGATGTTTCTCCTGCACACATAAAGTCAGCAAACTGCCTTACCCCCCAACAAATCCCACCCATGTCTCCCCACAAAAGAACTCACATCATGCTCCCTAATCCTCCTTCTCGTCTCCTCATCGTCCTTCTTCGGCCCCTTGCCCCCACCGCGCGCAGCAGCAGAACTACTGTTCCCCGGCGCCGCAATGCCCATGACTTCATTCTCCAGCCTCTTGCGCTTCTGCTCCGGCGTCTCCGTCCACGCCTGCCCAATGCCGCCCCCACCATGATTCGGTGCGCGCGAGCCCTTGCCCGTCTGGAAACCGCGCGCACGCAGTTTAGTCGGGTCCATGCGCGCCGCGAGGTCGTCCTGCTCCGGCGGCACCATCATCCAGTCGTCGCGCTGCAGCTTCTTCTCTTCGGCGGGCGGAGGGCTTCGTGGCCGGCGCGGCCCGTATGCGTCGTCACCGTCATCGCTGTCGTGTTTGGCGGCAATCTGCGCGGAGGACGGGTTAGCTTTCTCGCGTGGTTGTGCGCCCGTCCATGTGTTGTGCTACTCACTCTTGCTGCTTCTGCGGCCGTGGGCGGCGCGGGCCCGAAATCATCGTCGCTGCTGCTGTCACTGTCTGAGTCGTCGCCGGGCGCTGAATCAGGCCTCTCGTCTAGCGGTGCTGGGGGCATGGCAGGCCCTGCGACGCGCCGTCGCTTTTCTGCGCCTTCGGGACTCCGCGGGCGCCCATCGGCGTCATTGTTGCTGGGGGTAGCCGAAGCCGCTGCTTCTCTTTGTTGTTGTTCCTCCTCCTCCTCTTCCTCGCGCTTCCGTTTGGCGAGGTGTGGTGGGAGTGCTGGTCCTACTGAAGGCATGATCGAGTGGAAATGGCGGGAGTTTTGGTAGGTCGTGTTGATTCCTGACGTCGACAGCTGCAACAGGCGCATCCGTCGGCGCTTTCACATGCCGATCGCACACCGCCCTGGACTGACTGAGGTACTGCCAACCTCCATGTTACTACGACTACTACTTTGCTATGATACAACGGCCTCCTGTAGAAAGCGCCGAAATCCCCCCCGAAATCCCTGTCTTGGTATCATGCCATCGAACTCCCCATAGAAAAAGCATCGCTGAAAAATATCCACCCTTTCTGCTAGCAAGATTCCGTTCCACACTTATCCACCCGCGCAGAAGGGAAGTAAGACTCAGTGCAACAAGTTCCGTAGGTTAGGGCTCGCGCTTGCACCGCTAGCGCCGCTTGGCGGCATGACGCCGTCACGCGGTGTGGATGGCCGGTTATGCATTGGCCCGGGACTTCCGTGCGAGCCAGGTCCACCGTGCGTTGCACTGTAAAGCCCTGCGAATGGGCTTTCGGTTTGCCGCGGTGGTGGAATGTGACCGGGCGCCGGCGACCCCAATTGCGTGACGTGTGGAGAGTGCAGTCCGTTTGGAAGTCCCTGGATCATAGGAGATTGGGCGTGATGCAGCGACGTGGGCACTGTAGGCGGGGGATACGGCGAGCGGATTGGTGCACCTGGTTGACTTGGAGGAAGTACGCCCTGAGGGGGCCCAGAGTAGGCCGGATAGCCATTCGGGGCGTGAGAGTGGTGCGGCGGTACGCCGACTGGGTGGTATGGCTGATGGAGTGGCAACCCGTGAGGTGGAGGAGCAGGCGAATGGGAAACACCGTTGCTGCTCGGTGGTGCCTGATGGCTCATCCAAGGCGGAAGAGGCGCAGGAGGGTGAGCCGCTGGCGTCCCTGCCATCGGCAACCAGGGCGGCGGCGCGGGTGCAAACTGCCGGGGGGGCGACCGTACCGGAAGCTGAGGCGGCGGCGTTGGTTCTTTCTTTGGCGGTTTAAGAAGGTCCGGTCTGTGCTTCCTACGCCAATGGCATTTGTTGCAGAGGTAAGTTCCAGGTCGGGGGAGTGGAATACCATCTGGCGTTGAAGCTTTGCTGGTCGGACCAGCTCCATCAACGACGTTTGTGGGCGTGTCAACATTCATGATTCCATTGGGGAATCTCGGCCCAGCGTCCTGTTGAGCTGGAGGTGCCGGAGACACCCCTTCGACTGTATTGACTGGCTGGTCCGGACTAGTGCCGGGCATTTGGCTCTCCTCAGCCTTCCACCACTTTGGAGAGACGCCAATTTCGCAAATTTCACAGTTTCGATCCACGCGCTCAGCAGGCACGTCCTTCAAAGACCTGGTGTCTTGCTCTTCAGCCTTGGTTGGCAGACCAGCTGATGAGTTCCTCGCTGTCCTAATGCCGGTACTCTGAGCAGTCGATGTCCTTCTGTTGACTGGTGTCGGAACCTCCTTCACTGGAGCGGGAATACTCTTCGTGAACTGATCTAGCAGGTTGGCTTTACGGGCTGTGCCTGTCAAAGTTGGGTCCGCGCGTTTGTAGTTTTGCACGTAAAGCTGTAGCGCCGTGGTACCTGCACCGTCTACAACCTCGTTGAGAGGATGGACAATGGTCTTTGGAGTGTGGTCCTTGCACCAAACCGCAGCCGTCAGGGAGCCAGTCTCGGGTCCAAGAACGAAGGTGGGTACAGCATCGCGCCTGGAGCTCTTGACAGGCGTAACGTCGAATCCGAAATTGTAGCCTGCATTGTGAGCGCAGCCGATGTGGAAGACGGCATGACACTGGTGGCATGAAACGCAAGCGCCATTGGTAGTCTTGCAGATCTTGCACACCTGATCATACCTAATCGTAGGTGATCCAACACCCTCGACTTCCTCGTATTTCGCTGGATCGGTAAATTTTAGTTCAGGGGTCCATACTGCGCAGTGAAGATGGACCCAGTTGTTTTCTGAAGTCTTTTTCAATGGTTCCCGAGGCAGTTCTGGACGTCCTCGGTCGCGCTGTGCCTGCTGGTAGTCTTTGAGCTTCTGTACCCGTAGCTCTTTCTCCAGGCGTTCCTTTTCGCGTTCCCTGTCCGTCTTCTTCTTGTGGGAGACCTTTGGCGGTTCGATAAGCTCTTGTTCTGTCTCCTTAATCGGACAGAGCACGCATTCATAAGTCTATAATGATAAGTTAGTAAGAATTACCATACCAAACGGAGAGCATGGTGACTTACGAATGAGACCGTCTCCTTCTTGTCGTTCTTGCACTGATCACAGACCCACTTCCCAGAACGAGATTCTATTACACCGTAGCATTGGCGATGGACAGTCAACCTGCACTCCTTGCATACCAAGCGCTGTTCGCCAAGAGGTTCCATCTGGAGGCACACGGCACACGGAAGCTCCCGCATCTTTGGCATGACCGGCTGGGGAGGTGGCGTCGGTACTTTAGGCGGAGGCACAGCCTTTTCTCTCTGCTTCTTGGATGCAGGTTCAGCAGATGACTGTTGTGCGGAGTCCTTCTCCAATATTGAAAAGCCCTTCTGTTTCTTCCGTGGCGGTTCGGCAGTGCCGTGAGGGATTTCGGAATTGGTCTCGATGCTCGGTATCGTGTCTGTAGGCGCATTCTGAGCGGCGTTGATTTCGTCCATAAGCTCCTGGTCGATCATGCGACGCCATTTCTTCCCTCCGCCAGCGGAAACCTTCTTGATGAGCTCCTCTGCCTCTTCGTACTTAATGGCATATTTTCTCCAAAGACGGGCGCACCGCTGGCAGAGACCAGGGACGAGAGCTGTGCCTTTTTCTTTGCTTCTGCCGTCTGCGAGCACGGTCTGGCCGGGAGCGACGCCGGGAGCGCGGCGCCACTGCCGAGAATGCCTCGTTGAGCAAAACTTGCAGACGAATTGTTTTTTGCGCATGGCCGCTTTTCCCGCGTCGAACGCACTGTCGTCCTGGTCATCCGCGATATCGTCGACGAGCTTTGACGCCGAATCCACAATCTTAGCGCTCTTGCCCTTTCGGCCGTCGTAGCTACCCCAGATTTGCTTTCCCTTGTCCGTCTTCTTCCACATGTAGTAGTATCGGACAACATCGGCATGAGACATGGTCCTTACGTGCAAGCGAACGTTGCGTAGCTCGGAGCCGTACTTGGCGACGCCCTCTTCGAATCGCTTTTTCTCCTCCTTGTTGGGCTCAGGTTCCCTCAAGTCCTTCCGGCGGTGGATTTTCTTTAGCTGGTCGAGAGCGGCATCGGCATCGTAGTTGTTCGCATAGAACAGCTCAATAGCTTTCGTGAGGAAATTTGTGCTGTACTTTTCGACTCCGATGACCGCCGCAGCCTCGTTCTTGGCTCTTTCCATGTAATCGTCCACTAATTTTTCACGATCCACCGGCGCATCATCCTCTCCCCTCATGTTTTCCGGGGGCATTTTGAAGAGAGACCTTGCCGTACAGTTCGGGTCGCCATTGGGGTGATCCTCGCCGCGCCGAACGTAGCCTACTGGTTCATCTTGTACCCATTTAGGCCGTTTCGCCTTCTCTTGCCGATCGGCCTCGAGCGCAGCAACCGTTTCTCTCGACAACTTCGCGTCTTTCTTGTGGCTTGCACTCTTGACGTATCGCCTTTTGATCTCTGCGGGTTTTACCAACTCAACAGGTCGTCCGTGCCACACATTGACGTTCGCTTGGTGCCTGGGTCCTAGGCGAGAGCTGGCACGTGGGTAAATCGCTCGATCGTCATACTGCAAAGCATCTTCAACGCGACAGTGGATGCCAAGGTATCGCATAGGCCACATCTTCGCCAGTGCAATTTCTGCTTGAGTTGCAGGATGGTCGTCGACGGGCGCATCGGAGCCACTGGGGCTTGGGGCGGTCGTGTTAATCAGAGCGCCTGCATCCTCCTCCTCTTCTTCGAGAATGTCTTCCTCTTCCTGTGAAGCGGCAGCTTCACCGATGATAGGAGTTCGCCGGGCCTCCAATTTTCTCTCTTGCGCCCTACCACAAGGCCCGCAAGCCCATGCGAAGCCTCGTGATGGCTTCTTCAGAAGCGGGGGCCGTACACAGTTCATGTGATATGTGTTGTGGCACACGGCACACTCAACAGAATCGTTCCTAGAGCAATGTAAGTAGATAATTGGGGTGAATCAGATAAACACTTACGCTGCGCAATAACCGACGCATCGCTTGCAAGTTTTAACGGCACTGGTCAGTTCCTTGACACGACTGGTTTCTACCACAACAAACTTCCATCTCTCGTCTAATGCTCTTTTGACCTTTTCCGGAACGTTGATGACTTGAGATACTGGGATGACCTCGTACCAGCGATGGATGAACCGATCAAAGACTTGATTGAACCAGAAGCAATCCTTGGTCCTCCGGAATTCGTCAAGGTCGGCGACTTCGCTGCGGTGCCGAATATCGCATTTTCCACGCAAAGAGGTAAGTGGACAAATGTCCGAATGCATCGTTCCGTAGACCAGACGCGTGTCGTTGTTGTAGCGCAGCACATCTCGAGGCCGGTAGTACCAATTGACACGGATGGAATCAACTGGCGAGTTCGGATTATCGCTGTTGACGTGGAGGAATTCCATGATGCGACATAGATAATACGGCTCACCGGGAGGTTCACAGACCAGGTACACATGATCTGACCAGGGTTAGAATCACAAGACTGGGGATATTTTCGAATCGTTCACGTGCACCGCAGTGCACAGCAATTGACTCAAGGGGAAGTCGGTGTCACTCACCATCCACCGAGAGAGCCGTCCCGTCATCGGCAACCAATTTTCCGTCCTTGGTAAGAATTGAACCACTTTGCTCGAAAAACATCATGTTTGATTCCCGATCCACATGGGACGACATGGAGGTATTATTCCGCCTCGTAGCCGCAGCGGGCGTCGCAACTGCGGTTGCGACGTGGTCCTTGGTGGCATGAGCGCCACCGGCTTTCCTTTTCTTCCCCTGAGTGGCGGAGGTGTTCGCATTGGGGTTTGCAGAAAATGTAGAAGTGCCAGGAATTGAGGAATCTCTGCTCACAGCGCTCGAGGCCGTTGTGCCATTCGTGCCAGCGACAGGCTTTTTGGTGGTCGGGGCGGGAGATTGGCCGTCGAGGCCACCGGCTGGGCTGCGCGTGGTCCGCTCAGACGGCGAGCTATTGTTGCCGTTGGCGGCGGGCGCCTCGAAGTCCATTTCCACGTCTTCCGCATAGTTTGGCCGGGTGGTGCCCGGCCGGTTGCGCGAACGCGTGCCATAACCGCTGGCGGCAGGCGGCGCATCGTCCTTGGCCGACGCGTGCGACGAAGTCGACGTCGAAGCGGCCATGGGTTGCGAGATCGCTGGGGGTAGCGGCGTGGACGATGTGGCTGCCTGAGGCGGCTGCGCGTTGCGCTCCCCGGACAGGTGCGAGGTGGAGGAATGGGATGCGCTCCGCTGCTGAGACTCGAGGCCGGGAGTATTCCCGTTAGTAGTGGGGGCAAGGCCTTGCATGCTATCCGCGTGCAGCGCGCCTGGTTGCGCAGCGTTTCCGCTGCTCGCACTGCCAGGGTCGGCGTGGTTCACCGCGCGAAAGGACGAACCACCGCCCCCCTCATGATCCCCATGAACCATGAAGAAATGCGCCAAGGGTCACGGCGAAAAGCAGTCAGCTGCGGCGGCCGCGTCCTCGATGGAGCGGCCTGATGGGAGCCGGAGCGGAGAGGTGCCTTTGTGGCGGTATATCAGGGTAGCATCTGCTCTGGAGCGGCTCACCCAAAAAGACCAGGCCCGCGGCCGCAAAACGCGACTACCTCGGGGCAACGCGCGTGGAGAGGATTATGCGGGCAGAGGAGCGGGCGTTGTCTCAGTCGGACCGGCAGGCCAGAGATTGGTTGGGGCGCGAGGGACGTGACTGTCGAGTCCCGGACTGGGGGGAGGGCGAGGGTGGTGGAAGAAAGAATGGGTGGAAGGCCCAGGTGCCGGTGATGATGGGCGGGCACTGATGCTCGCACTTACGAAAGACAGGGCACTAGCCCATGTGCATAGCCGAGACCCTCACAAGCTTCCTCCAACACCAGCGCATCACTTGATCATTCACTCCCACCGCAGACAACGGGGCATCCTCACCACAACGTGCAGCGCCCCGGACGTGCAAGCCGCATGCCGGTGCCCTCGTACCCGCTGTCTGGACGCGCCAGACCGCCGACGCCGGCCGGAGTCAGGAGAAGTGCTGATGGTGCTCCGGGGATCCTCCAATAAGACGCCATCTCGTCTCCCTGCGCCGTTGCATTGGCCTCAGCACGCCTGACGGCGGCCAGGAGACCGTGTGCAAGGCTCCTCGCTCTGTCCAGAGCCCCGCGGCGCCCATATGCGTGCATCCGTCGCTCCTTGCAAGATTGAACGTGCTGCTACGGGCAAGTCATCAATGTCGCATTCTTCATGCAGCCGGCCATTTCGGAGGCCGGCCGTGGGCGCGCCTCGGACTGCGTTTCTCAGCTCAGAGACATCAGCGGCGTGGCTATGATGATTGAGCCTTACTTGTATGCCACGTATCGCAAGCGGGAGGCCGGCCCCTGGTGCTCAGCAGCCGTGGCCGGGGACGAGAGCGGTATGGGGAGACCTGATACAGAGGGCACCCCTACCGTCCCCGTGCATTTTGGCCCAAGATTGCCGCCACATGGGGAGAATCTTCCAACAAGCAGCGCCTTCGCCTCTGCTGAGGTCCATAAAGCGCCTTGCCTATCTGGGCCTAGTGCGGCCAAGGCGCGTCCGAAAACCGACTTCCAGCGAAGACGATCCTTGGGACCTGCTCCAGCATCGCACCTGGAGAGGCGATGCGGCGCGCTCCGGTCGCTGCCAACACGCTGGACATGGTATATTTAGCTTTGTTGCTGTCGCGTGAGACTCAAGTACAAACTCCGCTGCACGCCTTTCGCTTGTGTCATCTCCGCCGCCGTGCCCCTTCCTACGTACGCCTCTGCCGCCCGCGCCGAGGCGAGGAGTGCTTGACGACACTGAGCCGTGGCTGGGCATTCAGTTGTGAAGATTGTCATCAAACTCAACGTAAGGATGCGTTTCATCCGCCCTGCCCTCGGCGCTATCCTCAGCGATCGACATCCCGCTCAGACAACGACTGCGAATCGAACAAAAAGCCAATGGGACCAGTAGAGCTGCCAGCCTCAGAATCCATCGGCGCCTTTTTGTCGAGGGGCATTACTAACGCCAACGAGGCGTTCTTCGCGATGCTGCAAGGTCAGCAGCGACCCGAACGGTTGGCCGCGCGCGTTTTCAGTGCCTGGCTGTAACGGCGCGTGTCCTCACCGTCCCGTTCGCAAACCCCCGTTTTGTCAGCTCACCATGCCCTTCCGGCTTGGTCCCCCGGTAGTTGGGGCCTTGAGTCTTTCCTTTCTGCACGCGTTTTGGGTGCGGGCTCTCAGCTTTTGATGTTGTGCCCTGCTGGCACGTGCTTTGTGGCGTCGCAGCCACCTTCCATCTCGATCCCTTGCAGCGTTGGCGGGGTCGCCCGTCCAGATCATGCAGGCCTCGGGTCACTTGTACGCACGACAAGGGCCGTATTTGGTAGGTACAAACTTCGTGCAAATTTGTCAAAAAGGCCGTAATTGCACAATTAATCGAATTGGAATATCCAGGGATAGGCCGACGTCCATCAATTGGGCCGGATGAGCTATCGCGCCCCGCCTAGCCCGAATCCAAGAGGCGTCGCAGTCGGTTCCGCATCGACCAGGATGTTGCTTATATAACAGAGTCAATAAGTACCGGCGTTGCCTGTGCCATTGAAAACCATCACAATGGAACTATCGGAACGTCTGCCTTGTGATCGAATTGATCCTTGTGGCTTCTATCGTCGACCAACTTTTCTGCCTTGAATATCTCCACTACCTCGATCACAACTGCCAAAAGTGCGCCGAAGCTTTTTCAGAGCTGGCGGGAATACGAAATTTGTGGGAACTGCAGTATGCTGCAACCAGGGCCAGGCAAGCTTTGGAGTCCCCACAAACATGAGCCTGCGTTGGGTACCGCCCGTGAGAATAGACGATCCTGCTGGACCCGGCGGAAGCATCAAGTCTCTGTATTGCGATCCTTCCAATGCGACTAGCGCTCTGGCTGTTGTTCTATTTCCGTAGTAGCAGTAGGATCCTGAAATGTCGAGTATCAATAATTTGCGCCGCAGACCTTTATTATAGCCATAGATCAGCCTTAACGCACGACAGTCTGTTGAATTGGATCCGCGAGACAGGTTACACCATTATATTTCTTTACCATACTCCTGCATCCGAAGCTCGCTGCTCATAGTAGTTTCAGGGTACTTACGCCGTCGTAGAATACTACACCAAGAAAAGGTAAGATGTTTGGTCTGCGGGCGGAGCATGTTATCTACGCTGGGGACAACGCTGAAGGTGCAGTGACCTAACCTATAATCCTCGACCGAAGCTGATCTCAATTTCAGGTCACATGGCCATTACCATATTCATTCTTGCTACTGAGTCTTGTCCGCTAGGTTCACTCAGCAGGTGTCTGCGAGCATACTTTTAACCAAATAGCCACAGCACTCCAACTTTTCACAAGCTCTTTCCTAGACACTGACACTCACAGTAGGAGTTACACCTATGATGAGACTCTCCGGAATAGCCCATATCATTCCATGCCATCATGCCAATAGAGGAAAGACACTTTCTTACGAACAGGTCTTGTTAAATGAGGACTTTCGCCTCACCGCTCTCAATGAACAAAAAACAAGAAGCTATGCAATCACCGGCGTTCGTCATCACTGACGCTACTGATCCGCTCCTGACAGAGTAAAGAGTTTGGCCAACTTGGTTCAGTAGGCAGGCGACGATATGGAAGTGTTTGAAGACGGGTAAGTAGATAGTACATGCTTTTCTGGTGCTGAGAAGCAATGCGCAGAGTATTAAGTTGGCGGGATTGAAGCTGACGAAGACCTTGGGTTGCGGATGTAACCGGGTCAGAAGCAGTGAGATCAAGCAAACCTTTTGCTGCGCAACAAGGTGGCTGTACCGGATAACGTGCCGACTTACGTGTCGCTTGGTACGTCTCGTGAGGATGTGTCGACTTGTCGAGACTCGATGATGAGCAGCGAGTGGGTACGCGCGCCGTCATGTCGCAGGTTTTGCGCCAGGGCCGCACAGTGACGACGATTTGCAGCGGGCGGGCAGCCGGCCGGAAGCTGCGGCCGCCAACCGACCCTGCCAAGCCGACAGCCCTAGGACCCCGCGCTTTCCGATGTCATACCTTCTCTCCGCGCTCCACCATGCCTCTCGCTCCTCCATACCGGCCATGATCAGCCTGCCGCCGAAAGAAGTTCTCGACGATATTGCTGCCCGCCAGGATGCGAAGCTCAAAGAGCGACGCGCCCGCAAAACCAGCGCTCAAGTCGGCGAGGAAGAAGCCGCCGCCGAAATGATTCAACGCAATTACAGAGGTTACCGCGAGCGCAGACAGCTTGCTGGGATGGGGTTGGATGCATCAACACGCTGGGTGGAGGTATGCACGATATGATCTCTTACTTCACCAGCGCCCTCTCTCTCTCTATCTCTCAGCCTCTCTACTTCGACGTCTCCCTAGCTCTGGCGCTAACAGCTGATGATCGGCGCACAGGCGATCAAAGAGGGTCAGTCCTCGCGGCCCATCTAACGTGCCTTGCTAAATGGCCTCCAGCACGCTTCAGAAAAGCGACAGCGCCGCTCTCTCGCAACGATGTTACCCCCGTCATTCGCTCCCTCAGTCCGGGCGCCCGTGCGCGCAGCTCCTCCTCAGCCGCGAAACAAAACTGGCGCCGTCTGGGCGAGATAGCGCGTCGTGCTGGTGGAGACGATGGAAGTATTGCGTCTTCTGACCATGAAGATCTGACTCCGGAACAACGCGAGGAACGGCGTGCAGAAAAGGCTAGGGCGAAGCGAGAAAGGGAGAAGACGGCCAAGATGATGGACTTGCAGTATTTTCTCGAAATGGTTGACCACAAGCACCGATACGGCTCGAACTTACGCGCTTACCACAATGAATGGAAAAAGGCAGAGACGCATGAAAATTTCTTCTACTGGTTGGATTATGGCGAGGGTAGGAACATCGAGGTTCCAACATGCACGAGGGAGAGGTTAGAGAAAGAGCAGGTCCGATATCTTAGTCGGGAAGAGCGAATGAATTATTTGGTCAAAATCGATGAGGAGGGAAGGCTATGTTGGGCCAAGAATGGAGAGCGAATAAGCACTACCGTCGAATTCAAGGACAGTATGTATGGTATTGTACCGACCACCGACGGCACGCCTGCGTTCAGGGATGTCCAGGGCAAGTTGCACCAGAGAAAATCCAGGTCAGGCAGTAGTAGTAGCAGCTCCAGCAGCAACAGCTCATCCAGCTTCAGTTCGATGTTCTCTACATCGTCGAATCCGGAAGCTGAGCACTACGTTAACCATGATTTGGAGCAAGCTAGAGGCGTCAAGAAAATCAGACACGTCTCTGCCGCGGCCGTTCTCAACCACCTGCTCCGTCGCTCCGTCAGGCCCAACAGTTGGATATTCGTAAGCCCCTTGCCCCTCAACGTCTTCTAGAGCCAGTTTAACCCGCCCGCCATAAAGGTCGCCGACACGTCGTTCCGCCTCTATGTTGGCATCAAGCAGTCCGGCGCCTTTCAACACAGCTCTTTCTTGAATGGCGCGCGCATTTCAGCAGCCGGGTTGATCAAGATCAAAGACGGGCAATTGCGACGTCTCTCGCCGCTGTCAGGACACTACCGGCCGCCAACGGCCAACTTCCGAGCGTTTGTACATTCTCTGCGCGACTCGGGCGTTGATATGAGCCGGGTCAGCATCTCACGGTCATACGCGGTGCTGGTGGGCCTAGAGGCGTACGTCAAGACGCGCAAGAAGCTGAAGCACGGGGTGGAGCGCGTGGGGCACGAGAAGGACAAGGCGCTGCACCCAGAGGAGGTGCGACGGCGCGAGGAGCGCGAGCGTGATATGAGCAAGAGCGCGCAAAGGGAGCGGCAGATCCTGGCTAGCCAGGAGCGCCGCGAACAGGAGACGCGTCGGCAGAGCAGCTGGCGCGCACGGGCGATGCGGCGGCTGCGATGGGGCAGTCTGAGTGAATTGAAAGGGTGGCGTGGAGGAAAAGGCAGCGGCAGCGGCGGCTACGGAGGTCAGGACGTCGAGAGCGGGATTCCGCCTGAGGGCAGGAGATAGTCGAGTTGGTGGCGATGATGGACGGGCATGATTTTGCATTTTCCTTTCCTTTTTAGATATCCACGGAGTCTAGGCCCCTCTTGCGCAAAAACGCGCGTGTCACTAATGACCGCAGCGGCACCACCAACTGCTGCATTCACCCACCTATCCATCCGCACATCCATTCCAGTCAGAGAAAGCATAAATGCACAACTACGTGAGCGATGACACGCAGCACATCCACCCATCTCGATGAGTGCACCAGAATAGTCGACGCGCAGCCAACAATTCCATGATCTAGACTAGTCTAATGTTTGTCACCGTGAAGCGAGATGTATCGTGAAGTGAGATGGTGATAAAGATACCTAGTTAAGATATATTGAGTCTATGTGTGCTCTAAGACCTTTTCACCCATACCTAGGACTCGGGCTGGGAGCTAGGCAAGGAGTATATCATGCCCTGTCTCGCTAGACGGCGGATCTCGGTTCGCGGTGACGGACGTTACATACCTACAGTGCATACACGTAAAAGTTTGGCTCCTTGCGTCGGGGAACAGCACTACTTTCCCGCGCGATGCGCGCTGCTCGCTGCTGCTGCGCCTCGGCCCTATGCCCGGCGCGGTGCAACGCGTAGCCATCATATCATATGCCGTTGTTGTACAACACATTGGAACTGCCTGACTGCTTCCATGTCGGCGTCGTCGACCTATGACGCCATAGGACGCGCGCGCGGAGCGGACGCGCCGTGGCGCTGAGCGCGGGGCGGGATGGATGACTAAGTGCACACAGCAGCAGCAGCAGCAGCAGCAGCAGCAGCAGCAGCGGGCAGCAAGCAGTAGGTAGTGTCGCGTGGCAGCAGCGCGAGAAGAAGGAGGCTCTTAACAGGGCGCGCAGACAAGCGTGCATCGGGCAGTCGGGCGGGCTCATGGTCGGTCGTTAGCACGCCGTTTCTCGTCAATCTGTCGATGGCGTCACAGCCGGTGCGGACCAACCAACGGCGCAGCTAACCAAGTCCAACGGCGTGCCCCGGCCCCCGGCAATCTTGTTCGCCAAAACGTCCATCGTCCCAAAAGCAAGATGGAAGGACTAACTACCGACGTGCGACGACGCAACCGCACGCGCACCATGTTCCTTCCACCTCCGCTTCGAGAATCCTGCTTCCCACCCCGGTCGCTCGCTTGCGGCGTCGTCGCCCGGCCGCCTTCTCCTCTTCGAGTAAGCTGCTGAGAAGGTCAAACCGCGGCGCTCCCTCGTTACGGGCCTACGTAAGTTGCTTGTACAAGGTCAAGGTACGTACCTACCTGCCAGCCTGGCCTCATCTCGCCTCGCCTCTCGCTGTCGCCAAGGCAGGCAGGCAGGCAAGCAGCCAGCTGTGTGGCTAGGCTGCCGCAACCATGCCAACTTTCCCATTTTTTTCAATTTTTTTTTTTTTTCCATTCCATCTCGTTAACTCTGTCGCAAAAGGCAAAAAAAGGAAGTAGGACAAAAAGAAAAAAAGTCCTTGCCAACTTACCCGTGACACAGGCCGCAAGCCGCAAGCCGCAAACCGCAAGCAAGCAAGAGCAAGCAACTCCATCCGGCTCAACCTGCCCCCGCAGCAGGCATCTGTCTCTAGCCTCAGATCCTGCCAAGTCTCGTTCCCCCAAACAGCGAGCACCAATTGGCCCCGCCGTCCCGCCGCCCCAGCCACAGCAGCTCCGAGCTTCCCTCCCCCATCCATCATCCATGCATGCCATCACAAGCATCGCATCATCCCATCTGGGGGAACCCGGTCCGCCGTGACACAAGAGCTTGCCGCGCCGGCCGGGGCCTCCCCCACAGAAAAAAAAGCCCGCCTTTGCGCCCGCACCGCCGCATTTTGCCTCCGCCAATCGCCCGCTGCTGCAACCTGTGACGCAACGGGGCTGGCTGCTGGGCTTGCATCTACGAGTAGTCCGTCACCGTCGTCGTTGTCGTCCGCTACGGGCGTAGCTAAATTAAAAAAGCTCGTAAGACTAAAAAGGGATTTGAAATATGCTGCTGAAAAAGAAGGAAAGCGAGGGAGAGAAGGATTCAGCTAACCAACCGTAGTGATGAAGGTTGATGAGAGCTGCGCCCCAGACCCGGCATGACATGATGAACGCCACAGCAACAGCGCTGGTGGTGACGGGCGGCATGCTCCAAAAACAAGTTTGGCTTACCCTCCGGCCTCTGCCCTACACACCTGATCCTGATGAGGCTGCCGCGCGCCGCCTGCAATTGGATACCTACGACGCGCCCTCATCGCTACGTCATCGCCTGTCCGGTTTCTGTGGTGGCTTGCTTTTTTTCCCCTCCCACCATTGCAGCGAATCCCATATATTCGTTTCGCTTGCCCAGCCTGAAGCCTAATTCTCACTTACCTCTTCACTTTTTTTTCCTACCCTCTCCCACAACATCACTTACCTATTTTCACGATACCCCACCACCAACCGTGCATGACGTTTTATGCCCCCTAAGTCTCCCACGAATTACGCCTATTACTCGTTTCCCACACCGAGTCGAAAGTCTTCCAATTCGTCTCAGCACAGTAATATCACCAACCCTACAATGCCGTCTCCCGCTGCCGGCAAGAATCAAGACACTCCTCGCACTCCCACCAAGCTCGGACGCAAGCCCCAGTCGCAGCGCACCCCCAAGCTCGGCGAGCAAGCCAAGGACCAGCAGCAGCAACAACAGCAGAAGCCCGAAGCCCCCGAGATGCAGAAGCCCGAGACTGACACGCCGGACCTCCCACCCCGGCCGTCCGTCGAGGGCGAGAGCGGCGAGGATGTAAAGGGCAAGGCCGAGGACACGGCCAAGAAGGCAAAGGACGCGCCCCAGCAAGCTAGCGAGACCGCTAGTGAGACGGGCGACGAGGCCACGGGCAAGGTGTCCGAGGCCACCGGCGAGCTGAAGGAGCAGGAGCCCAAGCCGCTCAGCAGCGGCGAGGAGGACAACGACACCGACCAGCCGCCGAAGAAGGAGGCTGAAGACGACGATGATGATGACACCGCGACGGAGAAGGCGGGCGACCTTGGCGAGGAGGCCGAGGACACGGCCGAATCTGCGCAGCCCACTCCCGTCGAGTCTGAGGAGCCCGCGCAGGCGGCCCAGACCGCCGGCAGGCGAGGCAAGAAGTCCGGCGGCAACGTCCTTAACGGCGCCAAGAACCTGGCTGGCCGCGCCTCGAGCTTGGCCGGTCAGGGCGGTCAGGGCCCCAGGAAGGCCGCTCAGGGTACTCCCGCTGAGGCGGCCCAGGGCGCTGCTGACGATGCCCAGGGCGCGACTGAAGACACGGTCACAGGCGCTGAGGACACCGCCGAGGGCGTCAAGGACACTGCGGAGGATACCGCCGAAGGTGCCGAAGACACCGCTGAAGGAGCTGCCGAAGGCGCTCAGGACACTGCTGAAGGCGCCAAGGACATCGCTCAGGACACCACTGAAGGCGCTCAAGACACTGCTGAAGGCGCCAAGGACACCGCTCAGGACACCACTGAAGGTGCCCAGGATACCGCTGAAGGTGCCAAGGACACCGCTGAGGGTGCGACTGGCGCCGTCGACGAGGCCAAAGACACTGCCGAAGGTGCTGCTGACCAAGCCAAGGGTGCCGCTGAAGACACCACTGGCCAGGAGCTCCCTGACACCCCTGACCTCTCCATCCTCAAGGGCCTCGAGGTCCAAGAGGACGGCAGCATCCTCGACAACGAGGGCAACCAGATCGGTCGCCTCGTCGAGGGTGACGCCGAAGACCTCCAGGGTTACTCCATCGGCGAGGACGGCGAGATCCTCGACGACGATGGTGACCTCGTCGGCCGCTGCGAGGTTCTGCCCGAGAAGGTCGACGCCATGAAGAAGCAGGCCGAGGACAAGGCGAAGCAGGGCGAGCCCAAGCTGCCTGGCCTCGACATCCTCAACGGTCTGACCGTCAACCAGGCAGGCGAGATCTTCAACGAGGATGGCGATGTTGTCGGCCGCGTTACCGACGGTGATGTCTCCGAGCTCAAGGGCCGCAGCGTCAACGAGAAGGGTGAGATCCTCGATGATGATGGCAATGTTATTGGCCACGCCGAGATCCACCCCGACGCCGCCGACCTCATTGACCAGGACGAGGACGAGACTCCCGACGGCGTCGACGAGGCCACCGAAGCCGCCAAGGACAAGGCTCAGAGCGCCGCCAGCAAGGCCGAGAGCAAGGCTGGTGAGGCTGGTGAGGCTGGCGACAAGGCGGCCGAGGCCGCTGAGGGCGCCCCCACGGATGCCACTGGCGAGGCCGTCGAGGGTGCCAAGTCCCAGACCGAGGGTGCGAAGTCGCGCGCCGAGGACGAGATCCCTGACCTCCCTGGCGTCTCGGCGCTTGAGGGCAGGGAAATCAACTCCGAGGGCGAGATCGTCGATGACGAAGGCAACGTCCTCGGCCAGGTCGCCGACGGCGTCGATGTTAGCAAGGTCAAGGGCCTCACCGTCAACGAGGCGGGTGAGGTCGTCGACGAGGATGGCAACGTGCTCGGCAAGGTTGAACTTGCCGAGGGCGCTGCTGAGAAGCTCCAGGAGGAGCTTGGCCCCATGTCGCTCGACCTGAGGATCCTTGAAGGCCTCAAGGTCAACAAGAAGGGCAAGGTCCTCAACGAGGAAGGCGAGGAGATTGGCCAGCTCACCGAAGGCGAGCTCAAGTACGCCGCTGGCAAGACCATCAACGACAAGGGCGAGGTGGTCGACAAGGACGGCAAGGTCGTCGGCAAGGTCGAGGTCGTACCTGGCGAGGCCGCCAACGAGGCCATGAATGAACTGCGCGAGCGCCTCGGCGAGGTCGAGGAGGACACCGGTCCCAAGCAGATCATCCCCAACCTTGACATCATGGACGGCCTCAAGGTCAACAAGAAGGGTCAGGTCTTGAACGAGGATGGTGACCCCATCGGCGAACTCATGCAGGGCGAGCTTTCCGACTGTGCCGGCAAGAAGATTAACGACCAGGGCGAAGTCCTTGACAAGGACGGCAACATCATTGGAAGAGTCCGCGCTCTGCCTCAAGAGATGACGCCTTCGGAGGCCGAGGAGGCCATCGAAGGTGGCGCCGAGGAGTACAAGGACGAAGCCGAGGATGCTCAGGAGGCCGCTGAAGATGCCCAGGAGGGCGCCGAAACCGCTCAGGAGAACGCCGAGCAGGCCGCCGAGGATGCTGAGCAGGCCGGCCCCGAGCTGCCTCCTCTCTCCACCCTTGATGGCCTCACGGTCAACAAGGCCGGCAAGCTCGTCAACGACGACGGTGTCATTGTCGGTGAGCTGACCGAGGGTGACGCCAAGAAGCTTTCCAAGATGGGCGTCACTGCCGATGACCAAGGCCAGTTCTGGGACAACAAGGGCAACGTCATCGGTCGTGCCCAAACCGTCCCCATCGATGACGGCAACGAGGAAGGCGCTTTCGCCGGCCTCGAGGGCCTTATCGTCGTCAAGGACGGTTATGTCGAGGATGAGAACGGCAACAAGGTCGGTATCATCACCGAGGGCGATGCCAAGAAGCTCGTTGGCCGTGCCGTTGATGAAGACGGAGACATCATTGACAAGAAGGGCTCCGTCGTCGGCCATGCCGAGCGCTGGGAGGAGGAAGAGCCCGAGCCCGAGCCCGAGGAGGAGCCCCTCGACCTCTCCATGCTGGCTGGCAAGACCCTCAACAAGCAGGGCAACGTCATCGGCGACGAGGGCGTCCCGGTTGCCCGCCTCGTCGAGGGTAACGCCAAGGAGCTCGTCGGCAAGAGGCTCGATGACCAAGGCCAGATCTGGAATGACCAGGGCAAGGTCATCGGCCGCGTCGAACTCATTCCTGAGAACGAGCGGGAGTCCAAGCCCGAGGGACCGTTTGCTGGTCTTCAGGGTCTCCGTGTCGTTGCCGACGGTAAGATTGCCGACGAGGACGAGAACATTGTTGGCGAAATCACCGAGGGTAACCCCAAGCGTCTCATCGGCCTCGCTGTCGATGAGGATGGCGATATCATCGATCGGTACGGCAACGTCAAGGGACATGCCGAGCCTCTCGAGGAAGAGCCCGAGGAGGAAATCGACCTCTCGATTCTCGACGGTAAGCTGCTGAACAAGCAGGGTTATGTCGTCAACGAAGAGGGCATTCCTTTCGGCAGGCTTGTCGAGGGCAACGTTAAGGAGCTTGCTGGTCGTCGTTGCGATGAGGAAGGTCTTATCCACAACGACACCGGTAAGATCGTTGGCCGCTGCGAGCTCATTCCCGCGAGTGAGCGCGAGAGCAAGCCTGAGGGACCCTTCGCCGGTCTTGAAGGTTTGCGCGTGATTGCCGACGGCAAGGTTGCTGATGAGGATGGTAATGTCGTCGGTGAGATTACCGAGGGCGACCCTAGGAAGCTCATCGGCAACCACGTCGACGAAGACGGCGATATTATTGACAAGCACGGTAACGTCAAGGGTCACGCCGAGCCTCTTCCTGAGGAAGAGGCGGAAGCGCCTCCTGACCTTTCCATTCTCGACGGCAAGATGCTCAACAAGCAAGGTTTTGTTGTCAACGAGGACGGTATTCCTCTGGGCAAGCTTGTTGAGGGCAATGTCAAGGAACTCGCTGGTCGCCGCTGTGACGAGGAGGGCCAGATCCACGGCGATACCGGCAAGGTTGTCGGTCGCTGCGAGCTTATCCCCGAGAACGAGCGTGTCGCCAAGCCGGAAGGTCCCTTCGCCGGCCTGGAAGGCCTCAAGGTCGTCCACGGCGGAAAGGTCGAGGACATTGACGGCAACGTCGTGGGTGAGATCACCGAGGGTGACCCGAAGAAGCTGCTCGGCAACTCTGTTGATGAAGACGGTGACATTATCGACAAGTACGGCAATGTCAAGGGCCACGCTGAGCCTTGGGAGGAGGAGGAGCAGACTCCCGAGGATCTGTCGGCGTTGGCTGGCTGCACCGTCAACAAGGCCGGCAACGTTGTCGACTCGGCGGGTGCCGTCATCGGTCGCATCGCCGAGGGTGACCCCAAGACCATGGTCGGCAAGAAGGTCGATGGCCAGGGTCAGATCTGGGACAACGCAGGCAACGTCGTGGGCCGCGCTGAGCTCGCCAAGGGCGCCGACACGACGCCCGAGGGCCCCTTCGCTGGCTTCGACAGCATCACCGTCGTCAAGGACGGCTTGGTTGTCACGCCCGACGGCTCCATTGTTGGTCGTGTGATCGAGGGCGACGTCAAGAAGCTCGTCGGTCACCACGTCGACGAGGAGGGTGACATCTCCGACAAGCACGGCAACACCATCGGCAAGGCCGAGAGGTGGGAGCCCGAGGAGAAGGAGCGCCGCATCAACCCCATGTCGGGCCGCCGCGTCAACAAGGAAGGCGAGGTGCGCGACGAGAACGGTGACATCATGGGCCGTTTGACGGCTGGCGACCTGGGCCACTGCGCCGGTCTCGAGGTCGACGACAACGGTTATGTCATCGACAACGATGGTAACAAGGTCGGCGAGGTTACGCTGCTCGCGAACATTGTCGAGGAGGAGGAGGAAGAGGAGGGCCTTACTGAGGAGGAGCTCGAGGAGTTGCGCAAGAAGAAGGAGGATGCTGAGCTGGCCGACAAGATGGCCAACATCTGCCAGCAGACTCTGGAGCGCGTCCAGCCCGTCTGCAAGCAGATCACCGAGGTAAGCGACAGGATCTTGCGTCACCCTTTTCGAACAGGTAGCTAACAAGCACGACAGTACATTGAGAAGGCGGATCGCACTCCTCGCGAGGAGCTCGACGAGGAAGAGCTCGTCAACAACGTCAAGCCTCTCATCGAGGAGGGTGGTCGTATCCTGCAAGAGTGCAACGGCTCGCTGCGCGGTCTCGACCCCGACGGCCGCATCGCCGCGCAGGCCAAGGGCCGCGCCAACACGCGCGAAGCCACGCCCGAGGAGTACCGCCTGGCCGACTGCCTGAAGGAGCTGACGACGACGGTTGTCACGACCATCGACAACGCTAAGAAGAAGATTGCCGACATGCCGCACGCCAAGAAGAAGCTGAACCCGCTGTGGGCGCTGCTGACGGAGCCGCTGTTCCAGATCATCGCGGCCGTGGGCCTGCTGCTGAGCGGCGTGCTGGGCCTGGTGGGCCGTCTGCTCAACGGGCTCGGCCTGGGCGGCCTCGTCAACGGCCTGCTGGGCGGTCTGGGCATCCACAAGCTGCTCAGCGGCTTGGGCCTGGGCTCTATCAGCGAGGCGCTCGGCGGCAAGAAGGAGAAGAAGAAGAGCGGCGGTGGTGGCGCTGCTGGCTTGCCGCTTGTCGGCGGTATGTTTGGCGGCAAGTAAGCCGTTCTTGTTGTTGTCGTGCTGGGACGCGTCATGAATCACGATTTATGGCTTTGACTTTGGGGGTGACTGATACGTCGCTGTTGTTGTTGTTGTTGTTGTTGTTGTTGTTGTTTTTGTATGACTGAGACCCTTGCGGGGAGTCGTGGCTAGCAGCAGCGAGCAAGCGAGCGAGTTGAGTGGCTTGCATCTTCGACGGCTGTTGTTGTTGTTGTTGCTGCTGCTGCCGCTAGCGCTGTCTGTGGGAGGATATCGTTGGCGGTTCTGGAGCAAAGCGAAAAATCAGCGGTCGAGTTTGTCACTTTTTGGTTTGTCGCTTGCTGGCCTAGCTGGTCCGGCTCTCTCACTTTAGGGGCCTTCTTTCTAACTCTACTTTCTCTTCTTAAACTTTTCTTTTGTTTTTTGCTTTTCTTTTTTTTCGCTTTTTTATTTTAATATGTTTGTTCTGTTTAAAAGCAGAGAGAAAGAAGTTGTGGTTGTGGTTGCGAGCGTTTTTTTTTTTTTTGATGTTGTTCTAGCTGGTTTTTTTTAACTTACGTATGCCGAATGTACTACTACTACTATTCTTCTTCTTCTTCTTCGTTGTTGCCATCTGTCTGGGTTCTGGCTTGCCTTTGTGTGTGTGTGTGTGAATATGTGAGTAAGATGTGAACGAAGTGAAGACTGCAACGGTGAGATCCCACCATACCATGTAGCGAGACAGGGAACGAGCGATGCAAGAAGTAGGTAGGTAGTCCCTACCTAGGTACATACGGCCTACTGGCTTCTTGTCTACCTAGCTACGAGCCTAGATCCTGCATGGTGAGTGACATGGGTCTTTGTGTGTGAGATGGGTCTTTGAAGCACTCCGACGCCCGGAAATCTTGTGAGACCTTATGGCCATCACGCTCTGCCTCTGGCTCTGGGAGGGCGCCAGCCAGCTTTTTGGCACGGAGGCGGAGGCGGAGGCGGAGGCGGAGGGTGTGGGGCTTGCTGGGCTGGGCTTGTTATGGGTACCTATGTAGGTGTGTGTGTATATATGTACGTCGATACATGTCGCCTTGGCGTATGTAGCAGTTGGCACGGCATGGCCGTCTCGCTGTAGCTGTGCTGCTGGGGCTACAAGACGCGGGTGCGGCGCGAGAGTGTACGTGTGTGAGAACAAGAGCGAAAGGCAGCGGAGCGTGAGGCAGGCAGACGTGGATGTGTAAGTGAGTGCAGCAAACGACGAACGACGAACGAGAGAGAGAGGAGCGGAAGGCACGCACGCACGCACGCACGAACGCACGAACCTAGCCGTGCCAGACCATCCCGCACCGCCTTAACTAGCGCGCAAACAGCGTGCTATCATAGCTGGTCTCATAGCAAAGACGCTACCAAGTTAGCTGCTAGTTAGCTGCTGCTGCAGCTGCAACTGCATATGCAGCGGGCCGCGCCCGCCTGGGATCGGGGAGCAGGTATTTGGGGTTAGGTTCAGAGGTGAGATTCGGGGTTAGAGTTGGGGTCAGAGTCAGAGTCAAAGGGAGCGAGTGGGTGAGTGAGAGTGTTGGCAAAATAAATAAATAAATAAAATTGTAAAATTGAAATGGTCATGTCATTACGGCGCCGAGCCAAGGTAGCTTCTAGGTACCTATAGAGTTTCATCTGCCCGGCGTCGGCAGGATGCGCCATGCCGTGCCGTGCCGTGCCGCGCCCCGCTGCGCTGCTACCCAGTTGAGCTCTTCTTCTTCTTCTTCTTCTTCTTCTTCTTCTTCTTCTTCTTCTTCTTCTTCGTCGTCGGTGGTGTCGTCGTCCCTTCTCCTTTTTCTCCTCCTACTTCTTCTCTTTCCTTTTATTTTTTCTTGCTTTTTCTTTTTGCGTTTTGTCTTTTCTTCCGCTTATGGTGCGATGCGGTTGGGTGCGTTTAGACGGCCATGCTGAGGGGGGTGGTGTTAGCGGGGTTCTTGCAGAGGGGGAGGGGTGGGGGTAGTTATAGCTATAGGCAAGAACGTACTTGATGTGGATAGTCTTGGGGTTAAGATAAGCCATGAGGCCGGGGCGGCCCAGCTCGCTGCCCTGGCCGCTCTGCTTGACGCCGCCAAAGGGGGTCGTCGTCGTCGGCATGTGGCTGGAGTTGACCGAGACGGTGCCCGTTTCGAGGGCGGCGGAGACGCGGAGGGCGCGGGCGACGTTCTGCGTGTAGACGGCGGCCGAGAGGCCGTAGGTCGTGTCGTTGGCGAGGGCGATGGCCTCGTCCTCGGTCTTGAACGTGCGCACCGTGTTGACCGGGCCGAAGATCTCCTGCTTGTAGATGGTCGCGTCGGGCTTGGGGTTCAGGAACAGGGTGGGCTGGACGAAGAGGCCTTTGGAGCCGCAGCGGGCGCCGCCCGTGACGAGCTCGGCCTCGCTCTTGCCCGCCTCGATGAAGGCCATGACGCGCTCGTACTGCAGCCGGTCGGCCATGGGGCCCAGCTGCTCCATCGGGTTGTCCGACCCGTTCAGCATGGCCTGCTGCGCGGCCTCGAAGCGCGCCTTCAGCGCGGCCAGGAACTTGGGCGCAATGCTCTCCTGCACGTAGGTGCGGGATGCGGCGGCGCACACCTGGCCCGAGTTGAGCAGGAAGCCGTTGGAGCAGTAGGCGACGGCGTTGTCGATGTCGGCGTCGTCGAAGACGAGGGCGGGGCTCTTGCCGCCCAGCTCCAGCGTCACGCGCTTCATGTTGCTGTTGTTGGCCATGTCCTGGATCTTGCGGCCGACGGGCGCGGAGCCGGTAAAGCTGATCTTCGCGATGTCCATGTGCGAGGCCAGCAGCGCGCCGGTGCTGCCCGGCCCCGACAGCAGCTGCACCACGCCCGCCGGGAAGCCCGCCGCCTTGAACACGGCGCCGTACGCCAGCACGCCCAGCGGCGACTTCTCCGACCCCTTGTAGACGACCGTGTTGCCGGCGGCGAGGGCGGGCGCGACCTTCCACGCGAACGCCATGGGGCTTGCGTTCCACGCGCCCACGCCCGCGCACACGCCCAGCGCCTCGTAGCGCACAATCTTGTAGGTGCCGTCGTCGGCGGGGAACGTCTCGCCGGCGATCTTGTCGGCCCACCCGCCGTAGTAGCGGAACACGTCGGCCATGTGCTTGATCATGAAGGCGGCGATGCCCGCCGGCTGCCCCATGGCCACGTGCTCCAGGTTGCCCAGCGCCAGCGCCTGCTCTTCAAACAGGTCCGCCACCTTGCTCATCAGCCGCCCGCGCTGCGCCCCGCTCGTGCTGGCCCATTCGCCCTTGTAGGCTGCCTTGGCGCCCGCCACGGCCGCGTCGACGTCTTCCTGGCCCGCAATCGCTACCGAGTCGCTGACGAGCGTCTCGTCTGAGGGGTTGTACAGCGAGTACTTCTCGCCCGACTTCGCCGCAACGTACTGTGTGTCTGCTGTCAGCGGCCATTGTCGTCTCTCGCTTCCGCCGCCCTCACTCACCTCGTTGTTGATGAACAACTGCGTCTTGTACTCGGTGGCCATATTGTCTGATTGTAGAAGTATTCTCGGTTTCGGAAAGAGAGAGGTAGAGATGTAGTAGTGAGTGAGTGATTAACCAGACACACCCCAGAAGCAAGCTACCCCCGGCCACTTGCCCGCTCCTCGGGCCTTTATACCCAACTACGGCCAGCGACGGAAACCCTCCGCGGCGTCACTGACTCTCCCACCAGCGCGGCCGCCCCGCCCACAGAAAGCCGCCCCCAACCATCAACGCCCGCACTTGCCCAGAACGGCATGTGCAGCCCCACCGCATGAAACGAGGGGCGCGTCTGGCGCTGCAAGGCGAGCAGGGCCTCGTCGCCTACGAGTACGCGGGTGCCATGGTTGCCCGGCGCGGGCGGCCTGGTATGTGAGGTGGGGGCCGAGACGGGAGTGCGCGCGCGAAGCGAATCCGCGCCCGCAGCGCCCGCGGAAGCTGCAAGGCGATCCCGCTTTGTAGGTCCCCGCTATAACTAGGTACGCGGCCTGTGCCCCCGCCGTGGTGCTCCCGTTCCTGACTAACGACTCGTCGATCGCCGTCGCGGAACGTGCTGCTCTTCTCCCCTCATGGCTTGCCATGGGCCCAGAACCCCCATGTTCTTGCCGTTGCTCACCCACTTCTGCCGGTTAGGACCATCGGTACATCTTTTGCAAGGGCCGGGTACATCCCGTTCCAGCCCCGATCTCGGGATCTGGATGTGGATGAGGCGAGGTGGGGGAATGTGGGTATTGTATGACTTTGAATGAAGCGAGTGCGCGAGTCGAGGAGAGGCCGGTGAGAGTCAGCGCAAAAGTTTAAAACCCGCAGCGGAGCGAAGCGAGACCATTGGGAAAAACCATGAATCGAAACAAAACGAACGAAATGAAATATTAGGTATGCCGACGATCGTCGTGCGCGCGTGTGCCTGCTGACTACAGGGACAGATAATAGGTAGGTAGGTATCTTGACGCATTAAAACAGGTCCAGCCGTGTTTTTTCCTTCTTTCTTGCTTTCTTGCTTTCTTTCTTTCTTTCTTTCTTTCTCTCCTTTCATCATCATCTCCTCTCTTTCTCCTTAGGTGCCCCTCCTCTCCTCTACAACAGCCCCATCAACGCCACACCCGCCACGACTGCCGCCATCCCGGCGTTAGCGTGACGCGGCGCGCCCGCATCCGTCGTAGTCGCAACGGCCGGACTACTCGACGACGCACCCGACGCGGCAGCCGCAGTAGCGAACGTAGTGGAAGAAGCAGAATCAGCGGACGCGTCCGCGGGCGAAGACGGAGAAGCGGAAGCCGAGTCGGAGTCGGAGTCGGAGTCGGAATCCGAGTCGGAATCGGATTTCGAGGTAGACGAGGAGCCGGTGCTTGACGGCGCGGCCGTGCCCGTGAGGATGACCTCGTCGCCCGAGTCAATGGCCGCTGGAGGCAGGATGGTGAGGGCGGTGGGATGGCCCTTGGCCGTGGTCGTGGTGAGAGTGGGGCCGTGGGTGCTGCTGCGCGTGTTGGCGTCCGCCGTGCCCGTCAGGACGGTGGCATCTGTCGGCGAGGGAAAGAGCGTCAGCTCGGCGGCCGTGGTGCCGGGCTCGGTGGTGGTGAAGGTCTCGAAGTCGTCGGCTGACGAATGGCGCTTGGCGAAATGAGTCGCGCTGATGGTAGCGGTAAAGAGCGCTAGGACGACGGTGGTCGAGGCACGCATGTTGGCGTGTGTGTATGTAGTATGTACGTAGTACGTGTGCGCGTAGGCGTTTGTTTGTTTGTAGGTAGGTATTTGTGTGCGTGTGTGCGCGACAATAGGTAGGTAAGCCAAGGCCAAAATAAAAGGTACGTGGTAGCTACAGCAGGCAACCAAAAAAAGAACGTGTGATGTAGTAGTGGTGGCGACGCGATCGAGAGAGAGCGAGAACAAAGAGAGAAACAAAGGAAGCGGCGCAGCAAAAGGCGCGCGTCGCCCGTACGCACGAACTCCTTAAAGTCTGCAGACACAGCCCAGCAGGGTTACACGGCAATTAGAGACGCGGTCGCCGTGATTTGCAGGGCCGCGTTGACGTAGGCGGCGGCGATCCCCAAGGGTCTACCGAGAGAGCCTCGTCGCGCGTAGACGAGACACTCGCCGCTCAATGGTGTGTTTCAGTGGCCTCGTTGCACGTTGGCTCCGACGCCGCTGTCAGCTGGGCCTCGTTTGCCTTCGGGGGGCCAACCGATCGTCGCTCTCGCGTGTGGCTGTGACACTCTCAGCTGCGTCGCAAGCTTGTTCGGAAACGTGCGAAAGTAGATCAGGTGGCGACAAATAAAATCGCATGAATGGGCATGATATCAAATATAAAATTAGATGCATGTCTTTTTTATTATTTATAAGTAGCAAAAACCAAATGCTTTTCAACAATTCCTCCTGGCACTTTGGCGGAGTGGTTAACGCGCTGGCCTGCTATCCTCCTTCGGGAAGCAGTTAAGCCAGTTCCTTCGGGAGCGTGAGTTCGAATCTCACAGGTGTCGCATAACAACCCGTTCTTTTTTTTCTTTTTTGCCACGAACAACCTCAACCCATTTCACTCTCTAAACTGTTCGTTCATAGAGATAGAAAATACCTTTTTGCGTTATGTTGAGCCAGAAATAAAAATAAAAACAAAATCGAGCTGCAAATGTCCGCATCTCCACAAAATCCTCCACGGCACCCCCGAATCACCGAAACAATAATGCAGGAATCCTACAATAATTTAACTATCCCATACTTAAAACCCACCCCACAACCACGGTACACGGCCAACTCCATACTACCGCAGCGGAATCTCCAGCACGCTGGCTCGCACGTGGCAGAGCATGTCTAAAATCCCATATCCATGGAGACATCTACAGCTTTTATGAACAATTGGGAGCAAGGAGGGAGCGACCACCAAAGCACACAACAGCAAGCCTGCCAAACACCCACACCCGCACATACATACACACACACAGAAACAACTCCAGTGCTCACAATCATAAGGAAAAAGAAAAATCTCTGAATACAGCCGCATGCGGCAATTATAGGACTAAAACAAGCAATATCACACGCGGTCCCGCCTACAAGTCTACCCAAACGCCAATACCCCTCCATGGAAGCAAAGCAAGCAAGCGCGCACGCAAGCACATTTACCGCGCCGCGCCACCGCCGCCGCCGCCCTGCATGCCCTGCCTCAAGCCGCTCTTCTCATCGAAGGCGTCCTCGTCATCCTCGTCATAGCGGCCATGATCCCTATACGCGCCGCCAACCGCCGCGGCATGGGCATCGTCGTCGTCGTCATCCGAGAAGAGGTCCTCGTCGCTCTCGCCCGCAAACGCATCGTACAGCTCGCCGGCGCGGCGCTTGCCCTTGCGGCCGCCCGCCGCGCCGCCCGTCAGCGGCTCGTCGCCCCCGTCGTCCACGAGCTCGAACTCGTACTCGCTGCGCGGGTTGCTGCGCAACCGCTTGCGCCGCGCCCACCAGAAGTACACGGCTAGGCTGCCGCAGAAGGCCAGGATTAACCCCAGGGATGCGTAGATCCAGCCTTGGGTGCGCTTGCTCACGCCGAAGGTAGGGAAGGGTGAGGGCAGGAAGTTCTCGCCTGGCGTCGCTGACGCTGATGCCTGCGCTTCTTCTTCCTCTGACGGGTTGCCGATTACGGGCGCTGTCTGCACGGGCTTGCCTGTGCTGCCGGGCTTCGAGGGTATGACAGCCGCGCCCGAGGCTGTTGGCTTGGGCTTGACGGGGCGGTCAGGGTGATCCGATGGGTTGCCTTCGGGCGAGCCGGTGGCGGTTGGGACGGAGATTGACGTCGTGTGCGGATCGACAACGATGACATCGTGATCATCGTCGTCGTGTTCCGTCGGCATGGGCAGCAGCTGCTGGCTGGCGGCGTCCTTGCACTCGCCCCAGAGGCGCAACTTCCAGTCCGTAAAGGTGCCCGTGTATTCGTTCTCGACCGTGTCTTTGACGATGACGGTCCATGTGCCGACGCCGGATTCTCCCCAGTGCGCGACCGACATGAAGGTCCAGTCGACGTAGCCGGCCGGCTCGGAATCGCGGTGACGGGGCACGGAGAGATGGCTGACGATCCCACTGGGGCTACGCAACTCGACACTGAGATCGCCTCGGCGCGTATGCTCGACGTTCATGGTGACGGTGACGTGCTCGATCCTTTCAAAGTTGGCCTTTTTCAAAGCTTCCTCGGTCACGTCAAAACGGCTAACCAGGCCCTTGTCACCCTGTGGGATAGGCGTCTTGACGTGCATCCAAGGCGAGAAGAACCAAGCCTGCGGCTTGACCAGATCCCACGTCTTGGCTGCCTGAACGAACGCGAACGCATCGAGCTTGCCGTAACCAAACTGATGGCTGAACTTTCTGCCATAGGGAGTATCCTGCCAGTCGCTAGCCTGATCGAACTGCACGGCCGTGTTGACGGTGAGCCATTGAATATCCCGCCACGTCAGCTCCGGACGAGCCTGGAGCGCCAGAGCGTAAATACCAGCTCCCAAAGGACCAGCGGCAGAAGTTCCACCATGATTGTTGCTGCAGACATTGGTGCCAACATCAGTTGTATGGATGGACTCAGAACGGCCACTGCTGTACGTAACCACTAGCTGCGCCGAGCACTTTTCAGAGTAGTAAGGGTGTTCATTCGACTTTTCGATGGCACCGACCGTAACGCTGTAAATGCTGTTCGTGTATCCATCAAAGTTGCAATTGTCGCCGGCCGCGGCGCCGTTGCCTGCCGCAAACACATAGATCGAGCCTTTACCGCCCCGGCCGTTTTGAACGCCGTTGACCATGGCCCTTTTGATTAGGATGCCCGGCGCGTCCATAGATTGGCCGTCATCCGCCGGGCCCCAGGAACAGGAGTAGATGTCGTTGCCCTCGTTCATGGCAAAGTTCATGGACTCGGCCTCATGCTCGTCCGTAAGGGGTCCGGAGAGAATCCGGACACCGGAGATCCTTGAATCCCAAGCGACACCAACGCCGCAAGCATTGTTCTTGCCGGCCGCGACCTCACCCGCGCATCTCGTGCCATGTTTATCGTCACTCAACCTCGGTTTCGGCTCCGGGCCAATGTCGTTGAAGTCGTAAGATCCCTTGGCGAAGTAGTTATCCTTCAGATCATCGCTGTACATGTCCAGTCCATCATCGACGATGCAAACGCCAACGCCCTTTCCAGTTATACCTTCCAACCATAGTCCAGTTACGTTCAGGTCGTTTCCAACTTCCTCTGTGTTCAACAGATGCCACTGATCCGGGAATATGGGGTCATTTATGCCCAGCGTTTTGATGAGGTTTTGTTGCTTGAGAGCGGCAACCTCCGAAGTGGCCGTTTGCGCGCGGGCGACCGGGCCAGTCTTGTCGGCAGGCGCTGGGAAAGGTATCCTCTTCACCAAGCGCTTCCTAGCCACCTGCTTCTGATGAAAGCGTATGCCGTCCAAGGCCGAAGGGCCACCCAACCCCCGTTTCCGCCGTTTCAGCTCCTGCATGGCGTCGCCGACCATGTCGCGGTCATGCTTGGCAGCGCTGAAGACATGGTGGCCTTGCAGCTCGCCAAACTCGCCCTCATATTCCAGCCCCAGCGCGGCAGCGACTTCGGCAGGCGGAGAGGAGGCGTCGAGCTCGAGCGCGTAGAAATCATGGGTCTCGTAGTTCCTCGGACGGCGGTGGCTTTTCGCGCCAAAGGCCGTCGTCGTCGCCGCCAGCAGCGTGCAAAAGAGAGAGGCGCGCATGGCGGGGGTGTATATGGGTCGTGGGTCAAGCAAGGGAAGCCGCCAAGCTGGGCGACGGGCTCAAAGGGTCGTGCTGCTATGCGGTGCGCTTGGGTGGATGCATAGACGAGCGGTGAGAGAGAGAAGGTAAAAGACGCAGCGGGTTCGCTGACCGGCGAGCAGGAGGGGGAGGCGGTGGTTGTTAGATAAAAGACAGGTGGAGCCCCCATACGGCGCGTCGTAAGGCAAGGAGCGCACAGGCAAGAGGGCAGTCCCAGGGAGGCCCAGAGCCGCGCACCGGCGACCTGGCCCCTTGCCCGTTGCGGCAAGTCTGGGGGCCCATCGCGGCCATCTGCGGGAAAAACAAAGGCCCGATCCGCGGGGAGCTTGGGCGCGGGCTTCCGCCGTCCTTGGAAAGCAGGCAAGCCCGACCGACCGGCCTACCTGCCACCGCCCATCCCATCCCGCGTGTACTACTTGCTACTACTTACTTCCAGTCCCCTTTTAACCTCTCCCGCGCCCATGCTGCTGTGTACCCCCTCATCCCCGTCAATGCTGCGCTACAACTCCGACTCTTGACCCTTCAGCTGTGACCATGACCTCATGACGCACGTCTGAACGCCTCCCAAACAAGCCCGTCTCGGAACCATGGATGCGCGCCGCAACAGCGCTTCCGCTCCGCGCAAGCCCATTCCGGAAGACTACCACGCACAAGACCAGCCCGATCCCTACCGCCGCCGCTCCAAACAGTCGCAAGCCGCGCGCATGGACCACCACACCTATCCTGCCTCCAAGACCTCCGCCAGGTCTAATTCGAACCGCCGCCGAAGCAATCATTCCTATCCCACTGTCGACTTTACAGAGCCTCCGCAACCCGAAGCTTCCAGGGCACCGCCCGTCTCATACAAGGAGCCCTACAAGGAGCCCTACAAGGAGCAGCCATACATGGGTAGTTTTGCGGCCCCTGCCCGCTCTAGGAGCCACAAGCGCTACGAGCCAGCGCCTGCACGGGTGCGGAGCAATTCCGTCGACGAATACATCTCTTCTTCCTCACGGCCATATGAACCCGCTACTATTCCTCCGCAAGTTAATGTTAATATCCCACCGGCAAACCTATACGATGATTCTCTGCTTCAACCCCAAGCTCCCGCGAGTCCGAGCGCAGACTACGGTGAGCGGGTAGTGTCTTCCGAGACCACTGGTAGCGGGCCAAAGAGGAAGGGCTCAGTGTCGAATCGCTCGCCTCTACAAAAACTGGAAGGAGCATTGGGTGGTATAAACAAGGAGACGCGTCGTGCGATGATTGTTGATGCGGAGGGTAATACTGCTTCCAAACATGCCTCGCGGGATGCAAGTCGGGAGGTGCCAATTGTTAAAGGGAAATCGCGTTATACATCTGGCCCTGAACCAACCGGCAGCGAACGCGTGGTAAAGCCCAATGGCAAACGTGATACAGTGCCAAACGATGAATACGTGGACGCTCGGTACCCGCACAGAGGCCCCATTGATCCTGGCCCTTCGTATCGACCGGAGCAACAGGATTATCCCGCCGCGACTTCTCGTGGCGGCTCACAGCGCAAGGCGCGAGTTCCACAATATGATGGCCCAGTTCAGCACAAAAGAGGCTATAGCAGGGACAGAGCTGCACCTGACACGGGAAAGCCGGCAAGCTTCCGCGACAGAACCGCGCAAGCTGGGCCAAGTACCGTATACCATGAGACGCAATCGAGGGACTACGCTGAGCCAGCTGCGGTGGCTGGCGGCACTGGATTAGGACTTTCGGGCATGAACGATCATTCGGAAAATGAGCGAAGCCCAACAAAGGTTGGCCGAAGCAACAGCCGTAGGCTTCAGAAACGTGGTGGTCCACCAGAGGTACAGCAATCGATTGGCAGTCGAGAGCCGGCCAAAATGTCTGGAGCGCACAAACAGATGGCATCTGATCGTGCAGGACATTCTCATGGAGCCAAGGCTGCGGCCAAATATGACGAGCTGGATCCCCTCCCAGCTGAAGCAGTTAAGAACCCATATGCCTCAACGCCAAAGTACGAAGTCCCACCTCAAACCGCCGGTGGACAACAAGCTCGCGAACAAGTTGGTTTCAGCAGAGAAGATCCCGCCATGATGGCTCCAGGGCATGAAAATCATCGCCATCTACCCAACTTGTTTCACCGGCACCATCGTGATGACCGGCGCTACATGGCTCAAAAACCTCTGGAAGAATGGAGACATGCCGACACTGCCAATCTGACTACGGAAGACATTGACATAGATGATGCGGCCCAGGTCTGGGCAGAGCGTTCCAGATCTCAGCGTCGCGGGCATGGTTCCCAAGCTAAGCCCGGTGCGTCGCATTACGACGGCACCCACGAGCAACCTCAGGGTCAAACGCACTTTACCCCTCCGTTATACATGAAGTGTGGACCGTTACTTCGATACAGGGGTATGCGTAGAATCTCCCGCATGGGCCGCAGCGACAAGTGGATTTGGAGAGGTAGTGTCATGATTGTAACTATCGACAACTTCTCGTCGTACGAAAAAACGCCCACGCTGCGTCTTTTTGTGCAATCGAAAGAGCTTATGTCACCTCCGCCAGCAGATCTCAGTCCTGAGAACAGCCAAGATCTTCCGCAGGAATACGTCGATCCCCTTGCGGGTGAGACAAAGGTCTCACGCACCGGAAAGACCTTATATGTTCGTCCTGTCGAGGATTTGGAAGCACAAGTTGATTTGTCCCGGAGGGAAGACGACAGTGGTCTTTTTGAACTGTCTAGGAGCGCACCCTTGAAGAGGAATGAAATCCAGCAGCAGCAAAACGGGAGCCGTCACGGGCGGAAAGATGGTGAAAAGGCAGGCAAGTATCGCGAGGTCAAAGGCCACAGGCTGCTGGCTGAGAGAGGTGTGACGTTTTGGCGATTCAACTTGGAAGTCGAGCTCGGCAAAAGCCAAGCTAGGCTGGCATACCGGATCAATAAGGGTCCAGCAATCGGGTTTTGGGTCCCTGCCCGGGGAGAGACCATGAACATCATGTTCCACAGCTGCAATGGGTTCAGCCTTAGCGTTGATTCCAATATGTTCTCCGGTCCCGACCCTTTGTGGCGCGACGTGCTGAACAATCACCAGACGAAGCCTTTCCATGTGATGCTCGGCGGCGGCGACCAAATCTACAATGATGCTTCCACCAAGCAAACAAGATACTTCCAAGAATGGCTCGGTATGAAGAACCCAGCAGCCAAGCATTCAGCCGAATTCACCGCAGAAATGCAAGATGAGCTCGAGGAGTTTTACCTTAATCGCTACGCTATGTGGTTCTCGCAAGGCTTCTTCGGCATGGCAAACTCGCAGATTCCTATGGTAAACGTGTGGGATGATCACGATATTATTGACGGTTATGGTTCTTATCCACACCACTTCATGAAGAATGCTGTATTCTGTGGCCTGGGTGCCATTGCTTTCAAGTACTACATGCTCTTTCAGCACCAGAGTTTGGTTGACGAGACAGAGGTCGACGAACCGTCTTGGCTTTTGGGCTCAGCTCCCGGGCCTTATATCAACGAGGTGAGCCGGAACCTGTTCATGTTTCTTGGAAAGAGCGTGGCATTCCTCGGCTTGGACTGCCGTACTGAAAGGATGCGGGATGAGATCCTGAGCGCGGAAACTTACTATGCCATCTTCGATCGATGTCGCAAAGAGATCGTCAAGGGTGAGACAAAGCACCTAATTGTCCTCCTTGGAGTGGTAAGTTCCCAAGTTTTTCATGATAGAGCAAAGACTAACCTCCACAAAGCCGATTGCGTACCCGAGGCTGAATTTCTTGGAGAATGTCCTGACATCCCGGGTCATGGATCCTATAAAAGCACTTGGTCGAACCGGCATGCTTGGTGGATTTGTCAATAAGTTTGATGGTGGTGTCGAGATCTTGGATGACCTTGACGACCATTGGACGGCCAAGCACCACAAGGCCGAACGTAACTGGTTCATTCAAGAACTGCAAGAGCTCGCTTCGGAGAAATCTGTACGCATCACCATCCTCGGCGGAGACGTGCACCTGGCAGCTGTTGGTCAATTCTACAGCAACAAGAAGCTCGGCATACCAAAGGACCATGACCACCGATACATGCCCAACATCATCTCTTCTGCCATTGTCAATACACCGCCACCTGAGCTCATGGGCGATATTCTCAACAAACGCAATAAGATCCATCACCTCGATGATGATACCGATGAGGATATGATTCCAATGTTTACAAATGACGTAGATGGTAAACCACGAAACAACCACCATCTGCTCCCTCGGCGCAACTGGTGCTCTCTTCGTGAATACAAACCAGGCACTACTCCTCCGCTAACGCGTACACCCTCGCCCGACGGCAAGCAGCGTCCCGGAGGCCGTGGCCGTAGTCTGTCATTCACCCGGTCGGGTGGCCCTCTCACGCGACGTTTCTCCAACAAAGGTGGTCCTCCACCAGCCATGTACAACACGGCACCAGGACAGCAGGTCCGATCCAACAGCGCCGAAGCCGTCCATCATCCCCATGAACAACACTCTCCGCCGCTGGCTACCCGCGCGACTGGCGCCAGCTTCGACGCTGGCACAGCCACGGCACCACCACCAGCAGACCCGCCACGTCCCAACCCCTTCCACCGCGTGCCAACAGGCCTCTCACTCAAAGCCGCGCGCAAAGGCGGCGCACTCAACGAAGCGGAGCAGCGCGACGCCGGCGCCATCAACCTTGAGGGCGGCCTCGACATCGTGCTCAATCTGGAAGTCAACCAAAAGGACCCGGCTGGCATCACGGCGCCGTATCGCCTGCTGGTTCCGGCGCTAAGCTACAGAGGCGCGCTCGACGTTAACGTGAGCAGGCGCAAGAAGAGCCTTTGGGCGGGATTGTTGGGCAAAGGACGCGTGCCAAACGAGAGCAGAAGCGTGAGCCCTGAGAGCGACGACAGTGCCACCGCTGCCGCTGCAGCAGGTGGAAAGTACGGTGGAGATGCAGCCCATGCTGGAGGGCACACTGGGCGTGGCGGTCCGCACTCGCCTCCGCTTCAGGTCGAGCGCACTCATGACCCTGTGGTGTACGGCAGTGCCCCGGTGCAGACGCAGACGCGGCGACGCGACCGCAGGCGCAGTTATGGTGACGAGGAGCAGCCTCGGCGGCGCTACGACGACGGAGGACGCTATGACGACGGTCGCTACGACGACGGCCGCTACGACGATGGCCGCTATAGGGAGGGGGGCTCAGCGTCTCCAGAGGGACATAGTTTTGAGGAAGGGGAGGGCCGGCCACAGCAGCGGAAGAAGAAGGCGTGGAAGATTTGGCGGTAGGGTACATAATACGGCGTGGGGGTGGAATAATACGATGATACCAACGAGCGGAAGGGAGTGGAGCTGCGGGATTCTTGGACGTCCTGGTCGAGTGTTTTTTTTTACTTTTACTTTCTCCCCTTTTTCTTCTTTTACTTCTTGACGCTGTCGGCCGATACATAATGCTAGCGTTGGGATGCGGGGGTAATGAGTACATGACATGCGGCAGTCGCATTGGTTGGTGGTGCGGGGGGTAAATGGATGCATGGACAGATGCATGAACGGATGGGTAAATGGGTGCATGGGGGTGAATAGCGGGTGTGCGCGTTTCAACCCCTTTTCCTCTTACTCTTCTTCTCTTTCTTCTTCTTCTTCTTCTTCTGAGTCTGCTTCTGGGTCTACGTATCATGTACACACTGATGATGACGATTCGACGCTCCATGCCGTGCCGCGTTGCACGGTGGGTGATAGTAACGATTATTTAATTTTGGGCTGGCGGTGCTACTTCCATATGCTGATGGGATGAGTGGTTGAGTGAAAAGTGAGTAAGTAAACCATTATTCTTATTCTGTTTTGTGTGCATATACCCGCAACATCCATGCCTTTGATTATATTATACAAATCCCATTACCACTCCCAATTACTGCACCAACATTACACTAGACAGGACTCGTCGCAGACGAAGGTTCCCTCGCCATACTACCGTACATATCGATAATCCCCTGCAAAGTATCGTTTTCAGTCCTCGACCTAGAAGACCCATTAGAAGCCGTAGCAGTAAACAAATTAGTAAAACCCCGCACAAGCGGCCTCCAGCGCCTAGAGTCCGACGCTTCGGCAGCTTCCACATCGGGTTCCGGAGACGCGGCTTTTGGCGAGCTCTGGCTGTGGAAAAGGCCACGAAACGAGCCCAGCGAGGCTACGATAAGTGCTGTGAGTAGGGTAAGCGGATGCATTTGCGTGAGGTTGGGAGCTCGGAAGGGCTTGCCGGCATAGCTCTCGACGTGCGTCCACATGAATAGAGACCCGGCGTCTAGCTGGTTCAGGGATGAGTTTGTCAATCCTGCCCGCATGGCTGCGATGACCATCGTGATGAGCGTGACGCAGAATACAGCCGCGAGGCCAACCTTGCGCCGCCCATCTATACGAGCGCGCCAAAGCATGCTAATGGGGATAACAGTGACTAGCTTCGTAAGCCAAAACAACATCAACAACAGCAGCAGCAGCATCAGCAGCAACAGCAGCCTCAACCTCAGCACAGTGCCCACCTACCAGCAAGGTCCGACGTAATATCTAGCACGGCATTAGCGACCAGCGTGTCGCGCTGATAGCGCAACCCCCTCCCATCACGACAGTGGCTAGCCTCCTTCGAAAAGCGATCAAACAGGCACCGATACTCCAGCGTGCCCATACAGCAGGCCCAAGCCGCGAGCGTAAACGCCAGCACCGCCCACCACAGCCGCGCCACCCTGCCCATGTTGACGTAGAGGCGGCGGAAGAAGAGCAGGAACGAGAGCTTGACGCACCACAGCAGCGCGTAGAACATGATCTTGGAGACGGCGACGGCGGCAAAGAAGCGCGCGATCCGAAACGTGTAGGCCGTGTGTTGTTTGCTGGTTACTAGGGAAGTGCCCATGTGGTACATGTCTTGCGCGATGACTTGCCAGGTTATGGTGCTGGCTAGTGCGAGCGTCCATGCGAGCAGGATGAACATGTCGTCGATGTACAGTGTCTGGAACGTTTGGTACCGCTTAATGAAGCGCAGGCTGCTGAAGAGCGTGCTTAGCGCGAATCCGCCCCAGAGGACGCCCTTTATGCATGGTTAGTCCACATACAGAGCAGTGAGGTGTTAGTCCCGGCACGAGAAATATACATACGACAAAGACGTTCTCCGGGATTTCGGACTGCGGGGGGTCATATAAATCAGACATCCTAGACAACAAACAACAGGCAGTTAACTATAGTCCATAAATAAACAATAATAGCGCGATCAACCCCGTCTATTTATTTAATAACCACCACCATTCAACACTGCGCATTTCTAGAGGCTGTGCCCGCCCCCATAAAAGATGTATTTTTAACGACTTGCTCGAGAGATAACCTGATGCACTAGAGACATCTCCACAGAGCGTGCTCTAGATGACGAGGCGAAGTACATGCCTATATTGACGCTAATTTAAGCCGTGCCCATAGCGCGCGCTGAGTGAGATCGAAGGAGACGTCTGTCAGTCAGCACCGTAAGAAGGCCGCGTGCGGCACGGCTTGTAAGCAATGCAATCTTCAGCTCGTTCCGGCGTCGTGGATACCCGCTCCTCCCGGGCTTGCTTCGTGGTGTTACGTACTTTTACCATCTTAACCGCCTAGGACAGACTTACGCCGTGTTGGATGCGGCACTTCGCTGCTTACTATGGGGACTATGTGTCGTTGCTTCGTAATGGCTGAGCCGCAAAGTGTGGGGCACACCCACTCACCACTCACACCACGCACCGCAAAGCATATCGCAAACAACCCTCAGTATCCGGACTAAAAGTTTGAAGCCAAAGCCGAGCCATCTACCATATATCATGGCATATCTCCTGTATAGTTACAATAGCAGCGTCACAAATATCACTGTCTAGGTAGGTAGATTAAAAAAAGTGAACAAGATAGCTGCTAGACAAAATAACACCAAGAACGCCCGCGAGACCGAATTGAGGGTGACAGAGGTAGCTTGCGCGCTCTGTCTACCGGATGCGCGCGACGCCCTCAATCTGCGCGACTGGCGCGGGGTCCTCGGTGCGTAGCCACTCGCCGTTGAAGGCGTTGATAAGCCAGTTGCTGAGTTCTGAGGGAGAAGGTGGTTAGTTTGTGGGATAAAGGTGAAAGAGTGAGAGTATAAGAGTAGAGAGAGGAGGCGAGGGAATAAGGGAGACTCACTGTCATAAACAATGCGGTTTGCGTTATGGAAGTAGATACCGTGATCCGAGTCGGGGAAGACATGGACATCGTAGTTCTCAACGCCAGCGACATCGAGGCGATCGAGCAGCATGAGACTGTTCTGCATGTGGACGTTATCGTCCGCGACACCATGCATAAGCAAGAAGCGAACGTTCTGCGCCAGTGCCGTAGCATTACTGACCGTAGCGTTGGCGTAGCCCGCCTCGTTGTGCTGTGGCGTGTGCATGTACCGCTCCGTGTAGATGCTGTCGTAGTAGCGCCAGTCCGTCACCGGCGCCACGGCCATGCCGTATCGGAACGTCTGTCCCGCGTCGCGCTCCAGAGTCTTCAACGCCATGAAGCCTCCGTAGCTCCATCCCCAGATAGCCATCCGCGTCTCGTCTACGTACTTCTTCATCGCCCATTGCTTCGCTACTGTGATTTGGTCCGCCGACTCGTAGTGTCCTAGGTTTCCCCGTACGATGCAGCGCCCAGCACGCCCGATGAAGCCTGTTCCACGCCCGTCAAGCGTCACGACGATGTACCCGAGCGATGAGGCAATGTACGACTCAAAGTCGACGTTGAATTTCTTGGTCACTTGCTGGCTGCCCGGGCCCTGGTACATGTAGAACAGGACCGGGTACTTCTTCTTGGGGTTGAAGTGCGGCGGGCGGCGCTCGACAACATTGAGTTCGAAGCCGTCAACGTTCACGGTCGAGTAGATCAGGATCGGCAGCTCGTGCTCCCGTGCCATCTTTGCGAGACCCTTGTTTTCTTCGATAAGGCTGTCGTAGTTTTCAGATGCACTGGGTGTGCTGATGACCTTTTGCCACGGAATGTCGGGGCCGTTGTATGAAAGGAGGGCGTAGCCGGCACCGGTAGAGAACTTGACCTCATGATACGCCTCCTTGCTAATGTCCGTCAGGGGTTTGAGATCAGAACCGTCGAGCTTGACGCTGTAAACGTGGCGTTGGATAGAACTCTCCTGTGTTGAAACAAAGTAGACAAGGTTCTTCTTGAGATCAACAGCCGAAGGCGCGGTGACGACTTCCCATTTTCCGGACGTGAGAAGAATAGGCTCGGAGGCGTCCATGGGCGTGAAGTATCCAAGATGATCGTAGCCCTCGTGTATAACTGTATCGATATAACCGTCGTGGGGGCGGCCATTGTCAGGGTCCGCAGGGATGAAGGTGGTCTCCTGCGATACTTCGAACCAACCACCATCAAGCGCATTGACGTCGAAAGTTCTCACGATCTTGCCGGTTTGAGACACAACATCAATCAGACTGACCTTCAGAAGATCACTTTCGCGGTTAGTCTCGCGAATAAGCACTTTTCCGCTGCTACCAGCCCACACGACCTCCGTAATGAGCCGATCGAGGTCCTCAAAGTCATTTTCAATGTTAACCGTAAAGACTTCACTCTTCTCAATATCGTAAAACTGCAGGTTGACGACAGGATTGGGTGCTCCGGCTTTTGGATATTTGATCTCCCGTACTTCAGGGTAGTTTTCCTCACCCGGCTCCGGCTCCGTGCCACTAGGTCTGGAGACGAAATACTGAACGGGATAGGTGGGAACGGAGGTTTCGTTAGTGCGGAGGAAAGCGATGTATCTGCCATCCTTGGACCACCAGGTAGCGCTATTGCCGCCGAAAACTTCCTCCTCGTAGACCCAGTCAGGAACGCCGTAGAAGAGCTCCGGCCCACCATCGGTTGTAATCCTTGTGACCTTTTTGTTATTTAGCCTGCGCAAGTACATGTTGTTGTCCCTGGTAAAGACAATAGCGTCTGAGCTGGGAGACCAAGTAGCAAGCTGAATCCTGCTTTCCTGGTTTGCGGGATCCAAGGCTTCCGCCGTCTGCGTTGCGACATCGAAAATCCAGTATTTCCCGTAGTACGAGTGCCTCCAGTTGTGCTCCCTCTCAGACATGACCAACACCTTCTTGAAATCCGCGCTCGGCCAGACCTCTACGGGCGACACCCAGCGCTCACCAACGTAGAATCCTGCGTTCTTCATGAGCACTATAGTCGTCTCCGAGGCATTCACCTCGCCACGGTTGTGAACATCCTCTACGACAACGTAGCCAGCACGTCCACCTTTTTCCAGCAACAACCCATCTTCTCCAGCCGGACCGGAGATCCATGATAGGTCATGCCGTGTTGCATACCACTCTCCACCCAGCACCTGGTCCAAGGTGACTTTCTTTCCAGATCCACGGGTCGATGTTGCGGTAGGGTCGTGCGGCCTGGTGGAAGCGTGTTTGTAGGCGCCGCTCGAAAGAAACGCGACGAGGGCGAGGACCCAACCAGCCACGCACACGCCTCCGAGTATCCATAACCACCTCCTCAGCTTCTTGTCTGCGGGCTTTGTGCCATAGTACGGTGCATCTTCGATGTCGAAAGCTTCCCCGCTTCGGCGCGGGCCGCCGTTCGCGTCGGAATAGGGCTCCGGGATCCGCGACTTATTCAAGTTTCCGTTGAGGCTTTCGAGGACGATGGAAGTCGTTGAGTCGGAGTTCAGGGACGGCCGCCCTTCATCTTGAGACTTGCGGGAATCCGTGAATCCTTCGGTGAGGGGCTGCGCCTCCTCTTCGTTGAGGAGACGCTCTTTGGACATGGCGGAGTTGTATGAGTTTAGGTCCAGGTGAGGTCGCGCCAGGGACCTTAGGAATAGTAAGTACCAGCTAGTTTGGCCCCGCAGCGTTCCATCAAAACAACAAGACTTGGCGCGCCAAAGCTCAAAGACACAGTATGCAGTACAGATGTTACGTTGCTTGTTTGTATCACGCAAATGCTCTATTGAGGACTTCTTATTGAGGTAAACTCTCGAAAAAACGTCATGCTACTTTCAGGCACAAAGACTCAAGTTGCTTTCAAGTCAGATTATTATTGCGCCCCCCTACGACTTACTCGCCGTATCCGTCTCCATATCTAGTCGCACATAGCTCGCGAGCCGTCTTATCGTGTCATTGACCGATCAGGTCTCTGTCTTCCCCCTCGTCGTTTTGAAGCTCCAAGAGCAGGAAGATTCCACCCCCTCCTGCCCCTCTAAGCCACATTTATGTATTTCAGTCCTGCTTGCGCAAGAGGCTCGTCAACTCTTCACGCTGCAATCGTAATGACTGCGTCTAGAACACCGGGGTGTTGGTCTCGGCCACGCTCTGCCACCCATTTGGCCAAATTGATCAACCACCAAGAGGACCAAGGTAATCCTCCTTGATCGTTGCGATCGCGTACATGTTGCCCAATTCGGTACGGATACCCTTGACCTTCAACCGAATGTGCGTGCCCTTCTCAATGACCTGATCCGCATTGTCGGTCCACTGGGGCGGCGTAGCGTTGCCATCGTATTTGATGGAGCTGGGGATCATCTGGGAAGGTGGTAAGTATAGTGGCGCCTTCATCACGCCACGCAGGTACTCACACTGGAAGCAACAAAGACGTTGAGAGGTCCGACCTCGACGAAGAAGCCAGAGTCGACAACGGAACTCACGACGCCGTCCAGCTGTGTCCAATGTTAACATCGATGCGCAGTCTTGCGGGCCACTCAAGACGTACAATCTCTCCCTTGAAAGGGCGCCAGACGATTGCTTTGAAGTGCACATTATACTCTATAAACCCAGTGCCGGGCAGCACCCGACCCTCCGACTTGTCCTGGGAGTCCATGACACAGATGATGTAGTAATTTTCGATCTGAATTCCCTCCACATCGCGCTTCAGGCGGTCTTCGATGTACTCGTGGACATTGGGGCCCAGGAAAGACGGGTGCAGCGTAATGGTACGCTCGAGCTCGTGGAGGAAGAACATTGCGACGGATGCGCGGTCGTGGGAGAAGGGTCGAGGTCGATGGGTGGTTTCAGGAGCAACGGAGCTGGTTGGAATGCGCCGAATGCACGGGCAAGCGAGCTGGTGTCGAGTCGAGGTTGCGCGCCGTGGAGTGAAAGCAACTGAAGTGAGATGGTATGCGCTGCGGAGCTCCCAGACGCGGTCTACTGATTGTCCATGCGCGCAAAGTGTCGGTGATACCAATTATGACGCTGCGCTTTTAGGCCGGTCCTCACGCTTCCCTCCAAATGCGTGGATGAATGGCGGCTGGCTGGTCGCGACGGATGCAGCGCTGATCGCGGTGGGTTGACGAGCTATGTTACGAAGTAAGAGTGCGCTGCGGAAACGGGCCAAGGTTTGCGCGGGCCCATGTGATAGTGATGAAGGGAGCCCTGGTCGCCGGCCGAACCCGCTGTCTGTCCCGCTTTCAAGTAACTCCACCAGCGAGTGGGTGTCGTGAGACCTTCAACCGTCTTTCCGTCTTTGCTTGCGCAAGGCTCCAGCTCCCGCGACCGGTTTGGATGTAGCCTTTTACACACGTCGAGCGTTGTCGCCTCTTTGTTGCACCCACGCATCCTCCCCCGCATTCGGCGGTCTCGGTCGGCATCATGGCTTCCCTCAACCTGGAGAAACAGCTCACCTTTGTGCGTACGCCACTTGCCCCGACTCGGCGCATGAGCTAACTGTTGCAGTATGGAAGCTACCATCATAATCCCGTTTGTTCCTCCTCCTGAGCGCTCCCCGCTCGCCTTGCTGACGGCGTCGCATTTAGGTCAACATTGGCGTTCACATAACATGTGTGCCTCTTATCATGATGACGGCCTTCCTCTTTGTAAGGGATGCCTTTGACGCTCTGTTTCGACTCGTACTAACCGGTGGCTTGCAGCTGTCAAACACCCCTGCCGTCTCCTTGCCCGAGTGGCTCTCCGTTCCGAACCTCCCGCTTAACGCAGGGACGTTCTTCTGCGCCCTTTACTCCATACTATACATCTTGATGGAGCCGGTGGCCGGCGGCCTCCTTACCCCACTACTCTTTGCCGGAACCGCGTTCGTGCAGCACCTGGTCGCTACCTACGGCGCGCTCGCGAACTACTGGGCGATCGGGTTGCACATCTTCTCCTGGATCGCTCAGTTCATCGGACACGGAAAGTTCGAGGGGCGTGCGCCTGCGCTGTTGGACAACATCGTCCAGGCCCTGTTCCTGGCGCCGCTCTTCGTTTGGCTGGAAGTCCTATTCTACTTTGGCTATCGCCCGGAACTGCAAAGCAGGATCGAGAAGGCTGTTCAGGACAACCTGAAGAAGTTCAGAGAGGAGAGGCAGAAGAAGCTCGCTGCCAACGGCGCTGCCAACGGAACCAAGAAGGCAACCTAATTCGCCTCGTAGAGCGCGCCGTAGGGATGCCAGGCCGGAGGAGTTAACTCGTTAAGTGGTCGAAGGCGTTGGGTTGGCAAGTGATTAAGCGCCCAGTCGGGTCAGTGATTTGACAGGACAGTCATAGAATGCATCGGCTGGTCATGGTTGATTTGGTAGGATCTGCCAAGCTGTGAACCGGGGAGAGGACGAATCGGACATATCTATAACTACGATTCTGTACATAGGCGATGGTGCAATCAGAGCATTTCAGCTTCATCACATGGCAAGGCTCCCGTGTAACGTTTGGGTAAACGCAGCACCCCCTCATTCAGCCGACGGGACCTTTGCGTACACGTGCAGGACGGGCTTCCGGGCGTACGGAAACGGAAGCTCCGGACAGCTGTACATACGTAGAGACAACTTCACAAAGGTAGTGGCAGCGCTTGCAGGAACGGTTTTCACCATAACTCTGGTATGGGCGCGCCAGGAAGTGACCTGGCGCAGCTCGAAGGTGGCGAGGTATACATTGTATTGTTCGTACCCCAGCCTGCCTACGAAGAGCAAGCGAGGCCGTCACCGGTAGACCCCGTAGGCCATGGGCGAATGCGAATGGCACTCAATGACAGCGCGAGAGGCCAATGGCACAGTGGACAGAAAAGTAGAGTGATAGACAGCCGGATCAAGAGGATGCCTTGAAGTGTTGTCTGTAAAACGCCGCTGCAGTACCAGGCTTGGCGGTTTACTTAAGCGGACTAGCGGCTAACGAGCAGAGTTGAGGAGCGCTCGGGTTCCGTTTCGTCCTCTCCTCCCATCAAGAGCTCCATCGCACCGAGCACCACTCTCCCCTCTTCTTCTTCTGCTTCAATCTCAATTGGTAGCAGAGCTATCACAAGAAGCTTTCTGAGCTCAGCAGCCATGTTCAGGAACGCCCTCAGACAGTCCACCCGCACCGTCGGGGCAATCTCTGCTGCTGGCAGAATTGCTTCGGTAAGTTCATCCATCCATCACCGCCACTGGCCATCGCCGCCAGCGCTTTCGACAAAAGCTTCATCTAGCTCGTCGCCCGCCAGCTTCGATCCGAAACGAAGTCGTTCGCGGCGACGACTGTTGCTGCCTCGCCGCATTGCCCTGCTGGAAGCTCTTCGCAACAACCGAGCGGCTGACTGACGATTTTTCCGCGACAACCCCAGACCCGCACTACCCCGGCCGTCTTCAGCGCCGCCTCCAACCAGCTCCGCAGCTATGCTGCCGACGCGAAGGCCGCCCCCACCGAGGTCTCTTCTATCCTTGAGCAGAGAATTAGAGGTGTGCAGGAGGAGGCTGGTCTTGCCGAGACCGGCCGCGTCCTCTCCGTTGGGTACGCTCGCTCCCTTTTGGCCACTCCAGCAAAGGCCCACGACCGCGATGGCATGGAATGAGAATTGGGTCTGACAATTGGCGTGTAGTGACGGTATTGCTCGTGTCCACGGTATGAGCAACGTCCAGGCTGAGGAGCTTGTCGAGTAAGTTCTCCACATTTTGCACCTATGAGATCACAGTCGCTCATGCCAATTAGGTTCTCCTCCGGTGTCAAGGGCATGTGCATGAACCTTGAGGCCGGCCAGGTCGGTGTTGTGCTTTTCGGTTCTGACCGTCTCGTCAAGGAGGGTGAGACCGTCAAGCGTACCGGTGAGATTGTGCGTATCACTCGCCCCGGCAACGCTCTGGACCGGCACTAATTGAACCCAGGTCGATGTCCCCGTTGGCGTCGAGCTTCTCGGCCGTGTCGTTGACGCTCTTGGCAATCCCATTGACGGCAAGGGTCCCATCAAGACCACCGAGAAGCGCCGTGCCCAGCTCAAGGCCCCCGGTATCCTGCCCCGTCGCTCCGTCAACCAGCCGGTGCAGACTGGTCTCAAGTCCGTCGACGCCATGGTTCCCATTGGCCGTGGCCAGCGTGAGTTGATCATTGGTGACCGTCAGACCGGTAAGACTGCCGTTGCCCTTGACGCCATGCTCAACCAGAAGAGGTGGAACAACTCCAACGACGAGACCAAGAAGCTCTACTGCGTCTACGTCGCCGTTGGCCAGAAGCGTTCCACTGTTGCCCAGCTCGTCCAGACCCTTGAGGAGAACGATGCCATGAAGTACTCCATCGTCGTTGCCGCCACTGCCTCCGAGGCCGCTCCCCTGCAGTACATTGCTCCCTTCACCGGTTGCTCCATGGGCGAGTGGTTCCGTGACAACGGCAAGCACGCCGTCATCGTCTACGATGACCTGTCCAAGCAGGCCGTTGCCTACCGTCAGATGTCCCTGCTGCTTCGTCGTCCTCCCGGACGTGAGGCTTACCCCGGCGAGTAAGTAGCCTTGAGTTGCGCGACCGCAGTAATTCCGAAGCTAACATTCGTCAGTGTCTTCTACCTTCACTCTCGTCTTCTCGAGCGTGCCGCCAAGATGAGCGACAAGCACGGTGGTGGATCCCTGACTGCCCTTCCCATCATTGAGACCCAGGGTGGTGATGTCTCTGCCTACATTCCCACCAACGTCATTTCCATCACCGACGGCCAGATCTTCTTGGAGGCCGAGCTGTTCTACAAGGGTATCCGTCCCGCCATCAACGTCGGTCTGTCCGTCTCTCGTGTCGGTTCCGCCGCCCAGCTCAAGGCCATGAAGCAAGTCGCTGGTTCCCTGAAGCTCTTCTTGGCCCAGTACCGTGAGGTTGCTGCCTTCGCCCAGTTCGGTTCCGACCTTGACGCTGCCACCAAGCAGACCCTGAGCCGTGGTGAGCGTCTTACCGAGCTGCTTAAGCAGAAGCAGTACTCCCCCATGGCCGTCAACGAGATGGTTCCCCTCATCTTCGCCGGTGTCAACGGTCTCCTCGACAGCGTTCCCGTCAGCAAGATCCTCCAGTGGGAGGCCGACTTCCTCGCCCACCTCAGGTCCAACGAGTCTGAGCTTCTTGCCCAGATCGAGCGCGAGGGTGCTCTCTCCAAGGAGCTCGAGGCTAAGCTGAGGGATATCACCAAGAACTTCACCAGCAGCTTCGTGTAAACAAAAGGGATGGTTTGAAAGGAGGAAGTACGTTTTCTAGTCTACCTTGAGCGATTAGAGCCAACGTGCTGATCTGGTGATGTTTTTAGATGTATAATAGAGTATGCGTATCCTCCACAACGGCTGTCTCAATAGGAAAGACGAAGTGCAACACCCGAGCTGCCTCGCCGCTGCGCCACCGAACCCTTTTCCTTTGTTATCGCTGTTGATACACCAGCTTTGCGATCACGCGGCGGTGGATTCGGGGATGGTCATTGGGGCCGTTGTATTTAAGCGAAATCTCATTTTCAAAGTTCTGAACGGTTCTGTTTGCTTTGTGACCTTCACTCTGTTGTTGACTCGGCAATGGCTGCTGGCTAATGATGCTTGCAGAAATCTGCATAAACAAGCGCCAGCGCATCTCAACGTCGTATTGTCATGTGCGACTGTCATTGGTCATTTGAGTTACAGTGAAAGCCGCCGCCGCAATCAAACCATGTTAAGCTGTAGGCGTGGCAGATTTCCACCATTCACTCCGATTTCCCTCACTTGACCACCCACGGGACTTTTGACAGCTTCACCTCCTGGAGCACCCGTAGCATATAAAGGCGACAAGGACTGACCATCTACCCCCAGAACCACAACAGCACTTCTAGACTTCGACGCGGTCTTCCGATAGATAATCTTCAACGACACACCAACCATGGCAGAACCACTCGACGACAAGAGCAAGGGCAAGAACAAAGCCCGCACCGAATCCTTTCCACATCCGCGCCTCAGCGACCCGACCATGGCCATAGGCAGCCTCAGCCTGCCGCCTCCAACCCTCGCGCCCCCATCCCCGCCTCACTCCCCAGAGTCACGCATCACGCACGGCGGGCCCTCAAGCGAACAGCAAGGCTCACCCACCCTGGCGTCCTCGTCAACCACAGCCGGCACCTCGGCCATGGCCACCCACGCCGCCGCCGCCGACACGCCCTACCACGAGCTCACGTCCAGCGAGCCCCCAGCCTCGGACCCGGACGCGCTGACGGCGCATCTGCGCGGGCAGCTCGCCACCGCCACGACGTTAGTGGCCTTCTTGCACACGCAGGTCGACGCCCTGCGCGCTGAGAACGAGGCCCGCAAGGAGCAGACCCAGGACCGCGCCGCGGTGGCTCGCCACGCCCTCGCGGTGCTGCGGCAGGCGTATGCGCGCGGCGAGCGCCTGCTCGCGCACTGTGGGGCGCTGGAGCGGCGGGTGCGGGAAGCTAAAAACAGGAAGAGCGGGGGTGGGGGAGGGGGATGGCGGAAGCTGCTGGGCATGGGAACGGGAGGGAGGAAGAGCGCGGCGAAGGAGAAGGGCCCCGAGCGGGAGCCGGTGCTCGCGGACGCGCTGCCCGGGGCCGGGATTGCGTGCGCGCGGTGCGGCGAGCTGGTGCCGGCGGGCGAGGGCCACAGAGTCCCCCTGCGCTGGCCCGATGGCGGGCTCAATCCGTTTGCGATGCACCCGGATTTCTTGGACACGCGGCACGTGGAACGGCAGGCGCTGGTGGTGGCGGCGGCGGAGCACGGCACCGCTGGCTCTTCTGGCTCTGGGGGTGCGGATGCAGATGCGGATGTGGCTGCTGCGGAGTTGGGCCGGTTTGTGCGCGGCCGCGAGTTGAGGCAGGTGGTGGAGCTGGTGGATGACGGGCTCAGGAAGCTAGGCGAGGGGATTGCGGACGTGGCGGGTAGGGTTGAGGGACGCGGTGGCGGGGGGCGGAGGGAGGGGTATGAGGGCGTGGTGGTGATGCGGTAGGCTGGTGGGTTAGCTGGCTGCCTTTGGTGCTGCTGGGGCTCTTGCTTGGTTCCATTGGTTGCTGGGTGCTGGATGGGGCTTCTTGGGCACTTGGGTGGTTGCCTGACGGAAGTGAGGTTTGTGGGTGATTCAAAGGTCTGCGTAGCGGATAGTACCTAGGTATGGGCTCTTTCGCACCTTGACTCTGCGGCGCTGTTTTGCTAATTCTGGAAATGCAGGCCGAGATCCGTTTTGCTGGACTTGAAGACTTGGAGCTTTGGGTTGCAAGTATCCGCACCAGCTGCATTTTCACCAGCTTCATGCGACCCTGACAATCCTCACCAGAGAATACAAAGGTGCGTACACGCTCGCAAGCCTCTCAAACCGTCGATGCTCGCGATAGACATGGTCTAGACCGCAGTATTGCGCTCCAAAACCCCTGAGGGCGAGGGCGAGGGATATGTTGCTGGTGTTTGTGGGGTGGGGAGGTATCACTATGCCTGCTGGTTTGGTGGACGACTTCGAGGTGTGCTTTCGATTACTAAGGAAGCATTATTCGCTATCTACTCCATAGTTGTGTCGGCTATGCAACTTACTCCTGCCTGTGGCGGTTGGTGGTGGGGAGAAGCGTGTGTGCTTCTCTATACTATCCTATCCGCCCAAATTGGGACTTTTTTGCTACTTAGGTGTGAGTGTGAGTCGTGACTTGTGCCATGGGCAGCTTCAATTGGAGGTAACATGTTGAAGAAGTACCAAAAACAATCTCTAACCTACACTGTAGATCCATGCAGCAGCAGCAGCTTCAATTACAGCATTTTAAAAACAAACAGCAGCAGCACTCCCCTCCGTACATATGTACATCTGCAATCTCCCCAGTGACCCAATCGCACCCAAAAAGACAAGCAGCGCGCCATCCCGCTCGAAAAAACAACCACGCAAGCGCTGATAAGCGGGCAGCTCCACTGATCTGATTGCGGCGCGAGCTACCACACGCCCCGCATACGTCATCGCAGCAGCATCATCGACAGCCACCAACCATTGAACCTCGAGCCTACGTGCAAAACTCTTCTCTGCATTTCACTTGGGCGTCAACCAATTCTTCATCCACACACGCACCACCGCCCACACCACACCACCCACCCACCCACCAAAAAGCCAAACCCAACCATGGCATCCAGCACGCCCTCCCAGCCCCCCCGCTCAGAAGCATACACGACGCCCGCGAACCCCGTCACGCAAACACCCTCGGAAGCCCGCACCGCCGCCGCGCACACTTCCCCCAGCGACAGCGACCCCACGCTCGCGCACCGCACCGCCTCGCAAGACACGCCCTCCTCCGCGGCCGTGCCCAGCGCCCTCGGCCGCGGCATCCACGGCGCGGGCCCGGGCGAAGAAGCGCGCGGCAAGACGGAGGAAGACGTCGGACGGCACAGGGAGCTGGACGCGCAGCAGATGGCTGCGCCCGGCGAAGGGGAGGTGTGGGACGCTGTTGAGGGGCAGGGGAAGGGCGCGGGGGCGAGTGGCATGGAGCGGGATTTGGCGGCGGATTTGGACCGGTGAGTTTGGCGTGTTTTCTTTGTTTGCGTTCGTGTTTTCTGGAGGTTGTGTTTTTATGCTGTTTTGGGGGTGAGAAAGGAGTGGTTTGCTAACGAGGCTTCTTGTGCGCACTGCAGGAAGAAGGCCGAGCAGGCGCCTGCTAGAGAGGCCATCAAGGCCGAGCGCGCCCACGATGTCGATGTCGCTGGCGTGTTGGGCCAGCGCGGCGGGCCGGCGAACCCGGTTGGCAAGGACGGGTACCCGAACACGGGGTCTGGCTAGGCTAGAGGGCACGAGAGGGAGGAGAGACTGCGTGTGCCTTACCTGAGGCATTTGGCTGGGGTTGATGGACATGGACATGGACACGGATAAGGGTAGGGTTAAATTCTAGGGACACTGGATGGCTTGCATGAATCATGACTATTCCTTGCGGCTGGATGAGCGTCCGCGGAGGATTCGCGTCGTCTCTGTCTGCCCTTCTTGGGGTTGCTTCTGTCTTTTGTGCCTCGTGTCCCTCTTCTATACTGCAGTTGCCTACTGCGGGACCATGGCTCTCTGGCTTGGTGATCCTGGAGCCTTTCCCTATGCCTTTTCTCTCCCAAATTGCTACGTATACCCTCTGACGACGCGGCCCACCATCGTTGTTGCCATGGAGCATAGCTGTTGGACTACTCTCTTGTCCCAGGACATGTTTGACTGAACAGCAAAGAGAGGATTCCTCAGAACGTCGTGAGCAAAGCCCAGCATAAATTCAGCCATCATCACTCCCCAAGGGTCAACTGCTGTGATATATCGAAAACGGTACATGCGGAGGAGCAACGTCGCTCTCGGCATGCAACCCAAACTTTCCTAACGCCGGCGCTATGCAAAATCATCATCTCGGGAGACGTCTCAAGTGTCCATGGCGTTTTCCATGACAACGTCCTTGTCCTCTGCGGCCTCGGCCACGAAGCCATTGCCCGCCTTGATCGTGTCGAGCTTTGCGGTTTTCGCTTGCGTCTGCGTGATCCAGTCGTTGAGGGACTCGGGACCGCCGCCTTCGATCTTGACGGGCCGGTCTTCTGCGGGTATGCCGATGACGGTGCCTTGGTATCGCGACTCCTCGCCCGTTTTGCTGTGTTTCTTCTTGAGCGCTGGAGCAGGCGTTAGTCTCGAGCATAAGACCAAAGGATTGTTTACACAGAGTCTGTCATACCAGTCAAGTAGTCCTCCTTGGGCACGGCGCTTTCAGCGGCCTCGATGCCCTTGGCGACATCCAGGCCGGCAATGCGCATGATTTCCTTGTTGACGGGCCCCATGACCCAGTCGAGGAAGTCGCGGACGTCGGCCGTGTCCTCCATCTCGCGACGACGGGCCTCTTTGGCGCGCAGGCCGTTGCGCTCGGGATACTCGTCGAGCGGGCGGCGCAGGATCTCCTTCCAGGCCTCCTCGGCGCCCGTCATCGAGGGGATGAGCAGGCCGGCGTCCGTCATGGCCATGCGGGCGTCGCTGACCGTCGGCACGGCCTCGTTGTGGTTCGACCACGCGTGGTACGCCGTGCGCTGGGCGAGCAGCAGCATGTACCGCGCCGCGATGTCCGACACGGCGTCGACGACGGATGGCCGCGCGCTGTGGTAGCCTGCGGCGCGCAGGATGTGCAGGATGGCGGGTCGGAGTAGGGCGGCGTGCAGGTCATTGGCGGACATGGTGGTGGTGCGGCGGTCGTCTTCTTCATGGCGCGACGCGCGACGGAGAGAGAGCGAGCGGGTGTGACGAAGTTGCTTGCCAGCGGCGGAACTTCCGTGTCAACCATGGACTGAATCGCACCTTCCTCCACACGCACATTCACTCACTCACTCGCCCATTCACATCTTCCTCCTGTGGCCCATCATGGACGCGCCGCCTCCACCACCAAACAACAACGGCAACAAACCCAACCGCCCGGCCATGAAGCTCAAGCTCACCACCGGGCCGCCCAAGCAGCCCTCGCAACCCCCGCCAACCCCTCCAGTCCAGACTCCCGGCGGCACCAAGCTGAAGCTGAAGATCGGCGGCTCCTCCTCCAACACTCCCGTCGCCGAACAAGCACCTGCCTTCCCTTCAGCGCCGTCCGCACAGGCGCAACAGCCTCCCAAGCCAAAGCGCAAATACACCAAGAAGCCAAAGGACCCCGCCGCCGAAGGAAGCGCTGCTGGCGCCGCGCCCAAACCCATAAAGAAGCGCAAAGCCGAAGGTGAGGGCGACACCACCGCGTCGCCCAAAAAGCCAAAGCCTACAACCCTCAAGATCAAGCAGGAAAAGGGCCATGCCGCGCCGCAGTCTGCCTTGCAACGCAAGCCCTCTCTCTCGATCAAGATCAAGAACAAGCCTACCCCCACCACCATACCGCGCATCAAAGTAAAACATGTTGGCCAGCCCCCGCCGCGCCCGGCTGGTGTTGGCTACGACAGTGAAGCCGAGGACATTGAAATCGACCCCGCCATCGAACACCAGATGATCCTGCGCATGCTGCCTGGCCCCGACTGCGACTACCTGCGCAAGGCCATCGAAGAGCGGCGGCTGGGCGTACCGGTCAAAGATGGCGGCGCGGACATACAGTTTCGGTTCTTTGACCGCGAGGGTCGCCGCGCTTGCATCACGGTTCAGGGAAACCACTACGCGGCATCGCTGGTCGATCTGCCGTGTGTCATCGAGGGCATGAAGAGCTGGGAGAAAAAGGCAGGATGGTTCAAGAGCGCGGATATCTGCCAGATGCTGCTTGTACTCGGCAAGGTGGACAACGAAGACGCGGCCAAGGACTTCCAGCTGCCCCGCGAGGTGGAGAAGGACACTTGGCAGTACCCCCACGGCTTGACGCCTCCCATGCACTACGTGCGCAAGCGCCGCTTCCGCAAGCGCGTGAGCTACCGCACCATCGAAGCCGTCGAGGAAGAGGTGGAGCGGCTTCTGGAACTAGACAACAAAGCAAAAGAGACGGGCGGCGTCACCGAGTACGAGATCGTAGACCTGCACAGACAGCGCGACGGCAGTTCTGTCATGGGCGAGGAGGACGGCGCATACGAGCAAGAGCTCATCGACGACCAAGCCATGGACGACGGCGGCTTCGAACTCGACGAAGCAACCATGGCACGGCTCATGGAGCAAGAGCTCGGCGGCGACGACCACGAAGAGCACGCATCCGAGATTGTCAAGTCGGTCGAAGGTGCCATGTCGGCCAACGACATTGACGCGGCGCACGCCGTCGTGTCGCATGCGCTGGGGCAGGAGACGACGCCAGCAGCGGAAACGCCCGGCGGGCCCTCGGCGGCCGAGACGGAGCAGTCGGAGTCGGAGTCGGACGAAGGCGACGACGACGACGTGGACGAAGCGGCAATGGCAGCACAGCAAGAAGCGGCACAGCAGCGCGAAGAGATTGCCGACCTGCAGCGCGAAGTGGAAAACGCACGGCTGCAGATGGAGAAGCAGAGCAACCCGCTGCTGAAGAACAGACTAGCCGCCAAGTTCAAGAGCCTGCAAAGCGACCTGGAGCTGAAGAAGGCGAGCCTGGGCGACGAGTGGGACGAGTGAGTATCTTGGCAGTTTGTCTGTACGCGGGATATGCTGATGTGCGCACGCTTTTTTCCTTGTGTGGTAGTGGCTTGTTTGAACCTCGCATGCGTATTCGCGCGCTTCGTCAACTGATGGCTGAGGCCGAGGAGAAGGCGCAAGGGCAGGGCAATCTCCTGCTTAAGACGAGGTTGAGGGCGCAGTGTGAGGAGTTAAGGAGGGAGTTGGCGGTTAGAGAGGAGGAGCTGCGCGCGGGGTTGGTGTTGTTGGAGGAGAGGGTGAAGAGGGAGAAGGTGGGGGTAGAGGTAGAGGAGGTAGAGAAGGGGGAGGAGAAGCCGCCGGGTACGGAGGGCAGGAGGGACAGTTTGCTGGCTTGATTGCTTGCTTGCTTGCTTGCCTGCCTGCTTGCCTGCCTGCACATCTACATAGGTAGCTAGCTAGCTAGCTAGCTGGCGCGTGCGTGCTTGCTTGCTTGCTTGCTTGCTTGCTTGCTTGCTTGCTTGCTGGCGAGGCTGGGCTGGATTCCGCGGCTGGATAGACGACTCTAGCGCGGGCTCTGGGATGGAGTTGGGGGTTATGGAGCATGGTGTGCGTATGGGTATGGAGATGCTGGCGGTGGGTTGGGGCGGATGCGTCGTGCGAGACCTGTGGATGGGGAGGTATCTGGCGTCCTCTCTTTCATTTGCACCCTTTCTCTCACACTTAGGGTCATCTGCACACTCACGCACACACTCTCTTTGTCGGTGTTTGTGGGTTTGGGTGTGGAAGGGTGTGTGGAGGGTATGGGTGGAGCTCTTCTATTTCTCAGAAAGCAGTATTGGCTGGGTATCAAATAGCAGCAGTGCTCTTGCGTTCATGCACTTCGTACCTATACATGCCTCTTCTGCACTCTCTGGTCTACAGTACAGTACGGCACTGAAGACGATACCTAGGAGGAACACGCCTATCCCATCACAACCACAACCAACAAACAGTGCTAGAGAAAAAACGAAACGCAAGCCGCTGAATTACTTTAATAAAAAAGTCGTGTATAGTACAAAGTCGTATCCGTCATACTCATTCCCTGCCTAAGTAAGCACGCAGGCAGGCAGACTACTGCTCTGCTCTACAGCCTGCTTTTCCGACTCTCTGTTCTATCCTTTCACATGTTAGGCTTGGCGCCCGGCTCGCCCACCGTGTTCAAGAAAGCCTGGTGCACATGCTCGGTCAAATCACCCGCCTGCAGCGCGCGGCCCTTGTCCTTGAACGCGATGCGCGAGCATTCACGGGTGATAGTGCTGCCGCCATAGGCAGCGAGCGTGAGCAACTCCGCGGCGCCCAAGTCGCCATCATGGTCCCAGATCTTGTCGAGGTAGGCAGCGCGCCACGCCAGCAGCGTCGCCAGACTGCCCGTCAGCGTGTCGCCCTGGCCACCCGAGCGCTTGTAGCCGCCCTCGCCCTCGGACACGAGCGTCTGCTCGCCGTTGCTGATGTAGTCGACCTTGCCCTTCTGGATGATGGTGACGCCGCCGAACGCGCTGGCGAGTCGCGCGCACACCGTCTCGGGCGCGCCCTCGCTGACATCGAGGCCCTTGGCTTTGGCAAGCCGCCCGAACTCGACCACGTTCGGCGTCAGGATGCACTCTTTGTAGCCGTGGACGAGCTCGGGCCGGGTTTGCGCGAGGAACAGCCCGTCCGCGTCCAGCACGAAGGGCAGGTTCTTCTTGCGCGCTTCTTGGATCACCCGCGCGCACGTGTCTTGCATCAGGCTGTCGCGCCCTAGCCCGGGCCCGATCACTATCACGTGCAGCCGCGAGAGCATGCCGATGACTTCTTCGGCGACGCTTTCGGCGCTCTCGTTGCTGCCCAGGTTCTTGGCTTGCCGCATGTACGGGTGCACCATTAGGTTCGGGCTGTACGTCTTGATGACGGCGCCGGCGCCAGGCTCGCAGATGACGTGCGACTGTGCGGGAGGAGCGGCGTTAGCATATCATCAAACAAATGTGCTGCTGAGGGGGTAGGGAGTGTAGTTGTTGTGCGGAGCGCGTACCATATCACAGCCCAGCTTCGCCGATGCCATGGCCGAGAAGTACGGCGCGCCTGTGTAATCCTCGCTGCCGCCAATGACGCCTACGCGGCCCAATTGCCCTGTCTCGCAGTCAGCGTGTGCGCACCCCGCTGGCGACGCGGCTCGGCTCACCCTTGTGGAAGCTCTCAAGCATGGGCGGAACCATCTTGTAGACCTTGGAGAGGATCTCCTTCCTGGAAGCGTTGGCCATGGTGAATGCGGCTTATTACTTGTTTACGACTTTGGGATATGCAGTGTGTTGGGTAGGGTATGGAAAAGCAGCGTGTGAGTGAGGTAGGCGTGTGGTGGTGGGAAAAGTGTAGGTAGAATGGGTTAAGAAGCAAGAGCGGCGTTGCGTAGTGGTGTTGAAAGCTTCCCAAAGCTCTCCCCCACGTCATAGCGGAGACCCGCCACACCCGCTTGTGGCGTGGGCACTGACGTTCCGATGACACGGCGTTTGGTTGCCAGCTCGACCTGGACCGCAGACGAGATCGATCGTAATGGCTTTTTTTTTTTTTTTTTTTCCTGGCCAGGCTCCCAGGCTCATCATATGCTCATGTAGCCGCCGAAAGAGAAAAAAAAAAGTTGGCTCGCTGCCGGCAACTTTCCAAGCCGGAAGCGCCACAGACTACCTTAGGTACCTAACCTACCTGCTCTATGATCGAGGACTTCATATTCCCTCCGCCAAAGGCGAGGACTCCGTATGCAAGAATGAAAACCAAAAGCCCCGTTTGTGATCTAAAGCTCAATATGTCCATTAGAGACTTTGTTCGTCTCAGTCATCCAAAACGCCGTACCCACAGCCCACGCATGATAGAGCAAAAGGGAGAGTCCAAAGTTCCTCCAAATGAAAAACGCAGACAGGACAACGCTCAAATGCACGCAGTACTCGCACCGGCCTACTTGATCCGCTCCAGCCTGGAGCGATTCATGGCAATCTGGTCGTCCACCTTGTCCGTCTTGTCCGTAATGCGCGTAATGTGCCTGTTCTGCTCGTCGACCTCGGTTCCCATGGCACCAGCAAGGCCCTTCAGCCTCCCCGCCGCGCCGTGCAGAGCGTCCAAGTTGGCGTCGATCTCGTTCTCCATCTCGTCGTCCTCCGAGTCCGCCTCGAACTGGAACTTGGAGCGCTCCGCCAGCGACGCCTTGGTGTTGCCCGCTCCGCCACCGGGCCGCAGTTCCCGCGAGAACTGCTGCTGCCGTTGCGACGACGCAAAGGCGTTCGAACGCGTCTCGTCGCGCTGGTCGCGCTCGCGACGGTGCGTGTCCATGATCTGCTCGTCGCGCTCGGCGCGCCGCTTGGACGCCGTAAAAGGGTTGGACACGTGCATGGCAAACATGGACTTGTTGAGCGTCTTGAGCTCCCGCGCCTTCTCCTCAGCAAGCCTGTTCTGGTTCTGCGAGAGGTCGAGGTTTTTCTCCGTGTTGTGAATCCTCTCTCCCTGAGCGCCCAGGCGGCCCAGAGTATCCCGACCAGTTTCCTCAGCCTGCGCCGCCAGACGCAGTGCATTCCGGGTCGAAGAGACGTCCTGCTGCTTCACTGCGCGGCTGTTAGTATTTCCCAGGAAAGCTCTCCGGACGGAAACTTACTGAAGCGAATCTGTTGCTTCGCACCCTGGACATCCTCCTCCTCTTCCTCTTCAGCCGTAAGCTGACGGTCGGCATAGGCACCGTAGTCGTTGCTGGAGCCGCCGCCATATCCGCCAGCATCAGCACCATATCCACCAGCGCCAGACGGTGGAGGAGCCTGCTGCGTCCTCTGCGCCGCGTTGCCGAACAGCTGCTGACGCCCAGCGTCTGTGTTCATTGTCTCCTGGGAGGACCTACCGCCCATGCCTCCGTAGCCGCCAGCACGCTGACCACCGCCGCCGAAGCGGTCTTGGCCGTAGGCGCCCTGCGAGCCGTAGTTGCCAGAGCCGCCGTAGCCTCCGGGAGGTACTGGGGACTTCTCCATGCGAGCGCGGTCGCTCATCCCCCCGCCACTGTAGGGCGGCGGTGCCTGAGCATAAGGGTCGGCCTTACCGGGAGGAGCGGCGTAGGGGTTCGAGGGGGCGGGAGAGGACGACTTGTCCACGGACTTGTCTTTCTTGCTAAAGAGACCCATGGCGGTGGTGTATGTGGTGAAGGAGAAGTAGTAGGGAGAAGTCAGGGTCGAACAATCGGCCGGGTTTTTATTTTGGCAGCGGTCAGACAGAAATTATGCAATCAGGTTTGAAATGTCTGCCGCTTTTTGTTTTGATTTTGGTAGTGGCCAGGCAGAAGTTATAGGTCGAGCAGGACGCCGCGACTGTCGAGTTTGTGGGCGACGGGGAGCTCGGCGGGAGCTCGTCGGAATGGGAAAAGTAACGGACGGGAGGGCCAAATTTTGGGCTACTGAGCTGGGTCTTTAAGTTTCCATGCAAGAAGTTGAAGGGTGAAGGGGGTTGAGAGTGATTTCGTATAACTGAGGCGGAGCTTGTGTTACTTGACCCCGAGGGGTTTGGGGTCGGCAGGTCGGGCTGCGATACAGGCACGTCCATCGCCGCTCCAGGAACGCGCACTTGGCGTCCCACCAACGGCCCACGCCCAATCGGGCATGCTTGCGGAGTAGGACATGAAACCCATCCAAAGCACCCATAGCAACATACATCGCCGATTCGCATTCCTCTACCCGGGTATTCTGTCGTTTCTACGCTCGCCTCTACCCCTCTGCTCAGACCGTGCCGCCCGACGCCTGTAAATGATACAGAGCGCTCTCGTTCCATGTACACTCGTCCTGGTCTGTCTGCACGCCCTCGTCCAACGCTGCGTGCTCCTCCTGCGTGAATATCTCCGTTCCATCCACCACGGGGAATGGCGTCAGGATGCGGCCGATATCCCCCCACCAAACCTCGCCAAATTGCCTATACCATTCGACCGTGATGCGCAAGCCTTCCTCGAAACCTGTCCGCTGTTGCCAGCCCAACTTGGCGAGCTTTGTGCCGTCCGTGGCGTAGCGATGGTCATTGAATGGCCGATCTGCCGTGTATTCAACCCAACGACCAAGTTCTTCGGGTGTGCTATGGGGCAAGCCAAACAGGTCCAAAAGCCTTTGGCAGATGCCGAGATTCGAGACCTCATCTTTCGAGGCGATGTTGTAGGTTTGGCCCACTGCGCCTTTGTGGAGTATGGTGTCTATCGCATCTGAAGTATCCCCGGCGTAGAGGTAGCGGCGCGTTGGAGTGCCATCCCCGTGCAGGAGCAATTTCCGTCGTCGATTTAGGAGCATGGCGAATTTGGGAATGATTTCTATCAAAAGTGATTGTCAGCTCAGGCGCATCTCAGAGGTTTGATGAGCCGTACTTTCTGGGAATTGGTGTGGTCCGTAGACATTGTTTGCCCTTACGATGATGACTGGGAGCTTGAAGCTCTTCCAGTAGGCATTTACCATCATCTCGGCGGCTGCCTTGCTGGCAGAGTACGGGTTTGTGGGTGCGAGTATACTGCTTTCGATGAGGTCATCGCCATCCGATTCGACCTCTCCGTACACCTCATCTGTGGATATATGAATGAACCTCTTCACACCGTATGCCTTTGCGCTTTCCAAAAGGACATGCGTGCCGTAAACATTGGTATTCGTAAATTGGTACGAGTTGCCGAAACTGAGGTCTACGTGCGACTGCGCCGCAAAATGGCATATGATGTCTATGTTGTGGGATTTGAGACAGCGCATAACGTCCGTCGGAGAGGTAATGTCGCCTTGGACGAAGGTAAAGTTGGGCAGACCCTCGAGTATCCGGGTGTTGTTCAGCGAGGCGCAGTAGTCGAGTTTGTCAAAGGAGTAGACGTTGTAGTGATCAGGGTACGTCAAGACGAGATGGCGAACGAACCAACAGGCGCTGTAACCTCCCGTCAGTGACTGGGCTATGTCGTGCGCGCTGCCTTGGGGCGGCCGTAAGGCGCAACGCAGGGCGCGCGCCGATGTGGTAGCTGGGAACGTACATGAACCCAGCGCCGCCGGTGACCAAGATGTTCGTCACATCGGGCAGCGGCTCGAACTTGGTTGTGCCCTTGAGTATGGGCGCGAGCTTCCATATGGTGTGTTCGACGTAGGACTTTGGGTTCAGGAGCGTCGAGCTTCTGCGACCTATTTTCTTATCAGCCATGCTTTGAAGAGGTTGAGCGGGTTGTTGTTACTAACGGGAACGCCTGATTTGGCCCAGGTGCTCATCTGGGCTGGTGGCTGGTGACATTATTCAGGCAGTGCGGACTTGAGTCGCACGTTGTCCTTGAAAGCTTGAGGCAGGTCATTTGGGGGTATCATGCTAGCATGCCTCCAAATAGCACCCATTCGCAGGATTCGAATGTCGCGAGACTCTGCTCTGGGGTTACCTAGGCAAAAGCCGCGACGGCTTCGAGTAAGCGAGCGCGCGATGACGAGCCATCGTCAATCAAATCCCCGTCCTCGGCGTTTTTACGGTGCGGGGATCTCATTACGGGACTTGTGCACAGGCGACAGATATCTTTCATGACAATAGATTCGCATGAGGTCTTCTCACATCTACACTCCCATCACGTCCAAGGTCTCATGCTTTTTGACGGCCAGCTAGATACCCAAACGCGCTAAAATTACACCTGGAAAGGGAGCCTCGTCCGCGGAAACATGGAAGTGGTCCCTGAAACCGCCCCCACATACACACAAACAATCTGATGCCCGAGACGCCGGTCGTAAGGGTACGAGAAAGGCAGGTCAGCGAGGATTGGCAAGGATTGGCTGCAATCATAGCTGGCTACCACGCGTTGACGTCAAAGTACTCCTGAAAACATTGTCAGTGTCACCAACCAAATGAATACCCAACGCTTATATAGGAGCCTTACCTCTCCGAAGAAGGTGACGACGACAGTGCGATCATCGAATTTCCTGCCCGCCAGGGCACGCAAGGCTTTCTGGGCGGATTCAGGAGTATCGTACTTGACGTAGATCTTGCCGACACCAGGGTTCGTCCTGCTACCGCTGGGTCTCGGGATCTTGAGGTCGAGGACCTGCCCAAACTTTTGGCACTCCTCCCGGACGTCCTCCACAATTTCTATACAAGTCAGCAAGTTGGAATCCAGGGGAAAAAGCGTAAGTGGGCAAACTGACCTTCATACTCATCATTGTCCATGAGTTCTTCGGGAGTAACCATGTTGAGAAGCTGCAACACACGACCCTGCTCGACATCGGACGAGGTACCTGCAAGCATGGACATGGCGTTGACTCCCATCTCCAAGCCCGAAGCCTGCTGCACGCCAATACTGGCCTTGCCAACCTTGAGATGCTCTTCGCCAAGTTCCATGCCGTTCAGGCCCTCGACAGCGATGTCAGTAGCAGTGGGGTCAAGATATTCACAGAATGCGATGCCCTGTCAGGATGTCAGCGTATGACTCGGAACGTTTTGCCCAAACTTTCTCACCCTCGACTGCTCCGAGCTCGTGTCCTTCACCAACACAAATGCCTTCAGCTCACCGAAGGAAGTAAGCAGCTCCGTCACTTGTTCTTCAGAAAGGTAAGCTGGGATGTGAGTGACGCAGATCTTGTTCGGCGTGTCCTTGACCACGTTCGTAACAACACCCTCCTGGTAATCAGCCTCATCGGCGATAGCCGGGACAATGTAGTCCTTCGGGCGGCGAATAGTGAGACCGGCGCGGTCACCGTTCGCAGCGCCGTTCGTCTCATCCCCAGATTCCATCGAGATGCCATCCAATGCCAGTGCCAGCGTAGTGTCCTCAGAGGTCCTAAACTCCAAGAGTGCAAATGCCCTGTCTTTCGGGATGTGCGCGGACACGCAGGCATCTTGACCTTGCACAATGTTCATGCCATTCAGATGCAGATTGAAGAACTCTTGGACGCTCTCCTCGGTGGCAGAGGCAGGAATATTGTAGATGAAGAGGCGCTTCGACTGGCGTGCGTTGGAAGGCTTGAGAGCGGAGGCATTGGCGGAGCCGGCGGGCTGGTTCATGAAAGCTTGCAGTCGGCTGGGGTCCATGGGTTGCTGACGAGGGGCACCTGGCAGCGGGAACATGCCCGACAGCTTTGCTTGCTCGGCCGTGACATTTTCGTATCCGGGAGGCTTGATATCCCACTGCGTCAGACGGCGTCTGCGCTCTAAGATCGGAACAGTGTCCGTCAAGTCTGGCGTAGGCTCCTTCTTCTTAGGGGGCGGCGACGCGCTCCTCTTCCTCTCCCGTCCACCGAAGCCATCACGGTCTCTCCTCCCTCCACGTCCGCCACGGTCATCGAACAAATCGCGATCCCGGCGCGGCGGTCTTTCATCGTCGTCCCTCCTGTCTCTGCGCCTCCAGCTACGGTCGTCGTCCCGATGTCTTTCCCTGCCTGCGTAGCGGTCTTCGCGCTCGCGTTCTCTGTAGTCGCGGCTTGAAGAATAGGTGTCGACTTCGTAGTCGCGCCTCGAGCTGCGGTGGCCCGGGGACCTGGAACGGCGTCTGCGATCACGGTCGCGGTCGCGACGGTCATCTCTGTCTCCGCGCGAAGACTGAGCGAAAGAAAGCCGTCAGAATGAGGTCTTTGGGTTGTACCGGGGGTGGGATACTCACGTAGTGGTCGCGCGACCTACCGCTGTCTGTTTGACGCGAATCAGCGAATGTTCTTCTGTCGAGGGCAGAGCGGCTGATCTCACCTCGGTCGCCGTTCATGGCTGGCGATTTGCGCAACTGTATTCCTTAACCAAGGGTGCGCGGGTATCAATTATGCCCGAAGAGGCTAATGAGAGGGGTTCGCGAGGGGGTGATGAGCAGACGCTGAAGTGAAGGTCTGGAGAGAGCTTGCGGAGGCGGTGGTCGATTGAGCGAGGCTCAAGAAAACCAGACGCTAAAACCGCAGCCACAGAAAGCAGCACACATTGCCGCGGGAATCGAATGCTTTCACCGCAGTGGTGCGAGAATCACATCTTATAAGCAGTCACGTCTCCCAAATAGTTACATTCACCGTTCTTTGTAGGCTTTTCTGTTTACCTACGTGTTACTGTTCGACCTGCAACCCGCGTGGTGAGGCGCAGGCGCGTCAAGTGGCGTCGCGTCTGCCATCTTGACGATTGCCCTTCGAGGTCTCTTTTCACACTCGTTTTAGACAACTGTTGCAACGGGTTTCTTGCATCTTTTCTAACTGCACAAAAGCCATGGTCAACTTGCACATCACGGAATGGCGCAAGCTACCTATTAACTTGACTGAGCTTTGCATCAATACAACGTTGCGCTGTGGCCAGTCCTTCAGGTTGGTCAACGTGGGTACCCAAGTACGCTGGGATTGGCTAACTAGATTGCAGATGGAGAAAATCTGCTGAAGATGAATGGTCCATTGCTCTGCACGGCCGCATTATCTCCCTCCGGCAAGATGCAGAGTGTCTTCATTATCGAGCCATGTTCCCAGAAACCACCAAAGCCATTCCTACCCCGCCTTCAACAGACTCTCCCGCGCCCGCAGGAGACGATACTTTGGCCCTCATCAATCACTACTTCAACCTCACGCCGAACCTCGGCCAACTTTACGAACAATGGGCGGAATCAGATGCCAATTTCAAAAAGAAGGCCCCGAAGTTCACAGGCGTTCGCATATTGAAGCAGGACGCATGGGAGGCTCTCGTGGGCTTCATATGTAGCAGCAACAACAACATCGCGCGGATCTCGCAGATGGTGGAAAAATTGTGTACAAATTATGGTACGTTGATAGGGCACATAAACTCGACTCCATACCATGATTTTCCGCCGGCCTCTGTCTTGACAGACCCCAAGGTCGAGCAAAACCTCAGACAACTGGGCTTCGGATATCGTGCCAAATATTTGTACAAAACAGCGTGCATGGTTGCCGAGGAAAAGGGAGAAGACTGGCTTGACGGTTTGCGGAACCCCGAAAGCCCACTGTTGGGTGTTGAAGCAAAACCCGCAGGGGAGTTTATGGAAGGAGGTCGCGAAGGCTATAGGCTTGCGCATGAGCAATTACTTTCGCTGCAAGGTGTCGGACCCAAGGTCGCAGACTGCGTGTGCCTCATGGGTTTGGGCTGGGGAGAAGCTGTTCCGGTGGATACTCATGGTAAGCTGCAACAAGGTCCATCTTCGTCCGATGCAACTGACTTTGGGTTAGTATGGCAAATTGCACAGCGAGACTACAAATTTGGCAAGGGCAAGCATAGTAGTCTAACAAAGGCGACCTACGATGCTGTTGCGAACAAGTTCCGTAGCCTTTGGGGCAAGGAAGCCGGATGGGCACATTCCGTGCTTTTTACTGCAGACTTGAAGGCTTTCTCAGAAAGACTAGTGGCCAAAGTCGAAAAGAAGGATGAGATGGTGGAAATTAAGCCTGAGGCTGACGTACCTGTGGTTGAAGCCGTGACTGAAGAGAAGAAAGTGGTGAGTAAGAGGGTAAAGAGGGAACCGGATGATCACGAGCACCAGGTCCTTGAAGTCCAAGAAAGAGTGGTGAAAAGGACCAGGAGAAGTAGTAGAAAAACATAAGACCTACAGGTAGGAATTATTTATTTTGGGATAACAAATCACATTCTTAGGTGTTCCTTGTCTTGAGGTCCAACGATATACAAATGCCATGATCAAAGGTTAACAGATATACATAACGTAGTTTGGATTTTGTGCGTACGCAAACGAGTGTTTTTATATGCAACGGTTTTGTGAGCATTTTCCTATTCGCAGCGACCGCCTGCCACTTTTCAAGCAACTAGAAAAAGACGCTTGTCTTAATAAAGGTCAGTCAGACACATGATGTTACCGGTTGGAATGTTTTACCTCGGGACCAAAGCGGCAATACTTCCGTTTCCAAAGCTCGGCGCAGCAATCCAACGAACGAGCGCAACTTGTGAGCTCGTGACAACCGCCATCAACAATTTCGCTACGCCCCGTGTTGGTGTTGGTCAGATATCCAACTCTCCGCTGACGTTGTTGCACAAATGAGGCCACAGGGCCAGGCCAAGCCTTTCATGGAATGGAAGTGAAGTTGCACTGGATTTCAGGTGCGCGGGCACCGCCAGACAATTACGTCACACTGCCTCAACTGACAACCTACAGCCTAACAGCCCGACACACCTTGTGCCAAACGGCACTAATCCACAACGTGCAACCTCCTCGGATTCCTACCTAATTCCCAGGAAAGATCGATCACCGCAGTTCACGACATCGCCATGATGAGCGGCGCAATCGAGTCAAAGCCGCTGCCGCGCTACTTCAAAAATGATATGGAACCATCCAGACGGGATCCTTACAAACAACTGACAGCTTCGCTGACGCGGTTGGTCAACGATTATCCTCCTGACCAGATCCCGCCTGGAGGTGGTCTCTACTATGGTCCAATTTCCGTCTCCTATCTTTTCTTCCGCCTCCAGCAACTGTACCCGGAAATGACCATCGGGGAGTATGCTCTGGGCTCGTGGTTTGCGGCATACATTGAGCTCGCACAGAAGCACATGAAGCAATACCCCGGACCAAGCGCCAGCAAGTGTGGAGTGAGCGACGACATCATGTCTCTCCTCGCCCTCGGCGCTGCTTCTGCTAAAGACAAAGACATGGCTAAGGAGCTATGCAACTACGCTGCTATTGCGACGGCCGAAGATGCTTCCAACGAATGGCTCTACGGACGTGCTGGCTACCTCTACTTGCTGCGCTTAGTGCGGGCTTCTTTCGAGGATGATAGGGAAACCAGAGACCTCATTGATGATACGGCGGATGAGGTCATTGATGCCATATTGGATGCACCACGCCCGTGGAAATGGCACGGCAAAACATATCTAGGTGCCGTTCACGGATCTATCGGCATCATCACGCAGATCATCCTCACCGATCCCGTTATGGCTCCGAAATTGGAGCCAGAGCTGGGCGCTTTGTTGAGCTACCAGTATGAGAGCGGCAACTGGCCATCCTCTGTCCCACCGGGTAAGGATCGCTTGGTGCAGTTCTGCCACGGTGCTCCCGGAGCCGTTGCGTCCCTTCAGTCTATCAGACAATACTTTCCAAAGCTGCAAGACCGCATCGACAAAGCGATCAAGCGCGGCCAAGCATGTATCCTCGAGCGCGGACTCCTGACCAAGGAATCTTGCCTGTGCCACGGCATTTCGGGCAACGCTCTGGCGCTTGAGGACCCGCACTTTGAGCACTTCCTTACTTTCACCACGGGCCACGAAATGAAGGCCATGCTTAAGGACGGCATGTTGGAAAAGTCAGACGATCCGTCTGCATTGTGGTGCGGAGAGGCTGGTCGTGCGTGGACTTGGGCGGTGGCGGACAAACAACTTGACAGAAGATTTTTGGGCTACAACGATATCTAGCCGCGGAGGCTGGTGAACCTGATGACTTGATGCCGGTTACGACTGCACGAATGGTTACTGATCCGAGTCCTGCAAAGGCCGTTCTCTTCCCGCTTTGAACCACATGTGCGTCTGAAACATGCAAGATCTGGGAGGGCTCGAAGGTGTGGTTTTCTCTTTCTGCTGCGGACTTCTTCCTTCTTACATAGCCACTGCTCTGGTACAATAGCTAGGAATGCTAATACCACTACATTTCGACCACGACCATAGCCGCGTAGTTCCGGGATCAACATGGAAGTACCAGATAGTGATGATCTTGGCTTGCCAATATCCGTGATCGATCTAGTGTGACACAACGTGTCTCTTGTTACCACGGCACCGTGCATTCGGAAAGGCATTCATCGCTTCCCACCGCTTCTTTGTTGCAGCACAACGACTAGCTGATTATGGATGAAGGATTGCACATGGATGGGAAGCTGGGACGCGCAAGGCTGGCTGCCGAGGAAATTGAGGTTCTGCTCGGGCACATGGATCATTTGGCGATCAAGAAGGGTCATTGTTGAATAGGACTTCAGGAGGTGGGAACATAGCTGGGACTGCTAGCACGGCTAGCGCCAACGGTCGTAGGGCGTCTCTGGTCTGGAGCAATCCAGCTAAAAGGTACGAGGTGATAGGACGGGTGGTTAAGAGCCGGATGCTAAGCGGTTGATGGCCGCGTTTGGCAAGTGGCTGCGCCTCCGCACGGTGAACGGGCCCGACAAGGCCACTCGCATTCCCGGCAAACGCCAACGCGTACACAGAACGGAGGGGAGATGCCGTGTCTCGGAGGCCAGTGGAGGGAAATTCACGAGGACGAGGTTCGAGGCTAGGAAGGAGCTAGAGCGACGGCGCTCCCGAGAGGCTCCGCTTCGGCAGCTTGCAAGTAGCGTGGGCAGCGTGGCTGGCAGCAGCTGTCAGGCGTACCACGGATGAGCAGGGTGTTCGTCAATGTGATGCGGCGTGGAAGCGTGGAAGCTACCACCCCTTGCGGCGCTCGAGGGAGTCTCTTGGTTTTGGATGGCAGCACGAGGGGCCGAGCTGGGGATCAGCTTGTGCAGGAACCGGATGACGGCGCGCATCGGGGCTGCATGACGCTTGGGACAAGCGCGGTGGAGCGGAAAGTGGATACGGCGGTCGCACGCCGTGAGTGGCTCAGGAGCTCATCTAACTGGAGGCTTGGCGGTTTGGGCGTGTGTTGTGCCTGCTGTGGCCTGGACTACCGCGTGAAGGAGACTTTCGACCTTACCAACTCCACCACCAAGACCCGTCATCTTCGTGCCTCAGACCGACGACGACGTTCACGACGCCTAATTCTCACCACAGTCATTCGTTACAGCGCACCCCGCCGTCTACGTGGCCCACCCCTGGCCCCGTCCAATCCGACCCGTACCTCGTGTCCTCGCTCCCCATTCGCCGTTGACCGCTTGTGCATCATCACCTCCGGTTTCGTCTCAAGGCCCGGCACCCTGCGCTTCTGATTTTGCACCGCGACATGTCGCCTGCCCGACTCCTCTGAGCAACATCTACAGCACCTCCCCCTTACGCGCCTTACCTCGACTCCCCATACGGACTCCCCGCTAAACACTTCGCCGTCGGCTTAAGCCATGAGGGTCTGGTCCTCATCGGCCGGCCTGTCGGCCAGCTTGCTTGCGACCGCGTTTTTCGCACCCCATGCCGCCGCATACAACTTCACCGACGTTCCCTCGCCATATCTCGATGTTAGGGAGCTTGGCCGTGTTGCTTTGACCGGCAATTTCGACGCTCTTTCTATCTACCAGTGGGAGGGCCAGGAACAATCCGCCTACTACACCAATGGCAGTCAGTCGATTCTCGCCCGCTACCCAAACGATGCCTTTGCCGCTCTCCGCACCGCCGACGCGCATATCGAGGCCATGTGCCCTTTCATAAAATCCGACGGGACCTTGGCAGGGATCTTCATCGGAGGAAATTTCACGAGCTTGGGAGGCGTGGAAACGCAGGGCGTTGGGCTGTTCAACCCGGACACTGCAGAAGTCACGGCGGTTTCGGGATTGACCGGCAGGGTTCAGGCGCTCTACTGCGATGGTGAATCTGGCACTGTGTATGTTGGTGGTACGTTTTCCGGCGGAAATTCTACGAACGCGATCGCGTGGAACGGAGACTGGGAAAATATGCCTTTTGCTGGGTTTAATGGTCCTGTGGCTTCGATTACCAAAGCTCCAAATGGCAACATTATTTTTGGAGGCTCGTTTCACGGTATTGGCAACACGACTACGCCAACCGAGAAGGATCAACAGGTCGTTCCGCTTGCTGCTGGAAACATCACGTCTAGTCATTCCACTTCCACCGATGGCTTCAAGGATCCAAAGAACATCATTTGCAAGGTCGGATCTCAGGACGGATCGGGCAACTCTTGGTTGTTGGAAGACAACACTGCTGGATACTGGGAGGGCCGATATCAATTCGAATTCCAGCCCACAAAAATGCGTCTTTACAACACCAAGCACGAGGGCCGCGGGACAAAGACTTTCCGCTTCACTGCGTTTCCCATCAACGGTATCATGAACTTCACTCACATTGATGCCAAAGGTAACAACATCACCTGCGATGCGCGCTGCCCGCTCCCGGAAGGCAACACCACGTACCAAGATTTCCACTTTGTCAACTCGATTGGTATGGATGGTTTCCGCATCGACGTTTCCGATTGGTGGGGTGATGGTGGTGGTCTCGCTGGTATCGAGCTGTTCCAAGACGAGATCTTTGCTTTCGCTATCAACACGTTCAACGAACCAACCTGTGATAGTGTCAGCACTGCAGCAAACTCCACTACCACTGGTCCTTGGAAAGTCACGCCGTCCCACGAGAGCAGCTCCGGATATCTCACAGCCAACTTCACTGGTCAGAACACCGGTACAGACTCCGCTGGGGTTGTTTTCAAACCCAACATCAAACAATCTGGCAACTACACTGTGCGATTGTACACCCCTGGATGTCTCCAGGACAACACTTGCGATACACGTGGCATAGTCAATATCACCGGAACCATGACCTCGCACAACAGCTCAGGCACAACGAACGACGCCCCGGTCACAGCCACTCTGTACGAAACCAATTACTACGACAAATACGACACGATCTACTCTGGCTATATCGATGCCATCGATGGTACTTGGCGCCCTTCTGTTACCCTTACTCCTGCCAACGGGCAAAGTGGAAATGTTACCATCGTCGCGCAACGCGTTCGTTTCGAGCTAATGAGCGATAATGCCGGTGGCCTTAACGGAATTTACGAGTACAATCCGAAGTTGACGACCGTGAGCGACGACTACTCCTCTTCCGCCTTCGATGCGGCTGGCATCAGCTTCGAGGGAAATGCCGACATCACCTCAATGGCTGTCGGTGACAATGCGGTCTTTATCGGCGGCAACTTCACGAACGGTGACTTTAGCAACATCTTCAAGGTCAGCGACAATGCCTCAGTCAGTCTCTCTGGTAATGGCCTCGACAACGAGGTTCACACTCTGTACCTCAACGAGACTGCTTACACCCTTTACGTCGGCGGTAACTTCTCCAAGACCGTTGACGGTAGCGTGACTGGGCTGGGTGGCGTTGCTGCGTACTCGTTGTCTGATGATTCTTGGACCGCTCTTGGTGCTGGCGTGCTTGGTACCGTCTCGAGCATTGTTCCGTTTACGCTGAACCTGACCGCGTATCAGCCAGAGGAAGTCATTGCTGTCAGTGGTGATTTCGCTCGTGTTGCGGCATTCGACGATAATGATGCTTTCGCTGTCGACGGCATCGCCATTTGGTCACCTTCGAGAAAGAATTGGGTCCATAACCTAGGCATAGGTACGATCGGACTCGCTGGGAAGCTGACAGCATGGACCAACGTGACTGATGCCGGTCCATTTTACGCTGGCTCCGTCTCCTCCCAGGCGCTGGGTGCCAGTGGTGCCGTCGGCCTTAATGAATACGACAACCTCGCGTTGCAGTCGTACAACCTCAGCATCCAACCACGACAGTCGGCCCCCAACTTGGCCAAGCGAGATGCGTTGGTCTCAAACTACTCTGGTATCGTGACTGGCACCGTTTACGATGACAACGGTCTCAACCTTACAATCGTTGGTGGTCACTTTACGGCCACGGGATCAAATGGTACCACCATCCACAATCTGCTGTTCATGAACAGCTCAAGCTCTGAACAAGTCACTGGTCTTACTCAGCCGCTAAATGACGACGCGACTATCCTTTCCCTTGGTACTGTCGGAACAACGCTCTATGCCGGTGGCACTTTTTCGGGCAACGTGAGCGACAACGAGATCGACGGTCTCCTCGCCTACAACCTCGCCACCAACGAGTTAGTTGACAGTCAGCCACAAGCACTTAGCCGCGACGAGGGCACTGTTAGTGTCAACGCGGTTGCTCCTCGCCCCAAGACGACCGATTTGTTCATTGGCGGTGACTTTGATTCCGCTGGCGCTTTCGGATGCCCAGGCCTCTGCGTTCTGTCTACCGACCGTGGCCAGTGGACAAACCCAGGAAGTGGCTTCGGCGGCTCAGTCTACGCATTGACCTGGACATCGCAGAACACTCTGATGATCGGCGGTAATCTGACAATTCAAGATGTCCCTACTACCCTGGCAACCTATAATGCCAAGAAGAAGACCTTTCAGGCAGTTGAGGGCGCCGATAGCGTGCCTGGGCCAGTATCGGCTATCACTGCTGCTAACCTGGATGCCACGCAGTTCTGGATTGCCGGAACCGCAACCAATGGTTCGGCCTTCGTCATGCTGAGCGGTACAAACGCCGGCAACTGGTTTACTGCTAGCTCTGGACTTGGTGAGGGCACGGTCATTCGCGGCCTCCAGGTCTTTTCCACCTCTGAGAAGCATGATTCCAGCGACAACATGAACCAAGATAAAATCCTCATGGCCCTCGGCTCCATCCACCTGCCAGACTTTGGCCAGGCGTCGGCAGCTGTTTTCAACGGCACCAGCTACCAGCCTTTCATCCTTTCTACATCTGGAAACGGCCAGGGCAGCATGTCTCAGATCTTCGTCCAACACCCGCAGAATGTGTTCAAGAGTTCTCGTAAGTAGTGTCCTATTCACATTTTCAATTGTAACAGACTAACCATTTCTACAGACGGTCATCTCGCTGTCGGCCTTATCGTGCTTATTTCCCTGGCAATCTCCCTCGGCCTCATCATGTTGATTGTCGTCGCTGGCATCATCGCCGAGCGCATCCGCAGAAAGCGTGAGGGTTATGTGCCCGCTCCGCAGATGGACAAGGGCGGCAACATGAGCCGCATACCACCGGAACACATTCTCGGTAATCTAGATAATCCCGGCCAACCCGAGAGGCTTTGAGTAACCTTTTGGGCTTGATACTCAACTCTCAATTTCATGAAGGGATGTACAGTGGTGGTAGGATTTTGGTTTTCAGCATCGGCGCGTTCGGCGTGTAATGGGTTCTTCCACTTTCTTTTCTTCTTTCTTTCTTTCTTGTCGATCATTTTTCGCTGCCATACGATTCACGCGAAGCGAAACCCGTTCTTTGCGTTGCATCTATTGGCGGCGTTCATACGTTGTTTCCGAATGTCGCTCTCCTCCCGCTCAGACTCACTCCCTGAAAATCTCCTTGATACTCTTCGTCTTCTTCCTCTTCTTTTTTACCGCAGCGAGCAACATCTCCCCTTTTTTTCGCTTCTGGAGCTGGGAAAGGGGCTTGACGCTGGCGGCCCAGGCTCTTTTGATGATACCACCAACCGCCGGCGAGTAATGTGTACTATTTTGCGACCCCCAGTTCGTCTGCTCTGCTTCTTTTCATTGCGAAGGTCGGGTAGTGATGGATGCTTGCTTCATTAGGCTCTGCTTTTTCTTTGCAAGGAGATCTCCTAGAGGGGCCTCGATTTCTTTCTTTTCTGCTTTCATTTCCTTTTCTCTGCTTGGGTAGTGTGCGAGTGGGGATAGTGCTAGGCTTCTTGGGCTTCGTTGCGAGGTTATGTAACCTCGCCGCTGAAGAGAAGGGCCTGTAGCATCGCACTTGTAGACAGTCTAGCCAAATATTGAGGATTTCGAGCGCTTATGTGATCCCGACACCGTCCTTTGCACGGTAAGCCTTGCATGAATTTGGGCGCCGTGTGCTCCCTGCATGAAAAGCATCGTGTCCTACGTGGTGGATTGGGGGGGCGACGTGCGTGGACGATAGGCTTGATTCGGTAGCGAGTACGCCGGCAGAGTGCCCGGAGAAGCATTTCTGGCGCCGTTCTGGAAGCCTTGGCTTGCAGCGCTTCGAGCGAGGCTGAAGCAATTCGCTGCAGCGTTTTTACGTCGCGTGTTGCACATAGGCTCAGCCACGATGTGTCTCATACGTATCGTCAGCCGCAGCATGGCATGGCATGCAGTTCGCCGTGCTAAAGATATATTCAAGGCTGCCATCTCGCTCTAGTCATTTAGCTCAGTCTTCGCATCCGAAATCTGCCGCGAGCCCTTTGCTGTTCCTCGACTGTGCCCTCTCCTGCTACCCACTTACTATTTCTGTCGCAGCTTGCGGAAAGCGCATTTACCTATATCTATATTTAACAACTCACCCCACCAACGCCGCCGCCGCCATCATCGATCGTCACGTACCCGTGAACAACCGTCAGCTCCAGAAATCAGCATCAGGAACGAAAGAAAAAAAAAAAAATCTACATTACTACAAGCACCCAAACAAGCATGCCAACAAACCCTAACCCCAACCTGAGCGCAGCCTCATCCACCTCTCCGCCCATCTCGCCGCCAACCACAGCCGCCACCTCCTCCATGCGCCACCCCGCAGCTGCTCCGGGCATCATAACCACCACCAGCGCTTCCTCCAACCGCACCATCTGCCTCGACACGGGCGCGCCATCCATCAACGCCACGCCCGTGGAGATTGACGGCGAGCCGACGAGTCCGGCAGACCAGGCGGCGAAGCTGGGTGGCCGGGATAGAGCTTGGCCTGGTGCGCTGGGCGGTGCAGCCGGCGCGAGCACCGCACGTGGTTTGCCGGGCAGAAAGGCGAGTTTTAGCCCGGACCCGTTGGCAGAAGAGGAGAGCATGCTGGAGGAATTCGGGCTGGATGGCGGTAGGCGCGTTGCGGGGTTACTGGAGGTATGGAAGGAATTTTTGCTTTGTTTTCGCTCTGTTGTTGCTCATCTGTGTTGTTTCTCGGTGCATTCCTTTCCAATGTTTCTTTGCTTGTCAGTCCCGTGATATCATGTTTTCATTCCAAAGTTGGTACATGGCTGCCTCACACGGTCCCTAACAAAGGATTATAGAAGCGCGCGGCTCTGCTCAATGAGCGCAAAAGCAATCCTGCGGTCCTGGTCGACATTCCGCAGGTCCCGTCTGTCGAGGAGTTTGCTGCTGCCAATGCAGCGGGTGCAGATTGAGAATGAGGCAGGCTTGGCTATCTGAACGGGCGATCAAAGAAAATACTGTGGGAGATGGACTGGGATCAGGTGCAAGTTGTATGAAACATATTTAAAGAAACTTAGTTGGGCTCGGCTTGCATGACAGCTCCAAAATCATAAGCAAGCTGCGCTGCGATGAAAGCTAAAATGTGATGTTTGCCCACTGGCAAAGTAAATTCAAGTGAGCTTGTGAGATCGACGCTGATTGGCTATAAGGCGCCAAGCTAACTCAATCTGGTAATTGTTTGTGGAGCTCCAACATCGAACGTAGCAAACAGGACGGATTGAAAACGGGGAACTTTCGTCTTGTTTTCATGGCCTTTGAAGCTTCTTCGATTTTGACGGCCCCTACCGCTTTGGTTGGCCAATCAGAGCGCCAGGAGCTCTTTCTAGCGCACCCGGAACATGATTCTACCGACCCCGAAGCCCCGGTGCTCAGCGCTCTCAGATCCAAAGCACGATAACACTACCGAAATTCGCCTGAGCGGAAAACTGTCGTGGGATATGACAGATCATGGCCCTGGCCTGAGGATGCGCGCATTAGAATGGGAAAATACTGAGCGGTGGTGAGGCAAGTCGCGGCGGGGATTCCGGCTCCATACAAATGTTGGCCCGCCGGACCCCTCCTAACGACCCCAAGCATTGCCCCGCCTGCTTGTTAGGCGTAACCAACCGCACGCGCAAATGCGCCTCCTGAAACATCCATCAAACGGCCTAATGGATGCAGCACTTTTCTCACACTCATGACAGAAGACTGACGCCCAGAACCTGACCAAAAGCCGCCAATATGCCTGCAGGCAACTCCGACGACGCTCTCCTGGCGCGCCTCAACGCGCTAAAGACATCCAGCGTGTCGCTGTCTACCGCGCCTCCACCGGCTGAATCCGAGCCGGATATTGTTCACGAGATGGGCCTTCATTCCTCGTCCAACGAACCTGAGGGCGATCCAATTTTGGACCTGGCTGCGCGCTTTAAGCGTCTGAACAATAATAGCGGGGCCAGTTCGGCAGCACCTGGCACGGAGCCTGTAGAAATACAGGCGTCTAATGGTGAGGAGAAGAGTTTGGAGCAACTACTTAAGGAGTTGGGCGGCGATGAGTGGGATATTGGCAAGCATGAGGAGAAGGACGTGGGGACGCTGGTACGGGAGGTTCGAAAGGTCCTTCCGGATGTCAAACCTGGGTCAGAGCAAGAGAATCAGAAGAATCCTGATGTTGGCAGAGAGGGTATCCGGGAAGACAAGGCGCAGGACCCGGGGGACAGTGGGGACGACAGTGAACTCGATGATCAAGAGGCGGACGAGTACATCGCCCAGGTCCTTGCAGAGCTAGACATCAACGCAAAGTGCGGCGAGGCAGACGGAGAATGCGAGGAAGCGGAAGCTACAAATTCCCGGAAATCAAACGAGGGGGAGGACAATTCGACTGCTCCCGAATCTCGCGTTCCGATTTCTTCAGCCGATGACCGAGGATCGAGGCAAGACATCACGGAGGAGTCCACATTATCACTTCCTGCCGCACCGACCACGCTTCCAACATCACCTAGCCAGGAGGACGATTTTGACAAAGCTACCGCCGTAGACGATGCCCTAACAGCACGTCTGGCGGCGTTATCCGACACCCCTGGCCTCCCGTCCGCGCCCTCATTCGCACCAGCTAAGAAGCCGCCCGTCAAGGTCGGAAAAGCCTCCAAGTTCACTGACGAAGAAATCGACAGCTGGTGCATCATATGCTACGATGATGCTACTGTCAGGTGTCTGGGCTGTGACGGAGATTTGTATTGCCAGGGCTGCTGGAATGAAGGGCACCGCGGCGAATCTGCAGGTTATGAAGAGAAGATGCACAAGGCCGTGCAGTTTGTGAAAGGCGGCGGCAAAAGGAAAAGCTTAGTCGGAGCTGGCTGAAGGTCCGAATTGCAAATGATGCAGGATGGCTCTCATCAAGATTTTGAAGCGTTTGTGCCTTCGCCGGATATCCAGTACCCGGGTCAGTGCACTATATAGCTAGCATGCCATGATTGGTTGGCTCAAGCCACATTTGCGAGGTTAATACCGGAGCTATCTCCAAGATGGTTATTCCCGACTCTAATTGGACGAAAATTTACTTGATTCATCTCAGGAGCACTTCAGGCGGCCATCTTCCTATCAATCGGCCTCACTCAATTGTGCCACAAGTTCCCAAAGAGAACAAGTGCAACAAATGGATAACTTTATCCCTGGCGCTAGAGGAAAAGCATTGGCGCAATGTGTAACGGTGCAACAGAAAGCTGCATTCAAGGGAGCACCGCAACCAACACATCCATATCAAGTTCTACAAGTGATATTTATGACGTTGAGCCGACCATACCACGCAGATACGGGCGTGAGCACTGACCTATGCCTGCCAGCTCGAAGAAGGATAACATTAGCCGCCTTAGCAAAGGATATCGTTATCCGTGCAGCAAGCACCAACGAATCAGAGAGGAAAAAAGCAGGATATTCTCGCGCTGAGTTTCCCGTGCAAACGGCAGTGGCTCAGATAACCGGGGCGCAGCTACAGCATTTCCAGCAGCCGCAAGCGAGCAAGGGCGCAGCGCGGCCATCTTATAGGACGCTTGTCGTCTAGTCGTTACGCCAACTAATTCATGTCCAACGCAGAGCTTCGACAGGCTCGCACAGCTGCCGGAAGACGAGAACCGCCAGACGTTCGAAGTTGACCGCTGCGTTGCCTAATCCATATAGTTGCATGGTCGAAAGGGGCTAGAGGTTGCGTAACAGTTGTGCTTCTTCGCTAATTAGGTGTTCCAAAACACTTTCTTTGATGCATGGCTCTTTGTGCTCCATGGCCTAAGCCGCCTCTGTATCTTACTCGTCGTTGTTGATGGTGGCGTTGGTGGCCGATTCATGGACTTGGTTTTGTTGTGTGCCCCGTCTTATGCATGCTCGGCTGGATGAGTCTTCGTACAATCTCTGCTCTGAGGAAAACATGAACTCGCCGTACCCGTAATCACCACGAGGTGACTGTCTTTTGTCCATCCTTCCGGCTTGTCGTACTTTCAGTGACGACGACAACGACGCTCGATACACCAAAACGTGCTCTCCTATCCGAGTTGCCTTCTCACTGAGCCAGAATGGCGGCTTTTACTCTAGAAACGACCTTCCTCTTCGCGGACCGTGCTACACTTCGATCCGGAAAACACTACTCGGGGATACGATATTGATGCTGTTGAGGGTATGGGGGATCTCGTCCAAGCCACGCCGGACCAGTGATCGCGTCCATCCATACCCAAGGCTGCAACGACCTTCAATCTCGACGGAGTGACGAAAACAGAGACTTTCAAGGAATTTGCAATGAAAGGAGGTACATCACCAAGCTAGAAACCTTCCGGCATCGATTGTCAAGGAACATGGCAGATGCTTCACCTTCTCTGAAGGCCTGTGTCATCCAGCCCTCTTTGACGACTGAGTCCAAACCACATAAGGATTATATCTACAGAGGCCAACACTCGCCACGTAACACCAAAGCTTACTTACGATACGGCATACAACAAGAAGTCTCTTCAGAACCTTCTGTGTTCCAGCTAACAAGGTCAACACAGCCCGCTGGGATGAAGATAATACAGCGAAGAGTCTGCTAGGCGGGTGCGTGGTTCCAGAGCACCAAAACAACCAAACGTGGCCTACGGTCAAGGGGTTCTGTCTCTTCACCTACTCCGAATATCGACACATTGCTAGATGCTTCTCCGGCACCGTGCTGGAACGATCATACTCGAGGATCACGACCTCCTTTCTCGCATACTCTCCGAAGCGCAGACAGCAGCCACACTTCACCCTTCAACACCGACTCCGGCTGTTTCGAATCCGAGTAAGGAGCCTCTCCAATATTCTCGTTCTCGGTTATCAGACATTGTCCCTCAATACATTGACACTGACGCTCGGCAAAGCCAGTGCGATAGATTCTCCAGGAACACCAGGCGCCTTGTCCTCGGAACGCTGCCTTGTAGCGGCATCGGTGGCCTGCGGCAAGGTTAAACAATATCGATTCGAGATGTTGCGTCCTAAAGGATGCAACGACCACAGACGGAAGATCCGCCACACCTGCCACGCGTGTTTCCCTGCACTAAACGGCATAAAAGTGCAGGAGTCCTGAGAGAACTAGAACTCTTCCCAAGCGCATGGAACATTCTGCAGGAATCACGTTCTGTGAGCAGTAACAACTCTGTACAGTAGGCCTACGGCAAGGTTGTCGATTGCGAGGCCGCCGCCGCTGCTGCTGCTGCTGCTGGGGGAGCACAACTAAATCCTCTTCCCTCTTGGGCATGTCGTTGCTGCCTCCAGACACGATACTGCTATGCCGCTTTATACGATGATGATATTGAGTACATGCACTGTCAATTGTTGACGCACGACTGTACCCGCAAGTGATTCCTATGACAAGTCGTTGCGCTAACTGATGTATATCAGTGAACTTGTTGGGATTGGCTGATTCAGTGACTCATAACTGCAGCTTGTTTCCTGCGTTTACCACCGAGTTGGATCTGGACTCGGCAGTCTCTGTCACGGTTGGAAGGAGCATGTCGTGACACTTTGTCGGCGCCATCTGGCCTCGTGGTGCTTCGTTTGCCGTGGTAAAGACTTTTGTCGTAACTGCTGGCTGTAACGTAAGGCCATGTGCGGTGGTTAACGTCCGTCACCATTAAGCGAGATTCATCGCCTCGAGAAAAGATGATGCTTGTACGGAGTGGAAATGAAATCTGGTTAATATCTTTGCAGTATGTGTGGGTTTTAAGATCCTTTCACTCATATCCAAGTCTCAGGCTTGTAGCTAGACGAGTGTTCCGTAGGGACTGCTTGTATCCTTTCCTATCTCGCTGGAGGGTGAATTTTGCTTGACAGTGACATTCGTTATATGATAAACTATTCAAACACATGTACTGTTTTCATTGTAGACATCTAGCACTACACTTGTTGAAAGCTCTTTAAACGAGAACACTACTCTACACATGAATCCACCTCGCCATCCACGTTTCCGTAACCTGCTTCGCCTCATCCACCAACCCCATATCCAGCAACAACTGCGTAGTCCCACGAACCGCACTTTCAAGCGCGCTAAAAATCCACGCATGAGTATAGCTCGTATGCTCACCGACAAACACGGTATGCTTCTCAGTATGGAAATATGACGGCAGGAACAGTTCCTGCTGGCCAACGAGCGGGCTCGCCCACGCACCGGCCTGGAACTCGTTCTGCTCCCAGCAAATGCGGTCGTAGTTGCCAGTCCACTGCTCGTCCGCAACCGCGCCGTGCACCTCGGCCATGGCGCGCTGCACGTACGCCACGTGCTCTTCCTCCGCCATGCCGCCCACCGCCCGCGCGAGGCTGCCCGACTGGTACGATGCGAGCAGCACGCCTGGGCCGCTGCTGTTGAGCCCGTACGATGGGTAGCAGATGTTGCCGATGCCGGGGATGGACGTCTGCCCGCAGCCGCCGAGGATGGGGTGCGCCAGGTGCTCCCAGAACCGCGTCTTGTAGTGCAGGGCTACCTTGCATGCGGGGCCGTAGTTGAGCTCGCTGATCGCACGGCCGAGCAGCGACGTGTACTCTGGGAGCTTCCAGAGGCGGACTTTGGAGAACGGCACGGCGACGATGGTGTAGTCGAAGTCCATGGCGGTTGTTTCTTTGCTGAGGGGTCCGTCTGGTCGCCATGACACTGTCATCTTCTTGGACTTGTCGTCCCAGGAGAGCGATTCTATTTTGGCGCCGAACGTGATTCGGTCGGAGACCAATGGACCAAAGGCCTGGGGCAATCTGCTGAGGCCCTTGTCGATTGTCCGCCATTCTGTGGCGTCCATGTAGATATTATCGTACAACCACTCCGGGTTTGCAGCTTCAGAACCAGCGGCTTCGTCTGTAACATTAAGGTCGGTATGCATGACGTATTTCAGATAGGTAGCTTCCGAGAAATCAAAGTACCCTTCCGCGACAGCCTGCTTGTGAGCTTCGAAGACGTTTGTTGCAATCGACTTCATCTTATCCCACGTAAGGCCATCCCAAGAACTAATTTGAGCCTGCGCCTCTTCGACGGCCGTAGCATTAGAGTAGGTTTCGGTGGTGTTGGTTGCCAGTGCAGAATTGGCGGCAACCTCTGCCTTGCCAGGGGTCGTACCGTCGGCACGACGCTCGGTGGTGTCAACCGGTTGGTTTGCGCTGCTTTGGATCCACTTAATAAAGTTGACCGCCAAGGAAGAATCGTTGCCGTTCATCTTGTTGAGCGTGTCGGCCAGTTGGAAGACCATACGATGGTCCATGATCTGAATTGTTTCGTTCGTTGTAGCATTGGTTATGCTGACAGGAAATCTCATCGGGCCCATCTCTTGGTACTGGTACTCCTCGGGGGTTGTGCCATTGAGATAGGAAGTGTGTACACGACCACCAATTCTCTGAGTTGCTTCGAGGATCTTCCAGTCATGTATACCAACGGATTCAAGGAGATACTGCGAAACCATCAGCCTTGTTCAACGTTCGCACTCTGGATGCGGTAAATATCCACAGCTAGAGGTGTTCGTTGTGGTCATTTATCATGAGCAAAGGAGACTTACAGCTGTCATCAGTCCTGACATACCGCCACCTAGGATACCAACTGTTGTGTCTTTCGACTTCGTCACGAACGCATTGTCAGGTTCCTTCTCTTTAAGATACTCCACTCCGTCGAACCACGGTCCCATGGCATCAGCAATGTCCGCAAAAGAAGTGCCTCGGCGGGCTTTCCTCCGGGTGACAGTGTATTCCTTGGATCTTCCCACAAGCTTCTTTCCGGAAAACGCGTGCAAGCAACCCCCTGACGAGGTGTCTGCGGGCGGCATCCACACAAACCGAGTAGGCCTGTTGTCCTCCCAGCCCAGATTTCGCTTAGCCAGAGGGTGGTCACCCACATGTGCCCTTCCCACAAGATGATGGGCATAGTCTGCGGTGCCAATATCGCAGGAACCATAGTGGACCGAAAGTTCTCCATCGAGAGGGCCAGCAAAAGAGATGTGGATGTTGGTCATACCACCAGCTTCTGCCGTGAAAGGGCCATTGAAGATCACCAGGTCGGAGCCTGGAATGGCGCTACTCGTTGCATGGTCTATGAGAGTAGCAGAAACTGCACCCAAGACAAGAGCGGTAGACCGGCATAGACCCATTTTGAGGCAGGTAAAGAGATTGGAAAGAGACCTGGAGTGCCATATTTCTAGAGAATCCTACCGTCAATTTATAGTTGCAGACATAGTCAGGCCTCAAAGGTAGGTCCGCGGGCAAGAGCGGCCTTGGCATGCTCTCGGGGACTCAGGCCGACAAGATAACGGTGTTTGCCAGCATCATTGACCGTGGTCCGAAAATGTGTGTTAACGGCCGGTACGGCGGAGTGAATTGTACGGCGAAGTGAGCGCGCAGATTACTGTGGATGGCGAAACTACTGCCAATCGCCGAGCTCGCCGATCAGAAACACTATCGCTTATTTACTAGTAAACAGTGATAGGCTATCCAGCCTAGTTCGGCTGTGTGGGGTGATGGAGAACCTAGCGGACTAGATCTGGGGTCAACAGCTTTGTCACTATGTTGCTTAGGCAATCGTTGCGGCCTTATCAGTCCAACGTAAGCCTTGGGCAGGCATAGGGTTCATATCAGAGGGCAAAACTGAGGCCGAAGATAAGCTGGAATATGTTTTGAACGAGCCAAGCGGCCTGACGATGTCATCGTGGAGTGGGCAGCGGGGCAGTGGATAGGTAGGCCGGCAACATCGGCTATCGCCGACAGCGGGACATTCGTGGATGAAATTGGTGAAGACGAAGAGAGAAAGCCTATGCGAGCAAGGCTGGCACTCTGGCAGAAAAGAAGTCACCGCGATAAGTGACTAAAATAAAAGAAGGCTACGGCGTGGTCGTCGATTTTGACTTGTTGAGATAGAAGCAGCCTACCTTCGTGTCGCGGGTAACCTCACCCGTTATCGAAAGCCAGAATCTGGTTGTTGAAGGTATTGGAAACATAGTCGGCGAGGTCATTATTGACATATGATTGAGAAACAGTGCATGAAAGTTGTGAGGCTTGTGGTTATACCCGTAGTCAAACAGGGCATTGAAGATTAGAGAGCGGATGCCATATCTTGAAAGTTCAATATAAACCCTTAGCCATGCGGAGGAGGTCGGATACACGATGAATAAGGGCGATGAAAGTGGTGAAAGGAACGTGTGTCGAATTTCGACGTCTCTTCGTAGTGCCTTCACGTGCGATGATGGCACAATGGCACATGCTTGCAATGACTAAGTGAGCTAGGGCTTCATGACTCGAGCACTCTGAAGTCCGTTGCGATTTTTCTATCCACCACTGCTCACCACTGCAACAACATCACCACGCCCGACGCTCCTCTCGATTTCGGGCAGATGACATGTCTGGCGACTTGTACGCATCCGAGCCGGCCGCCTTTTGCCCGCATACCCCCCCGATTGGCCATTGCGACTCCATATGTTCCAACTCTTAAACCGGATACCGCCGCACAAATGTAGCAGACTGCCCCTTCGTCGCTCGCTCGCAGCGACAGCCCGCCCTAGGCCATGGTGGTCGATACTCTCTTCGCCGCGAGAGGAAACTCTGGAAGGCACACTGGAAGAAGCAGCTGGCGGCAACGCGGCCAAAGGAAAACTCATTAGCTTCGACCTACAACCACGTCTCATGCAGGCGCAAAAAGAGGTGGTTACGGTCCATAGAAGCTACAGATGTTCCAGACATAAGCAGGTCATGCTGCTCAACAAGTTCCTTCTCCAAGCGTACGATGATCCAAAGGACGAGGACACCCGGAAAAACTTGTGGAAATGGTATTGCCACGCAAAGTTTTCTTTCCCTGAGGTTCTGGATGCGCTGCCAGATAAGGCTTGGGATATATTGTGGAACACTCAGTCCCAGCAGTCACTATCAAATGCGAACAGCATGGAACATTTGAAGCAGCTGGTGGAGGACATGCGAACCACCGGACGCACCGCCACAACAGCCCAGCAGCTTGCGCATATAGAGGCAACATTCTTGGAAGGAAAGAGAGAAGAGGCTCTTCAACAATGGGAACAAGGATACGATATATCATTGGGACAGTCTGTCGTTGGTCGCAATCCGGAGTTCATGGAACTCGGCCTCCGCATGTGGTCAGTTGCCGGCAATCCCGACCGGGCCCAGAAGGTCTTGATTGAGTTGTTCGCCATGGCGCCAAAATGGGATCCTCGAGTTATTGTCCCGGTCTTTGAGGCACACATCCAAAAAGGGCGGGACAAGAACATCAATCTGGCATGGGCACTCTACACTCACATGAAGTACCTATTGGGCGACAAAATGACTTTGGAAGACTACGAGAAGTGTTACTTGGGTTTTCTTTATAGGAAGAAGCAGCAACACGCCCTGGCAGTATTCAAAGAAATGATGCTCCTTGGACAGAAACCCGGTGGTGAAGATGCAGGCAAATTCAAAAGCCAAATCCTTTCAGGATTTGATAGCCTGCCCGCTGTCTGTCGAAATGCTTCGGAGGTAAACGAGACCTTTCTGCATGCAGTGACAGCACTACCTCGGGAGTGGCAGAACAAATTCTTTTTCGGAAAGTGGCTGAAAAGGCTCATCGGCATGGGCGAGCTGGAATCAGCAGCCCAGGTCATAGAATTCATGTTCGAAAGCGGAATCAAACCGGATGCCCGCCACCTCAACGGCCTCATGGGCGCTTGGTTCCGTAGTGGCATCACTCAGAACATCGAAAAAGCTGAAAGTCTTGGTCTGCAGATGGTCCGGGGGAGAATGAACCTGGTGCGAGAGCGTAGCGCCAACGAGACCAACCGCAGACGTCCTGCAAAGTCGAATGAAGCATCCAATCGGAGTATCGAGTTGCCAGTATTCATTGAACGACCCATTCCTCCGGCAACCAGCGAAACATTCGGAGTCCTTCTCGAGATTTATTTGCACAAACGGGATTGGAACAAAGTGGACGATCTCCGAAACTGGCAAAGTGAGGCCCAACTCCGCATGAACGTAGCGGCCATGAACTCTTTCCTCGCCTTCTACATCGAGCGCGGCCAGTACCTTGAGGTTTGGAAGCAGTACAAGGACTTCACGGATCCAGCGAACAATGAGCGCGTCATCCCGGATGAGGCCACATACGCCTATCTTTGGGCCACGGCACACGCACGCTGGGTACGCAGCGGCATGCGCGACTACCAGTACCTGCAGCGAGCGTTCCCGACAAACCGCGCCATCATGAAGGAGACGCTCGCCTGGCTGAACAGCGTGCCCAACAAAGCCGCGGCTGCAAGCCACCTCATGCAGCGCAACAAGGTCTACCACCGCATTGTGGAGTGCTTCTGCCTGGAGAAAGACCTCCCCGGCGCGCTAGTCGCGCTGCACGCCTTCAAAGCCAACCTCGGCGTCTATCCCGACCAGCACACCGCCACCATCCTTGCCAAGTACATCTCGCGGATAGGCTTCCGTGCCCGTAGCCCGGCGCAGCGCCGCGAGGTCGCCAGGTCAATGGGGTACTTGAAAAATGTCTCGAATGTGCTGCAGGTGCTTGAGGCGCTGTTCCAGCGACGGGCGAGACAGCTGGTGAGTGAGGGGAAGGGCGAGATGTCGAAAGAGGAAAAGGACGAGCTGTTTTTGAACGTGCTGAGTGAGCTGATTAGGGTTGTGCTTGTTAGGAGGGAAGAGCCGGGGACGGTGGAGCATAGGATTTGGAATGCTAAAAAGAAGATGGGCGTGAGGGAGATTGAGACGGGGGATATAGATGCTTTTAATGTTAGCTGAGGATGGGGTTGGAGTGGGCTGTTGGAAAACAACTCGCATGCTCATGGTGTATGGTCACTTGTTCTCCATCCATTGTGGTGCGGGCTTTTTGGCGTTGGGAAGGCTTTGGCGGAAAACCAACTTGTTGCTGTTGAGTATATTTATACCCTTCCTGTACGTTGTCTTTTTACGTATTAGATAGTTTGTATACATTTAGCTAGAAGTATGGGTAGGGCAAGGCGCTGGGGTGCAATTTTATCTAATCTCACTCCGAAACCTTTTGTAACGTCCGTCACGGTGACACGTGTACGGAGGAGAATAACAGTCCCAGTTAGGATATGCAGAGCCTCTGTGTGCTCCAAGACCCTTTCATCCATACCCGGGGCTCGGGCTAGGAGCTAGGCAAGGAGTACTCTGTAGGGACTGCTTGCATCGTCCCCGGTCTCGCTAGACGGTGGATATCGGTTCGCGGTGGCGGACGTTACATGGCATTGAGTTATAACACTAGCCTACTCATGGCATACACGGAGCTATCAAATCATTCTGGTCGCCATCCGCCTACCTAATAGACTACATAATGTTTCTCTCCAGTTACAAACCCTTCTTTACTTCTAGAGGCACGCTGAAAGCGGGCTGTCCTTCCGAATTATGCTCTAAGCTTCATGATAGTTAGCCGCTTAGTTTTTTGTGAATGAGGTTAATGGAAGTTAGATTTTTTTGCGAGCAAGATTAGCAGCTCAGCTCAGATATATCCTCTCCTAATCGAGTATCGGCCCCATACAGCACAGTACAAGCATGGTCTCGTATAAGCCTGCCTATACGCTTTCTTAGTGCACGTATGTAGATTTCTTCCATGCTTTCTACTCTCAAATTGAACTTTCAAATTGAAGAAAGCACCTATTCATCACCGCGCCCAGCAAATGAAATGATCAGTGACGAGAGAGAGAAACGAGCCCCTGCTTTCAACAAAACCCCCGTCGGCCAGCATGAGCAGACCTAGCAAGATAGGATAGGTAGATAGGTGGTAGGTATGTACTTAGTAGCGCTCGTCATGAAGACTCGAACGAAGGAACACTTCCCTTTAACTCCTCGCTCCCCGCTCCCCGCTCCTCGCTCCATGCCCCATCTCATCCCCATCACCATCACAGCGCCCGCTTCCCTAACCAATCAGCCGCACCAGCCGCGTCTGGCCAGCCCAGCCGTATACGGCACGAGGCAGCACGGCCACGGGGGGCCTAGCCCAGCCTAGCCCAGCCCAGCCGCAAGCGGACGCTCGCCGCTACAAGCGCTGAACCAAGCACGGACAGACGGGACGGGGCGGGACGGGACAGCTCGGGGTGCAGGAGCGGGACGCATGGACAGGCGGCGTGGTTGGTGTGCGCGGGGTTGAGAGAGGGGTTGTTGAGGTGGGGAGGGGAGGGGGAGAGAGAGAGAGAGAGAGAGAGAGAGAGAGAGAGAGAGAGAAAAAAAAAAGGCTAAGGTTGGGGTAGGGGATGGGGGGCCTGATTGAGCAATCAGCGAAATTGGAAAGGAGGGCGTGAAGTCAAAGGAACGAGGAGGGTTTTGTGTCACGGAATCAGGCAGCTGGATGGATAGTCATCTGTGGTGTGATGTTTATTGTTTTACGTTCTTTCTTTTTTCTTTTCTTTCTTTCTCTGGTCGATTAAGTACATCTCTACCTCTATGTAAGTAGGTAGTAGGCATAGGTAGTATAAGTAGGTAGTGTAGTTCTATCCTCTTTCGCGCAGCGCAATGCAATGCAGAGCACGACTGCGTCTTCTGCTTCCAACCCATCTTGTCGCCAGCGCGCTACCCGGCACCGCAGCCCAGCGCGCCCCACACACACCCACACCCAGCGACGATCCAAAACCCCGGCGCCGACGAGCTGGGTGTCGGAAACCCAGTCAGCGCCCCCTTGTCCTTTCAGTCCCCAGTACTATAGTTCCTCATCAGGAAGCTCGTTCGTATCCCATCGCATCGCAACCACGGGGCTGGTAAAAAAGACCCTCCACCCCAGCACATCAACACCCCACCGCACCACCCACACCACACCTACAAAAACGCCCTCGTGCGCCTAACCGCACTCGTCCAAAACCCGCCCTCCTTGTCCCCCGCACCAACAGCAGGCGCCTCGGGCCTAAAATCCTGCGCCACAATCCTATACGCGCGGCCATTCGTCTTACACGCACGAATAAGCTGCGCGGCATGGCTGGGCACGCCCGGCGGGGGCACGAAGTCGAGGCACAGGCGCTCTAGCTGGGTGGGCCAGTCGCTGCCGCAGGCGCCGTCCAGCAGGGCCACGATCTCCGGCCCGACGCGGATGTCGAGGGGCGCTTGGGCGGCGAAGGCCGGGTTCGGGTGGTCGGCGTCCCAGAGGGGCGGGGGCGGGGCGTCGTGGCTGCGGTGGCGGGTGTGCGTGCGCCCGCCCTGGTTGTGCAGCGCTTGCGCGCGTAGCGTTTGTTGGTGGTGTGTGGCGTGCTGCGCGGAGGCGGTGCGCCGCTTGACTGCGGCGCGGGAGAGGGGGTGCAGCAGGCCGTCTTCGAGGAGCGCGTCAATGTCGGGGTCGAGGTTGGGGTCGAAACCGGCGTCAACGTCGAGCTCATCTTCCGACCCGCTCTCCACGGCCGTCGAATGGATGCTCGCGGGCCTAGCATTGCGGCGGGTACCCAAACCGAGCACGGCAGCGTCAGCGCTCTGCACCGAGACGGCGTCAACACTGCAGCTCTCGTCGTCGACATTGGCATGCAGCTCGTCCGACGCGCCCGTGTCGCGCCGCACGCGCAGCTTGTCGATCACCCGCTTGAGGCTGACCCGGTGCGCCTCCGCTTTGTCGTGCACGCGCTGCATTTCCGCGCGCGCCTCCCACAGCCCGCTCGCCGACGCGTGGTCCTCGGACGGGCGCTTGCCGTCGCGGATCTCGCGCCGTGACGTCCGCTTTTCTTTGCTCTTGGTCCAGGGCGAGGAGCGCTTGACGCGGGTTACGAAGCTCGCCGTGTCGTCGGCGATGGTGGTGGAGGCATCGTAGGCGGATTCCTCAGGGGTGGGGGCGGGGGCTGAGGTGATGGAAGCGGTGGCGGCAGCAGTGGAAGTGGAAGGAGGATACGGAGAGGGCGGGAGAGGAGGGAGCGGCGAGAGCGGCGAGCCGAGGGCCGAGTCCGAGTGGTTCTTGGGCGGGGAGTGGTGCAAGGAGAGCCTCATGGTGGCGCAGGGCGAGTCTGCGGCAGCGGCGTAGAAGGAGCGGACAGGAGGAGGAGCGGGAGCAGAATGAGAAGGAGCAGCAGGAGGAGGGTGGGAATGAAAGCGGCGCGCCGGAGGGCGCGGAGGACGCGAAGAAGCCCGAGCTGGCTCGGCCTCATCTGGGCTGGAAAGAAGAGCTCGGGGATATGAGGACGAGGATGACGACGACGCCGACGACGTGGAAATGGTGCGAAAACGGGCCTCGACCATGCGGGAGTATTGCAGGCCCTTGCTAGCAGTGGAAGCCGCAGCCATGGTATGTTGTCTGATGATGATGATGATGATGATGATGAGGAAATGTATGCTTATGGATGGATGGATGGATGGACGGGCTTTTGGGCACGGCAGATATACGAAAAGATCGACGGATTTTTTTTTTCTCTCTTCCTTGTGTGCTCTCGAGCTGTCTATCATACGACGCATCTGGTGACTGTGGCTTGGATGATTGTGGTCCCCCACGAACGGACTTTGCTCGCGCCCGGTCTAGACGCGGTGCCGAAGGGTCCGCCCCGCTGGGTGCGCGTGGCAGCTTCGCCGCATCTCTCGGCCGGTTGTTTCGCGTGTGTGTGTGTGCTGGGGGAGCGGGCGATCTCGGGGAGCGAGAGAGATGAGGAAGGGGGTGGAAAGAAGGGGAAGAGGAAGTCAAGATCCGGGGCTGTTCCAGCGTCCATGCCCTCGGCTGCATGACGTGATCTACCCGCGCGCTGGTCTGAGATTTACCCTTTGAAACTTGTTGCTTCGCTGCTACATGCTACATACTACATACTAGGTATACGACCCCCCCCTATCACCCCACCCCACTAAGGCGCCTATCTATCGCTGTACGGCGGGGGCGCCCGCATCCTCTCCCGCCTCCTCTCCCGCCCCCGCATCTCCTCCAGCAACTTGTCGCGCCACTCCTTGCCATGGCGCTTCTCCACTGCACTCGTCACCTCGTCCAGCAGCACGCGCAGGAGCGTCCCGCGCTCGGTGGGCGAGAAGCTCGTCCCGCTCGGCTGGCAGTACGTCGTCGCGCGCGCGCTCTTGTACAAGGCGAAGAGCTCGCACTCGCCGGGCCGCCTCCACATGAGCTTTGCAAAGCTTCCGTCGATGAAGCGGTTGTGGAACGGGTCCCACACCGCGTTGCGCACCACCTCGTAGTGTATCTCCAGCGAGCTGCCCGGGTGGAGAAACGTTCCCAGCGCTGCGTGGCCGCGCATCTTGTCAGCGCCGTAAGCGATGAGGCCCCGCCTGCCTGTGTGCGTGCTTACTGTGAATCTCGTTGCTGAGCGCCTCGCACCGGTCTATCGTCACCTTCCCGCTCGGCGCCTCGTCTTCCTCGATCGTCGAGAGCGCCGCCGCCGCCTGCTCCATCTCGCCTGCCTCTGCTTCTCCTTCTTCTTCGGCCGCTTCTGCTGCCTTATCCGCTGCTGCCGTCTCTTCGACCGCCTCGACCGCCTTGCCCGTCGCTGCAGCTTCGCCCGCTTCAACCTTAGTAGGCTTGTGGCTCTCGAGCGCCGTGCGGGCCTTGATCCGCTTGGCCTGTTTGCTCGATGAGCACCTGCATAGCAGTCAGTCAGTGAGTAATCCACACCGAACAACCCCTCGGAAACGTACCCCATACTGGCTAGCGACCGAGCACTGTCCTGTCTCTTTGACGAGAACAACTGTTTGCTGGATGATTGCGGCTTGCGCACGCCCAGCTATTAATGGTGGTGCGGCTTCCTCTACACAACATGCCGTCATGACTGCTGGGGAGCGTTTTGGATGAGCCCCCCGCCTTCTTCCCCCATGCTCACTAGCAACTCCCTTTTCCACCGGTGTGGGGTTTGCGCAACCATGGCCCTTCGCCAGCAGCCGATAGTCTTTATGAGTTCTTCTCAAGATCCGCGGGTTATGGTATGATCTTCGATATCTGAACCAAGCGGAATTGCCGCGGATTAAATATTCGATATCCATCAGGCCAAATGCTGAAAGCGCCTACCTGCGGGTCGTGGTTCGACTATCAAGGTAGTCATCCGGATTCTGTCGTGTGGTGAGCCCAGTCCCTTACGAAATTGCACCAGCCTTGCGCGATTCCAATAAAAAGTAGTCTGCCGTATTACGTGCGTGCCGTAGCTACGCATCTTGTCCCTGTCTTTTCTACCGCCAACGCTGAAAATGCTATGCACACAAGCCCCCCTACTCCATGGAATGCAAAGAAAGTACAGGAACTGAAACAAGTATTCGAAAGAGAGAGAAAAAGAAATTGCTCCGCTTTTCGTGGTATCGCAAAAAGAAGCAGCCATCCAAAAGTTGGGTTCAGACATGGGACGAAGGAAATCAAACGTCCTACATAACGACACAGTCTTTGTCTTCCTTTCCTTTCTTACTACCCTTACCTGTCTCCGAGGAGCCTGACGCGTGCGCCCCGCCGCCAGATGCTGCGTTCTTAATCCTCTCGAGCCGCTTCTTGGCAAGATCGCTGCCGTGATCCATCGCGCGGATGTACCATACGTTCGCCTCGAGAGTGTCTCGACGACATCCGATACCCATTTCCGAAAAGTAGCCTACGGCATACTCGGCTTTGGTCAAACCTACGAGACGTTAAAACTTCCACCACAGCATATGCACGCCGAAATGACTCACCGAGTTCGGCTGCACCCTTTGCCCATTCGTACGCTTCGACCTCGTCCTTTTCCAGCACTGGGGGTGCTCCTACGAGATACCACGCACACAAGGCCATCATGGCTTCAGGGAACCCCTGTTCAGCCGCTCCCGTGTAGAAATGCACGCTGAGCGCCGGATCACGCGGACATCCCATCTTGCCATGCTCGTACGCCTCACCCATCTTCATCAGCGCCAGCGGGTGTCCAAGCTCTGCCGCCTTCGTGTAAAGCTCCGCCGCGTAAGACTCCTGCTTGAAAACAATTTCCTGGTTCCTCTCGTCAAAGAAGCCGTCCTCATGGAGCAGACCCAGTTCATAGGGCGCGTCGCGGTACTGATGGTCGGCAGTCTCGGCAGCCCGTTTCAGCCAAGTGAAGCCTTCGCGGTAGCGCTTCCCCAGGCCCATGTCGCCTGTGAAGCACGCCTTGCCTATCCTAGTTGCCGCACCAGCATGACCCTTGGAGGCTGACGACCGATAGAACTGGACGGCTTTGGCAGGATCCTTGCGGCAACCCCAGCCGTGCTCGTAACACAACGCCGCGCGGTAGGAAGACTCCGAGTGACCATGCTTGCTCGCAGCAACAAAAAGCGGAAAGGCGCGTTCCTGGTCCTCCTTACCCTTGTTGAAGAATCCGGAGGCATATCCGTCGGCCAATAGATACTGCGCAAACGGATAGCTTCGGTCTGCCAACTTCTGCAGAATGTGCCGAGCTTCCCGTATCAACTCTTCTGGATCAAGTTCACCAGCCTGTCCGTTAGCTTGAAGGGCTGTCGCAGCGGATATCAAAAAGTTTGCAAACTCATGCTGCACAGCTGGGTCTGGGGTTTTCTTGACATTTGCCCTGTACATTTCCAATGTTTTCTTGGTGTCCAAAAGGGAAACATTGCTTCCAACAAAGTGCTTAAGAGAACTCTGGGTAAGGTCCTGCGGTTGTGCTACTTGATGGTTGTACGGATTGTTGTTGAGCAAGTCGACGTACGAGACGGGACGGCTCTCAGGTGAACGCCGGTTGGTAGAAAGCGAACGGCCATAAGTTGAAGGAGAATCGCTGGGAGAGGGAGAAAGGTTTTGCGACATGGACGACCTCCCACGCGCACCCAGCTCAGACCCTAGCGTGAGTGAAGAGTCCGGGCGAGGGGCGTTGGAACGAGGGAGGGGCAGGTTCGACTGGCTCCCGCGTGTGGCGCTCTGCCCGCTCGAAGAACCCTGGGAATCCGAATAGGTCGACTTGACTTTATCGACACGCTCTTTCTTCTTTGGCTTCAAGGATGGTGGGTTGTATGGTTGGTGAAAGTAGTGCAAAGGCTCGACCACTTCTTCTTCCTGGCCCTGACCATCGTTGGGAAAGCTGGGCATGCGCGTGCTGTTGACGGGTCTCTTTGGGTTGGATTGTCCGTCGGCCTGTCCGGTAGGGATCTCGTCTCGGGCCACCGAGTCCCGTACGCCGTGCGGCTCTGGCGTGTCAACATCGCGGGTGCTGCTGGATCGAAGAGATGCCACCGATTGCGAGGAAGACCTGTTCTGAGTGGAAATGCTCTCAACACTACCGTGGGCCGGTCTGTGTCCCGACTTGGGCGAGCGCGGGGCAGCATTGGCCTGGGTCGAATCGTGGTGGCCCATTGCAAAACCAGTGGTACTGTAACCCCACAATGCCTCGTGTGTCCAAGCTTATCCGGACCCTTGCTCGTGCGCCAGATATGTCGAGGCTGCAGGAGATGGACCGATCTGGGGGTGGGATCGCGACAAGGGAAGACGCGACGATGGAGCGACGGGTGAATTCGAGGTTTTGCACCGGGCTAAGGCGAAGCTATGAGGTCGGGCCTAGGAGCTTCGAGGCGAGCAATGTTGGTCAGCTCGGCGGGCTTCGTCAAAGGCAAATGGAAAGGTAGGTAATGGCTCGGATAGCTCCGAGGCCGGGCTAGGCGCGTGTCCCCAAAGCCCCTGCAGCGGAGGCAGAAGAGAGGTGAATCTTACCTGCGGTGCTTCTTTTTGTGACTCTGAAATCCGCAGCTTCAATGGCACGCACAACAAGCGCATCCAACCAGCCGGGAGTCAGGGTCGCGCTAGCCAGCACGTGTGGCGGAGCTTCGTATCTGCCGGATGGCGCAACCCGCTTTCGGGGTATGGGGTCACTGGGTGGAAGCTTTCGGAAAGGAGGGAGGCTATTATTGAGACGAAGGAATATTGCTCAAGCAGCGTGGCGAGCGTCGTCGGCCTCGGCACTCGTACAGTCCGCAATTAGACATACGTGTTGTGCATATGGCATGTCTCACGGCGGCCGGGTTCCACGGGAGCCCACGGAGCCGTTCGTCGCCCTGTAAAAAAGCCCCAGTCGTGCACGCTTGGGTCGAGTCACGCGCTCTGTGCTTTTGCGCGAGCGAGAGCAGAGGCCCACGGCGATAGCGTGATGAGCCCACTGTCACTGCGCTGATAACCCGCAGCTCCACACTCCCCCCAGCGGGCCAGCCCTGTGCGCGTACGCGGCGGCTGATGAATCTCGAGCCGCAAGTTGGCGGGAGTGGAACTGGTTAGCGCCGAAAGTGACATCGTCGTCTGTCACAGGAAAAAATCAAGCTGCATGGCATTTTGTGAGAAGGCTGGTGCTGCTGGCCACCAGCCTGTGGCGCTCCACGTCCACTTCGAGGCCCCCATGCGCTCATCCGCCGGGGCCTCGCGCGCTTGTTCTTGATCTCCTCCGTTCCCTCCTTCGCATCAGGGGCCTGTTCTCTGCTTGTCGGTGTGACCTTGCCCGTCCGTCGCTCGCTCGCTGACTGCCAGTCTGCCGCCCTCTCTCCCAAGCTCCCCTCGTCGTCGCCGCTTCCTCCATCCAGCCACGGAATTCCTTCACCGTGCTCCTTGGCTTTGACCTGCCGATCTCCCACTGCTAGTTGCCAGCTCTCCCCACTTTGGTGTCAATCCTACCGATCAGATCGCCCTTACTCGTACCCGCCTGGTGAGCGACTCGTCCAATATCGCCCTTGTTTTGTTGTTGTCGCCAATGGTGACAGCTGGAATGTAGCTAACCCACAACAGCGCCATGCTCCCTCTTCGCACTCAGCCGCCCTCCCCGCGGCGAGAGCATGCGCGGCAATCCTCTCGCTCTCGGCAGCCCTCTCGAACGAGGCAGTCTTCTCATCCCCGGCAGTCTTCCCACACCCGGCAATCTTCCCGTACCAGGCAGTCCTCGCATACGCGACAGCCTTCTCACCCGCCTCGCCCCGCCCATACGAGGCAACCCTCACAGCCGCGCTCGCCACGACGCCGCAGACCCTCTAATATCGAAGTGCGGCCTTCGCACGAATTGCGAAACTCGCCCAGGAAAGAACACACTCGCGGTGATTCTCAAACCATGCCTTCGCCACGGGAGCTGGATCCCATGCTCCAAACCGAGGGCGACTTGCGCCGGAAGCGGTCCTTGGTTAGGCCGGAACGTGGTCGCGTCGACAGGGACCACCCAAACTATCACTACCGCAAACATGCGCAGAACATGAGTGTCCAGCCCTCGACTACCGGGCACGACCCACTCGCGGAGAACCACGACGAGTCAGAGACGATCAGCTCGGAGAGTACCGACATCAAAAGCATTCAGCGAAGACAGCAACGCAGGGAAGCTGGGAACGGCTATGGCAACGAAAAGGATCATGCACATGATGACAATCGCAAGCTCCAAAGAAGGCCCACGAGAAAAGGCACGTCACAGATGGAAGCCGAGGAGAAAGCGCGACAGAAAGCTCGCGATGCTGCGAGACCTCCGAGCATCTGGAACATCTACTGCGCTGTCATCACGTTCTGGGCACCCAACGCAATTCTCAAGTGCTTTGGCATGCCTCACAAAGCTCAGGCAAGAGCATGGAGAGAGAAAATGGGCTTGATTAGCATCATCATGCTTTTCTGCACATTCGTTGGTTACATCACATTCGGTTTCACTCAGACCGTATGCGCTGGTGGAGGACCCAACAGGCTCAGGATCAACGAAGTGGACAATGGTTACATGATTTTCCACGGAAAAGCCTACGATCTTTCGCGGTCCAAGCATCCTTGGGTTCGCGGCATTCCAAAGGACACCAACGTCGTTTACAGCCTGCCTGAGAAGTATGGTGGTATGGATGGGAGTTTTATGTTTCAAAACGTGAATGGCCACTGCAAGAATTTAATCACGTTGGCGGAAAACTCTGATGTCCCCTCTAAAAATAACGGCAAGGACCTCGCTTGGTACTTTCCATGCAACGCCTTCAAACAGGATGGATCCTCGAAGCCAAATCTCACGATTCCTTACTATCTCGGCTATGCGTGTCACACCCAGAACACGGCCCGCTCGTCATTCTATAATCTGAGAGACAGTGGCGACGTCTACTTTACTTGGGATGACATCAAAAACAAGAGCCGCAACTTGATGGTTTACAGTGGCGATGTTCTCGACCTCAATCTTCTACAATGGTTCAACACGAGTCAGGTCTCATATCCTTCGAGATTTGACGACCTGCGAAAGAATTCGAACCTTCGAGGTAGGGATATGACACGCTCGTTCTCTTCCCACGAAGACAAGCAGATTGCGAAATGTTTTCAGGAAATCATCAAGGTTGGCTCCATCGACACTGAGACGATCGGCTGCATTGCCTCCAAGGTCGTTCTTTACGTCTCGCTTGTTTTCATCTTGTCCATCGTTGCTGCGAAATTCTTCCTTGCTCTGGCCTTCCAGTGGGTTCTCTCTAAACGCTACGCGGCCGACAAGTCGACCGTCTCCCAGAATTCCAAGAGAAGGAATAAACAGATCGAAGATTGGAGTGAAGACATTTATCGTCCCCCACCAAAGATTGCTGACCCATTAGGGCCAGTGGATCGCAGCAGCAAACGCGGCAGCAAATTCTTGCCAAAAACATCAAGATTCACGAGCCCTTACGCCATCGATTCTGGCAAATCCAGACCTGCGCCGACTACTATGGCTAGTCAGAGCTCGACTGCCAAACTAATGAATAATAATAATGTGTACAGACAGTCGAACTATAGTCAAGGTACTCTAGGCTACGACATGCCAGGAAATGCTGAAAGTCGAACCAGCTTGATACTGCCTCCTTCGGGCACTGATCAAAGGTATTCCAGCTATATGGGCGACTCCGAAGGCCCTGGCCCCGCGGGTTTCGTCCATGAGTCTGTTGTACCCCAACCTCCCCACGACTGGCAGCCGTTCGGCTACCCTCTTGCGCACGCCATCTGCTTGGTTACCACCTACTCCGAGGGCGAAGAGGGAATTCGCACCACGCTCGATTCCATTGCTACCACCGAATACCCGAACAGCCACAAGCTTATTCTGATCATTTGTGATGGTATCATCAAAGGCGCGGGCGAGGAATTTTCCACTCCTGACATCTGCCTTGGCATGATGAAGGATCATGCCGTCTTGCCTGACGAGGTTGAAGCCCACTCGTATGTGGCTGTCGCGAGTGGATCGAAGCGCCATAACATGGCCAAGATCTACTCCGGCTTCTACGACTATGGCGACAACTCGCTGATCCCCCTGGAGAAGCAGCAGCGCGTGCCGATGATGATTGTCGTCAAGTGCGGGACACCGGACGAGTCCAAGAACTCGAAGCCTGGCAACCGTGGAAAGCGCGACAGTCAAATCATCTTGATGTCTTTTCTTCAAAAAGTCATGTTTGATGAGCGGATGACCGAGCTGGAATATGAAATGTTCAACGGAATTTGGAAGATAACCGGCATCTTCCCTGACTTTTATGAGATCGTGCTCATGGTGGATGCGGATACCAAGGTCTACCCGGACAGTTTGACGCATATGATCTCCGCCATGGTCAAGGATCCTGAAATTATGGGCCTCTGCGGTGAGACCAAGATTGCCAATAAACGCCAATCATGGGTATCAATGATCCAAGTCTTCGAGTACGTCAAACCCCTTGTCGAGTAAATGGCGTCAGGCTAACAGATCGCAGATACTTTATCTCGCATCACCAAGCCAAGTCCTTCGAGTCTGTTTTCGGTGGTGTGACTTGCTTGCCTGGTTGCTTCTGCATGTACAGGATCAAGGCACCCAAGGGCGGGCAAAATTACTGGGTCCCCATTCTCGCCAACCCTGACGTCGTGGAGCACTACTCGGAGAACGTTGTGGACACGCTGCACAAGAAGAACCTGCTTCTTCTCGGTGAAGATCGCTATCTGTCGACATTGATGCTGAAGACATTCCCGAAGCGCAAGCAAGTCTTCGTCCCTCAGGCCATCTGCAAGACGGTCGTTCCCGACGAGTTCAAGGTGCTGCTTTCGCAACGTCGCAGATGGATCAATAGTACGGTTCACAACTTGATGGAGCTCGTGCTCGTCAGAGACCTCTGCGGCACTTTCTGCTTCAGCATGCAGTTCGTTGTCTTCATTGAACTTGTAGGAACGCTCGTGCTGCCCGCGGCCATTTCGTTCACCATCTACCTGATCGCGATTGCCATCAAGGCAGCCATCGAGCACACGGCGGCTCCCACGATTCCACTGGTGCTGCTCGCGCTGATTCTGGGGCTGCCGGCGGTTTTGATCGTGCTGACGGCGCACCGGTGGTCGTACGTGGCTTGGATGTTAATCTATCTGATTTCGTTGCCGGTGTGGAACTTCATCCTGCCGACGTACGCGTTCTGGAAGTTTGACGACTTCAGCTGGGGCGACACGCGCAAGACGGCGGGCGAGAAGACGAAGAAGGCAGGCATCGAGTACGAGGGCGAGTTCGACAGCAGCAAGATTACGATGAAGCGGTGGACGGACTTTGAGTATGGTAAGTCACATGGGCCGGAGATGAGGGCGCGGTTGGGTTCATGCACGAAGCCATTTGCGGGCAGCGACTGACGGAAGAACCTACAGAACGCAGACTCAAGGGAAACAGCGCAGGGTGGACGCAGCCGAACAGCTCAACGGGCGGAGGCTGGGCGCAGCAGCAGCAGGGGTACGACACGTACTATGAGCATTATTAATGCATTGGGTGGCGTCAAGTCAAGGATTTGGAGGCAGCAAAGGGAGGGGCGCCAAGAGGGGGGGGCATGGATGGTGCATTTAATGGCAATGTAGAGTTAGAAACGCAGGCTGCACGTCTGACCGAAAGAGCGCGGGTTATGCAGACGAAAGAGCGAGCGTGCAGCGGCCGAGCGCGTGGTAAAGGCCAACGGGCAAGGGAACGCTTCACTGCAGGCGCGGCGCACGCGTTGGCCAGTGTGGGCTCGACGAGAGCCAACGGCGCCCGGGCCCGCCCCCCGCGCGCCGCGCGCCGCCCGCCGCCCGCCGCCCGCGCCAGTTCTTCCCCGCGGTGCGCCCTCCATCCACTCAACTTCCCTCAATCCTCTCTGGCCCTTCCAGGCACTGTATCACTCCACTTGACGGCGTCTGTCATGCATCCTGCCGCTGTGGCATGAAGCCGCCATACCTCTGTACATACTGCTGCACGTTTTCGCGGCTCGCGCGCAGCCCTGCACATAAACTCTCTTGACCTTATTCTTCATCGCCAACGCCCGTCGCCCAGTCGGTCGTCAGGCCCCCTCCCCAATAGACATATCCTTTATCCGGCCATGGCTAGTGTCGGTGACATCTTCTACTTTGGTTCCGGCCAGCCTTCCAATCACCACGCATCCCCGCACGAGGCCTCAGATGAATCCGTGCCACAGCCCGGTTTCCCCTACCGCCTGAGCCCCCCAGCTGCTCCCCCAGCTCCCCCAGCTCCCCCAGACTCGCTCCTTCCGGGCCTCGCGCATCATGACGATCACGACTCGCTCCTGGACGACGACCAGTCAGGCGGCGTCCCCGTGCCTCTCAGCCCCGTCGTCGACCTCCCGTCATCTGACATGGAAGACTCCTTCGACACACCTGACTATATTCTTTCCACCCACCAGAGCTCGCCCGCCGACAGTGGCTCGAGCAGCAACCCGCTTGCCTCCCTGTCCACCGGCCCCGACGCCAACTCCTTCCAAATGGCCTTCTACCCCACCTCCATCAGTTTAGGAAACTCGCAGTTTGCCATTGCCTCCGCTTTGGACGATCCCGAGGTAAATACACCCTCCGTCGACGACTACACATGGAAACCCGACATATGCAAGTTCATGGACCAATGGAGGATGGCCGGCACCATACCGGAATTTGGCGTGAGCCACGTTGGGGCAGAGGCCTCCAAAGTGAAGCATTGGGAACGCCCGCAGTCGGTCTCGAGAGACGACCTGCAGGGCAATCGGTACGACATACAAGGCATCGACTGGGATAAGCTCGAGACCACTCGGGAAGAGGCCAGAGATGCTCGCACAAAACTGTATCAAAGCACAACGAGCCGCGTTTGCACGCGCGCGTCCCCACTGGCGCAAAGACTTCCCAACACAGAGAGCTATTTCCGCTTCCGGAGGATGAACACCAAACACCAAGCATTAATAGCGCATTTCCAACTCAGGAATCTAATCGCTGCTACTTCTAGAAATGACATCTACTATGCCGGCAGGTCGAGGATAATGCGCACAGATTCCCTTGGTCAGTCAACCGACTGCGTCATGGACCTCACCAAATCCTCCTTCGATTCATTACATTCTGCAGCTTTCGATGTGACTTCCATGGCTGCGTCCGACGACATACTCATTGCTGGTGGTTTCTACGGCGAATATGCGCTGATAGACCTTCAATCCGAATACGGCACCAAACCCACCCAAGGCTTCATCACGCATCGCGTAAATGGCATCACTAATCACGTCCACACCTTCAACTCCCGCAGCAGTGGCAACCCCATGGCTGTCTTTTCTTCTAATGACAAGTGCTTGCGCATTCTAGACTGCCACACCAACACCTTCATCTCCGACTTTGGCTACGAGGAGGCGATCAACTGTTCCGCCACCTCTCCGAACGGCCGTATGCGCATGCTCGTAGGCGATTTTCAGGAGACGCTCATCACGGACGCGGAGACGGGTCGCCCTTTTGAGCGCCTGGGTGGACACACGGAGGACGCTTTTGCATGCGCTTGGGCAGACGATGGTATCCATCTTGCCACCGGCGCGCAAGACTCGCAAGTCGTCATCTACGACGCGCGATGGTGGCGGGCGCCCTTAGCCATCTTGGCTAGTTCAATGGCGTGTCCACGCAGCTTACACTTTAGCCCTGTCGGCGGCGGGCGCCGAGTTCTGTTGGCCGCAGAAGCAGATGATGTGGTCAGTGTCATTGACGCACAGAACTTTGACAGATGCCAGACGCTCAACTTCTTCGGTACCGTGTCCGGCGTCTCGTTCCTGCCGGACGGTAGCTCTTTCTATGTCGCGAACTCGGACGGCAAGTTTGGCGGCATAATGGAGTTTGAGCGCGCGGGTCATGGCGAGCTGTTCGGGCACTCAAATACAGGCGCGTCAGCCGCGCAAGGAAGATGGAACGACGCGGGCAAGCGGAGAGCATGGGTAGGCGCGGACGCAGAAGGTCCCCACGAGTGGGCAGACGAGTCCGTCCTTGAGTCCGATGCGAGAGTCAGGTTGACAGCCAAAGCGCGCAAACTGAGAGGTCTGGATCTCGATGATCTAGTCGTTTGAGTCGGAAATACAGCCAGCAGCCAACTGGCTGTGTTCAAAAGCTCCTCTGCCATGCCTCCAGCTGGCTGCCCACCCGCGCATCGATTAGTCAGGGGCCAAGGTCTGTTGCGAAGAGCCCTTGACGCGGCAATCGACTTGTATCAATACCTATACCAGCAGCATCACTACTCAACGATGATGACAGCAACGAGCAACAGAGTTACGCACGACAAGAGTCGTATGAATGGAACGAACGTTACGCCGGGGCGGCGATCTGAAGCAAAAACATCATAGGTGGGAGGCACGGAAACGACGCATTGGAAGAAAGGCGAGGCCAAGGTGTACCTAGTCGCAGCAGCACAGGTAGCTAGCCATCGTCAGAGCTTCGCAGTACTTTCCCCATTCGGCGGCACAAGTTTCCCGTTTCAGCGACGCATGTTTCCTTTTTTCCGTTTTTCTCTGCAGAGCATTCTCGATGTTTCGGCTCTCTATCCTTGTACGGACAGGCCACGCCGAATGGCGGTGGGGGAGTCCGCTTTCTTCACGCATATCACACACACATACCCGCATCATCACAGGGCCGGGGCCGGGCCGGCCGCTCGCTCGCTCCTTTTTCCCTCGGGCAGCGGGAGACAGGGGCTGGCTGGGATGGTGGGTAATTGCTTTTCACGGCGGGTCGTTCTCTTTGGCTGGATTAAAGCGGCGTGACGGACCGGGCATTCGCCTCTGGTTGCCGCGCTCGGGCGAGCGTCCGTGGACCGTGTTCGTGCCGGCTGTTTGTTTTTGTTTTTGTTTTTGCTGGTTTTTTTTTGCTTTTTGGTGCCACTGCCGGGGACGCTGCCTGCTTGCTTCGGGATTTTTGGGGGCGTGGGGGCCGGTCTGTGTCTGCGTGGGCTGTGCGGTGAGGTGCGGTGAGGTGCGGTGAGGTGCGGTGCTGCGCGTCTGACTGCAGCGTGCGTGCAGAAGCCACGACAGCTGCGATGGGAGGCCGTTGCTAACTAGGTAACTTTTCTTTTTGGCTGGCCTTGCTCGTTTCTCTATCTCTATCTCTCTCTCCTCTAGTCTGCTCTATCATTATCGGCATGCTGCGAGCGGCTTCTTGGGGTCTTTCTTGCTTTATCGTCTACCCTCATTGCTCATTCCTATCTCTATCTCCATCTCTACCTCTATCGCTGTCTTGAGGGAGAGTTTGGAAGTCAAGTCCTTGTTTCCCTTCTTCTTCTTCTTTTGTTCTTCTCGGTTGGTCCGGCGATGCGCTTTCGGTCTTGTGTGCTTCCTCTTTCTCCTCCTCCTCTTCTGTTTCTTCTTCTTTTTCTTTTTCTTCTCTTTTCGGCATGCCGGACGGGCGTCGGCCTTGTAATTAATGCGTCTGTGTACACTACGAGGACGAAGGCCGCGTTTTGCGCGAGGCGGCGCTGGTAGCAAGTATTTATTTGTGGCTTGGCTGATTTGGTTCGTGCGTGCGTGCGTGTGTGTGTGTGTGTGTGTGTGTGTGTGTGTGTGTGTGTGTGTGTGTGGTGGGGGTTGTCGGACTGCCGTGCTTGGCTGTGATGGGGTGTCTGCACTGGGGGTGGTGATTGCTGTAGAGCGTGCTTGTGGTGTGGGTGCGTTCTTGTGCGATTTGCTGCTCTGCTGTGACCGCTGATGTTGTGGCTGAATACGTCCACGCTCGTCCTTCTGCCACTTCTGCCTTGTGCTTTGCTGTGTTGTCGGCTTTCATTCCTTGCTTACTCGGTAAGTCTACACAAGCTCATACATCTAGTGTCTACCTATAGGTCAGCCAGCCTAGATATAGAGAATTCAACTGCTTTCTTTAAGCAAGACATTTACGGAAGGCCCCGGATAATTTGCTCACCTCTTCTAGATATTTTGCCCACCCCTTAACTACAAGTTGAGTTAAATCTAGGATACCTACAGAGTACTCCTTAGGTAGTTATAACTAGACTATAATGCTACGGCCAGTAGGCACTACATAACTATATAAAAGTAAAAAGATATAATGGTAAAAATATATTCGAGTTCTTAGATATATACGACTACTAGAGTATCTACAAGGGTATAAAAATAAAATATTCGAAGGATATAAAGGTACTTACAAAGGTATAGAGACCTAAAATTTCAAAGGGTTGAAAACACATCATATAACTCTATATATGCTATCACGTGGGGTGGGCAAATTATCCGGTGCCTTTACGGAAAGGGGGACTGCTTCTTTACACATTATAGGAGAATCTTCTCCTAGGGCTCTTTTCCCTTCTAAATATGTGTTTGTCCTAGATCATTGATGCAATCCTCATGGACTAGGATTTATCTAGAGGGCACAACGTATTTCGGTAATTGGGGATAGAGAGTTCAAGATTTGCGAACTGTAGAAAAACGGAGATGTGCTGTTTACTGTAGATATGATTACCCCAAACTGTCCGTGTATGCATTCTAACGCTCTTAGAAGAACAGGTACTGATCCTTCCCTTTCCCAAACATCACTTTGTTCTTAAGTGCTACTATTGTTTGTATATACAAAGTAAGTCGGCCGACCAGTGCAATATCTTCCACAGCTACCACACGAGTTACCGCTAAAGTAATATGCTTTAGATCCGAAATCCGAACCATGCTATTGTGGAAGCTAAAGCAGATGATGTAGCTTCTTAGGGCTCCTAAGCAACATACACACAGAGGCCGCGCGGTGTTGGGTTGTAGAATGTAAACCTAATAAGCAGCATCGGCAGTCAGAAATTGTACACACGCGCACGACGGTGAAAGGTTGCAGGGTATCATCATCGTATTTGGTCTCCCTATGCGAGTGTGAGCGCTAATACCTAGTTAGTTGTAAGGAAGCGGGTAGCGTGGGTTTGCTGGTTGTATCCGGTGTTTTCGTTGTGAGTATGCTTGGTGTCCACTATCCAGTATATAGTAGGAATTATTAGTAGTATGATAATATAGACATATCGCTCTGCTGTTGGGTTCGGTTGGGTTGTGTCTGAGTGCTATGCTATGCTATCTGATATCTATCTGTCCGTCTGTCTGGCTGTCGGAGTCTACGGATGCCGGGCCAGTTCAAGTTTTTCGCCTTCCGTTTTGGGATTAGACGGATACAGGAGTTGCTGCCTCAGCAACGGCCCTAGCATTAGGCGTCTTTTTAGGTCTTTCCCTGGCCTAGGGTGCCTAAATTGGGGGCTCTAGGCCTAAAAAAAGCCCTGTAAAAACAGACCTTACGTAGCCTCGTTACCACGGTAACACCCCTGTACCAGGTCTGTCCCAAAAAGGAAGGCGAAAAACTTGAACTGGCCCGGCATCCGTAGGTAAATGAAAGGACGCAGGCTATGCTTGTGCGCGTGCTTGTATTTGATATGATATGCGTGGTGAGTATCCAATGAAACGACAGAAGCCAAGATCAAGAGGTCGTGAAGTTCCGGAGAACAGAGAACCTTCTGAAGAGAGCGAGAAGGTTAGATGGAGAAAGGAGAGGAATCTCCTCATTCTTCGCCCCCTTCATCCTCACACACCATCCAGCCCCAACACACCTCTAGGCAGCACGCCCCTGCCCAGCCCCCACGACGCAGTCCTAGCCCACGCCCGCCGCAGCCCCGCATGCGCAGCCGCGACACGCATCTCGTCGACTGACAACGCCTGCGCGCCATTCCCTGGATCCGTTGGCGTCAGGAATGGGATCTCGACGGGCTCGCACACGGTGTCGGGCGCAGGGAGCGTGCCGTTGTGGAAGTACGCGCGGATATGCGCGACGGTGCAGGGCGAGAAGGCGGCGAGAGAGCAGTGCTGCGCGAAACGAAACGTCAGTGCCTTGCCAACAAAACGTAGCAACCATTTATTTCTTTCTCTGGAAATGGAAAGGAGAGGGAATGGGAACACTTACTCCCGGCGAGTTCTGCGTCAGCACCGCCGACCCCGGATACAGCTTCGCCATGGCGTGGGCGTTGGACAGCGGCGTGACAGGGTCGGCCGTATTGCCCACCCACAAGATGGGATGCGCAGTATCGCCGCCAAAAGGCCCGCGGAAGCGGTGCAAGGGGCGGATCTTCCAGCCGGCGCAGTTGAGGCGATGGGCCGCCCAGATGGCGCCGGACGTGGGGCTGATGTCGGCCAGCTCGCGCCAAAACGCGTCAAACGCCGTGATGGTGAGGAAGTCCTGCGCGTCGCCGTCCGAGCACATGATGGCCATGGCGGCCTCGCCGTCGACGGGCGCCACCTGCGTCACGTTGCCTTTGGCTGAGCACGCGAACGTGTGCTGTGGGCTCAGGAACCGCTGCACGATGTCTTTGCCTTCGCGGTCGCGCACGGCGGCTAGGATTTTGGCGATGTTGGGGAAGTGCTCGATTGGAGAGTAGATGGCCATGAAGAGCAGCGTCTTGATGTCGCTGTACGTCACGATTTCTGGTATGTCGTCGTCGACTACTTGGAGCGGGTTGTGATAAAGATCGGCGAAGATCTTGTCGACTTCTTTCTTGATGTCTGCAGAAGTCCAGCCTTCCTTTGCCAGTGGACATCTTTCTGGCCCGCTCTCGGCGCAGCGGTCATAGAACTGCTGCATGTCCTTTTCTGCGTCCTCGAGGTTGTTCGACCAGAGCGCTTTCATGTAGTTGTTTGCATCCACGACGCCGTCAAGGACCAGCTTTCCCACTCGATCCGGGTACATGGCAGCAAAAGTGTTCCCAATAGCGGTTCCGTAAGAGAAGCCCCAGTATTGCAACTTCTCCTGACCCGCGATATACAGCCTAGGCAACTGCATAGACATGGACTCGTGGCCTTTCCTCTTGGCGATTGCATCTTGGACCATAATCCTCCAGGTCTCCTGCTCTTTCCACTGACCGAAGAGCTCCGCAAGCTCAAGCATGTCACGTGCAACAGAGGCCGTGGTGATAAACTGCTTGATGTCGTCTCCGTCTTTCGCCGAGTAAGCGCACGTGGAGCCAAGAGCCTTAACCATCGCCCAGCGCCGCCCAAGAACAGCATCCGAGCTCCCTAGGATTCCGTTGGCGTCGCGGCGCAGATTCCAGGACTCTCTGATGGGTTCAAAGTCGAAGCAATGCGCGCCGGGCGTGGTCTTGCCGACTCCGCGCGGGTCGAATCCAACAAGGTCATAGTACTTGGCCGTCGAGTTCTCTGCCGCCTCCGAGCTAGGGTCTCCCGTCGAGTCAATCATGGACCGTATCGCCGAGCCTTCATCAATGACCAAATGAGTGCCGGAGCCTCCAGGGCCTCCGGGATTCAGGAAGATGGGGCCACCGTAGCGGGGATCGGTGACGGGCACTTTGGCCGGCTTTACAGCCACTGCAAGGCTGATAATCTTGTCCGGATTCGTGCCATTCCAGTAGTCCAAGGGGAGCTCGACGCGGGCGCACTTTAAGTCTTTGAAGCACGTCTGAAAATCCAGGGTCTTCTTGGTGGGAAGCTAAAGGACGTAAGCACCATTGCCAGGCTAGACAAAGGAAAACTACGAGTGTAGGCAGGAGAAGACGATATGACAGAACAGTTTACGCTACGTAGAAATCCTTACAGTGTCCCAGCTGAAGTTCAGTGCTTTGAAGTCTGGATGATCATGATGGCACCGTGCCATGCGCAACGCCTTCACAATAGCGACATCGATAAGATAAAGGCATAGTATAAGGATGATAACCTTTTTGGCAATCGAACGCGCCCTAGAAGGCGGTTGTACGTCCGGCCTTTCGGCCGTCGGAAGTCCCTTCATGGCAAACTCAAACACAAGAAGTTCAAAGCAAAAAGCGCAAAGGGGTGGCGAGGCTGAAGCCACGAGAAGTAAGCAAAGATATACACGCCATCTGATAAGGCAGCCAAGCAAAGTGGGGCAGTGTCCACAGCGCCGTGTGCCACCAATGGCGGGGCATGAGGCCCGAAAGAAGCCGGGGAAGAGACGAGACCTGACGGGTGATGTCACGTGTGGGGGATCGTAGCGTTGTGCGATGTTTTCCTTCCTCGAACGTCTCTCACTACTGTGCCGCCTTGCGTGCCGAGGCATGGAATGAATTTTCAAAAGCTGCATTCACGATCATGTCAAAGCTCGTATTTCCGGGCCATCCACCGTACATCTCTCTCCTTCCTTGTCACGTCACAACAACAGAAAGCCCCTGAGAGGTATGCTTGAATGCTTGTGGGTATCATCGAAGTGCAGCTCCTTTGTAGTCGGACGATCCTCAATGTTGCTTTCCAAGCCTATTGAAAAGCTAATCATGCAAGCCCTCAGTCTGGTTGTTCCCCCGATCCGTGTCCCAAGAGTATTGTCAATTCCCGCAACGAATGTCCTACCTGGCCCGTGTATCCGCGGGTTTATTCGTAAAGGTCAAGAAAGAGGTTTCTGTCGTTCGTAGGCCGAACTACCATTGCTGTTGGCCTTGGCCTTGGCCCTGAGACTGGTCACCGTAGCCTTGGCCGCCGTAAGGCTGCTGGCCTCCGTACCCGCCTTGGCCAGGGCCCCATTGACCGGCACCGCCGCCGTAACCACCTGCCGCAGAGTCAGAATTAACATCATCTTAGCATAGATATGGAGTGTGTTTACCGTTGCCGCCTTGGCGTTGTCCATAGCCGCCTCCTGGGTAATGTGTTAGACACGGACAAGAAGAAAGCTGTTGCCGCTGGAGCCTCGAATCGGTCGCGCGCAAACCTCCAGCAAGGAAGAGAGCCGCTACGATGGATGCACAGCAGACATAGGATGAGCTTACCGTATCCGCCACCGTATCCGCCGCCGCCACCACGGCCACCTCCATAGCCGCCGCGACCAAAGCCACCACCGCCGCTGGAGCGATCAGAAGCCTTGTCGACGCGGATGGTACGGCCGTCGAACCTGCCATGGGATCAGCACTGAACTACGTACTCTTCGCAGTCATGAAGACGGCGCGCATGACGTGGGCGTTTAGTGGGAGCTTACTCGACGTTGTTCATGGCCTGGATGGCTGCATCGGCATCAGACTCTTGGGTGAAGCGAACGAAACCGAAGCCGCGGCTACGACCAGTGTCGCGATCCTTGACGACGATCTAGGACGAGTCAAGGTTAGTTTGCGCCGATGGACAGTGGGTCAGACGACGAGATCGTACCGCCTCTTCGACTTGGCCAAATTCCTCGAACTTGTTGCGGAGCGTCGCATCGTCGGTGTGCCAGGCGAGGCCACTGGAGCCATGTCAGCGCTCGGGGATGCGACAAAGCACGAGGACAGGCGACTCACCCAATGAATAGCTTGGACATGGTGGGTTTTTCGGGAGTGCTATTGGCTCGAGGTCAGCGTCGCGGCTTCAGGCAGCGATGAACGCGCGGCGACGAAAGAGCAGAAAGACGACGCGCGGCTCACGGCGTCGGACAGGCAAGCAAAAAATACGGCGGGGGACGGACTTGCACAGAAGAGGGTCGAGGGAGGGTGGTAGGTTTGATCGGTCGTGGGTTGTCGCAGCGGAGTGGGGTGTTGAAGAAGAGGTGGTGGTGGTGTCGGGGCCGTCAGCGAGGGCAAGCGGGGCAGCATCCGGTTGCGCTAACGAAATTGTCAATCACCTTTCACGCAGGGAAGCAGGCTGGGAGGGAGGAAATGGATGGGCGCGTGGGAAAGGCGACCATGCCGGATGCATCGACGCCCTCTACTCATGGGCCGCATGATCTCGCGAACACGGGACAGCCGGGCCCTATAAGGCCAATGGGCGCGACCAGCGTCGCCTGCGCGCCCGCGTCTGCGCGTGTCGGCCCCTGCAATTGGCTGACGCGGCGTGATGGCGCAAGTGATGGAGGACCAGGCAAAGAAGCTTATCGCCTGCGCTGCCGGCTCGTGCTGGCCACTCGATATACGCAACCAGCCTGCCTCAGTTACATAATGTTTGTCAGTGCGCGCCAGCCAACGCGGGGGATTCGCGCGGGCCCGCCCTCGTCCTCCATGGTCGTATCCGCGTGCGTCGAGCGCTGCTGCCTTTTGCCTTCGTCCTGTTGCACCTCCCCTCTTGTCGTACGACGGCCTCGACACCCTCCCTCTCAGACTGTCGGTGTGTGGACGCGTACATGAACATTCAAAGCTGGTTAGAGCAGACCGAGACCCCCACGACGTTGGGCCTACCGGCAGCCCTGAGAGCAAGGGAACCTGCTGCCCAAGATGCACTCCGGCCCTCGCCCCGCCACAAGCGCCCTCGGCATCTGCCTTCTTCCGATAGCTCGCTGCTCCGAGTCGATCGCCCTCTGGAAACACCTGGTGCTGCTGCTGATGATGACCTAACTTTCGCCGACGACGCTGCAGCTTCCATCCACAGTCCACCAGTGCAATACGCTCGAAGACCACGCCACAAGACGCGCCCAGATACATATGAACCCCGCAAAGACGACGCAGAGCAGAGGCGGAAAAAACACCACAAGCCAAAAGAGCGTCGTTCGAAGAGGAGGGACAAGCCAGACGGTCTGGTACACACCTTTCACGCCAAGCATGTCGCTCGAGATAGGCTGACCGTAGGATCACTTGCATATCCCTTGCGGCGCACATGAGGCCACAGGTGGCGCTGACATTCGATTCCAGTTGAAACCAAAGGAAAATCTAGGCCTGTTCAAGAAGGGACGGGCGTCGTCCCCAGTCAGGGGACGCGGATGTGAGTCCGGCTGTGGCATCTGCAGGACGTATGCCCTAACATGGCATATAGTACCGGACCTAGTCTTCTCCGAGATGCGTTTTCTGCAGAAGCACAGTGACTCTGTAAGACAACAACCCACGGAAGACTCGAAAAGAGAACGGAAGAGAAAGGAACGGCACGATGCACAGAAAGAAGAAATATCAGCATACTTTGGCACGAAGCCAGCACTGACTGAGAGAAAGCATGAAGCCAATTCCAGAGACGAACAAGGCCATGCCGTCATACCCTCCATCGAACTACATGAGAGGCCATATCTTGGTTTTGGAAGTAGAGGCACGCGCCACAGCAGTGTGACGACTTATAGCATTCCTTGGTCGGAAACGGTTCGGCACGCGAGCCACTCCGTGACTCCACAACCACACAGGCTTGCCAAATTGCAAGCCCTAGGATCTGGAGACGCGTCAGACAGCGCGCCCACAGATGGTGTGGCTGTCGTACGTCCAAGTGTACGTGATGCGACATCAAGTAACGGTAAGCATCTACTTGAAGAAGCCGATGGCACCACTGCTACCCAAGTTCATGCGGCATCAATTCCAACAAAGAATCCAAAGAAATGTATGCACTCTCTGCTTCAGAATCGGCCTGTTGAGACTTCAAAACCTTCGTCGTCCCACAAGGGCCGGGAAGACCTACCCGGAAACTGGTACGATCCAAAGTATCAGGAAATTGTAGGGCCAAACGAGAACGACATCCCGGCACCTAGATCTTCCGGCCTGCAGATTACACCTGCAGCGGAGGAAGAGGCGGTGCAATCGCAATCACCTGGCGGTAGCGGTGGTGTGAAAAAATGTTCAAACTCCACAACCGGCACTGGTTGCAAAGATAACGTAGGACCGAGCCAGGTCTTCACCAGAAGCTCGTCACCGTTGGGCAAGCTCTTGCGACAGTGTGACGATGCTTGCAACGAGGCAGCAGCCGAACAGCATATTCCTGGCATGGACATTCTTTACTACGGCAATGACGACTTTGAAGGTACTTGGGTCGAAGAGCAAGGCCCATGTCTACAGTCAACGAGATGCGGTCAGCGCGGACTCTATGGTATGCAGTTGGCAGACGAAGACGAAGCCGAGGCATGTGGTGAGGACCGTGACGGATATGATTACGGACATGAATACATATCATTTCAAGGAGGCGGGGAGGGCGATCTTGGGGACCAAGAGAAGTTTGGACGGTTCTGGAAGCCCCATAGACTGTATTGAAAGCATAGCTGGCGAGCCGTTCGCCCGCAAGCACGCTGTGTAAGCGAAAACGGCGCAGATCAATCGCGGTTTCTTCGGAAGCGGGAAACGGCGGGCCTCAAACCTCGGTCGATGGCGACCAGCTTGATCAAAGCTATCTGTTGCTTGCCAAACCGGGTGATTTAGGTGACTATCGGACTGGATGAGGCCTGCCCAGCGTTCGTGCAGCCGGACCTTGACCCTCACGGGCAAATTATTCCTTCCGGCCGACTTATTTGCACCCTATTGTCGTCGCCAGGCAGTCTCGCGCAGACCGCCGGCCCTGACGTTGGCTACGCTGGCTGCATCTCATAATCCACGCAATCGCTCCGCCTCCCGCTACCCCACCAGCCGCCTCGACAAAATTCATTCTCGCACGCAACTGGTAGCGGGCCACTTCAACTTCTCATCAACACCATCATCCACCATGTCTTCGTCCAAGTTCACCTCGCGCAAGATCGCTGCTCCTAACACTCTGGAGCACCGCGTCTACATCGAGAAGGATGGCGTGCCCGTCTCTCCTTTCCACGACATTCCCCTCTACGCCAATGAGCAGCAGACGATCCTCAACATGGTCGTTGAGGTCCCTCGCTGGACCAATGCGAAGATGGAGGTATGTTTGCCCGCGTTCCTCGCTGCGGCGGCCGCGTGTTTCTTGTGTTCCCATCACCCCGCCTCAGGGGCATGAAGCAGATGGCTAACCATTCCACCACCACAGATCTCCAAGGAGGAGACCCTGAACCCCATCAAGCAGGACACCAAGAAGGGCAAGCTTCGCTTCGTCCGCAACTGCTTCCCCCACAAGGGTTACCTCTGGAACTACGGTGCCTTCCCCCAGGTATGCGTGCCCCACTTTGCCCCTCATTCAACCGGACAGCATAAGCTGACGACACGGTAGACCTGGGAGGACCCCAACGTCGTCCACCCCGAGACCAAGGCCAAGGGCGACAACGATCCGCTCGATGTTTGCGAGATTGGTGAGCTCGTCGGCAAGCCCGGTGAGGTCAAGCAGGTCAAGGTCCTCGGTGTCATGGCTCTGCTCGACGAGGAGGAGACCGACTGGAAGATCATCGTCATTGACGTGAACGACCCTCTGGCTCCCAAGCTCAACGACATCGAGGACGTTGAGCGTCACCTGCCCGGTCTCCTCCGTGCCACCAACGAGTGGTTCCGTATCTACAAGATTCCCGATGGCAAGCCCGAGAACCAGTTCGCCTTCTCCGGCGAGTGCAAGAACAAGAAGTAGGTTTCACGTTGACTCATTTTGAGCACTCGCTGACCGATATAGGTACGCCACCGACATCGTCCGTGAGTGCGCTGAGGCCTGGGAGCGCCTGGTCACCGGCAAGACCCCCAAGGGTGAAATTTCTCTGTAAGTTTAGAGAATCTGCAATTTTGAAGCACTCATGCTAACAAGAACTTAGCACCAACACCACTCTGAGCCACTCTTCCGACCGTATTGACCCCAGCACTCTCAACCTCCCCAAGGGCGAGAACCAGCTTGCTGCCCCCATCGACCCCAGCATCGACAAGTGGTTCTTCATCTCGGGTGCCCCCACCCAGTAAATAAAGCCTCTTGTGGCCCGGCACGCGTCCAGCCACGGTTGTGACGTCGAGGCTGTGATGATATAGAGCTGGAGCTGCATCTACATAGCATCTTGTGGATGATACAGAATAAACAGCAATGGCATGACGCAGCATTAAAATGCTGCTCTGCAAACTCCGTCCGTTCGCGTGTCCCAGTGATATACACAAACTCCGTCAAATGCATGCATGTATCCATAATGTACCCATCGGTGCCGCCTTTAACCGTTCAACTCTTCCTCGCGAGCAAGCTTACGCGAATGCCTGTTGACCTCTTCCTCCACTTCTCCGATCTTGAGCTTCTCCAGGTTAAGCGCCATTTCCTTTCCGTCCTCTGCGGGGATTGTGTTAGCCCTTCATTCATTCAAAGATTCCCGCGTCTTGTTCCACGCATCATCATTTATAAGGCCGACATACTGAATTTCAAGGACAGCGTGGGAGGCTCCGTGCTGATCCTAGGCAGAACCGTGGAGCTGATCTTCATAGTCAAGCGCGCATCAGGCGGCAGCATGGCGAGGAAAGTGCGGGCGACCTTTGCGCGCGGCGAGAAGGGGTTGAACTTGGTCGTGACCTCGGTCATGTACCTGGTGATCATGATGGGCAGCGGCGGCGGGAGCGGACTGGTCTACGGAGCAGCGGTGCGGTGCGGTGCGGGAAGCGGAGAGACGACAGAGAGAGAGAGAGAGAGCGCGTCGCGAGGAAGAAGAAGAAGTCGGCTGCAAAAAGTCGTCAATGGCGGGGTTCTCGCGTTAGATTTACGGAGGGCATTGGGTGTCATACCGGAGGGCGCTGCTCGGCGGGCGTGTTCTGCTGCTTGCTGTGGTCGACTCGACTACGCGCTGTGAAACTTTCCCCGACGTCCCCGCGGCGTTTGCCGAACGAACGGCGGAACGTGGGACAGGCCCGCATGACATCGCCTGCGGCAGCTGCGAGCAGCAGGGCAGCTAATCCGTAGTTACATATCCCCTCCGCGACGAAATGGCATCCACGCAAGCCTTTTCCACGCACCTCACGCAGCTTTCTTCCATCGCCATCAAGCAGACCGTTTGGCGTCCCGCGAAACCTTGGTCTCAGCCTGGCTGAACACATATAGTGCAGGATTAAGAGCGGACTTGACGCAGTATATTGGTTCCGTGCCTATAGCTTGTGATACGATACTGATGAGGTTTCTAGCGCACATAACCAGTTCCGTCGCGCCCGCATCGTTATCAACAGCTCGCGCACCAACACCGTCGCTGTCCTAGACGAGCTCCGTCAAGTCCAGCGCATCAAAAACGCCCCAAAGCGGCGCGAACCAAGAACAAATGGCCGAGAAGCAAACCGCCGCGACCGGCCCGTCGGGGCCGCAGGGCCAGCAGAACCAAGAACAGCAACAGGCGCAACAAGCGCAGAGGGAGCTTCACGGTGGCGGCAAGGCAGAAGAGGTCGTGGAGCGGAGGGGCGACGGCGTCCCGCTAGTCAAGTCGGACAAGCCGCGGAATGCGAAGAAGAGGATGTGGGAGGAGAATGTCGAGGGCGCTAAGTACGAGGAGCAGCAGCGGAAGGAGAGAGGCGAGCTTTAGATCTACCACGTATCTACCTATAGCCACCCCTAGGTTATGCGTTGAAATCCATACTACGTATACGGGGTAGGTAGACAGGAATAAATTCCTAGCAACTCGTTTACCAGGCTCCGCCCATGCAGCACACGGGTTAGGAAAGGAATGGCGAGTGCATGTACCTACCTACCTACTGCAGTACACCGGTAGCACAAGCCCTCGCAAGCTTACTCTACAGCCAGCGCGGTCCATGAACTCACCGACGACGCTGGCCCTAGCCATCACCTCAGCGACCTTTCCCATTGCAGCGCGCCCAAGTGCGTCTTACGTATCGAAATGCTAGGTAGGCTCGGAGTTGGCACGGAGCAGCACACTACTCCGTATGGGCTAGAGGCATGGGACCATCGTCAAGTACACTCAGCAGTCAGGCAAGCAAGCAGGCAGCCAGCAACGGCATCACAAAAAACGCTAGCTAGAGCAAAGCGCGCTCACTCAGCGCGCTCGCCCAGGCTCAATAAGGAAATAGGTACCTAGATATGATCCCCCTCCCCCAAACTTCCCCGCGGCACAAACCCATAAGCACACACAGATACGGAGAATGCTACGTCAGGGCCAACACAGTGCCCCGGGCGCCAAACCCGACAGAGTTAAAGCCGACATCGGAGATCGGCTCTGCACCCTTGCATAATCCGTATCTAAGCGCACGCTGCATCATTTTTGTGCGGGACGGCCCAAACGCACGCCCTACGACCAACAAGCCGTGACTCCTCCGCTGCTCTCTCTGACTCTCTACTCTCTCTTTTGCTTAACCCGCCAGATACAAGACACGACGGTCGACGCGCGCCACTGACACACACACGCTTCCATACACACGGCTTGCTAGACGCCTCTTTTTTGCTCGCGGATTTGTAGACAAGTTTACGCTACCTACTTGCCTACCTACTTATCTATCTATCTACTTTATTCTTATACGCTCGCGCATCCACAATGGCCCCTCCTCCCCCCGGCGCTGTCGAAGTCGAGGCCGTCACTGACACTACCGGCGTCACGGTTCCTGATCCCCTCGATGCGCCGATGCGCATCAACGACCTGCATGGCCGCCGGAAGAAGACTGAGAAGTCGCAATGGGGCGTTGCGGCGCCGTCGACGAGCGAGCGCTTCAAGAGCTATGGACACGCGCACAAGCCAATGGCTAAGAAGTGGGACCGTAAGTCTGCCTGCCTGCCTGTCGCCGCACCTAAGCAGGGGAGAGGATGGAAGGGAAAGAGTTGGTGGTGGAAGAAGAACGAAAGCAATGGGACGGGAAGAAAAGAGGAATGCTAACGATATGGGACCACGACAGACCGCTTCAGCGCGGAATCCGCCTCGCGCAAGGGCAACTCGCTCAAGCAAGCCGCCAAGTTCCTCAGCAAGCCCGGCATCATCTCGCTCGGCGGCGGCCTGCCCTCAAGCGAGTACTTCCCCTTCGACAGCCTGGACCTGACGGTGCCGACCGTGGGCAAGTACAGCGAGGCCGAGGTGCACGCCGAGGGCGCGCGCCTGCACGCCGGCAAGCACGATCTCGCCCAGGACAAGAGCATCTTCGACATCGCCACCGCCTTCAACTACGGCCAGGGCTCCGGCTCCGCCCAGCTCCTGCGCTGGGTCACCGAGCACACCGAAATCGTCCATAACCCTCCTTACGCGGACTGGCAGTGCACCCTCACTGTCGGCAGCACCTCCGCCCTCGACATGGCCCTGCGCATGTTCACCCAGCCCGGCGACTACATTCTGTCCGAGGAGTACACGTTCGCGACGGCGGTGGAGACGGCCGCGCCGCTGAACGTCAAGGTCGCCGGCGTCAAGATGGACGAGCAGGGCATGCTGCCCGAGTCGCTCGACGACGTCCTCACCAACTGGGACTCTGCTGCTCGCGGCGGCGCCCGCAAGCCCTTCCTCGTGTACACGGTCCCGTCGGGCCAGAACCCCACGGGCGCGACCCAGGGCACCGAGCGCCGCAAGGCCATCTACAAGGTCGCCCAGAAGCACGACCTGTACATCCTCGAGGACGAGCCCTACTACTTCCTGCAGATGGAGCCGTACGCCGGGCCCGGCGCGCCCGCGCCCGCGCCGCCCGCTTCGCACGACGAGTTCCTGAAGACGCTGGTGCCCTCGCTGCTCAGCATGGACACGGACGGCCGTGTCATGCGCCTGGACTCATTCAGCAAGGTCGTCTCGCCCGGTAGCCGTGTAGGCTGGATTACCGCATCGGAGCAGGTTGTCGCCCGCTACAAGAAGCACGCCGACGTCTCGACGCAGGGTCCCAGCGGTATGAGCCAGCTGATTCTGTTCAAGCTGCTCGACGAGCACTGGGGCCACCCCGGCTACCTCGAGTGGCTGATCCACATCCGCAAGGAGTACACGCAGCGCCGCGACGTTATCCTCGATGCCTGCGAGAAGTACCTGCCCAAGGATGTCGTCAGCTGGAAGCCGCCCATGGCGGGCATGTTCGTAAGTTGATTTCCGCTCCGTTTCTGGGCCCTGGCGTTCTGAACTGCTAACGTCTCGCACAGCACTGGCTCAAGATTGAGTGGCAAAAGCACCCCCACGCGCACGAGAAGAGCATCCCGGAGCTGGAAGAGGAGATCTTCCTGGCGTCTATTGATCACGGTGCCCTCGTTATGCGTGGCTCCTGGTTCTACGCTGAGAATGACATTGCTCACGACACCATGTACTTCCGGGCGACCTATGCTGCGGCGCCTTTTGACAAGATCCAGGAGGCCATTCGTAGGTTTGGTGAGGCGCTTAGGGAGAGCTTCAAGCTGCAGGCATAGATGTCGAGCTCCGCGAGTAGGAAAAGGTGAGTGATGCACACAAGACGCGGAAAAGAGAAGCAAGGAATTTGGTTCTTGAGAAGAGCATTGCATGTATTGTCGGCATATATCGTGGCGTGTCACAATACCCATTTTCTTGTTTACTCAGCGTATTGTACAATGCAAGTAGGAATCAAAGTCCACGCATTGAACCATCACATAAAGGTGTTCGAATTGACTGCTTTTGGTTCCGTTCCGTTCTTCGTAGCTCGCAAATGGGGATATCTAGTTGATGAAGTTGACGCAGAAGAAGTGCAGTATGAGGCTGCCGAAGACGTAATCCGCAAACGCACTGTGGAAGTTAGTACCTGACGGATGGATTGTGTGAGGCATTGCAGGAGCATACCGTTCGTGGGAGATGCTGCCGAACTCGGCTTTGTTCTCCGGGTTCGTTTGGATACGCAAGCTCGCAGTGAGGACGAATTGACCAACCGTAGCGCTGAAGCCAGACAGGAAGGCGTTGAAGGGCTAAGGAACATGGTCAGCAAGGTACTTCTCCAATTGGTCAAGATCAATGCCCGTAGCCTCTCCAACAACAACAACACAAGCTGATCCAACAGCATCAACCTCTCCCCAAGCACACCAACGCAAACGCAAAACCAAAGGAAACAGAACAGTCGCACTCACATAATTGCCACCAACAATGCAGTACACAAACTGCAGGACACCGACGACGACCAAGAACGCCATAAAGGTATCCAGCAGCTTAACACGCTGCTCGGTGCCATCGACGTAGTTCCTCCACACGCCAGCAAGGATGGACTGGGCATCATTGCCGGTGATCTTAGCAGAAGGCCTCGACAAGCCAACAGGGCCGGTCGCGGACGTGGCCGACGCCGCCTTGGTCGTGTGCGAGGCAGCGCTGGGGACGGCGGTGTTGGGCGCGACGGCGGAGGCAGGAGCCGCGGCGGGGGAAGCGGGCACAGCGGCCTGGTTGCCGGCGGGCTGGGCGCGGTGGCGGGGCGGCATTGCGGGCGTGGCGATGGAGGGCGGTGCGGTGCGGTGCGTGGGTGTGGTGGGCGGTAGAGCTGGGCGGTTCAGGCCAGATGGATGGTTGGTGTTGGAGCTCGGACGCGCGGGTGCTCAGGGACGCGCGGGCGGGCTGCCGGCTTACGCACGCCCGCTGCGCGCCGCCTCCGCTCCGCTCCGCCCCGTAGGTACCCTACCTAGTGCGGGGCGGCTTGGCAAAAGCGTCATCGCTGCCGGCCGGACGAGAGCTGCCCGCTCGCAGCTTCGAGCGAGCTCCCCCAGTTCCAATTGCGTCGTCTCGCTTTCTCAGCTCTGCCAACCAACCTCTTCTCCTCTACCACTCATTACCCACGCACGCGCCTCATCAACAATGGTTCGTCCCATCTCTACAGCTACAGCTACAGCTACAGCTACAGCAACAATGCTAACACGCTCCCCACGCCCAGGGCCTCGAAACCATCGCATACATCCTCGGCGCGCTGACCGCCGGCGGCGGCATAACGGGCTACGTGCGCACGCGCTCGGTGCCGTCCATCGTCGCGGGCGTGACCGTCGGCACCCTCGTACGTTGAGCCCCAACCTAGCCGCCGCATCGCATCGCATCGCATCGCATCGCGGCGCGGCGCGTCGCGTCCTTGCGCTGACTGACCCTCGCCCGCGCAGTACGGCCTCGGCGGGTACCGCCTCTCGAACCGCGAGCCCTACGGCGTCGAGCTCGCCCTGCTGGCCTCTGTCGTCCTGGCCGGCTCCTCCATCCCCCGTGCTATCAGGACCACCAAGCCTCTGCCTATTGGCCTGAGCTTGCTGGCTTCGTATGGCCTGTTTAACTTTGGTATGGCGTGGCAGAACCGGGTTAGGTAGATGATAAAGGTGGTTGGAGAAGGAAAAATGAATTGAAGGAGAGAAGGAATCGAAGGAAAATTCAATGTCGGTTGTGCGGATGCGGACACGTATCGTGAGCCCTGTTTGTTTGCTAACAAATTGTGGTTATGTGGCTTGTCTGCTACCTATCGCTTCCTCCCAATAAATCTACCGCTATTTTCAGAGCTAGGTTTAAGAATGCTCCATCAAACATGTAACAATTTCTTGGCCTGCCCAAAGATCGCCGCTCGCAGACCCTGCCCAAACGCCACAGTCGTGTGTACAGCTTGGAGCTGCCTGATCCGTGGCTAAAACAAAGTATAACCTCCCAGTCGTTAATCCTCCATATAACCATCCTCCCGCAAATGTGACACTCAGTCTTCGTCGTCGTCGTCATCGTCATCCTTCACAGTCTTCTTTTCAATCTCCACTCTTTCCTCCTTGGCCTGGTTCACCAGATCGCCAATCTCCTCGCTCTCCCCCAGTATCTCCCTCGCTCTTGCTTCCTGAACATCCATGTCCTCCGCGATCAACATGGTCGCAAGCTCCGGCACCAGCACTTCTTGGATAAACCCGCTGACCGTCTTGTACCCAATCAGCGGGTCGCTGCCCGCCACCTCGTGGATCTCGTCCGTTACCTTGCCTGCGATCCAATCCATCATGACGCGTCGGCCACGCGGCCCATAATATCCAACACCCCCAATCGTATCCATCTGGTTATGCTTCCTTGCTGCGCGGAGGGTGCGTCCTTGTCCTGCAGCCATGGTGCCGGCCAGGCGGGCTCGGAAATGGCTGTCTTGCTCGTTGCGGACGATCCGGACTAGGGCGTCCCGGTGCTTGTTCAGGCGCCCCGGCAGAGCGTCCCAGTCGATGATGGGGTATTGATTCGCCTGGTATTCTTGCGCGGCCGTCTGCTTCTTGTGCGCTTGGCAAAAGGCCATTTGCTGCCGCACGCGCATGTGCTCTGCTCCGCGCGCCCAGTGCTCCAGGAATGAGGCATCCACCGCATCACGGCAGATGGGGCAACGCGCGGGGACGGGGTAAGTCGTGGGCCGTGACGCTTCGAGCTCGAGTTCGAGGTCGAGGTTGTCGAGAAGGGGAGAGGACATGGGGTCGCTAAGGGGCGAGGAGTCACCTTCGTTAGGGTCTTTCATGACAGATGCTGTATCTTTGTTGGCGGTTTCGGCTCGGGTTCTGAACTTGAGCATATCAGACTTCATACCCTCGAGAAGAGGGTGGTGCTTGAACTGTGGCATTTTGGGAGTTTTCTTGGGAGTTCCTTTGGGGGTATTCGATGTTTTCGTAGCAGGGCTACCCGATGAGGCCTTCCCTAACCGCTGCTTCTTGGTCGCTCTTTCTGAAGAATCCGTCCGCAGGGCAGCGTGGATGTTGCCCGTCGTGCCCCTACGCGCTCTTTTGGAACCCTTCCCATCGGACACTATCGTCCTCTGCCTATTCGCAAAAGTCGTCTTGTTTTTATTTTTCCGCGCCATGGCTGAGTCGGCAAATGGATCATTCATCTCGCTTATGCCGACACCCGAGTCTTGTTTGCCAACATTTCCTTTTCGGGCGCCTGCCTTTGTTCTGCCTGCACGGAGTGGCTTTTCCTGGCTCCTCATTCGCGGGGTGTAAAAGCTCACACCGTCAGAACTTTCTTGGCCCTCCTCATCGCTCGAGTCTTGTGGTGACGCATAGATTTCCTCGTCGGGCACGGAATGCGCCTCTGTCGGTTTTGCAGGTGAGGGGGCTTGCGCGGTTTTGTTCCGGAAGGTGCTCAAGAGAGAATCTCCCTTGTACGCTCTCATGGTGAAAGGCAGATTTCAATTGAATGTACAGTGAGATAGGGCCTCTTATATGTCTGGGTATATACGGTGATGGCACGCATCGAACAGTCGCAAGTCAACAGTCGGGGTGTGGGATGGTCGAGCAATACCAATTGATGGAAGGCCCCGGGCCGGTCAGGAATTGAACGCTCAAATCACTAGAGAAGCTCGAGTAGTCAGTCGTGGGCGCAGAGGTTGTGCGGGTAGCCGCATGAGCTTGGAGACTCGAGGTCTGAGAGCTAGGGAGCTTGACGAGGGTCGGCGAAAGACGTGCCGATTCGCGCTAGCACAACGCGATATCACGCTATCCCGTGAGCAACAGCGAACAGCTGATGAAAGACGGTGAATGATGCTGAATGGAATTTTGACTGTGTAGAACTACTTTTTTTTTTCAACACGCGAATTGTGTTGTTTCATGTGAAGGCACCTTTTCCAACATCTTCTAATGTGTTAACATTCCGCCTTTAGTACCAGTCACACACTTCATGTACTGTCAGTCCTATTCACTCTAGAGCCCTTGAAACGATTCGCATCGTTACAATATTGTCCATAAAAAACAAAATCGTCAATAGAGTATTGCGTGGTACTGTTTGCAGGTAAAACTGAGTAATTAGACCGCCCTATTCACCGCCCGCATTCAATCAGTTCACCAGATACCTAAATAGGTTGTAATGCTGTTATATCTATCTATAGAATCTAGCTAGTCATATGGCGACGAAAAATCGCTATCACCAAAAATGTAAAACAGCCTTTGTGGAGCCGCTGTCTTTGCAAGCACAGTTGCCTTCTTTCCTTGGTCTAGCGAATATCTATTCTGGACCGCATCCCAAGTTACCCAGGAGCCCTGGTACTCGACGCGAGGACTTCCGTAAGTTTCAGTGTCCTTGTAAACCCCGAGCCCCGATCCTCCCGATCCTCCAACAAAATCTCCTTCCTAAGCCGGGGGTTCCTCTTTTCTTAAGACCTTCCTATTTCAACCACTAGGCTCGGTGTCAGACACAGGGCTACGGCCGAATTCCAAAGTCAACGGACGCTGCCAGTCCCCAGCCTCATCTCGACTGCAATCCGCTGGTCCGACCCACGCTATCACACATATGCCTTTCTTTCTTCAACATGCCGAGGGATCGACGACTTTGTCTAAAGGTGCCGGCCAAAGCCGCGCCATACACGTGCTCCGCGAAAATTGAGTCCCAAAATGTCTTGTGCAATTCCTGATTCTCGAGGCAAAGGGGGTATAATGACGTGCAAATGACCATCCTCCTCATAATCAGACTTCGGCTTAGAAAACAGTGACCATGCCCATGGAACAGAAAAATAAACAGGGAAGCTTCGCACTGCGACTCGACCATTGCGGTCGAGCCGAGGCAAAGTGCAGACGCCAAAACGCAGGATGCAAATGCGACCGATCTACAGCGGTCTCCGGCCCCCAAACAACATGCGCCCATGAATCATATGGCCTGTATGCAGCTGCAACAGAAACAATCTCTTCGCTTCCCGCGTTTTTATGTCCAAACCCAATTTCGGTCGACTCGTACATCGAACGATGACAAAGAATGTCGGGGCTGTCATTTGATGACGGACAAAACTGCGAAACGTTGCTGCCATCGTCAGGAGACTCTTTTCCCCATCTATTTTTGCTCCTTCTGGATCACAAGCCTCGTGTGGAGTGTGGTGGTACACGCAACGTAGCAGCGTATTGGCGGTCGTGTTCCCAGGAGATCGGGTTCCCGTGCTTGACAGCTTCCCTCCGTATGCTGCAGCTATCCGTGCTTGGCATCCACCACGTATGTCAGACCGTGACGGAGTTGCTCATCTGATCGATCGCCTTTCACCGCTTGACCAGATGGCCGCATCTTTGAGCGGCCCCACAGATGACCAGAAACATGTGACTCTTTCCGCATGTGGTGACATGTAGGATGTTTCAAATGAAAAAAAGCATGTCCAGAGGCCAGCTCCGCACCAGACACCCAAAAGCAACAAAAAGAAACTAGTCTCTTCATCTTGACCTCTTTGCGACCTGGCCTTGATCGATCATTCCAGGAGAGCTGTAATCCCATCTCCGCTTGAGGCCACCGTCGCCAAAGGAGCTGGCCACCACATCTTGCCACATGCTCGGAGTGACGTAATTGCCGGGAGGAGCAGCGTAAGATACTGGCGGAGGCAGTTGAGCCGGGACACTCGGAACTTGGTGGGTATGCGGAGACACGCTGGATGCATGATAGTATCCTGGCGGCTGTGTCTCCTGCGGAGTCCGGAGTTCATAGGTCCCTGACGGAGGAGGTCTTAGAGGAGGAGAGGATTGAGACGTGGTAGTTGGAGGGGGCGTACCGAAAGCAGTATTCCATTGACTGGGCTGTGTTAGTTGAGTTTACAACTTATAGGCGGACGGACTTACTCGAATAATCTGGTCGGATTCCACTGCACTGGTTCTTGATTTTGCATTGTGGTAGAGGGTTGAGGTTGCCTCTGGCCCGCAGCCATCATGACCAGTGACTGAACTACGGGAGAGTCAGCCTTGGGGTCCGTGCCGCTCGCGGATATCGGTGGCGAGATAGGATGATTGGTATAGTTGACTTGACCTGGTTGCTCCAACGAAGGATCATGGCCTGTGTTTCGCCGATATCCTCCTTCGCTGATGGGACTGGGGTTGGTGTTGATGGCAGGGCTTCCGAGCGGGAAAGAGGCCTTCAACTCAAATGGCTTGTTCAGGTCCGCGGAAAAGGCCTCTCGCAAATTGTTGACCTGGGCTTGCATCTCCGGCAAAGGCCAGTTGGGAATACATTGCTCCAAAATCCGCATATGGCGCACGAAATAGTCCCTGGCATCCGTATTGAGCTCTGGATCCGGCGAGGTGATGGCGACCTAGGCAAAGTTAGTATTTGATGGTTTGTGTAGGCGGTAAACTTACCAGGTGAAGCATGGTGCATGTGAGGACGGAGTAGACGGTGAAACTGATACCGCGTTGCATGCATAGAAGACCAGGAAGCGAAAAGTTTTGCAAAATGGCTTCTTGTAACCTACACATGCTCTTTGCTGCCGAATAACAAAGCAACATATGCTGCTTCCACATCGGGTCATAAGCTTCGTAGAGCATGTGTAGTTGTGGCCTGTGGTGCATGATTACACCGAGATGATGGTAACAGTGCATGTTCGCAACATAGTGCGACGGTATCCAAGGTGTCGTGCCGTCATCGGGATAAACGATTTGCAGGTCGCGCGGGAGTTCTCGGAGCCATGCAGCGTAGCCGTCGTTGTGCCGGACAAATTCAGGATCTATGGCCCAGCTCTTACTTCTTTTTCTCAATGATCCATGAAGCATCGTTGTCCGTTGGATGTTCTTAACGATCCGCAAGAAGTAAGAAAATTGACGGGAAATTTGGTTTTCGACCTCATCGTGGCTGGACATGGGACGAGGAACACTGAAATCAACCGTATCTTCCTTGACGCCGAAATCAACACGTCCTAGTGGAAGTTAGTATTGTGTTCAACAACTGTTGTATTCAAATGATGATTTGTCTTACCTTGAGGACCTCCGACCATGACTTCGAGCATGAACAGCATATGCCAGACTCTAGTCTTGGTCACGCAGTCGTGACCCGATGAACCGCACGACTTGCCCATTTGATGAAGCTCAAAGTGCGAGTCGAGATCGAGATCCTTGGCCATTGCCACACAGTTGACGACCGTCATCCAGGACCGATAGAAGTAACCACGCTTTGGAACGGCCTCGCGCGCTTTCAGGATCAGGATCATTGCTTGGATTGTGCTCAAACGTGGGACATCCTTGAAACTTTCCTCGTGTTCTGGAGGGGTCAGCATGCAAAAGCAAGTGTTTGAAATTTGTGTACTTACTCGACACGAGTGCAAGCCACTTATTGCCCTGCGAGGGATCATCCAACATCAATGAAGAGCAAGCAAAGACGGCTTCCAGAATGAGAGGGGAAATCGAATGACGACTGGTTTGCCATTGTTGGAAGAAGAATTGACGGTTGATAACAGGGCAATACGGATGGATGTTTGTAAAAAAGTATTCAAAATAATCAAGAGCTTGCTGGTCCGTTGGCATCATCTCAGGCGGAATTCGGATGGTCATGTCTGGACTGTGATCATCAGGCAAGTGAATTTCATAGTCTTCCACAGCGGGTGCGTTGGCAAGTGTCTTTTTCTGGTTTGTGATGTATGGTGCTATGCGCGTCAGTTAAGTTGAATTTCAAAGGGCCTTTTGCGTTACTTACCGACAGCTGTGTGATCAATTTTGAGCTCGCCGAGGGCGTCAGTGAGTTGGGAAGTATCAAGATTGTTGCGCCATGACGGATCAGGATCAGCAGGCGTCATCGCCGGTGCTGGTTGAGTAGGATAGATGGGTTGCGCCGGTTGAAGCGGAGAGGGTTGCATGGCACCGTAATGCAGGGCCTCTTGGCTGGGAGGTGGTTGTTGCATGTAAGGCGCGGTTTGGTACATGCGCGCCGTGTCGGCGTAGGTCGTCTGCAACGGAGGGCCCATGACGGAACCAACTTCGGCGCTCAAAGGGTGGCCGGCGATGGAGTGGTGCCTCGGGTAATGGTCCGGGACGGGGCCTGGGACGGCTTGCGTGGGGTCATATTCTTGAGGTCGTTGATCGAGTTCAAACGTGTGGGAGCCGGGCGCAAAGTCCTTGTCGTAGCTGACAGTCGGAGGGACGCAGTTGAGTTTGAGACGAATGCAAGCGGCGCACGGCCAGGCATTCGTGGTTGCGGCATCACATTTGATCTTACGCCTTCGGCAGCCCTCGCAGGCGCGCATGACTGAGGCGGATTTAGCATTTGGCATAGCAGAGAAGTCGAGGGGAGCTTACCCTTGAGGCGCTTGTGGCGGTTGTGCTCGTCGACAAAAACATAGTCTGGCGGGGTATTCGGGTCAGTGGCAAGGACATGGTGATGATGATGAGGCGGGCCGTGGGCGTACTTCTCTGGTTCTCGCGCGGCGCCAGAGGCTGCGGCGCAAATGGGAAGCTCTGCATCTGTGCGGTTTGTGGCAATAGAGGTCTCCCGCTGGGATCACCGGCCATGTCAAGGAGCGGAGAGGATGAAAGAAGATGGTGGTCCGAGGCGCCCGCACTTCGGCTTACAGGCGACGGACGGAGGGAGTGATCTAACAACGGAGCGCGTGTTCGGCGTGCGTGGTGGTCCTAAGTAGGGCGCGGCGGGTTCGCTCTCCGATTCCCGAAAGGATGCGATCCTCGCGCATTGAGATGAGGTGTGGAGACGGGTTCTGGGCTGGACGGGCGGCTCGCGTAGAAGTAGCAAGTGGCGCAAGAGGGAGAAAGAGGGCGAGAGGGACTCCTGAGTGGGGATTTGAAGAACAGTCTGGCGGTCGAACGCTTGGACGGGCTGGTGCACGTCAGATAGCTCCGCACTTCAGGCTGGCAGAGAGTCAGGTAACTACTGGCACGCGAAAGGAAACGGCCGCAACGGGGGCAGCTAAAATGGCGGCGCAGGGATGATGCAGACCGCCGCACGCCTACCACTACACTGACAATAAAAGATGCAACGGCAGTGGTACTTCGCTAGAGCTTGTCCAAACAACGGCGTGCCCTGCTTTGAAATCGCCCATCACGCGTTACCGACGAGCCGGCGGGCGGTACTTCATCAGGCGCACTCTGCGGCCCTGCGCCCTCCCACCTCCCACACTTGCCGACGCCCTTGCCCCGCCGGCATTGCCGACCCCCCCCCGGACACCCTCGAGATCAAGCCCGCAGAAAGAGATGCGATGCAGGAACGCTAAACTGAGCCGACCGCGTCACGCCCCTAGTCCATAATACAATATGTAGTGTGATTGCTCCTGCCGCGCGGCGATTTTTAATTTGGATTTCGCGAGGTGGCTCAGCCCGCTCACACGCCCGTGAAACGTTTTGTCGTCCCGGACTTTCTGGAAGCCTTTAGTCCGGCTGTCTGGCTGAGCTAAGAAATCGGCCCCTCCCGGTTCCCGCCATCTACAATACCTACATACATGCGTACGCTGGGCCTGAGCCTGGATGAGAGCCACGCGCCTGGAGGAGGGCCATGGCCCATTCCCGAGCCCTTGGTTCACCTCCAGCGCGGCTCGGCGGCAGGGGATCCTGTGTTCGTCGACGATCCTACCCCGTTGGCCTCTGCTCCTATCATCGTGATACTTTGGTGTTGCGGGGCGTTGTGGTGTTCCTCTGGGCGACTGGCTAGCTTGCTCTAGGTGGTTGGTGGTAGTGTGCCGCGACCATGTCTTGATGGCGGCGCATGGCGGCGCACCCTTGTATTGGCTCCACCTGCAGCAGGTCAATCACTGCCCCAGCCACGGCGCTGACAAGCACTTCTTGACTCTGGCTGCTCGTGGAGATGTGAGGATCGAGTCTCCAACGTTTACGTCGCGCTAGGCCCAGAACAGCACTAGCCAAGCGACATGCGAAGCCACGAAGTAACCCTGTATGCGGCAAAGCACTTGCCAACATGGGGTGATTTGGACCACTTGCCCAGGATGATCTTCTGACCAGGCCGCTATGCATGAAGAGATTGCAAAGGGGGCCCTCGAGCGCCCAGTGGCCGGCCCATGACGTGTACATTGCTACCTACAGAAAAGCTTGGAGTTCAAGGCTGAGCTGGACGCGGGCAAACAAGCGACGGAGATCGCGGGACGCCGGGGGATTTCAAGGGGCGCGGAAGCGTCCGCCGCCTCTCGGCGATTGAGCTGTTTTCCCACGAGATCTTCTACAACGTGGGTCGAGCCTGGGAAATGGGATGGGATGCCTCGTGCCGGCGCAATGGCAGAGACGTCCGAACGGGACGACAGGGGCGGATATAAGTAGAAGTAGCCGGCCCGTGAGCAAGCACGCGCCTCGAGCAGAAACCGAAAATGCCATTGTGAGGTCTGATGCGGTCGGCTGGCGTACCTGCCCACGGAAGCCTGCGGATTTACAGGTGCATCCGACGCCGAGGACTGTGCGCCAGCGCGGCACACGCTACGCCATGATCCATCGCGGCAGCGGGAAAGCGCAACACAATCCTTGACGCCTCTTGTCTCTATCCACCATCTCCACAGCGGAATCCGGCAACTGACCCTGCCTTAACTACCTAACGGTGCGACGTGAGGACGCGCGCGCCATGCTCCCAGATAAGGATAACGCCAACCCCACACAATCCTCAATCCCTCAAACCTGCCGTCACACACACCGGAGAGAGCGCCGCAACGTAGAGAAGCATGGAGCTGGCGGCTGGTCTCGCTCTGTTCCATGACCTGATTCCCGCTTACACTTACCTGAAGTATCTAAACTTTTTTTTTTATATATCACTCTTCGCCGCGGCTCTGTCAAGCACGACATTGACGAGCGAGCAGGAAATCTAGGAACGGTGAGCGCACCCCGCACCTGCCTGACATCAGCAGTCGTTCACTGGTCTAGACCTGATTTCCTCCATCTCTGATCCATCATCCGGAGCACCCTCTCTCTCTAGGCTCCCTGCCCGCGCCGTTGTCAATCTGCCGGACATCCACATTCTACCCCCTCGTCTCCCCGTTCCCCGATCAGCACGGTCCTGGTTGAGATCACGCCGACTATCACGCACTGTTCGCTCGCTACAGACATAAACTTGCGAGTAAACAAGTGACGAGTTAGGCCAAAATACTACAACGATCTATCTGTATAAAGAAAGGGAAGGAGATGACGATTAGTGGTACGAGCCTCCCGCCTCAGCAATGCTTGGTAGACCAGGAACTGGTCAGCCGCAGGCGAGGCACGCGCGGGAGCCTGCAGTGGGCGTTTGGGGGCGGATAGTGACTACTACGGTCAATCTCGCCCACATGTGGTCAGCAAAGTTGCCAAATCATCAAGTGTCGTAAATCATCCACAGCTCCACGGAAAATGCTCGATAATTCAACGTATGATGTGAAAGTATGGATGCAGAGACGCTTACGTGCGTAAGCCATTAGCAAATCCTCTCGCGACACGGAGAGGCTTGCATTGGAAATATCTCCATTCGGAAGAAGATCATATGCACAACATCCGCGCTGTCGGGAGGCGGGGGCCATGACTGAGAGCGGAAAACGGCAGCCGTGCGCTTTGACTTGATCACCGCGGACCTGGTCGGCTACTCCACCGGATCCCTGCATCGGACGAGTCAACGGGATCTACTTTGGCTTGGTGCGGGTTCGCTTCACCCACGTTCATGATTCGCAACGCGACGGTGGAAACCGGTCTTATGAGCCGGCGGCGGGAAGAAGCATCATCCACCGCCACGAGGTGGAAGGTCACAAGGGCGTCTATCCGCTTTATAGCAGGGTTGAGGGTGGAGCATAGTGAAGTCTGGCCAGAGTGGACGACCTGACTTTTGGCCGCATCCAGCGTTGATGGCTCAGCACCAACTGCGGCGTGGTACGAGACGAGCAGTGAGTCGGTGAATTTCAGAAGCACTGACAGCAGCGAGCAGCGTGGCAGTTTCTGGGGGCCTTCCAAATCACGAGAACATTGTGACATGCGTGTGTGCGTGCAGCATCACAGCATGCATTGGATGTGTTGGTCGGTCGGTTGCTTTTTTGCTGGAGCTCCGGTTGAAACACGATCTGCGACTCGATGCAACGCGAGAGCGGCGGCAGGATCCCTGAACGCCAGAGTCTCGACGGACGTCGTCGTCGGGAAAGCCCGCGACTGCGCGCGCGACGTGCCTCGTCACAATCGCCTTGCGACTTCCGAGCCGTCCGCTGCAACTTTTCCGCCTTCCGTCGCCTCACACCTATCCAACCCGTATATCAGCTGAAGGTCTCCATCGCTGCATAGGCGGTGTAATTATGATTCGATGACATTCGCGCTATTTTCATGTTTGCTTTTTCCATCTCCTGGGCCCGGAACGCCGGCAGTTTTTACCATATTTGCCGCGACCAACTTGTTGAAGAAGATCCTCTCTATCTTGGAGGGTGCATGAAGAAGATTCTTTTTTGCCCCTGGAAGGGGGGACGCGCCTTAATGGATCGAGACCAACGACACCGGTGCCCCTTGAGCGATTTATCTTCGGATAAATATGGATTTCCCGCATGGACGAGCAAGACCTAGTTGGGCCGCAAGGGGCTTTCCGGTGATGTCGCTCTTTACTTTACTATCACCATGCCCAGACTACACGAGCAATACAACGACGACAATCCTCAACATCAACCAAACCAATGACGGCTTAGCCGTAGCGAGCGTGTCACTCAAGACGCCCATCAATTAATTCTCCAGATCCCATTCGCTCACTGATATGCATCTTTCGTCATCTCCAACCGCCGTTGTTACACCTGCCATCCAACATTGCATCGTCGCTTACCTGAAGTGGAATTGTGGTTGGAAGCCGTGTTGATCTCCTTTCATCCTCCAAGCCTGTATACCGAATGCTTTTCGTTTTCTGCGTCATGGGGGCAGAATTTTCCTCTAAATGACGACAGCATCGTTTCAACCTCGTGGAAAACCGGGCTGGGGGGCAACGATGCTATTTTCGTGGTTAAGCAGGCCTCGGTCGTGGGACCGCATGAAAGAGCAGCAGTGGGCTCGCCATAGCAGGCAAAGCGAGAACCGAATCTTGGGAATGGGGGGAGGTGATATCCCTGCAGCGAGACGTGTCTGACTGGCTGCCCTTCCCGTCAGAAGGCTGTCTCAAATTATCCATCACAGGTATGCCCAATTGCAAGAGCGATGCGCAAGCGCCTCTGCAAGTGCGCACGCAATTAAGCTCCTCCGTGGCACTTGCGTAATTTCAATAGACGCCTGACCGGTCAGTAGAGATTTGCGTCGTCGTCGTGGCATCGTGACATCTTCGCTCCTCGAGGCCTTGAAGCTACGACAATGTTTAGCTCCGCCGGTGTTCGGCGTTACTATTTTTGGCGCCAGAGTCCGCATAATGTTCACGATATTATACCTTCCGAATTCGGGTAGTGATTACGAGCTCCCGCGGCAGAGGCTCTCTCTCACTTGCTCTGTGTAACGCGGGTTGGTAGGTTTACTCATCAACGGCTCCCTTGAACAACCGACATCCGAGGATATCACCAGTTCCAGCTGTTACTAGGAGTGCCGTTTTATTTTAAAACTAAATTCACAGTGGTCTCAGGTCAAAATAACGCTTTGCTTGCAGGCTTCCATTTTGCTTCTGTGTCGCTCAATATTCAGTGTCTCTATTGCTGTTCCATAGCATTGAATTCTGTCAAAACAAGATTAGCTTCTGATTTGAAATCGTTGCGTAAGCAAACTAAGCCAGATCCATGACTACATGAAATTCCGTGTAGAACTAGATCAGGTGTCGGTATCACGACCACTGTGCTAATATTAGACTCTGTGCGAGCATCCTCTGGGAGTTACGGCAGATAAGCTTATTTAGTCGCAGGAACTGTTAACTTTTGCCTTAATAAATACCAGGCTACTATGCTGACCAGCTTAGTTGTGTTTCGATTTAAAGCGGTAACGGTAACGCATTTTGAATACCTACGTATGAACTATTAAGTCAACGCGCGGAAGCGTAGGCTCGAGGATATGTAGGTTGATTCTACTTCAAGTGATAATGCTTAGGGCTGGAGTACTCCTTAGAAGTAAATGCAGTTGAAGCCCTAAAACAGTCTGATGATGTTACAGTGTTATCAAAGAATACTGTTGACCAACTAGGCAGAATACAAGAGTTGATTGTTATTCAAATAACGGGCGCCCCTACAGGATATGAGACAGGCGCCAAGCTACATTAGACAGTTTCCAGTCTTCCAACTCCTATATACGTGCCTTTTTGTAAGGGGAAAGGGAAGCTGTGGAAGAGCAAAGGTCCTGTGGGTAAAAGCGGAGAGTCGCGCTGGTCAAGTTACGAAAGTCGCTTTTGCACAGTTGTTGATGTTGTTACATGAGTGTTGTGAGTGCTCTGCATGCGCGCATTCAGTCAATCAGTGAGCAATTAGTTAGTGGGTTTATTAGCAGAGCGGAGGAAGTAGAGGTTGTTCTTGACGTCGCAGTGAGAAATCAGGCGGTTGTCTGCGATGCTGCGTAAATCTTCATTGAATAGAGAGACGCTCTTGGCCTGTAGTCGGTCAAGCGAGAGGACGTTGAACGGCTGGTTAGGAATGTGCAGAACGTTGCTGAAACTGATGCGAATGGTGTTGCCGTCCTGCAGTGAGCAAGTGAGTGAGACGCTGCCTCTGGCGACTGCGTGCTTGGTGCCGCCGAGGCCTGGTATAGGCATGGGAGTTGAGAGAGGCTTGTAGTGACTGTCGAAAGCGGACTTGGGCAAGCCAGTGAAGTGATCGTGAGCGACTGAGTTGACTACCCAGTGCTGCTTGGCGGGAGCGATCCTGCTGGCAGCGAGTTGCAGGTTTCTGATAGTTTTTACAATGTTGTCAATGCTGCTTTTAGTGCTGCTGTCAGTGTTAAGGTCGACGCATTCGACGTCAGTGCGCCGGGGTCTCCAATTGGTAGGGCGTTTCTTGGGGTGAAGGTAGTAGCAATAGACCTTGGAGTGACGTCCTCCACAGTGCTGGCAGCGGCGTCTGTCTTTATAACTGTCGGTCTGCTTGACGGGTTGTACTGCTGGGCGAGAGTCGAAGATGCGGCGAGCCTCGTTGAACGTTTGACTGAGGAGAGTATCGATATGAGGTACCTTTCCATCGCGCCAGTCCTTGCAGATGACGGTTACCCATATGGGCATGTCCTTGTCGATCTGATTAAGAAAGATTAAGCAGTAGAAGCGGTCATCAAGGTTGCAATTGATGTAGTCCATGGAAGCTTTGGCCTTGCGAAAAGCAGTGATGTATTCAGTAATGGAGGGGTAGTCGCTGCTGACGAGCATGATAAAATTGTTGATGATATCAACTCCGTGCGACAAGCCTTCGTCATCGAATCGAGTCTTTAGAGCGACCCAGAGGCTGAAAGGGTCATTGTAGTGGATGAATTTAGGCTGCAAATTAGTGCCGATCCTGGTCAGAATACTGTTGAAGGCGTAATGGCGCTCATCTTTAGAACCAGCGTTTTGTTCCTTGATCGTGTGCTCCAGGTCAAAAGCGCAATTGATCAGTGATGAGAACTTTCCACGTAGGCCAGTTGTCACGGCCCTTGAGATAAGGGATGCGGATATGAGGAAGGGCGAAGGTACGCTGGACAGGTGGCGGCACGCTCTGCTGCTGCTGTTGCTGGCCCTAATCCATGGTAGTGGCGTGGAGGCAGAAGAGAGTTGATTGTTGGTCGAGCAACGAGATAAGGCAGCGTAGCTGACTAAGTGAGTCTAGCTACATGAAGCAAGCGCTAAGCTACTGCGGGCAAGTGAGCTCTGCCTGCGCAACACATACAATTACGCCCGTCATCGTCAAGCGAAATTCACCGTCTAGATGGATACAAACAGTCCCTTTTAGTTAATTCTACTCTACGCTTGATGTTTTGTCTGCTCTACACCGAATACACGGAAGATACGTTTTAACAACAGTGTATTTTGTGCCTCATACCAAATACACTGTCGTATCAAACTCTGGAACAATCGTCAGCTTAGAGGGAATGACACAAGGGCTTACAGCAAGTCAACATAACAACAGTGCCTACATGCTGTTGAACAAAATATTCAGCAACCTGTGTCAAGGCGATGTTTTGAGCGTCGAAACAAAGCACAGATGCCATTTTTATTTAGTATATATTGAGCAAACGCCAAACCAAAGTTTAACAATAGCTCGAAGCGCATTAGCGCTTCAACAAGCTGCCTGGCTAGCTCAATCGGTAGAGCGTGAGACTCTTACTTCCCTTCCAAGGGCGATATCTCAAGGCTGCGGGTTCGACCCCCGCGTTGGGCTCAATTCCCATCCATATCTTTTTGCGTTTGTATTGGTTGTTGTTGAGTAATCGTAGCCCAAACGCGGCCCGATGAAGATTTTTTTTGGTGTTTTCGGATGTCCGAAGCAATGCCGAATGCACGGGCCCGGTCGGGCCGGCTTAGCGTCACAAGGTCCGCCCGTGCCGCCGCATCCGAGAGACTCATGAACCTTAACTGTTTAAGCATACCTAGCTAGCTCTTTCTCTGTTTTGTTGTTTATCGAGTTCTCTTGCCTGAGATGCAGATGAACTCGTTGGACTGACGTGCTTTGCGCTTTTCCGGTCAGTGCTCGTTCCGGCGGGCGGTGAATTGCGTCGTCACTCCCCGTTTGCGTCATCGCGGGGTCTCATGGAATCATGCCATAGCTTCATAAACACCAAAAGCTGTCTCCGCAAACCACCAACCCTTTCCAATACTCCATTGCAATTGTTGTCCAGATCTCTCGAAAAGCACCATGTCATTAGCGCCTAAATTCGCAGGCCAGAAGCTGGCGTCCGGCGTCCCGACTGTCCACACACTGGAGCTCTGTAAGCCACAGCACCGCACCGCACCGCCCACGAGCTCCGACAGCTACTAACTTACCATGCGTCCCGCTTACCAGACCTCGACTATGTCTGTCCCGTGAGTCACCCTCGTGCAGAACCCATGCCCTAACCAAACCAAACTAACCCGGACGCCGCAGTTCTCCAAGAAGATGTTCAACACGCTCTACGACTCGGTCCTCCCCACCATAAAGTCCAAGTACGCGTCGCAGCTGCAGATCATCTTCCGCCAGCAGATCCAGCCCTGGCACCCCTCCAGCACGCTCGTGCACGAGGCCGGCGCCGCCGTGCTGCGTCTCCGCCCCGACAAGTTCTACGACTTCAGCAAGGCGCTTTTTGACCAGCAGACCGAGTTCTTTGACGTCAGCGTCGTGAATGAGACCCGTAATCATACGTATAAGCGCCTTGCGAAGATCGCTGGCGCGGTTGGCGTCGACGAAAAGGACGTCTATGCCCTGCTGGAGATAGCGGACAAGCCGGGCAGTGATGGCGCGTTGAATACAGGGAACAAGGTCACGGATGATGTCAAGGTTATGGTTAAGGTGAGTGGTCGTCTTTGGGTCACACGGGTTTTTGGGGGAGCGGATGAGTCACTTTCGTGGCGCATACGAAGCTACTATTCATTTTTGGGGCAATGTTCTGATGACGCATATGCAGACGAATCGCCTCGTCGGAATCCATGTCACGCCTACCGTCGTGTTCAATGTAAGGAGGACCATTTCGTTTTTCCATGGTGGTACGGCTAACATCCGCACAGGGCGTCGTCGAAAACAGCATCTCCAGCAGTTTCACAAAGGAGCAGTGGGAAGAGTGGCTGCAGAAGAATATCGTCTAGAAAGCGACTAGGCTCTTTCCGAACTACTAACGCATTTATGACATCCCAATAGCTTGATAATGATAGCAAGACAAATATGACACATCACCTAGTTCGAGATATTGGTACTCAAAAGCTTGCTAAAGAACAAATAAGCTTCTCCCAGATACCATTGCTTAGCCAAGATTGCAACGCCAGTGTAGCAATAGATGTTAGCAACGTATAGCAAAGGCACATATTAGTCTCCCTTCTCGAGTCAGTTAATTGGTAACATCAGTCTCAGAATTGTGGCGGTGGATGGCGTCCATAAGCAACTTGTCCAGCTGCTCAATTGGTTCCTCATCAGGAAACATGTTCCGCAACAAAGAACCAAGACAACCAGCCAAGTCCTTGACTAAGCTAGGGAGATCTGCAGTCGTAAAGACACCGGATCCTGAATCCGGCAGGGAACCCCACGCGAGAAAATTGTCAGCCTTATCGAGATCTGTCAGCCTTCGGGAGATGTCTGCGGCTGAATATCTGACGTGGACAGCCACATTATGCAACCGGGTGTCTGCAGGAACACTTCCCAAAGGCAAATGGACGTCATTTATCGATTTATTGCGCTGGGCTCGCAGTGATGACTTACTCAAGGTTCGGCGACCTTGAAAACTGGGTTCACCGGCAGGTTCTTCGGTCGGAGGTGCGTGTTCATTATGCCTTAGCTCATTCATTTGCCAAATTTGGTTCTCGGGGATGATGTCAGATTGCGCTTTCCCAAGAATACCAGCGTGTGAGATGTCATTCGGCAATGAAGCAGAAACACTGCCAGCTGAGTACCGATCGATTTGGTCAGATGTCTCCGCGGGTCGGTCAACTGACGGTTCGTCTTCGAGTATTGAAGGCTGAGACTGGCGTTGTCTGGATTCCACTGGGCTACTGACGAGTGATGTATTACTGGTCACACTTGAAGGCCGCTTACTTGGTGACTCGTATGGATTATTCTCAACGACCGGAGAATGGAACAGTCGGACTCTGGATTGCACAGGATCTTGGATAACGTAGTTACTCCGACCGCTCCGCTGTACAGGCATTGGTCCCACGTTATCAACGACGTCCATAACCATTTCACGGAGCGTGCTTTGATGCTGACTGTCCGTCGATGATTGCACCTGAAAGCGGCTCCGGCCTGTAGGTCGAGGGCGATTTTGAGACGGCAGATGTTCAAACCAATTATCAGCTTCAGGGTTGAGTGGAGACTTGAATGGTTTGTTTATAGCACGCCTGGGCTGCTCCCTGCGAAGTGTCAAACGTTGCGAGCGTGGTGATTCTGGAATAGCTGAGAGCGGTGTCCCTTGGTCCTGTGCAAAGCCGTAGATTGGTCGAGTGGCAGAATGTTCCGGGGTCGGTAGTGTAAAGACACGATCTGATAGCAATGGTCGAGGAGTGGCTGGTGACTGAATAATTTCTGTTGAGCGCTCCCGCTGTAAATTTTGATGATGACTGTCATAGGCTGGTGAGGAAGCTCGTGAACTCGGCGGGTATTCTGAAGATTGAAACACTGGTCGATTCGTCCTGGGAGTCGAGTTCGTTTGTCCGTCTATACGGCCCTTGGAAGAAGTTGCTAGGAGTGAATTGCTTCTGGGTGAATCCTTATTTCTGACTCTTGCATTCATTTTTGCGATGGTGAATGGATTGGAAAGAGTTATGTCGTTCCGCACCATTTCCATTTCCATAGAATCTTCATTCTCCTGCTGAGGCAGACCAATGGCGCTATGCTCTGACTCATCATCATCAAACATGTTCGACTTCCAGGTCCGCCGACGCTTGGGTGGATGGCGTACATGATCAGCTTCCACTTCCTCATTGGGATGAACGTGCAATTGGTCTGGAATAGCAGACGTGGGTCCGGTTATTACCCTCACTTCTTGCTCGACAGGGTGCCTTGGCGGATCGAGTATGCTTTCCTCGGCCTGTTGCGGCGCAGGATTTGTTGGAGATGAGTCGTTATTTTCCGGATATACAACCTGCAGAAGCTCCTCAACAGCTTCCACAACTTTGGCGGCATCATCAAACATAACATCGTCTTTCGCCGGCTCGATATTTGGATCATAGCTGTCAGGAGGACATATGATGTTCATGCAAAGAAAGGGGTCTTTCACTCCTTCAAAGCTCGCACTTGACCTTTTCAACTTTTCCTTAAAGAGGGATGCAATTTGCTTGAACGTCCCACGCATAGTAGAGACTGGACGAGAATCGACGGAAATGAACTGTCCAAGGTTGCCAACTTTGGCAGCTTCTCCATTTGGCTTTGGCAGAAATGCTTCAATCCCAAAACCGCGAGACTCTAGGATGGACCACGTACACTGGTTTGCGCTGTTAATTCCTATGATTTTGTACGCTGCATCTTCGACACTGGCACCGGGCTTGGGAGCGTAAATAAAGTTGGCCTTGTCGGACTTTGACTTGAGAACCCTCAAAGAGAATCTAGTGGCTGGCCTAGCAAGGGCGTATGCTTGCATGAGGTGTTTTATATGTTTCAGGTATTTGGCCGAATGTTTCAGTGCATCTTGCTTGCGGACAGGCAAACCTTGGAAGAAATTTGCTGCTCGGACCGTGGTACCAACGGGATGGGACATTTTTTCTTGCCTGCTCATGATTTTAGCCTTGAAGGTTTCGAAAACATTCGCCAACACCGTCCTCGAAAATACTGACGACTCGATGTTCCCACTTCGCCCAATCTTCAACAAGGCTGCTACTGGCTCTCCTTCCGCTCTTACAGTTATGCTTAAGCTTCCACACATTTCAGCTAGGCTTGCCAAAGCCTCGCCGCGAAAGCCTAGGCACTTGCCACCAAGATCTTTCAGGTCGGAAAAGTCACGAATCTTGCTTGTACAGTATCGTCGGCAAACCATAGGTCTGTCTTCTGCAGGAATGCTGTGACCATTGTCCCTGACTTGAATGACATCAATGGTATTCGTGGAGATCTCGACAGAGATATTAGTTGCGCGTGCATCGAGAGAATTGTCAATGAGTTCTTTGACGACGGAAGAAGGATCGACGAGGACCTGAGTGGAGCCGATCTGACGGACGGCTGATGGGGGAAGAGCTGCAATCGGCATTCCTGGCAAAAGGTTGAAGCTTTCAAGGCCAGGAGCCTTTGATGATGGTTGCGAAAGAAGTCGCGTCGCGACTCGGAGGCAAGAAGGCAAAACGCGCCTTCTCGAAAGACGCGCCTGAGCACGTGCGCATGACATCAGAGGCAACCATGAAGGACTGGAACAACCCGTATTCTCATGAATTTTCTAACCTGAAATAACGTGAAATGAGTGGTACCGGCTGGATGAGCTAGTTATGGAGAATAATGAAGAAAAATTGAATGACAAAAAATTAATGAACTTATTCATCCCGAACAACGACAATCCTGTTGCATGCAAAGTTACTTGGATGCCTCAAAAAAAATTATGGAGATTGGGAAATACCAATTATACAATAACTAAGTGTGAAGCTGGGCGCGAGGAATTGGACGCCGCTTGTCCTCCTAAATTACTACTACCTATGGAGGTATATATGCTGCTATCTAAAAGAACACGTTTTCTCTTTAAGATCCTTATTCCCTTGCAGTGGATAAACGTGTGGTGTAAGGGGTAAGGCTGTAGTGTAACAACTAACTGTAATAAGGCTGAAAAAACGAGAGTTATAGGAGTGATCCTGGCTGACACTAAGAAATGCCGGACCACGGCAGTCGGCCAATTCATGCCCGCTGGCACCATCCTTAGATAACAACTCCCAAACCTAAAGCAAAATCTCGACGTGGCGGAAACCTGCCCACGCCTCATAACAGAAAGAACAGAAGGGGAGGAACAAGAGGAACAACCAAACACTCATCTCCTAACCCTCTGTCACGAACTTCTTGCGTTCGTTCTAGTGGCTTAGAACAACTGCAAAACATCCATATCTCGTTAGCTAACCATCCCACTATAACACCATCTTGCCACCAATGACTGGGCGCCTACCCAATGGAAGATGGGCGGATCTAGGCGTTGACGACGGGCGTGACAGCGACAAGCGGGCCATTCGCGTCAACGAGCTTGTTGTCCTCGATCTCGGCCTCATTGCCAGAGAGGTTGCCGTTACCGTCACCGTTGCCCTTGGCAGTGTTTTCTAGTACAGGAGTTAGTAGTTGACTGCGTATTGGTGTGGGAAAGAAGAAGCTGTGGGGAAAGACGTACCAGTGACGGAGCCAAGCGTAGAGCCGATGGGCGAACCGAGGGTGTTAAGATCAGTGGCCGAGGCCTTGGGGGCGGGAGCCGCAACGGCGAGGGAGGCGATGGCCAAGAAGAGGGTGCTGGAGAACTTCATCCTGAATAGTTGGTTGATTGGGTATAACGAGTGTCGGTGGGTGGGTTAAAAAAAAAAAAAAAAGGTTTGAAGCTGTGACGACGGATGCAGGTTGCTGAATTGATAGTGGGAAGGAAGGTAAGGCGTCAGGTGTCTTTTATAGATGAGTGTGCTACTTCTGCGGGATAGGCTAAGTTGGCATTGGTGGGGAAAGAGGGGAATAAAGAAATTGGACATACGTAGTATATGCGAGGCTTGACGCGCGTGGAGCTAGAGTGTTGTCTTGCGGGGGAAGATAGGCAAACACTCTGATCACTGTGGAAGCCTGAGGCTGTGCTGTCCGGCTGCAACGCCCGCGTGATCACCGTTCGTATGCTAAGGTTAAATGCTAAGGTTAGGGCCGCTGGCGCTATTACACGCTGATCTCCAGTGTTGGAATGACTGAAACCCAAGTAAAATCATCTGTAGTCTCTAATGGTCTTGTTAACAGCATGAATTTCGTTCTCTTGCCTGTGTCTTTCGAAATATGTTTGCTGTGCATGTCTGGAGTCCTCAGTGTTTGACTGCTGCGTCAATAGGTCGTCAAACGGGCTACGACTGCGTGAAACCGAAGAGGGCAATAGCGGCGCGGATAGCAATCAAAGCTAGTGAACCAACCGTTACTTTAAATTGCTCAGCATGCTATTCCGACGCCAGTTGTCAGGCCTCAATATGGACCAGAGAGTGATCAAGAGCATCAGAGCAGAATTACTTCACCTTCTCGATCCTTCCAGTACATTAGACGACAACGACAGAAGCTCCATTTTCCAGCGACACCGTGAGCAGAAAGTCGCGGAGAGATGTCCCAAAGGATGCGCCAGCGACTCGCGAAATTACCGAGCTGCGACTAGCTCTGGCGATCATCGCGGATCAGGCGCCGCTGGGGCACCGGCGCCTTCGCCATCAGGATGTGCTCCGTTGTTTGCGTCTCCGTATGTTGACGACATGTTGCTGTGTTAGTCAAGTTGAGCTCCTGTCGATCGAGCTTAGCCTTGTTTGAAATTAAGGGAGGCCCACAACTCATCCATCAGCCTATCAAGTCTGCAACTGTGTTGATGGAGATTTCACATGCGGCTCAAGAAACTGTTCGTTACATAGTTCATTGCCCTCGTTCAAATCAACCTCCCGCCGATCACGCCGAGGCGGCCCAGCAGGCGATTCAGCACGTAGCGGCAGCGGCAGCAGCATCAGCAGCAGGGTGAACACCACGAGGGTGACAAACGAGTCACAAGTGTTGCAACGATCTGAACACCTGTTCTCACACCTAAGAAGTCAATAAAAGTCAACACCACGTAACAGAATCGTGGATACTGACCACAGGTGGTTGCCAATTGCGTTGTCTAGTAGCTCACCTACCCTGAGATTGCCCAACTACCACTCCCCTAATGACACTGGCTGCTACGCAGTACCTTCCTCTCCACCCTCAATCAAGAACTCGATGTTGTAATACTCGCTCATAATCCGCGCGAGCAGTCCCCCCGCCGGCCCAGCCCCAAGCTCCAACACCTGCTCTGCAGCCAGCTCCAGCAACTCACTCGTAACAACAGCAGGTTCCGCGCTCTTCAGAAATTTCTCCCAAATGTTCTTATCCCGCGCCGCCGCCATGAAGATGTATCCCATTACAAACGGGAGCTGCGTCTCATTCTCAATATACTCCGGGCCATACAAACGGCGCAGTTTCTCCGCACACGCATCCTTGATACACCGTAGCAGCATCCAGCACATCCGGTGCATCCGGAAGTAATCGAATGCCAGCTCAATCCTCTCGCCTTGCAGAGTATTGCACAGCGCCTCTAGCAGCTCTGTTGGAGTGAGCTTTTGCAGTGCCTTCTGTAGAGCGCGCTTCTCTGCCGCGGACTTGGGTTTTGCGTCGCGTGTGAGGCCGAATATCTGGTCGCTACCGTGGCCGAGCACTTCGCCGTCATCGGAGACATCGTAGTCCATGTCCCATTTGGTGTTGGCGATGATCTTTGCGAGTTCTTCCTGTGTGAAGTCAGTGCGACCGGAGCCGTGACAGTAACGCTCTCTGAACATTTGCGCGACGGACGCTTGCTCCGTCAGGCCGCGCGAACCTTTCTTTGATGGCTGCAGGTTGGTAGGGCGCCTGTTTTGTGCAAAGGCAGTGGCTGAGTAGCCCATGCTTAGACAGAACCGCTTCAGGTACGCGTCCGTGTTCTTTGGGGTCCCGCCAAACATCTCGTCTTGCCCTTGTAGCATGTACACGAGTTCCATGTCTTTCCACTGCTTCTTGATAAGCTTCTCCTGCCACACGGCATTGTAGATATGTGCACTGTATATGATGGAACCCCATGAACTGGCGAAAACCACACCGGCCTCTTGAAAAAGAGATTTGAGGCTGAAGGAGTACAAACCACAGAACAAGGGGTGGTTCTTCATCAGCTTAAAAGGCTCAGTATTAGGTCGGCGCAGTCTTTGCGACTCTTTCGTGAATGGATCGGTCGTTACCCAGTCGTTAATTCGGGCAAGTATGTCGTGGAGACCTTGGTCGTTTGAAGGTGGCCAGTTTTCGATCCTAAGAGAAGCATGAAACTTGAAGTTCTGATTGAGCGAGCCTTGAATCAGTTGTGCAGTTTGCTGCAAGTCTTTAAAACCCCTCACTACGTCGTCTCTGAGCATGTAGTGTATGTCAAGGAAAATCTGTGCCGCGAACACGACCGCAAACGACATCTTTCGGGTTTTGAACAGAACACGCAATCCTCTGGTGAGCTCGTCCTGAGCCGGTATGGTGTTGGTATTCATACAAACAAGTGCAAATTCTGGAAGAAGTTCCATCAAGATGATCTTATCTTCTTGAAATTTCTGCCGAGAGCTCTTCTCATTTCGGTCGCTCGACGGATGGTATATGCCATAATGACCAGGCTTGTAGACAGGAATATATCCTGATCCGATGACGTCAAGGAAGGCATTCAAAAATAGGTAAGTCGAAAAGAGAATGGTATCAGCCGCGTCGTACATCTTGAAGTTCATGTCATCCTTTCGGCGCTCGCGGAACTGTGAGTCCTGTCCGTGTTGCTCGCATTGAACAAGATAGAAGACCTGGAGCATTCGATCAATACCTCCGTGCTTCTCGAATTGGTCCTTTACTTCTGCTTCAAGTCTTTGGGCGAAGTCAAGTGCGGTATTTGTAGTGATGGATGCCGCAACCAAGTCGTATCTCCCAGTCTTATAACCAGCCCATGCTTTTGATATGATGGTGCGAAGCTTGCTGTAGTCCTGAAGAAGTAAGTACAACGCCATGTAAGCTTCACCAGTATCCTGTGGTGTCTCGGCACTGTATTCGGGTTCTGTTTTCGGCGATGGTGGCATGTCAGGAGCCTGAAGGAAAGATTCGGATGGCTCCTCGATATGTAAGCCAGAGAACGCGTTTGTAAACTTATCGGTAGAAGCAGACGTGCTCTCTTCTGATGAGGACATGTGAGGACTCAGAATACTTTTAACGCGTTGGAGGACATCGACGAAATGGGAGTGACGTTTTTCAGATTCAGTGTCTCTGAAGTTCGACGAAAGATTTGGAGACAGCTGGTCAGCGAAGCTCTTGCGGATACAGATGGTACGACTAAGCACATCGATGATGTTGGGAGGGACTGTCCGAGCAGCTGGGTGCTCAGTACCGACGATATACTCAGCCAAGTCGGTGAAATCCTTGATGGATATGGTGTAGGGAGAGGAACCCGCTGGTCCCGAGGTTGGCTTCTTTTTCTTTTTTCTTGCTTTACCTTTCGGTCGTCCAGAGCCAGCACCGCCTTCCGGTGCCATCTCAGCAAGCCCGGAATATCCGCAATCCTTGGCGGTGGTTGCCAACCAGGAAGCTATGGCGTTAGTGTCATTCTTGTATTGCTGATAGCTACTTGCGAGAAAATCTGGCAGCATGATGTCTCGATGAGACGACCGGCGCCGCAAGTTGTTGATGTATTGGTGGTCAGTAGTATTTGTGAAGCAATGTTGATTGAGCTAAGATCGCGAAAGTGTGCGAACGCGAGAAGGCGTCGCGCTGTGTAAGCGTCGGCTAGCTACATGAGGCAAACGCTTGGCTACAAACGGTAAGGACCGTGCCCTGTACTACAAGTTACCAGGGTAGCCTGTAGGTTAGATATTGTTGTTCACGTACCCATATTAAGTTGTATGTTAAGTCGCTTTGAATTTTAAATAGTGCAACCGTACCTAGATGCTTCTATAGTTATTTTGAACACTCCCTACAGATCACTTCTTGCATAGACCTAGAGCTTGCGCTCGTAGCTAGTAGTACGGATTGAATACCTTTCAGTCTATGCAAACAGGAAAACGATTAATTTGTTACTAAAACCTATAGTTCTGGTGACGTTACGGGTATTCTTTAAGATTTTTCCTACCCAAACGCTCCTTGTACTTCTATTGGCCGAATTTTACTGAAATAACTAAACTTGTACGTGTACGGCAAGAGGTGAAGATGCTTACCACCTCCAAGTCAACCAAAAGTAAACTACAAGAACGACTGCTGCTACTCTTAACAGACTGTCCCTCAGTTCCGGCAAAAATAACCCGGGGCTCTTCTTGGGCTTGATCGGAGCCACGAATTGCACCTTCTTTTCCCGCGTTTCGGGCGGTGGCCCAAAATATCCCGCATAGTTTATCAACGGCACCCCAGAACCCGCCGATGGAAGACCGTAGCCGCCAGACGGACTGGGGTTGCGAGTGCGTGGTTTGGATGAACGCACTGAGAGGCTGCCCTTATGGTCGGCGGTAGTGGAAGAATTGGATGATGCTCCGTCTGAAGAGTCGCTGCGGGAAGTGTGGTGATGCGCTGTTGCTTTCTCATGTTCAGCGGAAGACATGCTTCTATTGCGGCTGAGAGGGAGGATGGTGTCGCTGCCGCTTTGCGTGGAAGATCTTGCCCTTCCTGCTAAAACACCCGCACGGATGATGAGAACCATGAGGCTGAGGCCGAACAGGGCCCCATATCTGATAAAAATACCCAGTTGATCTGGCATCAGACATAAGTGAGTTTGAATAGTCGGCTCAGCGGTGCCTGCCTTCGAAGAAATGGTGCTGCCATGTTCGTCTACTGGATTCCACATGCTGAGCATGACAAAGCCGGGCTTTCGGATGCCCATAGCCCACGACACGGACTTGACAGTAATCTCACGGATACCACCACCGGCAGAGGGGTAGCCCATGTGCATGACCTCACAGTAGTCGTGGTCGTCACCAGAGAAAGCGTATCTGACATTGCCAATCTTCTCGGTAATGTCCTTCGAAATCTCGCGAGTCAGAACGTTCTGGTATTGGTACCCTCCGCGCACTGCAATGGCGTTGCGCTCGTCGGGGTTAACGGGTTCAGACTGGCCTTTCGGCGGAGTCGCTGGCGGCCAATGTTCTCGTAGTGGGCCGCATGGTGTTCCCTCAGACCTGTACAATGGAACATGCGTGAGAAGGATTGTAGGAAACTCAGCGCCATCGGCCTCGGGAGCTGGCAAGGTAGCTTTAGCAAGGCCGTCCGTGCCCACGACTTTATGGCTGTACTTTGGTGCCGGAGACAGCCCCTTTTGGACCCTAAGTTCTCGTGCCACTGCTCGCTTCTTCTCTGCCTGTACGTTGTCCAGAAAGTCCTGTGTAGGGCGCCAGGTGACCTCCTCACCAGTGGCATGCCCTAACGCACTCAGAGAAACAGTGTCCACTGAGATGAAAGTATGGTTTGCGATGACGTCGACGCGGTTGCCATCACCGAAGTAGGCATTGAACCTTTTACGGATAGGTGTTCGGACACCAGCCGCAAAGCCGAGGTCGTGGTTTCCAGGGAGTCCTGCAAGTATCTTGCGGCCTTTTTGCCCTACCCGAGGTTGCATTCCTCCCTCGCCCCAGTGTCCAAAGAAGATCCGTCCAAAGCGGTCGTATTCCCGGAGCCAGAATTTGTCTCCGTAACCCTTCCACCTTTCTTCGCTGACATCTTTATCTGAGGTCCATTCGCGGCCGCCATCGAAGAGGTCTCCGAGGAATATCACGGTGTCTGGGTACAGTTCGGTATCGAGTAACGAAAAGGTGCGGCGAAGATACTGGTCGGTATAGGCGACGGTGAGGGTAGAGAGGGGCCATGGACGGCCGGGGTAGGTGTGTGGATCAACGAGTTGAGGGTCGGCGACGAAGGCGAGGCGATGCGGCGTGGCATCTTGAGGCTGCAGAAGAGATAAGCAATCACGGCGTACATGAAGCGCGACGTGATCATCCTGAGGTCGCGCTCATGTGGAGATCATACCCAGCTTTCCCAATTGCTCCACTCGCAGGCCTCTATGCTGTCCCGGAAGCTGGAGCGCTCTCCCCAATACAAGTAGAAGAGCCAGAAGACCGTCAACAGATTAGGTACGGAGAAGATGTGCCGAACGTTCCAGGATTTTCCCGACGGAGCATTTGGCGTATATACCCCAGCTTTTTCAAGGAGACGTTTCGCTGCCAGGATCGCATGCTGTTTCAGGCCGGGGCCCTCGTGGTAGTTTGTGCGTGACGACTTAGGATAGCCCCAGTCATCGTAGGAGGTCATGGTGCGGATGAAAGGAAATCAGGGCGCATCTTCCAGAGGTAGCGGCGGTAGTCGCAATATCTGGTCGATATTTGGTTGATGTTTCGGGGGGCCGATGCGGAAGCTATGCCCCCTGCCCGCTGCGAGCGGCGAGCGGCAGGGCGCGCCAGGGCCAGGTTCTCGGACCGCGTCAGCGCAGATCATACGGCCGCGCAACCGGATGCACAAACAGGATAGCATCCACCAAGATGTCTATACCTGCAGCACGTTAAGCGCCATTTGGTCAACATCTCAATGGGATTGTGACGTGTCAATCGCATGAAAATCGTTGCCAAGGACCTGGAAACTCCTTGTAGGTACCTCAACGACCACTGACAGACACCCTGGCCTTAAAAGTAAGACATCGAACAAACAAAACGTCCGAGGTCCGAAATTGAATTGGGCACAGTGTGAGGTTAGACAGAGCAGCAGGCTGGGTAACATCCTGCTAGCACTGTCTGATATGTGTTTAGTCTATAAACAACCATAACGGCGATAAACTGTCAAGACACGCACAAGATTCTTGGCCCAAAACTTGTCTCGAAACATTTTTGGACCGCTTATTGCGAAATACTCTACTCGATGCAATTATTATGGTCATCATATCTGCCACCATGATGCAACAAATATCAGCGCCTTCTAGTCCCTGAAGACCAGCTTGAACTTGAATGGCTGTTGGAACGCCGGATCGGAGACCACCACCTCCTCGCCATCTCCAACAAGCTCGACCAGCTTCTTCGTCAGGTTGGCTCTCGTCTGTTCCTCGAGACTGGGAGGGAACTGGTAGTACAGCGATTTCGCTTCCGTACGGATTGAGGGTTTTTTGAGCTGCCTATGACGAAGTTAGAATCCAGAAACAGATATTGACTATAGAACAGCTTACGCTTCTGGTCTCTCGGCCATGCCTTCCAGGAACTCTCCCAGCGTACACTTTGGAGAGACATCCAACTTTCTTGCCAGGTTTCCGCAGACGGGGCAATCGTCCTTCTTCTGATGCTCAAAGGTGTATGTGTAAACGCTGTCATCACCCGTATACATCATATAATTGCTGGTCTCCGGGATACCTAAGGGAGGATTGGTGTTGCTGGCGATCTTGAATGCTTCATTGCAGCAACTAGCAGCCACTATGGCGTTAGTGGAAGCAATGGCGGGAATGATGTTTTTGACAACGCCCTGGGTCATAGAGTAAGTCACTCCGGGGATGTTGAACTCCTTAGCACGAGACAGTGCTTTGTTGTAAAGCCACGTGATGTGCTCTGGATCATCGGTGTCAAGAGTGATATCTTTGCGCTCTTCTTCCCATGCAATGATGTGCGCCCACTCGATGCAGTGCTGCGGTTGGCGGGGAATAGTGGCAAGAGTGCACAGGGGAACTGCTGCCCTCGGTGCATGCATGTCGAGCTGACACTCAATGCAGGAAGTCATGGTAGGAAGGACGACTCTGGCCTGTCCCTTGAAGCCTGCAAACAACATTAAAACTAGTTCATTCACCAGCCATTATTGTTGCGCTTACCTTCGGTACCTCCGTCGATCAAAGGCTTCAGGGAATCTGGGCTATCCTCATCTACCATGCCAACGAGCATAGCATTTATCCATCGACGAGCTTCTATGCTGTCAAGGCCGCAGACGACCATGCCAAATTGCATGTAGTACTCTTCATCTTTGTCTTGAATCTTGCCGCAGTACGGGGTAATTTTAACGCCTTTTACACGCTTCTCAACGAACTGGGCTGCAACTTCCGCCTTTGGGCGTCCGACATCGCTGTGCCGGAAGAGGAATTGGCGGTTCAGATTGGAAACGTCGATAGTGTCTGCATGTGTGGTTAGAGCACGGAGATCATAACGATATTTGGTTTCTGAGAACCATGTGTGAGATGATCGTACCCATATCAATAACATGGATATCTTTGAATCCAGAAAGAGCGAGATTCTTAAGGATTTCACAGCCCAGTCCACCAGCACCGCTGTTGACTGTAAGCATCATGTGACTGCTCCTCCAAGGAAGTGGACATACATGACCCTAAAGAATGTCAGAACATCGGATTGGTAAAATTGAGAGGTGGAACGGCCTACAGGATCTTCATGTTTGCCAAAGTTTCAAGCGTCGTCATTCCAGGCTCCCAGTCCGGATCCGTAAAGGGACCCCGCCGGTTGAGGACGTTTTGGAGGTACCTCCTGTTGCCGTCAGCTAAGCTTTTTCTCGTTCGAACTCGTAAAGTCTTGCCATTTTGCCTCTGTTGGTGCTACTCCGTCGGCCATTTTCGATAATCGTAGGCTGTGATGCTTTTTGATTGCAGAGGGTTGTGATTTGGGGTTGACAGCTCGGAAGGAGCCTGGCACAGCTGGAGCCAATGACTTCAACGGGTCCTAATCGATAACTAGCCGAAACCAGAGTTTAACCGACTGGCGCCTAACCTTACTCTTCGTGTCTTCCCTCAGCACCGCGCTTCTGCAGCTCGACCGTTTCCCGCAGCTCGATGACAACGAAGGGCGACCATGGATGGAATGCTTACTGCCGTCAAGACGACCAAGATTCAGGTCGTTGAATCTGTCGAATCTCCGCCTGCAAATGAGCCAAGAAGTGCCCCGCCAAAAGCCGTGGCTTCTCCAGACCAATGCCTAACATTGATGCGGGACCAGCCGGACGTTCAAACTCTCGAGAACATTTTGCAGTACTTATGTGGAACGGTTGGGGAGACTGCTGGCTTCAACATCAAAGTGCCTGGACCGCTGTCAGCACAAATAATCAATACGCTTGTTAACACCATAATTCCTGACTACTGGGACTTTTGGGCGCAATCCTCTGGGCAGGATAGTGGTCGGCTAAAAAACGGGAAAGAGAGACTTCTCAATTGTTTGCGGAGTATTAGTGGGCTTGGTGCTCTTGTTACAAGGTTTAAAGCTCTCCTTGCAGAGGTTCAACAGGAACAACAACAGGCTTCAAAGTCTCACAATGCTCCGCAGCACCTCAAGAACCTTGTTGATGTCTTGCTTGAGCTACTAGATTGCGACACTCACTTCTTGTCAGAACGATGGGAAGAGATCGGGAAAATTAGGTCGTCCACTCAGCGTAACCTATTGTGGCGAGAAGCCATCTCGCTCACTGCATCTGGCAGGCTGGTGTCAACTGTCGCACAGTCAGAAGACTTACTGAAAAGCTCGACCATGCCTGTATCAGGGACATGGCTGGCGAATGGACCCAGCTATGCCAAATGGTTAGGGAAAGGAGTCTTCCAGACTTCCTGCTGTCAACAGGACACTGATGAGCCCATTTCGGCTGCTGCTCTCTTATTGGGCAAATCATTAAGTCTGGGATACACTGGTAGGCTGGGCCTAGTTTAAGACTTTGCTAAGATTCATGCTGAATATCGCAGAAAACGTTGTGGGGGAAGTTCTCTCGCAATTCTTGACAGCGGGCTCGAATTCAATGCAAACTCTTTTAACGTTGCTGGTGAAACTCCGCGCCCATGAGCAAAGGCAGTTTCTTTTATCGACGTTGGACTTCATCTCCAAGAAGTTCCTTAATGTCAATTCATCGCAGACCGAGGACCTTCGAAACACCCCAGGGACCATGACAGGTTGCATTGCTTTCTTGGTACAGATTGTATCAGGCAGTGATGTGTTGAAGGAAAGTTTGGTCAGCTGGCTTACTGGTATCGCGGGTGCTACGGGTTCTCCGGCATTGAGACGAGTTGCCATATCTGCCATACAAAATGATGAAGGTATCAAAAATGACTACTCCTCTCGTGGCAGATCAACTGACTGCCCTTGCAGCTAGAATTGTCAAAGCCATGGAAAGAAGCATGGAACAGTTTGGTGACGAACTTTATATCAAACACGCTCCTATTTTACAGCAGGAAGGTAAGTTTTTTGAGCAGGTCTCCTTATTCTTACACATTTCCGTGCTGATTTATCTCAGCATTGACTCAAGTTCTGCTACTGTCTTGCGGTTATGTCCACAGGTCACAGCCAATGTTTCTTTTCACCGTTGCAAGGTCAAGTATGCAAATGAAAGGCACTTCCAACCGCATCGGAGCTACCTCCCCACGGGCGCGCTTCCTCGGTATGGTAACAGCAATGGCAATCTCTGGACTTATCGACAAGCTTGAGAACAGATTAAAATTCGAGATTAGCGATGACGAGACGTTGGAAGCCAAATGGTATCAACAGTTGGTTCACGTGAATGATGGGCAAGGCTCTCTAGATGACATGCGGCGGTTATCAGAGCTTTTATCAGCCACTCTCCCAGATGACAGAAGTCGAGTATCATCTCTTTCCAAGTCACAGAACAAGAAGCTGTCGCCAGGCGTGATGGCAAAAGGTGGGAAGAAACCAAGCAAGGCACAAAACGCACCGATCACTGGCCCTAGGGTTATCGAAATTCTGGATGAATCGGATGACGATGATGACTTGGTGTCATATGCAAAACCTGACTCTGACCCTGAGGATGAGTCTGAAGATCCTACACTCATACAACGGAACAAGCCAACAGCACCGGTTTACATACGCGATCTCATAGCCGGCCTTCGTGACAACGAAAACTATGACCGGCACCAGTTAGCCTTGTCTTCTGCAGCTGGTTTGATCCGCCGTAAGGCGAATTTCGGAAAAGAGGTTATCGACCACATCGATGAGCTCGCTAGCGTCCTCCTAGGGTTGAACGACCAGTTTGAACTAGACAACTTCCAAGAGATGCGTCAACAAGCTCTTATAGTATTGCTTTTAGTCCGGCCCGACCAGGTTGGCCCATTGCTCATTAGAGCTTTCTACGGCGGGGATTACTCTCTCAGCCAGCGCATTGCAATTCTTACCAGTCTTGGCCTCGGCGCGCGAGAGATGGCAGGTTTCAGAGAGGACTCCGAAGCGGATGCAGAAACATCAAGCAGCTCTTTCCCTTCCAAGAAACTGCCTGAGAAGCTCCACAAGTTGTACGCTTCTGAGAGCTCACCTATCGATGAGGTCACGAATCATCTGAAGCGCACCATGATCACGCCGCTTGCGCTCGACGCAGCAGACCAGCTCAGCGGCCCCAATGCACTTAAGGTTCGGGCATTCTCTTCAAGGATGGAAGTCGAGAAAAAGCGAAAGAAACCTAGAGCCAACGAGCTCGCAAAGATCGTGGCGCAAAGCTTCTTTTTCCCAATGACTGGAGGTTGGTGGATACATGCAAAATCAATGTAAGCTCACTCTCACCAACTAAGTTTGGTAAATACCAGAGACTGATTAGTGTGTTTAGTGGGAGCGGTAATACGTTTTATTCCCCAATTCTTCTTCCCGTCTTTCTTAAAACCCTGGCCATCTTGCTTCATGCGTCAGGCCCATCAACACTGTCATTGCCGCAAATGACAACCGAGTATTGGGACTTGCTGCTTTCCCTGCGTGCGTCCGCTCTCAATGATGTCGCAATTTTGGAGGCGCTGCTGTTCTCGTTCCTGACGCTGCTAGACGTCAACGAGGACAAGCAAAGATTAGTGCAAGAGCACGCGAAGGAGCTCCTAGAAACACACGAGTGGGTCAAGCTTGTTTTCGAAAGGACAAGTGGTGGAGATGATGAAGGGGATCGGGTGAGATCGTTGGCTGCGGGCGTGCTAGTGCGATGCAGTGAAGTGGTGGAGAAGCACCAAAGGCTGTTAATGGGGGATATGATGGACTACTAGCCTACCGTTTAGGATATGTGGCCCGGAATATCTCAAATGTATTGGGTCTCGCGTGAGCCAAGGGGGAATGAATTTTCACACAGCTCCCAATTAAGTATTGTTTTTCCATATTCGTATGGTTGCATGCTTGCACGCTGGCCATGCCTCGAGCGGACGACGCTCTGATTGGCTGTGTTGGGGGAGGTCCGAGCGGCCGCCGCCCGGATTACAGCAGAACCTCGCCGTGCGCTCTCCTCCACCGAACGTCGCGACAGCTCCGCAACTGAACTCCCACACCGGCGCTGCTGCACCTCGCCCGCACCTACATGTCGGCCGCCTGAGCTGCCCACTCGATCAAATCGCTTACTGGACCATCGTCGCCGATAGCCAGCAACATGTCCGACGGTAGGCGCACACCTTCACCTCCGCGCGATACGGCCCAGCTAACTCTCGCAGCCGATTTCGAGACGATCAAGCGCCTGCAGCAGGAGCGCAACGCAGCGGCTGCAGGGAAGAAAGGTTCAAAGACTTTCGACCCGACTAACCAGAGAACTGACGTCTCGACGAAGGCTTCCCTCACTGAGACTTTTGATACCGACCTGTACGACCGCAATGGCGAGAACAAGTATGCTGGATACCTCACATCACTCCCCGTCGATGATGACGAGGAGATGGATGATGCCGATGATGGAAGGAGGCTCGTCGGCCAGTACACTGCCACGAGAGAGCAAATGAATGAGTTCGCGCATGGCCGCACCGAAGAGGAAGACATCTTGATGGACAGGGAGAAACAAGCGCAGATCGCCTCTCGCGAGACAGACTACCAGAGGCGACGCTTCGAACGCGACCTCAGCCCCACCCGTGCCGACGCCTTCGCCACCAACGGAAAGTCCGAGGAAGGCCTTAGCTACCGCGAGATTATGCGGAAGCGCGAGCTGGAACAGGAAGAGGAACGGGTGAAGAAGCTTATTGAAGACAAACAAGCGAACGGTGAAGACGGAGTTGTTGAGCACAAGGCTACTTTGAAGGACGGAACCGACAAGCAAAATGGCGAGGCGGCGGCTGCCCCCAGTGGTAGGAAGCGCAAGCAACGTTGGGATGTATCTTCTGAGGCGCCCTCTGCCGACGGTGTTGACGGAGCGAAGGGTGAAGAGGGAAAGCCTAAGCGTTCCAGGTGGGACCAGACTCCCGTTCCCGACTCTGCTCCAGATGCCACTCCAAAGCGTCGGTCAAGATGGGATCAAGCTCCTGCTCTTGGCGCCGCAACCCCGGTTGGAACGGCAGGCCTCGCGACGCCTATGCACCCGTCCCAAGCTGGAGCGGTCGCATCTTTCGGCACCGACATCTCCGGACGTAGCCTGCCGATTTCCGACGAAGAACTGGACATGATGTTGCCTTCAGAAGGCTACAAGATTCTTGAGCCACCTCCTGGATATGAGCCTATTAGACGTGCGGCGGTCCCCAGAGTTGCAGCAACGCCAGTTTCCCAACCGGGTTTGGCCGGTGGGTTCATGATGCAGGAATCCGTGGATCCTAGGTCCATGGGTAAACAGATGCCGTCCGACATTCCTGGCGTCGGTGACCTGCAATTCTTCAAAGCGGAGGACATGAAGTACTTCGGCAAACTTGTCGAGGGCGGAGAGGAGAATGAGATGACGGTTGACGAGTTGAAGGAGCGGAAGATTATGCGCTTGCTGCTTAAGGTCAAGAACGGCACGCCTCCTATGCGTAAAACCGCCCTCCGCCAGCTTACCGATAACGCTCGTCAATTTGGTGCCGGCCCTCTCTTCGACCAAATCCTACCACTGCTCATGGAGAGGACTCTTGAGGATCAGGAGCGCCACCTTCTCGTCAAAGTTATCGACCGTGTCCTTTACAAGCTTGATGACCTCGTCCGGCCATATGTTCACAAGATCCTGGTCGTCATCGAGCCGCTTCTCATTGACCAGGATTACTACGCGCGCGTTGAGGGTCGTGAAATCATCTCCAACCTCAGTAAAGCCGCTGGTCTTGCACACATGATCAGTACCATGAGGCCGGATATCGACCACCCAGACGAGTATGTCCGTAACACCACTGCCCGTGCTTTTGCCGTTGTCGCTTCTGCCTTGGGTATACCAGCTCTTCTACCTTTCCTGCGGGCTGTCTGCAGGAGTAAGAAGTCTTGGCAGGCCCGGCACACTGGTGTTAAGATCGTCCAGCAAATCCCCATCTTGATGGGTTGTGCTATCCTGCCTCACCTCAAGGGGCTAGTGGACTGCATTGGCGACAACCTGAACGATGAGCAGACCAAGGTCCGAACTGTGACCAGTTTGGCTATTGCTGCGCTCGCCGAGGCGGCCAACCCGTACGGTATCGAGAGTTTTGACGAGATTCTGAACCCTCTCTGGACCGGTGCACGGAAGCAGCGTGGCAAGGGTCTGGCCGGATTCTTGAAAGCCGTTGGCTACATCATTCCGTTGATGGACGAAGAATACGCCAACTACTACACCTCGCAAATCATGGAGATTTTACTGCGCGAATTCTCCTCGCCAGACGACGAGATGAAAAAGGTTGTGCTGAAGGTCATCTCGCAATGCGCCAGTACTGAAGGTGTCACAGCCGGTTACCTCAAGCAGCACGTTCTGGATGAATTCTTCAAGTGTTTCTGGGTACGCCGCATGGCTCTTGATAAGCGCAACTACCGCCAGGTCGTGGAGACTACCGTTGATCTTGGCCAGAAGGTTGGCACAAGCGAGATCATTGAACGGATCGTCAACAACCTGAAGGATGAGAGTGAGGCTTACCGCAAGATGACCATCGAGACTGTTGAAAAGGTCGTGGCCAGTTTGGGTGCCGCTGACATTGGTGAGAGGCTCGAGGAACGTTTGGTCGATGGCGTCCTGCATGCTTTTCAAGAGCAGAGTGTGGAAGATGTTGTCATGCTCAACGGTTTTGGTACGGTCGTAAACGCCCTTGGCACCCGTTGCAAGCCGTATCTCCCGCAGATTGTCTCGACTGTTCTCTGGCGCCTGAACAACAAGTCAGCCACCGTAAGACAACAGGCTGCTGATCTCGTTTCACGCATCGCTTTGGTTATGAAGCAGTGCGGCGAGGATGTGCTCATGGGAAAACTCGGTACTGTTCTCTACGAATACCTCGGTGAAGAATATCCCGAGGTGCTCGGTTCTATCCTTGGTGCGCTCCGGTCTATCGTAACTGTCGTTGGTATCAACCAGATGCAGCCTCCCATCAAGGATCTCTTGCCGCGTCTAACGCCTATCCTGCGTAACCGTCACGAGAAGGTCCAGGAGAACACGATCGACCTGGTCGGCCGCATTGCTGACCGTGGCCCGGAGAGTGTCAGCGCTCGTGAGTGGATGAGAATCTGTTTCGAGCTGCTCGACATGCTCAAGGCTCACAAGAAGGGTATCAGACGTGCGGCCAACAACACCTTTGGCTTCATCGCCAAGGCGATTGGTCCTCAGGATGTCCTTTCCACCTTGCTCAACAACTTGCGTGTCCAGGAACGCCAGTCTCGTGTCTGTACGGCAGTTGCGATCGGTATCGTTGCTGAGACTTGTGCCCCCTTCACGGTTCTTCCAGCCCTCATGAACGAGTACAAGGTGCCGGAGCTCAACGTCCAGAACGGTGTGCTCAAATCCCTTTCTTTCCTCTTCGAGTACATTGGCGAAATGGCCAAGGACTACGTCTACGCCGTGACGCCTCTGCTCGAGGACGCTCTCATCGATCGCGACCAAGTGCATCGTCAGACGGCTGCTTCAGTTGTCAAGCATGTGGCGCTTGGCGTGGTGGGATTGGGCTGCGAAGATGCGATGGTGCACTTGCTCAACCTGCTGTGGCCAAACCTCTTCGAGACTTCGCCGCACGTCATCGACCGCATCATCGAGGCCATCGAAGCAATTCGCATGGCCGTGGGCATGGGCACTGTCATGAACTACGTCTGGGCAGGTCTGTTCCATCCCGCTAGGAAGGTGCGCACGCCCTACTGGCGGCTGTACAACGACGCGTATGTGCACGGAGCGGACGCGATGGTCCCATACTACCCGGACCTGGGAGACGAGTCAACGGCAAGGCATGAGCTAGACATTCTTATCTAACTGGTTGCAGGCTTGTGGGGGGATTGCTGTGGCGTAACTAGGCCGATTCGACATGCTTCTTGTATGATGCTTTTTCTCTGGGAAGGATTAACTGCTTGCTGGGTAATGGGACGGAACTCTGGAGCGAAATGGGATTTTGAAAAATCGGGTGCGGCAATCACCCGGGTCAACACGCACAACGTAGCAATATCGAGAGTCGAGATTCGAGATTCATGAAATGAGCTCAGTTGGCGTCACCGTAGGGCTGAGACGGTGAGGTGGCTCGTGCGTATCGATATGTTTACTTATGTACTGGAGCTCACCCCGCCACCACTGCCCTCGTGCTTCTCTCATGACCTCCACAACACCATCAGCATGAGCGACCTGCAAAAGACCTTCGCCAAGTCCAAGCTGGCGAGCCTGCCGCCGGAGCCCCCATTGCGGGAAGAAGAGCAAGAGCCGGACCTCGAACAACAGCAAACCGAAGACGATTCCTCGTCGGCATCGTCCATGTCCTCGACCGGCACCGTCGTGCCCACAGCCACGCAGAAGCCCGCTCCAGCCAACACAGACTGGATGCGCTACTTTGCGCAGGAGCTGTATCTCGAACACAGCGACGGCAGCGCAGCAGGATCGCCGCACACCAAATACCACGTATACGTGACGCCACCGGCGACGCCCAAGACGCCGCTGATTGTGCTACACCACGGAGCGGGCTCATCGGCGCTGACATGGGCGCTCTGCGCGCGCGAGATCCGCCGCATGATGCCGGACGTGGGGATTCTGGCGGTCGAGGCGCGCGAACACGGCTCCGCGGTGTATGAGGCGGACGGGACGCGCAGCACGGACATGGGGCTCGCGCGGCTGCGGGGCGACTTGCTTGCGATGCTGGCACTGACGCAGGCGCGGCTGGGGTGGGCGGCCCTGCCGCCGTTACTGCTCGTGGGACACAGTCTGGGGGGCGCGGTGGTGGTGGATGCGGCGCGCAGTGGGGAGCTTGGCGGCGCGGTCATTGGTTATGCCATCTTGGATGTGGTGGAGGGGTCCGCGATGGAGGTGCTGGGCCATATGCGCACGTATTTGGCTGGTCGGCCCGGCATCTTTCGCAGCGTGGATGCGGCTGTTGAGTGGCATGTTCGGTCGCGCACGCTGAGGAACCCGACTAGTGCGAGGGCTTCCGTCCCTAGTTTGCTGGTGCAGACGGAGAGTGGGAAGTTTGTCTGGAAGACGGACTTGGGCAGGACGGAGCCGTTTTGGAGCGATTGGTTCACGGGTATGAGCTCGAAGTTTTTGAGCGCGAGGGGCGGAAAGCTGCTACTGCTGGCGGGGACGGATCGGTTGGATAAGGAGCTTATGATTGGGCAGATGCAGGGTAAGTTTGCGTTTCCGTACGATATCAGTGATGGTGTTGGGACACTGCCACTAACATGGATATTCTTCTACTGCAGGCAAGTTCCAGCTGCAAGTCTTCCCCGCAGCCGGCCACTTCATCCAAGAGGATCTGCCAGATCAGACGGCACAGTCGATTGTCGAGTTCTTGAAACGGAATGATAGGAGCACCCTCGTGCTGCCGCCGAAGGTCTCGGACCTCCTTGCGCAGGGGAAAAAGATTTGAAAGCTTTTGCTAAAGAGGACACACTATCCGATACCCTGGCGTCTTTTGCGCGCCCAAACAACCATAGATGGCGCACCCTTGTGCCCTCCACCACTTTTTAGACCGACTCCACCCAGAACGCCGTGCAATGCAGAAGGCGGCAGTCTCGCGAGATGCGAGCCCAGCCACGGAAAGATGTCAGCGATGAAGCAATGCGAGGTATATGGAACAAAGCATAGAGTTGCTATCCCAGCCAATCAATAAAAAGAGCCTCATGATTCTTGAGCGTCCGCTTGTGCTGCCTCGGCCGATTCCCCATCCGTCTTAGGCTTGTTCTTTCTCTTCCTCTTTCGCTTTGCAGGCTCCTCGGCCGTGTCTGTGGCAGATGGTTCCTTTGTCTCACTCTCCTCAATAGCCTTCTTTGGCTTCTCCGGAGCCTTATTGGGTTTTTGCGCAGCCTTTCCTGTCGGCTTGTCCTTTGGTTTCTTGACACTAAGCGGATTGGGTCCCTTGGGTCCCTTCTTCTGCTTCTTCTTCGGCTGCAGAGCAGCGTTGCCCTCCGCCTCGGCGCCCGCCGTCGCATCTTCCATAGACACATCGCTGTCGTCACCGTCTTCGTCCCTCTTCCTCTTAGCCGAAAGTTCAGCGGCGGTCCGCCTGGTTCCCTTGATACCAGCCCTAAACTTGTCCTTCTCAGCACGGTCTCTAACGTCCTCGGTAGCGCCGCCCATGGGCTCCATGATCATGACGCTGCGGTTGATGTAGACGAGAGGCACGCCGGGGATCTTGCGCAGGAAGGCGCGCACTTTAGGGTCCTGGGTGGCGACGCAGTAGCGGTGCTTGTTGGTGTTGGCGCCCTTGGGGTCGACGACGGACTGGATGCACTCGAGGGTGGAGAGCGGCTTCTCGAGCTCGTGGTGGTTGCAGCGGCGGCGCTCGAAAGACTTGGCGTGGGCGATGACGGTCTGGTCCTTGGCCTCGTATAGGTGGCGCATGGAGCAATGGGTGATCATGGGCTTGATCTTGCCCTGCAGCGTGCGCTCCAGGCCGCCGGCGAGGTCCATCTTGAAGCGCTCGGCGTCCTGGACCATTTGGGCGTCGACGAGGACCTGGTAGGGTTCGCGGAAGCCAAAGGTCAAGCCATACTGGTGCATGAGCTTGCGATACTGCTTGGCACGTTTGCCGCGCATGGTGGCGGTGTTTGAAGGGTTGTTGGAATAGTCAGGGAATGTTTGTTTGCGCGTGTAAAAGAAAGTCGAGAATTAAGCTTTGCGTGGGCCGTGCGCCTGCGCAATCCGGCCGGGGGTTGTGGCCGTGCCCCTAGCTGCGTTCACGACCAGACGCGGCTCAAGACGAGACAACTCTCCCGCTCCCGCCGTCACCTGCCCCTCTCTCGCCTCGACGGCCTGTCCGGTTATAATGCCTGCAGAAGGCCCTTCGTCCACCAACCCTTCCACGCCTCTCACCGACCATGCCGCCGCTACCCCCACTCCAAACCCCGCCGAAGATGAGCGTGACGAGTTCGGCCTGCCCATACGGACGAGGCCTGTGAGATGTAGTAGTGTCCAACCGAGCTCCGAAAGCCTTTCCAAGCAGCGGACAAGTCTTTCCCAGCCGCCGCACGAGAATCCGTGGGAGCCTCTTGCGCAGGCCGAGGCCGCGAGTCCACCGGAGAAGCCGCGCAACAGTACCTCCGAAAATGTCGCGTCCGGTGGTGCGGTCCAGAACGGAGCCGCTTTTCAGAACCACAACCGCTCCTCCTCTCGCGCCGTGAGCTCCAAGGCCGCTGCGCCGTCGGAATGGTCACACCAGAGCATGTTAAATCAGGCGCCTGCCGAGCCCGACGACGAGGAAGAGGACCTCTTGGCTGGCGATTGGCAGGAAATGCCCTCTTACGCGGCTTACGATCTTTACGACGACGATAACAAACTCATTGCGCGGGAGGCCCCGGGTTACGATGACGAGGTCGTGCAATACGGAACGCTGGGCGGGGCCGGAAAGGGCTATACCAGAGTGCAGCTTGACGACGATGCGCAGTCCGCTACGAGCCTGGACGATAACACGGCGTACCTGTTCAAGGGAGGGGGCACTACCACTGCCGCGGAGGACGACGATGACGACGCGCGGGATCCGCTCTCGCAGATGCAGGCGACTAAGAAATTGCTGACAGAGGGGCAGCGCATCGCATACGTGGGCATAGTGAGACTGGCAACAGTGCAAATGATAAGAGCTGTGAACGCGTTGGAACGGACTAAAGGATCGAAGAAGCAGGTCGACACCGCCGCCGAAGCTATGAGAATGTGGAGCCAAAAGATGATGGTCCGATTATACGGCCATATGGACATCGAGCCCGCCGAGCAGATCATGATAGAACAACTGGGCGTACACGGCGTGGAGCCCGGAGATCTCACCCCAGCGCTGATGAAGAATGCGCGCGTAAAGAACCCTGTAGCCGAGGAGACCAACTCCAGCCGACCTTCGGTGTCCTCACCCCGATCGCCCTCTTTCCCCAACAGTCCCGCTCCCGGTACGCCTGGCGAATCTACCCTACCTCCGTATGAAGATCACGAGGGTGAAGACCTGCCTGAGGTCCGGACACCCTCCCAGCTTCCCAACACCAAGAGCATCGACATCGACCTCCGTTGGACGGTACTGTGCGACCTCTTCCTTGTCCTTATTGCAGATTCAGTGTACGATGCACGGTCACGCCAGTTGCTGGAGAGGGTCGGCACGTATATGGATATTCCGTGGCTGGACATCTGTCGCTTCGAGAAGCGTGTCACAGACGCTCTCGAGATGCAGGAAGCTGCCAGCACGGAAAACTGGAACGAAGACGAGCATATGGAGCACAGGAAGAAGATGCAGCGGAATCGACGCCTAGTGATGATGGGTCTGGCGACTGTTGGTGGTGGCTTGGTCATTGGTCTCTCGGCCGGGTTGATGGCGCCAGTTATTGGTGCTGGTCTGGCCGCAGGTTTCTCGACGATAGGTGTGGCGGGAACGAGCAGTTTCCTCGCGGGTGCCGGGGGTGCGGCCATCATCACAACTGGTGGTGTGGTCAGCGGCGGAACGATCGCCGTGAGAGCATCGGACCGGCGAACAGGCGCCGTCAAGACGTTTGAGTACAGGCCGCTGCATAACAACAAGAGAGTGAATCTCATCATTACCGTGTCTGGGTGGATGAACGGCAAGATCGACGATGTCAGGTTGCCGTTCTCTACCGTCGACCCGGTCATGGGTGATATCTACTCTGTGTTCTGGGAACCAGAAATGTTGCAGAGTATGGGTGATACCATCAACATTCTGGCGACAGAGGTAATGTCTTTAAGGTAGCTCGTCACATACCATACTAACTGCCCTAGGCTCTCACCCAAGGCTTGCAGCAAGTGCTCGGCAGTACGATTCTTGTCGCGCTCATGGGTGCCCTGCAGCTCCCTATCGTGTTGACGAAGCTCTCCTACCTGATCGATAATCCCTGGACCGTGTCGTTGGCGAGAGCAGAACTGGCCGGTCTGATTCTGGCCGACTCTCTAGTCGACCGCAACCTCGGCGTCCGGCCAGTCACGCTCGTTGGCTTCTCGCTGGGCTCGCGTGTCATCTTTTCTTGTATCCAGGAGCTGGCAAAGAGAGGAGCGCATGGCCTTGTTCAGAACGTCTACCTCTTTGGCTCACCCATCGTGGCCAAGAAGGACGAATATCTTAAGGCCGTCTCCGTCGTGCCTGGCAGGTTCGTCAATGGATACGCGACGAATGACTGGATTCTCGGTATGTACATATCATTGGACTTCTGCTTGTTGAATCACGGTTTCTCACAATCGCGCAGGTTACCTATTCCGTGCGACGAGCGGCGGCATTATGCGCGTTGCCGGTCTCGCCGCCGTCGACGTGCCCGGCGTCGAGAACTACGACGTGACCGAATTGGTCGCTGGACACATGGCCTACCGTGCCGCTATGCCGCGCCTGCTTCGTGAAGTCGGATGGGTTGTTGAGTCAGACGAGTTCTCTGAGATCGAGGACCCCGATCCGGAGAACCACGCAGCGCGACAGCGAGAGCTGATTAACGAAATCGAAGAGGCGCGCAAAGCTATGGAGAAGAAGCCGGAGAAGAAGAGCCGCTTCAGCATCTTCGGCAGCAAAAAGAAGCAAGCGGAGAAGAAGGACTGGGAAGTCTACGACGAGAAGATCAAGGCGGGCTCGGGGAGCGGTGAGAACGGCGATAACAAAGCCGCTGTGCTGTTCGATGTCGAAGCGATTCGCAAGGAAGCAGAAGCGCTCTCCGCCGACACGAGCAACGACAAAAGCACGCTCCCGCCGATGAAGCTGGACCCGAGCCCGGACCTGCCCAGCCGCAGCAGCAGCCTGCGGCACACGCAGAGCTTCGACCCGAGCACGATGAGCAAGTCGGGCTACGACGACGCGGCGCTGCTGGACCCGGGCTTCTACAGGCACGACGAGGGCGCCATCAGCATGACCTTCGACACAACGTACACGAGCCCGCCATCCTCGTCACACAATAACGACGCCGCGAGCGGGCTGGCAGGTTTGGCGGCGCCGCCGTCACCGGCTTGGACGACGGCTAGTAGGAGTAGTGACAGGCCGCCTCTGAGGTCGGCTGTTACGATGCCTGTAGATTTCCATGCTGGCGAACGCAATGCATGGGGTGAGGAGTTTGATGACGATGCTGGGTGGGGAAACGAGGGAGGAGGAATGTCGATGACTTTTGAGTAGGGAAGGTGTGAGTGCTGGTTGGCGTAATTTTTGTGTGGTCCTTTTCCTTTGCCTTCTTTTTTTCTCCGTCATCGACTCGAGGTCCGGTTCATTTCTTTCTTCCTCTCTCTCTTTCGGCTCTGGATCCAGTCGGTCAGTGCTTGCACGCTCGCACTCGGCTCTACCCGTCCACCCACCCATCCATCTCAGGGCGCATGCATGTCCTCGGCGTCATCGTCATCGTTGTTCTTTTCTTTCTCGTTCTTGGCATCATCATCGTCTGTCCACCGCGTCAAAGATCTCTCTTGCTTCCAAAAGACCGGGTGGAGAGGGGGGTGTTCTGCTCTACCACGGCGTGCTGGCGCTGCTTCTTCTTCACGGCGGTCTCGTCGGCTCTGCCTACTCTTGGGAGGGCCGGAGAGGCCATGTCATGTCATGCTTTGGCGTCGTCGGAGCTCTCGCTTTTGCTATTGTTGTTGTTGCTGTTGCAGTCTTTTCTTTTTCCACACAGGCCCGCTCTCGCCACAGAAGAGGTGCGTGAGCTGCTTGGTAGTGTGCGCGCACGGGGGAGTCGGTTGCCTGCCTTGCATATAGTCGTCTTGTAATCGCATCGCATCGCTTGGCTTGGCTTTGGCTTTGGCTTTGGTTGGGGGCTCGGCTTGCCTGGGGTTGGGGCTGCTGAGCTTTCTTTCCCACGCGAATCTGATCTTGGTCTTGGCTTGTCGTTCCTTGTGCTGTTGTTGGGCTTGCTGGGGTTTGACTGTTGGTGGAGAGGGGCTGTGTGATTGGGTCCCTGAGGTGGGGGCTGAGTGCTTGGTGTACGTTTATATCATACATCTTAGCTACGGAAGCAAGCACATACGACCACAGGTCATGGAGAATTAGCCATCCCGTCCGCTCTGGCACATACAAGCCATGAACCGGCTGATTAGTAGTCAGGTGGGTGACCACTGGCGAATCCCAGCTGTTGTATGTTTTGTGTTTTGGGCTTCTTTTTGCCGGGTGGGTGGTTGACGTCCATCACTGTCAAAGAGATTCATGTCTAGCGAGATTGGGAAACATACAAGCGGTCCCTATAATACTCGTTGTCTACGTGGTAGCTACAAGCCTGAGTTCTTGAAGTAGTCTTACAGCGTACACATGCTATAAATATCGTAAGGCACCGGATAATTTGCCCATCCCACGTGATAGCATCTACAGAATTATACAACATATTTTCTACTCTTTAAAATCTTAGGTCTCTATACCCTTATAAGTACCTTTATACCCTTCGAATATTTTATTTTTATACTCTTGTAGTATACTCTAGTACTCGTATATTTTTACTTTTATATAATTATATAGTATCTATTAGCTGTAGTATAATAGTCTATTATAACTATCTAAGAAGTATTAAGTAGGTATTATATATTTTACTTAATATATAGTTAAGGGGTGGGCAAATTATCCGGGGCCATATCGTAACTATGTTTCCTTTTCTACTCTCTACGAGTTCTCGCTTAACGGCGATGAAGGGTACTTGGATGTGTTGTGGTGGATACGTGTGTGTACTGAGGGTTGAGTAGATAGTTTGCGCAGGTGTGTTTTTGGAATGTTTGCGTGGGGTTGGTGTTATGGTTGCAGCTGCGGGGCTAAAGCTGGAGCGGAGTATAAAATTGATCTCGTCTGCAGCAGCGCGGACAAACAGATACGAAAATAACACTAGTGGTCTTGTGACGGTAGATGGTGGCTTTGTGAGAGCATCGGAATATAAGCCCCTCGTGCTTGCGTGCGTGCATGCATATATGCACTGCATCGTTGCTGATGGGGGCGCACCAGGCCCGGCGTCAGACAAGCCAGGCCAGGGCGCGGGAGGTGAAGAAAAAGTTGGGCACAATCTCACAGTCCGGGTAAAAGAGCCTCATTATCCGCCACACCCGGCGCAAGAATCTACTTCTCCTATGACGGCAAGTCGATGCTGATCGCAGACCGTGGGCGGGTGATCGGCGACACGGCAGGGGCCGGATCATTGGATCGACGTCGGGCTTGCTGCTTCGCGCTGTGGGGGAGCTGCCGGATTCCAAATGCGTACGATGGGAGGGTGGCGTGGGGCCGGGGGCGCGTTGCAAGAGCTGGAAGAGGGGAGAGAGGGGCTTGGAGGGTGTCGTGGGTGTTTGCTTGGGGGGCTTGCCCGGTCTCACGTCATCTAGATCCTGGTAGGTAGGCTTTTCTCACTCTGCGCTTTTCGTCGATGCCGACTGTCGTGGCCAAGCTTGCTTTGATGTAGGATGCTGGCGCTTTCCATTATGGGCGACTTGACGTGTTTGATGAGGATAAGAGCGGCGCCGGTCGTGGTCCGTTGCCTGGACTCCTAGCTCCCCGGAACTTCCTCATACGTACCTACCGGCTATTTATTTGTTGGTTCGTCTCCCTTTACCATCTTGCTCCCCATCTCTTTTGCTTCAGCTTCACTCTCATCAACACCATCATGCACCCTCCTCACCTTGCTGCGTTCGCGGCGCTGGCCTCAGTGGCAGCCTCCACAAAGACCTGCTTGAACCAAACCATTCCCGTCACTATCGAATCGCGTAATGGCGTGTTCGACATAGCAATTCCGCACCAAAACCTCGACGTGACGACCTTTGTGCAGAACATGACGCGCCAAGGCCACAACTTCACCAACGAGGCGCTCATTGGCTACCAGACTGTGGCTGGCACGTACAACATCTCGACCAAGTACTGCTACGACAATGATACGGAAAGCTCGCCCAACAAACTTCAAATCTTGACACATGGCATTGGCTTTGACAAGACGTAAGTGGACGTGTGGTTGCTATTCACTGAAACAAGGCTGACATCTATGAAGCTACTGGGACCTGTCTTACAACAACTTCAACTACAGTTACATCAACTCTGCCCTCGCCGCCGGCTATGCAGCCTTGAGCTACGACCGTCTCGGGATCGGCAACTCCTCGCACGGCGAGCCACTGAATGAGATCCAGGCCTTCCTCGAAATCGCAGGCATGCGCGCGCTCACTACCATGCTGCGCACAGGCTCCTTCCCCAACGTAGACCACAGCTACAGCAGCATCGTCCACGTCGGCCACTCCTTCGGATCCGCGCAATCCTACTCCTTCGCAAACATGTACCCCAACGAAACCTCTGGCCTTGTTCTTACGGGCTTCTCGATGAACTCGTCCTTCCTGCCCTACTTCGCCGCGGCCTCCAACTTCGGCCTCGCGTCCCTGAACCAGCCGCTGCGCTTCGGCAACGGCTCCGCCGCGCTCCTGCAGCAGACGCTCGGCAAGAGCGATCTGTACGAGTACGTCAAGTTCGTGGACCTTGCGAACCTCCCCACGGGTCAGAACCTCACGGACGGCTACCTCACCTGGGCGAATATCCAGGCGAACCAGTACAACTTCTTCCTACCCGGCCACTTTGATCCGCGCCTGTTGGGCGTGGCCGAGGAGAACAAGCAGCCCGTCACCCTTGGCGAGCTGCTCACGCTCGGGTCGGTCCCGACGGAGAACCAGTTCACTGGTCCCGTGCTCGTCATCACGGGGGAGGCGGACGTGCCGTTCTGTGGTGGTGACTGCTTCGCTACGGGCGGCGTGGCGAGCTCCATCCCTGCGGCTGTGAAGGCGTCATTTAACGTGTCGGATGATAAATTCGAGGCGTACATCCAGCCCGCGACGGGCCACAGTATTAATGCGCATTATAATGCGACGGGTGCGTACCAGGTCATTAATAACTGGCTGAGTAGCCAAGATCTGTAGAGCGCCTTGCTTCTATGGTGAAGAAGGTAATGAGAAGACAGTGCGGGCTGGGAATACATGACAAAAGCGAGTAATTGGTGGAGGGAGACTATTTGGTGGATACGAAGATTGCAGCCCTTTCAGCCATTTAGATGGGAGAGAAGTGAGCATTTAATTCTCTGTAGATACGACTCACGAGTAATGTCTTATTCGATAGCGGAGGTAGTTATTAGCATTAAGGATATTGATATCTCTTTTACAAAAAATTTGACGACTACTGCTGCTGCTCCTGACACCGCTTGCGGGCACTTGCGTGGAATTGTGACCTTGACGCCTGTGTGTGGCTCTGGACTGGACTGGGATTGTAAAGTTGCGTTTCTCGATTTTTCTCTTTCTTTTTTGGCGCGCCGCACTACACAATGCCACGGACGGACGGGTCTAGTGCTCCTGCCTCTGCTTCCTTTTTTCCTTTCTCCCCGCCCTTCACTCTCTCACACAGCACACCCCTCCCCCTCCCTCCACCTTCACTCACGCACTAACAACCACACTACCACTTCGCAGCATAAGAATCCCAGCTCTCGCAACTCAGCCGCAGCACCAGCGTCGTAGCGGACACGCCGCGCAGCTGCCGCGACGTCGGCGTCGGCGGCGAAGAAGAGACGGCGTACATGGTGCCTGTCGCTGTTGTCGTTATGGCTTGTGCTGCAGCTACTTCGACTTCGGTTTCTTCGACGTGGGTGGGGTTGGTGGGGGTAGAAGGGGGAGGGGAAGTGTTTGTGGAGGAGGTTGTGGTTTTAGAGCTGGAAGTGGTGGCAGCGGCGGCGGTGATGGTGACGTCGTTGGCGCTTGAGGCGGTGGGGTGGTTATGGGGGTGGGTGCGGTTGTGATTGTGGTGGTGTTCGCGTTCTCGTTTCCGGTGGCTATGACTGTAGTTGTAACTGTGGTTGCGGCTGTGGTTCTGACCGTGGTTGTGCTGCTCCTGCTGCTGCTGCGGGTGCGCGTACACGGCGCTGCCCAGCGGGGCCATGTTTTCGCGCAGCCAGTCGAGGGCGATGGAGAAGGGGCGGGAGGACAGGCGGGGGAGGTGGCGGCTGTGGCTGTGGGTGTTGTTGTTGTCGTGGGAACGGGGGATCGGTGTCGGTATGGCGGTTAGGGTTGGGGTCGGGGTGGTGGTTTGGGACGTCGTGTTGAGTGGGGGAGGGGTGTGCGTGGTTATGTTGGAGGGGGTGGGGAGGGGGAGGGAAGAGGGAGAGGGAGAAGGGGCGCGGTGGCTGCCTCTTTCGGTGGGAGAGGGGTCTGCTGTTGCTGCTGCTGCTGCTGCTGTGGCATCCTCTTCTGCCTCTTCGCGCGCCCATACGTCTTCCTCTTTCTCTTCCTCTTCACTCTCCTCCTCCACTTCTTCCTCTTCTTCCTCGTCTTCCTCCAAAATCACGTCAAAACTATCCTCCTCCTCTACCTCTCTCTCTTCCCCCACACCCCCACAATCCAGCACAAGGAACGGCGCCTCCCACGCCGCCGAAAACGCCAACACCCACTCGCTCCAATGCACCGCACACCCGAGCCGCGCCTCACAAAGCAGCGTGCCCCAATCCGCCCACTGATACGCCGCGCGCGACGCATGCAGCAGATCAAGGGCATGGGGGCGCGGCGACTGCGGCGGAGGCGTTACGCTCGCCGGGGAGCCAGAAGCATAGCCACCGTTGCCGCCGTAAGGGCTGTGGGCGCCGTAGGGGCCATGGACGCCATAGCCGTAGCCAGAGCTCCCGCCGACGCCAGACGAGCTGCTTGCGCCGTGCTGCTGGCGCGTGCCGCTGGTGGGGCAGCAGGGCAGGCAGATGCGCGGGTGCGGGCGCAGCGTGCTGAGGTGCGAGGAGAGGCGGCGCAGCGAGGCGAGCGGGTTTGGGTGCGCGCGCTGCGGGAGGGGGACGCTGTGGCGACGGATGCGAGGACGAGGACAGGGGCGAGGGTACGACATGCAGCGGCGGCGGCGGGCGCGGTGGCGGTTTTGTTTTTCGTTTGGCATGGTGGGGTTGACGGGGTTATTGCTCAGCTGCGGCTCGTCGCGCAGGAATGGGTGGACTTTGCCGCCGCACTCGGAGAGCCAGATCGAAGGCGTGTGGAGCGGAGCGGGCGAGTCGGTTGGTCTTGTCCCTGCTGCTGCTCCGGGTTTGACGGGAGAGAAAGAAGAAGATGTGAGGAAAGACTGGATGCCCGCGCAGGCACTGGAAAGCCATGCACCTACAGGCGCAGCAGCAGTGCACACGGGCAAGGTAGTGCAAGCTCGCCGCGGAGCCATCGTGATCGTGAGCCTGAGCCAAGCTAAAACAGAAACTCTTTTCCAACACTGAACGAATAGGTGTGCGCGCTGACTTAGAAGGAAAAAAGCTTGACTGAAGCTTGTGATGTCTTGGACGAGTAAAGACAGGCAATGACAAGCAAACGCAAAAGCAAGAGAAACCAAGAAACCTAAGGTCTCGCAATGCTTATTTTGCTGCCCATGCCGTCGCCTGGCCGGGCGACCAGGAATGCAGCGTGCCATTCTTGCCATTACCCGATTCGAGACGTCTGGCTGGGGCCTTTCGCGTTCTTGGGCAATGATGGGGAGATCACTCCGATGGTGTGCTTGTTTGTTTTCTTTAGGGGAGCGGGGTGCCGGTGAAACCTTGTGCTAGGCGTGGTACGGATGGATGGAAGCTCCGATGCGGCGTTCAGTGTCCTTGAATGCCGATGGGAGAGAGTCGGGACAAGTGAACAACAACAATAGATTGGGAATGTGGGGAATATTGTGCTGGAAAACATGCTGCTAATGCTGAGGATGCACTCACGGAGAAGGAAAGAAGGCAATATATGAAAAAGATTTTGGATTCTCAGCCCCTGTTGCGGTTTGGTCAATGTCGTTAGTATAGTAACCATCAAATCACCCCAAACGCCGATTGCTACCCGTGAAATGATCTGTGTCCCTCTGAGGTGCATCATCTAAGAAAAACGCCATATGTGGTTAACCTTTGAGGTGCTTAAGCACCGTTCGAGACGCCATTGCTCCCATGGCTGAGCTTCGCGGCAACAACGGCCTTCTCGAGAGCCTGCAGGACATCTCGTTTGAGATCTTCGCCATCCTCAATGCCGCAGCTGACTCTCACGAGATCGTCAAAGACGCCCGCAGCTTCCCTCTGCTCCTTAGGGATGCCCGCGTGGGTCATGCTGCCGGGGACTTCGACCAAGCTCTCCACGCCGCCCAGACTCTCCGCGAGTGTGAAGAGCTTCGTAGACTGGCAGAAGCGCTCTGCAGCCTCCTGGCCTCCCTTAATGCGGAAGGAGAGCATACCACCACCCATGCCATTGCGGTGTTGCTTGGCAGTAATATAGTGCTGCGGGTGGGAAGCAAGTCCAGGGTAGTTCACAGCGATGACATTGGGCGACGCCTCAAGCGCTTTGGCAACCATGGTCGCGTTCGTGGTGGCTTCCCTAGCACGAAGGTGCAATGTCTTGAGACCGCGGTGAGCAAGCCAGCAGTCGAAGGCGCCAGGGACGGCGCCGATGGCGTTTTGCAGGAACGAAAGCCTCTCATACAGGGTTTCCGAGTTGAAAGCCGCGGCGCCCATCAGAACATCGGAATGACCGTTAATGTACTTGGTCACGCTGTGCACGACGATGTCTGCGCCGTGGTCGAGCGGATTCTGCACATAGGGAGACAAGAAAGTGTTGTCCACCACAACCAGGATGCCGTGCTTGTGCGCAACTGAAGCAACCGCGCGGATGTCTGTCAGGCTCAGCGTGGGGTTGCTGGGCGACTCGATCCAGACCAGCTTCGTCTCATCAGGTCGTATCAGGTCCTCGATGTCCAGCTCGATGGAGGGGGAGAACGTGACGTGCACGCCATGTGCAGCCGCGACCTTGGTGAAGTATCTGTGGGTGCCTCCATAGACATCGGATATGGAGATTACGTGGGAGCCGGAGGCAAGAGACTGCAGAATCAGAGCAGTGGTGGCGGAACCGGAGGAGAAGGCGAGGGCATAGCGCGCATGCTCGAGCGCGGCAACGGCTTTCTCGAAGTTATCCCTACGAACATGAATCAGGACGCTGGACGTAGAATCGCGAGTACAGCTCATACGGACCTGTTCGGGTTGGAGCTCCGCGTGTATTCGTACTCGCCAATCGGCTTACCGACGGCTGATTGAGCGAAGGTGGTGGAAAGGGAGATCTGTTATCTGGTCAGCGTGAACCTCACACAATCTAGGGCCGAAGCTTCTTACTGGCGCGATAACAGCTCCGGTAACAGGATCGTGAGGAGAGCCGGCATGGACGGCCAAGGTGCCAAAGCGATGTACGGGAGACGGAGCCCGCGGGGGAGTCTCGATGGGGTGGTCTGCGAACGTCATGGTGAATGCTGCTGCTGGGAAGCTCTCGATGCGGCGGGTATACAGAGAGAAGAAGGATTTCACAAGTGCCTGGAGGAAGAAGCAGAGCTTTAAAGAGTCAGAAAATTTATGGCCGAGTCAGAACAACGGAATGGGTCGTATAGCGCAATGGCGCAATCGCCGGTGAGGTGATGTGGACAAAGGGATTGTCTGTCTAAAGTCAAGCGCGATCACATCAGACGGGCCAGCGCCGTTGCACAGTAGGAGTCAAAGCAAATAAGTAATCGATGAGAAGGTCGAAGAACAGCTTCTGTCAGCGCTGCAGGAACAGGCGCAAGGCGCGTCCCTCACTTGCGGCGCGCAGGGATCCTTCGGCGCGGGGTCATGTTATGTCATCTGCCCGATTTGGCAATCCCAAGACCGCCCGCATCCGTGCCCGACTCGGCATCTCGTAATCAATGCAAATGGCTTCTGACCACCAGACTGTGTGACTGCCTCGAGCCACCGTGTCACTGTCCCTGCCGCTTTACCCGAGTGCAATCGCCGGAATCTTTGGAATGGTTCTCCCAAACCTGCACCCGAAGTTAGAGTAAATGCATTTCCTTTTGTAGCTAAACCGTTAACTGCCAGAGCAAGCCTTGTGGGTAAAACCCTTCATTCACGCTTTTAATGTGAGTGAAGAAAAATCCTGGAAAGACTGAATGGCTCCCGCGCAGAGATTTGAGTCGCGGATTATTATGCCCCGTTTCTTCCCAAATGCCCAATTGTTGCTATTCCTGGAAATTTTTCCAAATCAGGGTAAATGCCCAGGTTTTTGAGTCGTTGTATAGTTTAAGTAGAAAATGAATGTCCTGCTTTTCAGAGAGCAAACTAGAGTTCAGGCTGTCCATTCCTTAGTGCCGCACTTGATTTGAGATTCGGTAGGTAACGGTCTAGGAGGTGTCTCCCTCAGACTTGACATTCCATAGGATATCCTGGTCTGCAACCTCAATGAATGCCAACGGGAGTTTCATGTTTTCAGGCTCACGGGAGCCCCGCTTTGCTGCAGTCCGATCCACGAGAATAGGTTCGATGATAGCAGCAGCTTTCTGATGAAGCTGCCTGAGAGATGTGTGTGCGTTGTCCATCATCCATTTGGGCATGCCGAAATCTTTACAGTATTTGTGGAAGGGGTTGACTTCGACAAACTTCTGGCTTTGAATATTTCTGTAGATGGCTGCATAGTTCTTGCCACACTCGGAACCCGCGTGAGCATTCAAGTGTTTGGCTACTATGCTTCTGAAATATGCTTCTGCTAGGCGCTCAAACACCGCTGAATCTGGTTTTGGGTCGATCGTGAAGCGTAACAGTTTCATGTCGATATCCTGCAACATGTTCTTGAACTCGATCCGCTTCTTTTCAAGGTAGCGGGCAACCCATGGTTGGTCGATGTGTAAAACCACCTCCTTCCAATAAGCTTCAGGCAAGCTCACTAGATAGATGGTGGCTTCTCTGAACATCCAATCGCTTTTCATTGTCAATGACATCTTCATCAGGTTGATCGGGTCCTGGGCGAAAACGTCAAGAGCTGCCGCATCCAAACGCAGTCTGCCCATGTAGACATTGATTATCTGAGTACTGCCATAATGGTCTGCGATGCCCACCAATGTCCTGATTTCTTGAACCATCTTTTCTGGTTTACCAAACGGAAAGTCAGGGTGTTTGTGATAGAATATCGCAAGGAGACGTCGATGAGCTTCTACAACATATCTTCGCTCCTTGTGCGTAGAATCAGTCTCGCTGCGGTCTTCTTGTGGGGTCTTGCGAGGTTGCCATAGTTCCGAGTCTAAGGTAGCTGAGGTCCGGAGAGTTCTCTGCACAAAAGTCAGCAACAAGAACATTTCGAACAAGGATTTGTATTCTCTTGCCTTGCGTATGAAGATGCCATCAGTCTTCCCTTTTTCGAAACTCAAGTGGTAAACCCAGCGGATGCCAGCCCTAGTGGAAATTGGTGGGTTCTGCCCTCCATCGTTCGTCCAAAGCTCACTGAGGCTGGCCGTGAAGAAGGAAGAGTGCAGGCGGAGGACAAGACTGTGAAGAACGTAGCCGTCCTCAGGTCTTGTGAAAACTAACAGTCGAGGCAGGCCTTCCCGCGATTCGCCGATGGTGATGTCGAACTTCACCTTTCAACATCTACCGTTGTACAAACGATAGTCAGACAAACCATTGTTGCGAGATGGCATAAGTGCACCTAGCAGGTTGTCATTTGCGATTGCATGCCGGCAGTCTGAGGGTTGGAATGCGAAGACGTAAGAGACGAGGTCCCGATGAGCTGTTGGGCAGCAGCTGCTGCGATGCCTTCAGGCATTGGACCTTCGCAGTTGGAGAGACACTGACGAAGTAGTGTGGAAGTAGGACCAAATGGAAGTTGGTGAAGGAAGTGGGTGAAAGTTGCAGCGAAGAAAATATTGTTAAATGGTAAGGCAGTCACGATCGTGCCTGCCGTAACTGGAAGGCACTACAACGGAAGTCGCGACGACTGCCCGTCCACCACAAGCCACCGTCGAGGGCTCGTGTCACGATCCAGTCAAGACTGATAGGGTGTGAGCTGGTCATCAGTAACGTCGTCACCATGAAGCGAGATTCATCGTCTTGCGAGATGGCGATCCTTGTACGGAGTAGAAGAAGATACCCAGTTAAGATGTATAGAGTCTGTGTGTGCCCAAAGGCCCTTTCACCCATACCCAGGACTCGGCTGGGAGCTAGGCAAGGTAAACTCTGTAGGGACTGTTTGTATCGTCTCCTGTCCTCGCTAGACGGTGGATCTCGGTTCGCGGTGACGGACATTATATCCAGCTGGGTTTTGCATGACCGCTTGCACACCTTGATCTTTATTGGAGAGTAACTTTATTTCGTCAACGCTACAAAATTCGACTGTGTTGCGGATACCGAAGTCTACAGATGTAGGGAGAACTTTCCTGTGTTTACCAGGAATTTGAGTTATGTACAGTTTTGCCAAAGCTCGTAGGAATCCGTCTAGAAAGAACAGTCTTGATAGCTGCTCATACTCGTGACGCGCAATGCGAGGCAAACGGCCTATGGGGTCGTTTCATATGGCGCCTGATCACAACGATGTTATCACAAGACACAGCCAAGAAATAGTTGTTTGAGAATTGAGACTTTTAATTGATTCGTCTGTCTTTCATGCAGCACATTGTCTCCATTTCCACCAGGTATCCATGCAAACCCAAACCCAGAGCATTTACTTGAGGGGAATGAAACGCGAGGAGTGAGTGGCACCAATACCGGGCCTACCGTGCTTGACGGGCTTGCTGTAGAAGGGTAAGTATTTGTCCGGATGCCGCATTTCTGGGGATACGTACTAAGAGATAGAGAACTCGGCAAGGTAGTGACCAACCATCTCAGGCTTGATCTCGACCTGGTTGAACTCCTTACCGGAGTAGATACCGATGACGGAGCCGATCATCTCGGGGACGACGATCATGTTACGGAGGTGGGTCTTGACGAGGTCGGGCTTCTCGTTGGGCTTGGCCTCCTGCTTGGCCTTGCGGAGCTTCTTGATGAGGCCCATGGGCTTGCGCTTCAGACCGCGGTTGAACCGGCGACGAGCACGGGCGTGGACGACATCGCGGAGCTGCTCGGAAGAAAGGTCGAGGAGCCTGTATTTTCGTCAGGTTCCGATAGCTTCCAACGGCGCAAGGCGTCCGGGGAAGATTTTGCCGCCGCAAACAACGTACTGGTCAAGGTCGATACCGCGGTAGGAAAACTTGCGGAACGCTCTCTTTCTCTTGAGCTCTGCACATCACATCGTTGTCAGCCATACGTCCCCGTTCCTGTGTGGGTAAGACCCAATCGGGTTTCGATGGACTGAACAAGTATGTATGCCAGTGCAGCGATCGCGATGGGTGGTGGGCGTGGGCAGGCGAAGGGATTTCAGGTCGTACCGGCAGCCTCCTCAGCGTTCTGTTTGTATATCGTCAGTAAAGCGCTCCTTCATCGTCTTGTGCTGTGGCAAGGCCGTTACTCACGTATTCCGCGTCAGCCATTTTTGCAGGTGGTCGAAGATGTCGTTCAGAAACTTCGAGTCGTCGCTGGTCGAAGGGTTGTGTTCGGATCGCCTGCGCGCGCCCAAAATGTGGTGCGAAGCCCTAAGCGAGCCGCCAAGACTTATTCAGACGCTCCCAAAACGCAGCCAACGCTTATCGATAACGTAGGCAGAGGTCTATGGCGCGTTTGTTCGAGCTTCTGGGCGCTATTCGTGGGCGATACGTGCTGGTTTGATACAGGTTTATGCGCGGATTTCACTTATGGTTCATTCGGTGACAGCAATTGGAGGGGCACGGCTGATCTTCATTGCAGTTGGATATAAGCCAGCATTTCTGCTGCTGCAGGACTTCCTCCACAAGACACCGATTTTTTTCAGCAGGCGTAACTCCCCCCAAACTCCTTAGCCATGCACATAATCCGCCCGCGGCGGAGGGACGGCTTGTCGCCAACCACTCCGCGCAGAATTGAACAGAGCTTGACCGTGATGCGCTTAGTCGAAAAGACCGAAGCCCATGTCCTCGTCGGACTCCTCCTTCTCCTCTTCCTTGGGCTTCTCCTCCTCAGCAGCGGCGGCAGGGGCAGCGGCGCCACCAGCAGCGGGAGCACCACCGGCACCACCGGAGGGAACGGAAGCGAGCTTCTCGGTGCCCTGGGCGATCAGCTGCGAGAGAGTTAGCGAAATGTTTTTGTGTGCGGATTACGGATGGCGCATTCGTACCTCAGAGATGTCCTTGCCCTCGAGCTCGCTGACGAGCTTGTCAAGGCGGTCAGAGTCAGCCTCGACACCGACGGACTCGAAGAGAGACTTGATGTCGGCAGCGGAGGGGGTGGCGTTACCGCCGAGCTGGAGGAGGAGGTAGGCAGCGAGGTTCTTCATTTTTGCTGTTGCTGCGAGCCGTTAGAATTCCGAATTACAACGGCGCAACGCGCGCAGGCAGCGCAACTCACTGTTTGAAGAGGCGTTAGGAGAACAAGCGAATCAATCGGTTTAGCCGCAGTTGGCGGAGACTGAAACGTCGAGTCCTGAGGGGATTGATTGTCGGGTGTGCAGGAGGAAGGCTCAGCGACGGCGCGGTGGAATATCAGAGTTCGGCATGTGCGAGCGCTAGTCCGTTTACGGCGGGCTAGTCACGGGGTTCCGGGTAGTCGCGAGGGGCGGGTTACGTTGGGCCTGGAAATTCCGACGCCGACGGCCGCGGCGCCGGCGCCTTTAAGAGCGTCATGTCTTTCTTGCCAGTCCTCACACCAACTTAACGCTGCACTTCTTTCCATTTCTCTTCCCCCCGCTGGCCGGCAGTATAAATAGCCTGTCCGCTCGCTTTCGCCGTCCTTCTCTTCCCCAACTCTTTCTACAACCAGCATGAGCGGCGGCGATACCAGCACGTGTTGGTGATTATCCTTCAAACAGCAGCAGGCTCCCACCCACCATGAGTGTGAGTCGCTCCGCTCCAACCTGCCCTCCTTGCCGCTGACTCCTTTCGTAGTTCCTGGACAGTGTCCTTTCATCCATCGGCGGCGGCCAGCCGTCGCAACCGCGCCCTTCTGCCCCTTCTCAAGCCCCCGCCACAAAGCCGACCCAGAGTCCACGTGTCGGCGGCTCGAGCAACGGTGTGGGCCCCACCTCGCAGGCGCCCAAGCGCAAAGCCGAAGGCGAGCAAGACTCACTGCGGGCCAAGACCGTACGCAGAGAACTAGATGCAGCCGCTGTCCGATCCAACCCGGCCCCTAAGCCTGGCCCGGCTTCTCCGCTCGTGAAGCAGGCGACCGCCTCCAGCGCTAGCTCAATCCCCTATCGTGGTACCGCTCAGTCATCGACCACCACGAACCCGGCACGCAAACCCGCCACCGTGGCTACAACGATAGCCAAGTCAGGCACCCCCACCACCACCACGTCGAAGCTCGCCGCCAAGCCCACGGTGAAGCCTTCAGTCGCCCCGGTTGCCAAGACGCCCACTGCACCCCAGCCTAAGAAGGGCTCGTTTGCAGAGATCATGGCCCGCGCAAAGGCGGCACAAACCCAGCAACCGGTCGGCACCATCAAACACAAACCAGTGGAAAAGAAATTGTCCAAAAAGGAGAAGCTGGCACAGGAGGCGGACGCGAAGACCAAGCAGGCTGTCCCTCGGAACGGAAAGCCTGGAGTTGCACCAATCGGACAGAAGGGCCAATCCAAGGCTGCGGAGCCACCAGGTTCCAAGCCTGGTGTGCCTGCTAAGGAGAAGAGGAAGCCTGTCGATCTTGGATATTCGGGAACGATGCGCCCCTCCGCGAAAGAGCCGACTTATCAAGGTACGATGAAGAGCGGCGGTTCACGCAAGCCTGGCCAAGACAGAGCCAGCAGCTACGACCGGAGCCGGAGTACCTCACTTTCCGCAAGACCTCCGCCATCTCGCTACCGGTATGCCGAGGACGAAGAGGACGACGAAGAAGAGGACTACGAGTCAGAGTCAGATATGGAAGCTGGCATGTTCGACGTGGACCGAGAAGAAATGGAAAGTCTACGTGTTGCACGAAGGGAAGATGAGTTAGCCTTGAAGGAGGAAGAAGAGCATAGGCGGAGGAAGTTACTCGCAAAGAAGAGGTACTAGCGGCTCGAGCTTTGGATGGATGGGCTCTCATTGGCAGGCACAGGCGCAACTCGGCCGGCTTTCGGACTATGCTTTAGAGCATTGCATTGGGATCAGTAGACTTTATTGCGGTTATAGCGTGGCGTTTCGACTAGTCTTACGGCACGATTCACGAAGGACACCCATAGGTAGTTATTTGTAGAGAGGAGTAATTACAGCGCTCATGGAGCGGTTACCGATCTCCACCCTAGTCCTGGTATCCACTTGGGATTATTATATCTGCTTTGCGTGCAACACAGCTCCACAAGTAGCCCGCTGAACAATCTCGATGGCTATATAGGAGTTGAACAAAGCCCATTGCGGCCTTGATTAATCACTCGAATTGACTTCTGTCCGGTCCATGTTTAGCATCAACTGTAAGTTTGAACACAACTAAATCTACCAAACCTTGAAGTTGGCAGGATAAGCATTAGAATTGTTCCATTTAAGCAAGTCAAGGTCTCCGCTTTAGCTCCCAAGGGTACCGCTGTGCTACCTGCGGTTCCATATACATGACTAGTGATATTTAAGGATCGCAATGCAGCCAACAGCTGTTAAAGACGGGATGTAAGCTAACTTGCAGGGTTATATCCGACACAAGCACAAGCGACGTTCTCCTGAAGGATTCAGGTGAAAGAGGTTCGGGCGCTACTGGTGCTTCCCCACAAGCTACCCCACAAAAGGGCATCTGCCTCGGCATGCGGATAAGGCGATCAACTCCCGAGCAGCATAAGCCGCAAGGACGCAGACGCGGCAACGATGCTCTCGCAACCACGCAGCAACCATGGCCGGGGCAGTCCGCCAACCCATCGACGTCGGCTCACTCGAGCGCTACATCGGGGCCCACGTGCCCGCGATCAAAGTCCCCGTTGACGTCAAGCAGGTGCGTGCTCTCGGGCGCGGCGCGGACAGCAGGAAGCACAGCGGGCACGCACGCAGCCCAGCACAACAGAGCTGACTGACGCCGCGCGCTCGCAGTTTGGCTACGGCCAGTCCAACCCCACGTACCAGCTGACGGACCAAGGTGGCCGCCGCTACGTCTTGCGCAAGAAGCCGCCGGGGCGTCTGCTCTCTAAGACGGCGCACAAGGTCGACCGCGAGTACCGCATCATCCACGCGCTAGCCGGCACCGATGTCCCTGTGCCTAAGACGTATTGCCTGTGTGAGGATGACGCCGTCATTGGCACCGCATTCTACATCATGGAGTTCCTAGATGGCAGGATATTCGAGGACCCCGCCCTGCCGGGCGTCTCGCCCGAGGAGCGCTCCGCTTTGTAAGGCGTTGCTGGCTGCTGCTTCCCGAATGCGGTTTTCGTTGCTGATACTGTCAAAGGTGGCATGATGCTATTCGTACACTGGCAAAGTTTCACAGTGTCGAGCCCGCTTCCGTGAATATGCAGTCCTTCGGCAAACCTGCCGGATTCTACAACCGCCAGTTGGCTACCTTTCAGACTATCTCGGATGCGCAGGCCAAGACTGTCGATGTCGAGACTAAGCAGGCCGTCGGCAAGATTCCGCATTACGACGATATCGTGGCGTTCTTCAAGGACCCTGCTACGCAGCCCAAAGATCGGAGCGGGTTCGTGCATGGCGACTACAAGATTGACAATGTAGTTTTTCACAAGACGGAGCCTAGGGTTATTGGGATCTTGGAGTAAGTACGCCCCTTCATAGCCGGTAATCAGTTACCGCAGCGAGCCTGCTTGACGTGTAAATGTGTTAATTGCTGTAACTGACGGCGTTAAGTTGGGAGATGTCCACGATAGGCCATCCTCTCTCCGACCTCGCCAATCTTCTCACCCCCTACGTCACTGCGAAATCAGGAATAGTTCTGGGCAGCAACCGCTCAAGCAAGGCATTTCGGCCCGGTGAGACGCCAGGGCTGCCGACGCAGGCACAGCTCGTATCGTGGTATTGGGAGGCCGCAGGCTGGAATCCAGCTCCCGATCTTACGTGGGGCGAAGCATTTGGCATCTATCGCAATGCCATCATCATGCAGGGCATCGCGGCGCGGTACGCGTTAAGACAAGCCAGCAGTGCAAATGCAAAGCATTACGCGGTGCAGATGCCGCTCATGGGTGAACTGGCGTGGAGTTTGGTGGAGGAGGTGAAGAAGAAGCATCAAAAGGCCAAACTATAGACCATCATGCCTTTAATTGTAGTGGGGTCGAGAATAAGATCAGATCAAGCAGGAACAACGGGGACCGGATGAGGTATCGCTTCATTTGCATTGACTTGCTTTTTTGCGCTGCCGTCTACGCAGCTGCCCGTTCCACTAACGCCTAGCGCTCTTTTCCTTTACATAGCTTGCCTTTTCCTGACAATCGATGCGGTGCGTTCGGCTGGCGCCTTTCGGGCCTGACGTGACAGGCAGGGATGGTCCGCTGCGCGCGATCGGTCATGTCGGTGGTATCGTAAAATAATTGTCCATGAGCTGGAACCTCTACCGCCTGTCGTCGCCACCGATGCGCTCAAGAGCCTATAGAATCGCAAGCCTACGTGTTAGCCAATCGGGCCCTAAACAAAAAGCGTAGAATAGCCAGGGCAGACGCACCTCGAGCATGACGACGGAGTTGCCGCGGATGACGACCATTCCAAGGCGGACCTTCTCGCCGCCGGCCTTCTCCTCGACGGCCTCGTCGAGAACAATGTTCAGGAAGACCTAGTGGGACCATGCTCGTCAGTACAGGGCGCGGCGGGGCGGAGCGAGGACGTGCTTCTCGTGGCCGGAGCTCACGGGGGCGTGGGAGCGGCGGGACAACGTACATCGTAACCGCGGAGCACGCCGATGACCTTGCGGCTGCCGTTCAACTGGACGAAGAGGCGCTTGTCAAGGTACTGGGGCGCGTGTCAGCCAGCGTTCTTCAAGGATTGGCAGAAAAGCGAGGCCGGTGAGAGGACCGGCGCGACGGGGGCAATACCTTCTTGAGCTCGGGCTGAGCTTGAGGCATGTTGGCTGTTGATGTTAAGTGGTACCTTCGGTGAGGTCAAATTGCGATGGAGCTGGGACGCAAGTTCGCGATGCGCGGTGCTGCGCTGGGGCGGTGAGCGAGAGTTCTGCCGCGACGTGCGTCGTGGCTGCCCTTGGACTTTCGACAGCTTCCAATCACGCCTCGCAGCAGCCATCCGCACTTCAGCACCATGAGAAAGTCTTTTGGCTCGCGCGGGCGCGTTCCCCGCAAGGTCGGCCAGGACGACGACGACGAGAGCGGCGCGGCGAGCTCTGGTGGCGACCACGCCCACGCACCAGGTTAGTCTTCGCCCTTTGTTTGGTATTATAGCGCCCGATTCTGACGCTCAAGCAGACCGCTGATGTTGCGCAAACAGAACCCGTGGTCAAACGACCTGCTTCCAAGACCAAGAAGCGCTCGTCCTTGCGCCTGTCGTTCGGCCCCGCCGAGAGCGGCGCCGACAGCGAAGGCGATGGCGGCGCCGTCTTCACGCCCAAGAAATCGAACCTCAGCAGGATAGCTACGCAGCGCAATGCCGAGCGCAAGGGCTTCCGCGCGTCGTTGTCGGCCGACCAGATTCCCTCGCGGAGAGACGCCACGGACGATGAACGGCCGAGCTATAGCAAGGACTATCTGGACGAGTTGCGCAATTCGACGCCGTCGACCCCAAAAGAGGAATATCAAAAAGGCAATGGCAAGGACGTAGACACCATGATTAAAGACCTCGACATCGCCTCCAAATTCGGCCCTCTGGCAACCCTCAGCGCATCCACCACCCCATCCGCCATCCCCACTGACGCCGAGATCCGCGAAAAGAAAGAGCGTCGCGCACGCCTCGCCCAGCAGCAGCAACAGCGGAACCCAGACTTTATGTCACTGGACGCCTCGGACGACGACGGCGCCGCTGCCGCCTCAGACGGTTACGACAGCGACGACCTCGACCGCCCGCGCGACTCCGCCCTCCGCAGCAGCGGCATCAAAGAAAAGTACGCAGAAACGCGCCTAGTGCCCGACGACGAGGACATAGCAGAAGGCTTCGACGAGTTCGTATCAGACGGGCGGATCGCGCTCGGCCGGGCCGCAGAGCGCGAAGCCGCGCGGCGCCGGCGTGCCGAAATGGCCAGCATGATCGCGGACGCCGAGGGCGGCGACGGCACACCGGCCGGCACGGCGGCCAACAACGACGACGACGACGACTCCGAGGCCGAGCGCAATGCGGCGTACGAGGCGGCGCAGACGCGTGCAGGCACGTACGCGGCGCGCGACCGCGCGACGAATGTGGAGGAGGATCCGGCGCGCCCGCGCACGCCGCCGCGCATTGCGCCGCTGCCGGAGCTGGGGGGCGTGGTGGCGCGGCTGCGGGGGGCGGTGCGCGCGGCTGAGGAGGCGAGGGCGGCCAAGGCGCGCAGGGTCGAGGAGCTGGTGCGCGAGCGCAAGGATATCGTTGCCCAGGAGGAGTGGATCCAGAAGGAACTACGGGAGGCGGGCGAAAGGTATGAGCGGTTGAGGGCGGAGGCGGGTGGGGCGGGCGGGGCGGCCACGCCGGTGGATGCGAATGGTGTTGGGGGTAGAGGCGGGACTACGCCTAGGGGCCTGGATAGCTTGGGCGCCAGTCCTGCTGTTAGTGTTGGTGTTGGGGGGAGTGAGGGTGAAGGTGAAGGTGAGGGGGAGAGCAAGAGCGAGGCGGAGATGGAGGGTGACGACTACGGCGACGAGGACGAAGACATGGCGGACGCGAGGCCGGGGCTTGGTGCTAGAGCTGGGCTGGGAGCGTGAGGCACAGCGCAGCGCAGCACAGCACAGCACAGCACAACATGGCGGTCATCTTCATCCATGCTGTGTAGGCGGCTTTATGGACAGAGTGATATGTATACATCTCTCTCTCTAAGTAGCACGGCTTAAGCGGCGTTTTATCGCGTCTGACTCCTTTTCTGTAGCGTGGGCTGTTTGAATTGTTGATTCGTTATTCTTTTATACTGGTGAATCCCATTACGGGTTGTGAATTCGCGATCCCCCTCCCCTGCTAGCGCCGTTAGAGCCTATGCTTACTTGTGATAATTGTATGGAGTAGAAGAAGAGAACCAGTTATGATACATAGAATCTATGTGTGCTCTAAAACCATTTCATGCATATCCGGGACTCAGGCTAGGAACTAGGCAAGGTGTACGTACTCTGTAGGGACTGCTTATGTTGTCTCCTGTCTTGCTAAGCTGTGGATCTCGGTTCCCGGTGAAAGACGTTATATAAGCAGGAAAGGCGTCTTGGCAGCCTGTAAGACAGTGGCGCCGGCGACATGCGAAGGGATGCTTGTGAATGGTTGGTTGTGTGAACTGGGATGTGTGTGATGTGGAGAAATGGTGTTGTTCGTGTGTGTGTATGTATGTATGTTTGTATGTCCATGCCAGGCATCATCGTGCTTGTAACTGATATCTTTTGTGTGTGTGTATATATATACATCGAACGCCCACGCCAGCTTCTCTCTATCTCTCACTCACTTCTCACGTCTTACATCCTCCGTCCCACCCCCTCATACCCCTATCATACACCACCACCACCACCACCACCAACATCAACCCAAAAAAGCCCCACAGTCCAAGCAGCCAACCTACTCTACGCACCAGCATTCAGCACGTCGTCGAGCGTAATGTCGTCCCGGTTGCCGACAGCGCCGGCGTGCTTCCAGAACTTGCTCAGGTGCCGCGTCCCGCTGTCGCAGATGAGGGTGACGAGGCGGTGGCCCGGCCCCATTTGGAGCGCGACTTTGGTTATGGCAACCACTGTTGGGGGGTGGGGTTAGTTTTTGGGTGGGGTTGGGTTTGGTGGATGGGGGAGGAGAAGGAGGGGGAAGGGAAAGGGAACCCACTATTACACGCGGTGCTGCTCCCAGCAAAAATGCCATCCTTCTCGACCAGCCACCTCGCCATAGCCATAGCCTGCTCATCCGACACCCTAACCGCATCGTCGACGAGCTCGCGCCCAGCCTCAAAGTTCGCAGTCACGCGGTTGACGCCGATGCCCTCGACAATCGTGTCGACCTGGTGACGGCGGCGCGTGCCCTCGCGCTCCTTGGGATCGAACATGACGCCGAACTTGACGCGGTTAGTGAGGCCAGAGCCGGGGGGGTCGGCGAGCACGACGCGCAGGCGCGGCAGGCGCGGCTTCAAGAACAGCGCGACACCGGCGATGGTGCCGCCAGTGCCGGCGCCCGTGACGAAGGCGTCGAGCCGGCCGCCCGTCTGCGCGAAGATCTCCGGCCCCGTGCCCGTGTAGTGCGCTTGCCAGTTGGCGGCGGTTTCGAACTGGTCGGCGAAGAGGCCGCGCCCGCGCCGCGTCCGGTCCGCCGTGTGCTCTTCGGCGCGCGCGCGCGCCTTGTTGACGAACTGGTTGGCGTCGACGATGGGGGCGGGGCGCAGGCGCTCGACTTCCGCGCCGAGCTTCTCGAGTAGATCGCTTTTTTCCTGCGCCTGGTCGTCGGGCATGCAGATGTGGGCGAGGTAGCCGCGCGCGCGGCAGATGGCGGCGAGTGAGATGCCCGTGCTGCCCACCGTGCCCTCGTACACCATGTCGCCCGAGTGCGGCGTCAGCAGGCCCTCGGCCTCCGCCTGCGTGATGATGCTCAGCGCGACGCGGTCTTTGGGGCTGTTGCCCGCGCCGTTGAGGAACTCGGCTTTGGCCAGGATCTCGCACCCCGTCGCTTCGGACAGGGATTTTATTCGGATCAGCGGCGTGTTGCCGATGCAGCCTTCGATGCCCTCGCGGATGTCGGGCGCGGGAAGTGGCGCCCCGCTGTGCGCCGTGTTGTCTTCGAGCTGGACTTTGGTGTAGAGGGTGCGCAGCGAGGCCAGAGACGACTGCCGGTCGATGGCTGCCGACGGCCGGCGCCGTGCTGCGCGGAATCGTCGCTCCAGGTCTGGGTAGACGTCTTTGTAGCCCAGCGTCAGTAGCACGCCGGCTAGGAAGGCGGCGGCGAGCCAGAGGCGCGTATGGTCTTGCTTGTCCATGTCTCTTTTCTTTTCTTTTCTTTTCCTTATAACTAGCTCGAGGCGCGCGCAAAGTGTGGCCGGCTCGGGCTCCAGGGCATTTTACGGGGGAGCGTGGCTGGCAGGCTCAATTACCTTTGGATGTAAAAGTGTGATGGATGGCCGACGGGAGCTTGGACGACGTTCCATGTCGTCGAGCGGGCAAAGGAACTCCACCAACGGCCATCTCTCTCCCCTCCCCCGACTTCCCCCCTCCAATGGACTCCCCCGTCGTCACGCAGCTGTTCCGACAGCTCTTCTCCCACCGAGCCAGCCATTGCCTGCGCCGGACCGCCATCCCCACACGCCGCGGGCTCGCGACAAAACGCACGTCGGGCGAGACGAAATGGCAGCAGCGCACCGATGCCTTCCCCGAGGAGCGCGAGGCCGAGTTCAACAAGTACCCGACGGTGACGGCCGAGCAGCTGCGCGGGCGGCGCGAGCGGCCACGACGGGTCAAGATGCTGCTGCGCGACTTCATCGAGGACAGCCTATACAACCCGCACTACGGCTACTTCAGCAAGCAGGTCGTCATCTTCCACCCGGGCGAGGCATTTGACTTTTGGGCGCTGCGCGACGAGCCCGAGTTCCACCGGCTGCTGGGCGAGCGCTACGAGGCGTTTGAGGACGAGCTGGACAAGACGGCCTTCAACGACAGCCGCCAGCTGTGGCACACGCCCACCGAGCTGTTCCGCCCTTACTACGGCCAGGCCATTGCCCGCTGCCTCGTCGACAACTACAAGCTGGCCCAGTACCCCTACCACGACCTGCTCATCTACGAAATGGGCGCCGGCAACGGCACCCTCATGCTCAACATCCTCGACTTCATCCGCGACGCCTACCCGGAGGTCTACGAGCGCACAAAGTTCCGCGTCATTGAGATCTCGACGTCGCTGGCCTCGCTGCAGACGCACCACCTGAAGCGCTCGGCCTCGGCGCGCGGCCACCTCGACCGCGTCGAGATCATCAACCGCTCCGTCTTCGACTGGGACCAGTACGTGTCATCGCCGTGCTTCTTCCTCGCGCTCGAGGTCTTTGACAACTTCGCCCACGACGCCGTGCGCTACGACCCCGTGTCCGAGGACGCGCTGCAAGCCAACGTCCTCATCGACGCGCACGGCGACTTCTTCGAGTTCTACTCGCGCGACCTCGACCCCGTCGCCGCGCGCTTCCTGCGCGTGCGCGACGCCGCCTGCGAACAGCCCTTCAACCACCCGCTGCGCGGCCCGCGCCTGCTCCGAAACCTGCGCGCCAGCCTCCCCTTTGCCCAGAACCTCTCCACCCCCGAATACATCCCTACCCGCCTCATGCAGTTCTTCGACGTCCTGCACACGTTCTTTCCCGCCCACAAGCTCGTCACCAGCGACTTCCACAGCTTGCCCGACACCATCCAGGGCGTCAACGCCCCCGTCGTCCAGACGCGCTATAAGCGGCGCACCGTGCCCGTGAGCACGCCTTTGGTACGTCGCAACCAACCCCATAATATCCTCCCATCCCTCTCTCCCCCTCCCACCTAAGCTAACTTTCCCCCAGGTCCAACAAGGCTACTTCGACATTCTCTTCCCCACCGACTTTTGCGTCATGGAAGACGTCTACCGCGCCATCACGGGCAAGCTGACGCGCGTCATGACGCACGAGGACTTTTTGCGCCGCTGGGCCTTTGTCGAGGACACGGAGGTGCGCAGCGGCGAGAACCCCATGCTGAGCTGGTATCGCAATGCCTCTGTTATGACGACTGTGTAGACGAAGAGCGGGGGAGGGAGGGGTAGGGGGTGGTGGTGGGGTGGTGGAAAGTGGGAAGTGGGAAGTGCTGAGGAGAGGGAGAGGAAGCGCTTGTAGTAAGCTATAAAACGGCCCGCTTGAGGAAGAGGCAGGCGACGCGGGGTGCGATAAAAGTGGTATAAACGTGAGAGAGAGAGAGAGAGAGAGAGGGAGGGAGGGAGAGGAAAAGATGGCGAGGCGTGCAGGGGAGTGTATAGGTATGGTTCCCTGTCACCATACCATGCAGACAGACAATATATACCTATAGTCAGTCAGGCAGGCAATGCCAGCGAAGTTACTGACATACATACCTAGGTAGGCGCAGCGTACGTACGCACGCAACAGGAGGAAAGGGAAATGAAATAAACAACCCCACTGCAGCAACCAAGCAACCAATCAGACCTAGGTAGGTAGTAAACAATCACTCCAACCAGTCACAGTCGCCACCCTGGGTCAACACTGCTTATGTGCTCGTGCTCGTGCTTGTGCTCGTGCTCATGCTTGCTGCTACATGGGTATCGTGATACTCGTACACGTACGTGTCTACATGCCTATGGCGTTGTTTGTCTTGTCTTGCCTCTTTCTCTCACCCTCTCTCGCTCTCTCGCTTTCGCTCTCGCTCGCTCGCCTGTCCTGCTGTCCTGCTGTCTGCCTCTAACTTTCTCTGCTTCTGCTTCTGCTCATGTCTTGCTCGCTTAAGCGCTCTCTACCGTGCTCTCTCGCCCACACTTCCCACCCCCCCACCCCAGCACACGCAACTCAACCAAACCGCTGAATCCTTGCCTCCAAATCCCGCACCCACTCCCCCACCACCCTCACATTCCCCGCAACCTTGTCCTCCCCCTCCCGCAGCTGCGTCTCCACCCCCTCCAACGCCCCCCGCCAAGCCCGCAACTCGTCGTCCATCTCCGCCTGCCGCTTCTCCAGCTCCTCGAGCGTCGCGCTCGCCGTCCCCGCCCCGACGTGGATCAGGCGCAGCGAGCGCAGCCGCTCCAGCACCAGCGGTAGCGACGGCGCCAGCGTCTCGATCGTGTGCAGCGTCCCGTACAGCGCGTTGATCTTGGCGACGCGCTCGGGGTCGTCGAGGTAGCTGGGCTGGTGTTGGTGCTGGCCTGGCGCGCCGGGCGAGCCGGGCTGTTGGCTGCTTTGTTGGCCGTGTGGGGGCGGGTGAAGCTGGTTCGGGTCTGCGCCGGGGGAGATGGCGCCGCCTTGGTGTTGTTGGTGTTGTTGTTGTTGTTGTTGTTGCTGCTGCTGCTGCTGCTGCTGCTGCTGCTGCTGCGCCATCATGTCGCCCGGCGCGCCCGGCGAGGGCAGCGGTCCCGTGGCTAGCGGACCCCCAGGCGAGATGGAGCTGCGCGAGCGCAGGTGCGCGAACCCAGGGGATATGGGGCCGGCGGGGCCGGCCTCGCCCGCGGCGGCCTTGGCCGCGCGCCGCAGCTCGTCGAGCCGCTCGGCCTCCTGCGTCAGCTTCTGCACGCGCCGCGTCGCCGAGTCCAGGCTGTTGCTCGACACGTCGGCGATGGTTGTCAGCTGGCGCTCGAGCGCGTCGAGGGCGTGCAGGATGCTGCGCGGAGGCGTGGCGGCCAGGTCCGGCATGTTGGTTGCGTTGAGGCCGAGGGCTTTTTCGAGCGACGCGAGGCGCGCGTCGAAGTCTGCGGTTTTGCTGAGCGCTTGCGCGGTTTCTTGCGAGAGGACGGCGGGGGCGGGCAGTGCGGCTGGGGCGGGCGGCGGTGGGGGTTGTTGCTGCTGCTGCGGCGGCGGGTGCTCGGCCTGCTGCTGTTGTTCTGCTCCCTCTTCTCCCTCCAACTGCTGCTGCTGCTGCTGTTGCTCTGGAGCGGGTGCAGCAGGACTGGGCGTATCAGTCTTTGCAAAGCGCTTCAGCGTGCGCTGGAACTGGGCCTCGGCGCCCTTGACGCCGCCCTGGCGCTGGACATAGACCTCATCGAGCATATCACTAAGCTTCGCAATGCCCTCAACAGGGTCTTCAGCAGCCTCCTCGTCGGCCGCTTCGCCCGCAGCCTTTTCGCGCTCGCGGCGCTGCCCGTACTCATGCTTGACCTCCTCGACCTCGCGGCGCAGGCGCGCCAGCTTGCGCTCGAGGCTCTCGTCCTCGTCGTCGCTGAAGTCGCCGAGTCCCACCTCGTCGTCGTCGTCCAAGCCGCTGCCGCGCCGCTTGCTGCGCGCCTGCGAGGTGCGGTACGAGCGGCGCTGGCGGCGTATGCGGTCTGAGAAGTCGACGCCGCGCGCGTCGACGCGCGAGGGGCGGAAGTGGCCACGGGCTTCGTCGACCGTCAGCCGGCGACGGTCGATGCCTGACGTGTCATCCTCGGACTGGTCGTCGTACGACGAGGCCTGCGACTCGCTGCGGGCCGTGGAGCTCTGCGAGGCTGGTCAGAAGGGAGAGGGCGCCTCTGCTGGGCCGAGGTGACGACGTACGGGCAGTGTGGTGTTCTCGGTGAGCTCGGGCGTCTCGTAGATGTCTGGGGCTTTGTCCTGGCGCAGCGTGTCAGTCGAGAAGCCAATTGGCTGGGGTGGGGCTTCATAAGGCACACACAATGTCGGGCAAGTCCTCGTACTTCTTTGCCTGCGCCATGCTTTGAGACATGGTGAGCGGTGTCGTGGGGGATGGGTTGTGGATCCGGAGGGACTTGATGGACGGGGGTTTGTCGTGTTTTGGCCGGCGTTGATGCGCCGCGTTCCCCAGACCCTGCGGCCCGTGCCCGACTGCCAGCGCGACTTCATTGTCTTGGACAGAGTATTTGTAGGTTGACTGTGTACATGGGTAGGAAGTTGAACAGTTGAACGCTCATATTACCGACTAACCAAACACACTTTCATCATCATCGTTATCACAAGCAACAGTAGCACGAACAAGGGCATCATATCTTCAATCATTGCCGCATTGCGGCGCCGTCAGCTCACGTATGTAGCAGACATTTCTTTTTTGCACACACACACAAACACATATGGGGCGCGAAACCGCACGTCATTGCTCAGCGCAACAAAAACCCCTCCAACTATGATGTCGACAATTACAAGAGTCCCATGTCGCTTTCGGGCCTTTCCATTGTTGCGGCTGGCCGCTCTTCCTTTGAGACCGAGTACAAAAAGAGATATCTATGTCTAAAAGTATGCAAGCCGTCCAAGCGATGCCTTGACTTTGTCGTGACAATCTCAGAGCTCCCTAGTATTGCGTTGTCTTGTCTACTATCGACGAGGGCTTCTTTCTACAGTGCGGGTCAGCAATGAATCATCATCGAGACAAAGACGAGCAATCTGAAGCAATCTGAAGCTTGGCAAACAGAGCGGGCGTGGGATGATATAATTCCTCTTCGTTTGACAATGTCTTGGCTGTGCCGTGTTACGGGCTTCCGGGCAAGAGAGGGAGTGGCACCAGTGGGACTCGGCTCGCTTTCTCCGCGGTGCAAAAGGTGCAACTCTCTCTCTCGACTCGGCGATGCGGAGAGCGTCAGGGGGGAGAGTTTAGTGATGGAAGGAAGGGGTTGAGGTTGAAATAAGTGGCCGGACGCTCGCTTGGGACAAGCCCCGAAAAGAACCAGCGGACGAGAACAGCGGCAGAACACCGCCGGCAGGAGCACATCGCCTCTGTCCCCCAAGAAATGAATCGCTTTCATGCGGCACCCATCCTGTTCATGCCACTGCAATTCTTCCCATGTCACTCTTTAGTGCCAATCGGTTCATCCCCAACATTGGTCGATTCGCTCATATCACGAGTTCCTACCGTGCCTTGAGGAACATGTTCTCCACCGAGACCACCACCGAAGGCGATGCCGCCGATCCGCACGCCTATCTCCTCAATACCTCGCATGACCTGCTCGAGGACCATCTGGCTGCTAAGGAGTCGGAGCTCGACTTTACTTTGAAGGCGTCCCACTCGGTTCCCTTCTCTGCTTTCGACCATGGCGGCCTGTACGACCGATACGATGAATCAGGACCATCTTCCGTGCAGCCGGGCGATAATAATGACTTTTCCGAGCCGGGCGGAAGCCACATGAGTTTGAAAGATGATGTCGACGAGAGCCTTCCTATTTTGGATGCCTCTCCTGGACAGGCCGACGTTGCCATGACCGACGCCACTGAATTACGTGGCTCCGAGCAGCATCTCGTGAGCGCCAAAACCGAAGACAACGATGAACCACCCATGGCCACAGATGAGTTTGAAAAGTCCAATGAACCATCTTTTCACCATGATTCGTCCCATTTGACCGCAGTTGGTGGTCATGTGGAAGAAGGCTTTAAGGTGCACCAACCTCCTCAGCCGCCTCATCGAGGCCGTGGCCGTCCACGTAAAATTTCCATCAACGGGGACGTTCGCAAGTCCTCTGAATCATCTACCAAACCAGACTCACCAGGAATTACAGCACGTCCGTTAAACTATAGTCCGCCAGGTAAGAGCCAGCCGGCATTCAAAGCTAAATCTTCTATCCCCGCACTTATTCCCGTTTTGGAGTTTGCGCGGCAATGTATTTTGGCTGCTCAGTCGTCAAGATTGAATCCTTTCGCGCTTCATCCTGGCGAATACGAGCTTTTGAGGGATCACATTACCCATTCCCAGGTCACAGTCTACCTCAACATCCGCAATGCCATCCTCCGCTTGTGGACAAGAACCCCCTTGGTCGCCGTCACAAAAGCGGAAGCGGCAGGCTGCGCAAAGGACGCCCGGTATTTCAACATGGCACAGATCGCTTACAAGTGGCTTGTACGAAATGGATACATAAATTTTGGCTGTGTAGAGCTTCAGAGCACAGCAGGGCCCATACCTCGAGCCAAGGCCAAGGGCAGGAGACGAACTATCGTTGTCGTAGGAGCTGGGATGTCCGGGTTAGGCTGCGCGAGGCAGCTAGAAGGCTTGATTGCACAGCTTGGGGAACAGTGGTCGAACAACGGAGAGCGTCCGCCGCGGGTGATTGTACTTGAGGGACGCAGGAGGATTGGGGGCCGAGTTTATTCTCATCCCTTGAAGAACCAAGCCGAAGCCACTTTGCCTTCTGGCCTTCGGAGTACGGCTGAGATGGGCGCACAAGTAGTCACCGGGTACGAGCACGGCAACCCCTTGAATGCCATCATTCGCGGCCAACTTGCGCTCCACTATCACGCACTTAAAGACGACACGATCCTTTACGACCATGACGGGACGGCGATTGAACGTGAGGGACAGGACATGCTAGTCGAAAAGCTCTATAACGACATACTAGAGCGCGCCAGTCACTACAGGAACAAGCCGACAAAATCGAAAACGGTCGAGGGTGATAGGCGTCTAATACAACTCGGCCGCGATCCCACTCACGAATCTGGAGACCTCATCTCTTCCCTTGAAGATGTTGGTGCATCAAAGCCAGTGGCCAGTGTCAACAAGCATAGCTCGAGGAGTGCCCATAATCCTAATGCTCTAATGGGGATGGAGAAGCTGGCGGGAAGAGCTTACACGCTCGCTGATGGCACTGGAGCCAACGTTTCGGCTGCCTCGGCAGCCAACAACATGGGCTGGGAACTCAAGTCCTCTGTACCTCCGTCATGCAACTTGAACTTGGATGCCGCAACGGAGGTGCCCTCGCATCCTACGTTGGGCGCAACCATGGATGAGGCTATCAGACAATATCAGGATATGATGCACATGACTCCAAAGGACATGCGGCTATTTAACTGGCATCACGCGAACATGGAGTACTCAAATGCTGCCAACGTGAACCAACTGAGCCTTGGTGGCTGGGACCAGGACATTGGAAACGAGTTTGAAGGCCAACACAGCCAGATTATCGGCGGCTACCAACAGCTCCCTCGCGGCCTATGGCAGTGTCCCACTAAGCTTGACGTCCGCTTCAACAGCCCAGTCAAGGCTGTTCGCGCAGTAAACGACTACCAGATCGTTGAATGTGAGAATGGTGATGTGATTGAGGCTGATGAGGTCGTGATGACAGCTCCGCTAGGTGTACTCAAGAAAAATCAAATCGCGTTTGACCCTCCCTTGCCGGAATGGAAGACGGGACCGATAGAGCGTCTTGGATTTGGTTTGCTGAACAAGGTAGGTCTAATTTATCGACAGCCTGGGTATGGTGTTCTCGCTGGCTCACGAAGTGGCAGGTGATACTCGTCTATGACAGCCCATTCTGGGAGTCTGATCGTGACATGTTCGGTACGCTGAACGAAGCCGAAATACATGACAGCATGGAACAGAAAGACTACGAATTACGAAGAGGGCGTTTCTGGCTGTTCTGGAACTGTCTGAAGACTAGTGGAAGGCCGACGCTAGTCGCTCTTATGGCCGGCAATGCTGCTCACGACACCGAAGTTGCTGACAACAACGATTTGATTCACGAAGTCACTGAACGGTTGAAGAAGATGTTCGCCCCGGCCACCGTTCCATTGCCCTCGGAAGTGATTATCACACGATGGAAGAAAGATCCCTTTGCTTGTGGAAGCTACTCGTACATGGGTCCGCAAGCGCAAGCCGGCGACTACAACGCCATGGCGAAACCCATCGGCACACTGCACTTTGCAGGCGAAGCGACCTGCGGCACCCACCCTGCCACAGTACACGGGGCATACTTATCCGGGCTGCGAGCGGCCTCCGAGGTCGTTGAGTCAATGCTCGGCGCAATCGAAGTGCCGCACCCACTCGTGGCGCCCAAAACCAAGCCGGAAGCAGCAACAGCAGCAGCAACAGCCACGCCCACGGGGACAAAGCGGCCGCGCTCCGAGCCCGGCTCGCCCAACTCGCGCAACGTGCGCCAGATGCGCAACGAAGACATCGAAGCCTCGATCATCAGCGCGATCCTGGAGCAGATCGGCCAACGCCCGCTCAAGCCCGAGCGCACGGGCAACAATCCCTACTTGTTGTACACGCGCGACCACTGGCACGCGATCAAAGCCGAGTGCGACGCGCAGCGGCGGGCGGCGACCGGCGACGCGGCGGCCAAGGCGTCCAAGGACTCGATCCGCGCCGTTATCGGCGCGAAGTGGCGGGGCGCGGGCGAGGAGGTGCAGCGGCCGTATGTAGAGGAGGCGGGGCGCGCCAAGGAGGCTAGTAAGGAGGCCAGCAGGACGTGGAAGGCGGGTGTTGAGGCTTGGGATCGCGAGGCTGCGCGTATTAGGAGGGAGGTTTTGCGGAGTAGTTGTTTGGGGGAGGAGGACGTCGCGTTTGGGAAGACGGCGATTGAGAGTGGGGGGAGTAGAAGGGAGAGGAGGGGGGTTTGATGGGGGGAGGGGTGGGGGAAGGGGGGGAGGGGGTTCAAGGGCGGGTAAGCGTTTGAAAGGGCGGAACGAGTGGCCGAGAAGGAGGACGTTTGTTGCATGGCGTTCGCTGTGCGTTTCTTTTTAGCTGTTTTTGGCATTGTTATGGCTGGGGAGTCAGTCTTTGATGGCGGCATGGCGGGTTCGCTACATATTGTACGCGTCTGTCTCTTTCTGGTGGCTTAATATGCGCGTGTGGGGGATGCTAATGTCCTGTCTTGTCATAATAGCATGGAATGATTGCTTGTGCTGAGGGCTTTGTTGTGGGCGTGTTGTGGTTGTGTTGTGGAGTTGTGTTGGAGGAGTCGGGTAGGATGCTGTACGGGTGTTTGCACAGCTTGTGCGTCGATGTGGAGGGATGGCTTTATAATCTTGTGGCGCGACAAAGGAAGGACTCGCTTTTGATTTTGAGAAGGCCCTGAATAATTTACCCACCCCTTAACTATATGTTAAATAAAATCTATAGTATCTATAGAGTACTCCTTAGGTAATTAGAATAGACTATTACCCTACGACTAGTCAGTACTATATACTTACATAAAAGTAAGAGTATCTACGATGGTATAGAGGGAAGAAAAAAAAATTAAAAAATTAAAAAAATAAATCGAAGGGTATAAAGGTACTTGTAAGGGTATAGAGATGTAAAATTTCAAAGAGTAGGAAACACATTATATAATTTTGTAGATGCTATCACGTAGGGTAGGCAAAACTTTTAAAGGGTGTGTGGGTAAATTATCCGGTGCCTTTGAGAAAGAACAGTTTAACTTACTTTAACTTAAGTTTGCCTATATGCTACGACGCGATGCTTTGTGTTGGTCACCTCCACAACCACCTGAGGATAGCGGAGAGGAAGGGCGAGTAGTGAGTAGGGCGGGAGCGGTGTAGGAGTGTGGACAGCTAACGTGGAATGCACCACTGGGGTCTGTCTTCACTTGCATAAAGCAAGCATAAATCCTTATCTGGCTCTTTTATAGCCGTGCCTTCAGTGAAGCTTCCCCATTCACCTATCGGGCAAGAGCGACCATTCACTGACCGTGGTCTCAGCTCTCTTACGAACCCATAATCTCAGTCCAACTCAGCCCACAACCACCACGCACGACATCAGCTCGGCCCATGAGCCCACTCGGGCCACCACTGCAGCTCGTCAACAAGACTTCAGCTATCTCACGTCTTCACTCAAGCGAACACCTCCGGACAACCAGGCAGCCAAGCCAGTCGCATGCACAGGCAGTGAAGCCTCCCCATTTACCGAGCAGGCAGCCACGAGCACCTACAGACTGCACTGCACGTTCTCAGCGCCTGCCAGCCTCTCTCACTAAGAACCACACACGGCTTCAGCTCCGCCCATACCTAACCTGCCCAATTCTGTCGTTGCAGCTCGCCAACCCCGGCCTCTCAGCTTCCCATGCAAGACAAGCGCCGCCGCACCGCGACCTCCACTCTTGGCCATGCGGACCCATCCCTGCGTCGATGCTGCGAGCACGCGGCGGACGGCTTCCGCTTCGGGCACGCGCGCTGATGCGCGCTGCTCCTTCAGGTTAGGCCGCGCGAGCAGGGTGGCCAAGTCCGTGAGGCCTTCTGTCGCTGCCACGGATGCTAATTCCTACCGTGCCGACCGAGCTGGCACTGATGATGGCTACAGCACTTCGCATTTCTTGCCTCGCGGGCTGAGCTGGGAGACTTATGCGCCGGAGCTTAGTTCTTCGGGCTTGTATCGGTATGTTCTTGCTCTCTTAATGTCACTTCCTCTCTAATTCTGCGCCCTCTGCCAACGCTACAACGCCGATAACATCTCACTTTTAGGTCTTCCCTCTTTTCATCACCACAACGCCGTCGCCGCCGTTGTTACCAGCAACCGCACCTTCGGCCTTCCCAACCCCATCATGCGGTCCATTCTTCTACTCCAAGCGTCTCAGCTTTCGCCGCCTTGCGCGCGTTAGCGAAACCCACACGCTACTCCTTCGTGCCGCCCCCCCTTGTAAATCCTAACGACGGCACCCCCGGGCTGCTGCGCATTTTGTGGCTATATGAGAATCAACGTCGCCTTGGTACTCCAGGCGATGAAGTAATCCAAACCGTCACAGCATACGAGCCATACATAGAGTACTCGGTCGAAGAGCTGCGCCTCGTGGATTATACGCAAGGAAGGAAAAAGGTGATGTGTGGAGATGGATGATGTAGTACGTACAGGGCCCCGGTTAGGTGGATAAGTTAAGCATGGAGCTTATATAGGTCTAGGGAGTTGGGGCTTATTTGAGGAGAGAACCCCAACAGGTCCAATTGGCAACCGAAGTGGGTAGGCGGCTGGCTCCATTGCGTTAGGCTCACAGGGAAGGGTTAGAAGGGATGAAGCCATCTTTTTGTGGGGCGTTGCTAGAATGAAGGTATATAAGCCAAGCCAATAAAATAGAATCGTAAGATATTCTCTCGTTGACGACACCACCCATATTGATACGTGAAATGTTGTACTGGCTGTGAATTTTGGAGGTTACAAGATATAGTGTTGAAAACTAAAAATCAAAACGCAGGCCTTTTCCATGGGATTGGTCTTAAGGGTTTAGGAAGATGGTTTAATTATTAGTGAAATTAGAGGGATAGATCAAGAAGACTTAATGCCATTGTAACAGCAAATATAATCTAATCTCTTTAGCGTTGACTGAATGAAAAGCTCGTCTCTCTACAAAGGCAAAAGCATGCAAATGGCTAATCAAAATCTAGCCGGATATACCGATGGAACTTCTCTTAACCGTCGGAAGTTGCTAACCAACTCGAACATTATATCCGGGGTTGACTGCATGAAACTGTAACATTTAAGAAATACGACACTTTGTCAAGGTCCGAATTGAAGTGGCAACTCAGGCGATCCGCCACTGATAGTAGCCAAGGAAATAGTCGGAAACAAGGAGAGAGGCAAAAGAGAAGGTGTACAGAGATTGGTTTCTCGCCTCCAAAAGATTTGGAAAAAACCAAGGCGAACGCCTCACTACCAAGTCAAATGATCGAGGTCTCTTGACAACGCGGTAGCACAAAGGCGCGGCGGTGGATCTGATCTCACTCGCATAGCGTCATCAAGTGACAACGTACTCTAGCTGAAGAAGCCCGCAGCTATCACAAAAATCTCGCGAGGGCGAAAAAAAAGTGCCGTTTGCGGGCTCCGGTCAGTGAGGACCAAATGAGCTCATAGAGCCAAGATGGCGCGTTCCTGCTGCCTTGACGGGTGCAGGTCGTAGATGAATGGTGTGCCGTCGAGCAGGTGGCGACCTTACCTAAGAACAATGCCCAACGGACATTTATCTTTGGGCTCGAGGCAAGGATCGTAGCGGGTTTGCCCGTTTGCCCCCCACCAAGGCGTTCCTGTTGGCGTTTCGATAGGGACTTGGCACGAGGGTGTGCATGTTAGGGTTGAGTTTTTGTGGTGGCTCGCCGCTCTTTTGCGGGCGGAGGACCGGTGCGCGCAAAGAGAAGTGACGGCGAGAGAGCGGGCTGGCACCTTCTAAAGACAGCAAGCGAGGCTTCGGCTCTGCCGGTGGTGAATGGTGTTGTGGATGGATGGATGGGTGGATGGCTGGCACGTACATGAGCTGAAAAAAGAAAATAAACAGAGGCAGCGCAGGGTGGGAGTGCGGGTCGATACAGCGAGGTTCTTTTCTTAGAGCGAGCATCACGAGGCGAGATGCAGTCATGGTGGCAGACTGCAGGCCCGGCAGGGATGTATGGGGGCGGGAAGGCGCAGGTTGACTCAGCACTGATCATATCACATGTCCCCCCTGTTGTATGTGGCAATTCTCCGATCTGGGTCTTGAAGATTAATGACATGGCCAGGCATAGCGGGTGGCTTGCAGGGGGGGGTTAAGACGGCACGGTTCATGGCTCTCCCGTTGTCGCTTGCGGCATATTGAGCTTTCCTCATCCGGCAGCCAGAAGTTCCTCTCGGAAAGACGCCGCATGTTTCCGGCATTTGACGCTCGGGAATAGGTGAAGGGTTATTCCCCGAACTGTGTTATTCCCAGCCATTCCCGCTGGACGTGATTGTGTAATGCTGGTGGTGGTTGAGAGACATGTCTCGGCAAAAGCATTAAGCGACGCAACACGACCTTCTGTACCTCTCTCCCCTAGACTTCTCCACCCCGGGCGTGGGGGTTCCAAACACTGGTGCAACCACACCCTAACCCAGCATCGGCTGTCGTCATCCTTGCAGGGCTGCCAGGAACTCCCTCGTACCTGAAGCATCGCCGTAGCTTCGTATCACGGCCGCTCAACCTGCACACGCACATACACGCCTCTCGCTGTTGATGACAGCAGGAAATCAGATGATGAGGGCTTCTGTTTCCAATCGCGGTCTGGCCAAGCCAGCTCAGCCCGCGCCTAATACACCCTTCGGCACCCCCACGCTAGTGTTGTAGCTACCCCAGGAGCCGTTGAGTCGGGCCCATGTACCAATCACGCCTCTGCACTCAATTCGAACCACCGTGTTTATCCCGCGCTTCAAACACCGCTTGTTTAGCTTCCCGATTGGCTCTGGATTCCAACGGGCGTCTGCTACTTCACACACCTTTTACTTACTGAGTGTCAGCTGGACCCCCACGACTGTCGCTCAGCTTGCCGAGCGTTGGCTTATCATAGCCAACTTATATAAGACTGCCTTCTCCGTGTAGTATTCGGTCCGTGCCAAACGCTTAAATCATCTTCAAGTCGTGACTATTTTTCTAATCAGGAGACGCGCCTTCCGTCCGAGCATCTACTACACCATGTCACCCCACAACGACACCCCTTCCTCCAACGGGAACTACAATCCTAGCAACAACCGCGCGACTAACGGGGCGTCCCACAATGGCATGGCCAACTCAAGCCACCGCGCTTTGACGCCGGGCGTCTACGTCCCCATCGTCGCCTTCTTCGACCCAGAGACCGAAGACCTCGACCTTGCCACCACGGCCTCCCATGCCGTGCGCCTAGCCGAAGCCGGCGTGACGGGCATCACGACGCAGGGCAGTAACGGGGAAGCAGTGCACCTGTCACACGAGGAGCGGGACCTCATCACATCGACGACGCGGCGGGCGCTCGACGCCGCCGGCTTCTCCAGCATGCCGCTCATGGTGGGGTGCGGCGCGCAGTCGACGCGCGAGAGCATCGCCCTCTGCCGCGCGGCAGCGGCTGCGGGCGGAGACGCCGCGCTCGTGCTCCCGCCGGCTTACTACCAGGGCCTGTTCGCGGCCGACACGGTCGCGGCCTTCTTCCGCGCCGTCGCCGACGCCAGCCCCATCCCCATCCTCATCTACAACTACCCCGGCGCGGCCGCGGGGCTGGATCTCAGCTCCGACGCCATCATCGCGCTGGCCCAGCACCCCAACATCGTGGGGTGCAAGCTCACGTGCGGGAACACGGGCAAGCTGGCACGCGTCGCGGCGGCAACGCACGCAGCCGTGCCCGGCGACCGCGGCTCCGGCTTCCTCTGCCTCGGCGGCAGCGCCGACTTCACGCTGCAGACGCTCGTCGCGGGCGGCAGCGGCATCATCGGCGGCCTGGCCAACGTGGCGCCCAAGGCTTGCACGCACCTGATGCGCCTCTACGACGAGGGCCGCGTCAAGGAGGCCCGCCGCCTGCAGGCCGTCGTAGCGCGCGGCGACTGGGCCGCCATCCGCGGCGGCATCGTGGGCACAAAGGCTGCGCTGGTCGCGCACTTTGGCTACGGCGGGTACGCGCGGCAGCCGCTGCCGCGGCCGGGCAAGGAGGAGAGCGAGGCCTGGCGGAGGGACTTTGAGGAGCTGGTGGGCGTGGAGAAGGGGTTGTAAAGCGGACAGACAGTCCTGTCCAACCTCCAGGCAGGGCAGGGTTCAGGTCGGTACGGTACGGTACGGTACTTAAGGGGGGAGCTTTATTTACTAATCTGGGGGGTTTTTACGGCCAATTTTTCTTTCTTTCGATTAGGTATGTCGGTTTGGTGGGAAAGGGGTTTCATGACACGACACGACATGGGTACGGCACGACATGGCACGGCACGGGTCTTCTTTGCTAGTTAGGTAGTTGCTTGCTTGGCTGGGTCTCCTGGGTGGGTGGCGTGGCGTGCGAGAGAGAGAAACAGTCTCACGACATTTCCTGGCCGCTTTGGTCTTGGCGGCCTCGGATGCGGCTTAGGTACTTATGCTCTGCTCTGGGCTTTAGGGGGCGCTGCCCCTCTTGAATGCAGCGTCTTCCCCACTATGTACCTATGCATTTGGTCCCCCCGCCCTCTCTCCTTCTTTTCTGTTCTTTTCGCTTTTCTTGTCCTACTTCCTTTCACCCGGTTCGGCCTGCGTGGTGGTGCCACTGCTGCTGATGGAGTTGGTGCGTGCCGCTGTTGCTTGTGTATGTATGTCTGTCTGTGTGTTGTACCCACTTGCTCTAGCTATCGTGATATATCCGCTCTTTCGTCCTTCCTTCCTTCCTCGCTCCTCTTCAAATGTACTTACCTCTTCAGTCCTAAGCTCGTGTACCGTAACTCCACTCCTACTCGACGAGCCTACCTGCCTACCTACCCTAGCCCGGCAGGGCCCTTACTCGCGATATACCACGGCCTTGTTGAGCCCACCCTCCCCCTTCTATGCGAGTGGTCTACTCGCCGCTTACAGGCTTAATGTCGAGGACGATCGCGTAAAAATGTAGAACATGCCTCCTTGAGGGCCGCGGAGAGAGTGGTAGAGTGAGGGTTGGTCGTGGTGCCTGCGTGGGGGGTGGCGCATGGGGGACGTGGTGGTGGTGGCGGCGGCGGCGGTGGGGGAAGGGCCTGGTGGAGGCATGCGTGGTGTGGGGTGTGGTGTGTCGGTGACGCCGTGGTGGCAGTGGCGGTGATGGTGACAGTGGTAGTCCAGTGGTATAGGACAGGAGTGATGGAGAAGCGGCCAAAGACGCGGCAGTGGCACACTGACACGAGGTCGAAGAAAGCCAAACGGCTGGAGCAGAAACGCTGCCCGGATATGATAGCTCGGCGCTGGGCGTGCCAGTGAAGGGACGTGACTGGGAGCTGGCGGCTCGGGCGCGATTGGTGGGCTTCAGTCGCCGTCGCCGTGAACATGCATAGTAGGTAGGTAGGTGGGAGCACCTAGACACGGCCGAGCACGACGCCCTCAGTGACAGCGGCAGCGACAGCGGCAGCGGTAGAATGTAACCTCCCCTGGCCCTCGTCCTCGCCCTCGCCCTCCACACCACCCACACCTCGCACGGAACGCACCCACTCCGCAGCCAGCCGCGCCACTACCAATCCCACTCCTCTCCCACTCCCCCACCCCTCGCAACCCTCACCCCCGCCCCATCCCTCGCTCACCGCCCTCGACCCGCCCTCCCGGCCCTAAGTAGCCCAAACGAGCCTCCCGCATCACTCCCCCCGCCCGAAGCAGAAGCCGCTCTAGCAGCAAGCATGCAGGGCAGCGCGCAGGGATCGCTGCCGTCTCTGAGCCGGCGCAGGCACGCCAAGCCATGCCGCGGCCTGTGAGCTGTAGACGGGGGCCTGGCTGCTTGATTCGGCTATGTGGCCGGGGAGCTTGGCCGGGGAGCTGGGGCGTGCTGGTAGGACTGGGTTTGGTGGTTGACGGTTGTGGAGGCGGGCATTATTGGCTGCGGAGGCGTGTTCGGTATTCGGTTTTGGGAGCGTTGGTGCGTGGGTGGGGGGTGGGGGCTTTGCGCTTTTTGAGGGCGGGTTGCGAGGTCGGGGTAAGTGTATTTGGTTTGTGTGAGATGCTGCCTTTCTTGGGGACGGACGAGTTGGCTGGTAGTGGTTATGGGCTGGGATTGTTGGATGGATACTTTGTAGGTGGAATTATAAAGATGACCTCTCTTTGTGCTTCTTTCTTTGTGCCGGCGCCATAGTTTGTCAGGTCTCTCTCCAGAAGGACGTGGTTGCTTCGTACCTATCAACATGCTTAGCCGGTAACGATACCCTCCTGTAAGCCTTCTATTCTTTTAACTCGTTGTTTACGTGAAGCCTTGCTTCCTACATGCTACAGCACAACCACCTTCAATCACCAAGTTCGACGTTCAGGCTGGCGTTGGCGAAAAATAAATGAAAATAAAAAGGACACGACACCAACAAAGAACTCCACAGCAAGAAGTCAGGCCTGAAGGCCTTATAAACTTACCTTTGCGGCAGTTTCCCCAGCACGTCATGATAATGCTGTGGCTCGAACACTTGAACTCTAGGTGTCACACACCTGAAGCGTTAAGGTATACCACTCAACTCTTTAACTTGTGTCTTACCAAGTAAAGTACTATTTGGACTTATAAGTAACGGTTTTGGACGAGGATAACTCCTTGCGATTTACTCCTTTTCCCGGAGAAGCTAAGACTGCGGGTTATAGTCATTCACTGCCCGTACAAGCGATACGTTAGTTGTTAGAGAGTATGTTAGCAGCCCATTCGCATTAGTAGTTAGTCTATACCGATGCTTATATCTTCGCAGGTTGGGGCCCTCTCTCTGTCTAGCTCTTAACTAACTTGTGTTTGATTCAGTCTCCAACGTTTGTTGACTGCGTAGACATGTCAGTTTGACTGAAGCTAGGCGTTAAGATTTGGGACTTAGCCTTGAATGCTTTGAGAAGATTAGATAAGCTGCTTGGACAAAGACGTTATCTGTCTTATAATGTATTAAAGACGTAGATAACAGCTCATGCTTAGTATACGAAATTTTTGTTTTAACATGGCCTGGACAGTTTTTGGAAATCAAATGAAATTCAAGACAACTATATATGATGGTAGAGCTTTCGATCGATGTAGGAAAACTTTAAATCGAAAACCAAAACATATAGCCCAAGCGCAACAAGTGCAAAGTACCTTGTTAAAGCCTTCCTGATACCTCAAAGTTCGCCTGCTGTTGATTTCTTCTTAAGCAGTTCTTCGTTCAAACCAGGAACCGAAAAACTTGTCACTCTCGGGCTCGGAGCACTGCTTGCCGTCGAAGCCGAACTGGTACCAGTAGTGGAAGAATTCGAGGCTTCATCGAAGATGCTCCCATTTGGTGAGCTCCGGCGAGATGATCCGGCGGACGAGGTCGAAGTGTTGTTCGTAAGTCGACTTGAGTTGAGCTCTGATGTGATGGAAGCCGCGGTGGTCTCTGGAGATGAGGAAGTGTTTGAATTTTGTTTCTTTACAGTAGAAAATCTTTGAGGAACTTTGTTGAATGTCAGAAGAAATGTATTCAAGATATCGGTTTGGTATGCTCACTTGTCTGTTGCTCTCTGGGTACATGCTTGCGGCACGTACGGAGCCCTTCTTTGAGAACAGAAATTTTTCGGTTCAACTGTGCTCGCTCGGCTGTGACTTGCTGTGATTCTGCCGCCAATACCTCAAGCTGCTCATCGTCCATTCCTGCCACGATGGCGGGGGAAAAGAGTTCAGGTAGTTCTGAAAGAAGACAGTTCTCAATCACGAGGGCTGCCACGTTGTCCACGAACACGTTCAAAGCCGTCTGAGAATGAAATTAGCCGTAAGTCCCAATGAGGAGAGGAAAGAGCATGCCACGTACCTCATAATACGCTTCCATGCGATCGAGAATATCAGAGCAGGTTTCTGCGAACATTCGTTGCTCTCCATCAGAAGACAACAGATCATCGGCCACATCTTCCATCGTAAAATTTCCTGCTTTTGAACCGCCGTCGAGATAGTTGTTCAGAGTACCAACCATCTTGGCTCTGGTCCGGCCGAAACGGACAGCCTCGACAGTACCCGCATAGTGGCGATTCAATGTGATGAGAGCACCGTGCTTATAAGGTCGTAGGACCTCGGCGAGCTTCTCTTGGATTATTTTGAGTCGGTTTTCCATCAATGGATCAATAAATCCACGTAGAAGGATCTCCGAGCTTTCCGAACTTGCTACATGCTCCATAACGAGTTCGAGGAACACTTTGGTCGATGCCCACACCTTGTCTAGGTGCTGAGCAGCTATATCTTCCCAGGGTTGTGACTGTTGGTGGAAGAGATCTGTTGTAAGAAGGGAGCTTAGAGTGCCAGGGAGCTCACAGCCCCGGTTCCTGCGCGCCATTCCCTGGATTTCATTGAGATAATCTTGCCGAGACACTGTGCCACCAGTACCGGGAGTTGTGACGAAGGCATAAGGCTGGCCATCTTCAGGGAGGATTTGCAGATAATGGCCGCGCCTCTGCATTTCATCAGCAAATTCGTCGTTGAGGTTGCGTACAACGGCTCTCAAACGCTTCGTGTCCCCGCCAGGTACATTCGTCTGGCGAAAGAACGTGTCGTTGTATGTTCCATCAGCAGCGACTTTTGTTAGATGCTGGAATGTTTGGCTGATGTACGTAAGATAGGTGCGTTGTTCCTTTGCCGTAGGCCGAGGATCTCCAAGTTTCGACAGTGTTTGTTCACATTGACGAAGCTCAGCCATGATTTCTTTTACCACAGCTGGCAAATCCGAGCAAATGTGCTGTAAAAACACCTTGTTGAGGCGGGTCCTCAATGCAGAGATACCCACCGACTCTCGGGGTAACTCAGACCATGCACCTTGCGAGAAGAATTGAGATTCTTTTTGATCCCTCTCTGCAGAACTGGCACCTTGGGAATCGTAATCTCTGTTTTTTAGTACATGCCAACCCAGGCGGAAATCAACTTCTTCATTCTTAGCGACGCCGATCCACGCCTTTTCACTGTCTGAGCCTCGAGGCGGAATGTCCGGTTTTGTGATGATTCCAAGCGTCCGTGTGCCGTTAGGATCGACTTCCCTTGCCAGCCTTGTGACAATCTGGTTGCTAAAATCTGTTTGGGCAGAGACAACGGCTAGGATGATGCTTCTCGGATTGGACATATAGCCTTTAACCATCTTTGAGACATTGTTGATTTCGACGGTGCTTTGTTGTCGACCATTGGCGTGAATCAATCCGGGTAGATCGACAATCGTCAGGTGGGGACGGTCAGGGCCAGAGCTCTCTACGCGAAGTACGTCCTCGGAAAAAGAATGTAGTGATAGCCCCATGAATTTCTTTGCTGATTCGATCAGATTGGGGAGATCATCACCTGAGGTAAAAGGCTCATTGAACTCAAGGAGGCGTGCTCGGTCTGCCTCACTTCGGGAAGGCCCTGGCTTGATGGTGACGGCAGCATGAACGTTGGAGGTTCTCCGGAGAACTAACTCGGTGGCGAAACGTGTACACAGATGATCTTTGGTAGGAAAGCGCACAAGTGAGATGGCCTCCAAAACCGAGCTCTTTCCGGAAGATTGGTCTCCACAAACGATAAGTTGTGGCAAGTCAATGTAGTTGCTGACACCTTGTGAACGGAGACGGTCGATGTCGTCGAGTAATTGTCCTTGGTCTTTGGAATGTAACTCCCGCAACGCTATCGGGTTGAGAGAGTTGTCCGCCATTGCACGATCTCTTTCTTTAGTCGTGTCCTGGGCTCTGGGGTATTTTCTCTGGCAAGAGAAAGATTACCAGCAAGGCGAATTCAGAGATAAAGATGGTATGCAAAGATTGTGCTCTAGAACCTTCTCGAGGTGTTGAATCTAGTGTAATGGGGATAACGAAGAAACAACAGTGTATGTTTTGTCCAAGAAAGCGACGGTGACTTGCCTGTTAAGTACTCTAGCCAGACCCTACCTGATCTATTTGCAGTATGCGCTATATTTAGGTATTGGGGTTTCCCCGGTATGTTGAATCAACTTTAAAACGGAGGCGCAGGCGTTGTGGGCTCTCCGTTGCCTCTTTCCGGATTCGAAAAGCAAGTTGAGTTATAAATACATTTCGCAACGGGCTATCAGCGGGGAACGATAGTAGACAGCCATTAATCAGATGGCGACCTCCTCGACGTGAAACAACTTTTCCGAAGTGGGCCATCCTGTCCATACTGTAGGACGGGGTGTCCGATGAAGCCTGACCATTCGTGACCGGGGTCAAAGCTACCGGAAGTTATACAGTTCTGTGGCTGAGTTTTTCGGCTATACATCCCCAGCATCTCCTGAGACAGTCCTCGCCAGAAGCGCTTAGAGATAGCAAACTCGCGGCAATTGCGGGAGAAGAAGGCAATGATTGGTGAAAGAGCCGCATCAGCTGCAGTATCCACAATCTGTGGGCCTGCAAAACAATGGTATTCAAAGCAACGTAGACGGCGCCAAATAAACCAATTGCTCGTAATTTTTACATTAGATATTTCAGATGTCGCCACATACCTTATAAAGTTACCACATAGATCATCATAGCTTGCAATTGAGCATGCTGTTTACATACTCTAGAAGGACTGAGCGACTGCACATTGCATTGCTGTGCCGCGTGATGCTAGAACGTCAGCCAGCCACCAAGGATCCAGACGAGTCAGGATCTAAGCGCTTGTCGATCGATCATCGATAAACTGGCCAAACAGAAGCAAATCAGAGCTCAGCTGACGTTTGATGTTCGTCCCCAAGGTGAGTTATCAGCTGCAGCAATCTAGGCAGCAATGTATTTGATAAATTGCGCTGAGTGTTAATCAGGGTCACTTTTGACCGCTCCTGGCTGTGCCGCATTGTCGAATTGGGTTTCGTGCTTGAAGCTAAGGTACAGATGGCGCAGCTGGTGGAGACTGGCATGCTGGCGATGGTGTTGATGTTTGAGGTTGGCGCTCGGGAAGACGTGACGTGCCGACGGGATGACGTTCAGCTTGACCGCCTTCCTCCCAGACACGGACACCGGACACCGTGTAAGATGCTCTTCCCCGAAGACACCAACACAGTTTTGCGCACAGAATGGGGGACAAACCAGCTCAAGAGGACTTTTGGCTTTTTGGATATGGGTTAGGCGACTTGCACTGCGTTTTCCCACGCTGAGCCGCTGCTGACATGACACAGGAGCCTGATATGGAAACCTCCACCGCACTTCGGTACCTAGCAGACCATGTCCCCATCAGTTTCAACTCAGCATATTGAGTTCACGTAGACCAGCGCCTTCCGGGATACATTGAGGGCTATGTGCGCCGGTTCTGGCAGGTACGTTCTGGAGGATAACAGAAGCGGCGAGGGCGAAAGCTAAGACACGAGACGTAGGCGAGGTATGCAGCTCCTGCGTTCAACTCTGTGCCGTCCAGTCAGCGGACTGATTCTTCCACAGCCAGGATCATCGCGGCACACCCGAGGCGCCCGGGCGCGTAGCGACGTTGATTGACCGGGCGCATTGGGAGACCCTGGACGATCATCATGCCTCTGCGAGGGAGACAGTCTGGGGCGCTGCGTACCACATACCTGCCTCTCACGCAGCCGAAGTCCGAGACTACCTCGATATTCGCGAGATAAATGGCTACAGTATCCAGTACACGCCATTTCATCCCGCCGCTTCCATCTCCGATGCACCAGCGAAACCGATCGACTGTCTCGTTTATATTGGACCACCGGAGAATCCGCAGTTCTTGGGGCCGCAGGACCCTCAGAAGCTTGCCGAACATATTGTTGTGAGCAGAGGCCCGAGCGGCGAAAACAAGGAGTATCTATACATGCTGGAGACGGCATTGGTGGAACTGAGTCCAGAGAGTGAAGACCATCATATTTCTGATCTAGCAAGAAGATGTCGGGAAGTAGAAGCAAAGAGCAAAGAGACAGCACATAAAGAAGCCAAAGCTGCTGAGAACGAGGCCCAAATAGACGGCCATCCATTGCATAAGGTAGGAAGCACCGAAGAGCAGGAAGAAGTTGAGAAATAGCAGAAGCACTTTGGAATAAAGCTCTTTTGGTTAAAGCAGCATCGGTTCTGGCTTCGCACTTTGCACCCGCTCATCGTCTTCCATAATGCTATCATTTCTTGGTCATTGTCGACTGGTGCGACGGGTTAAGCTTTCCTTACATCTAGAGACGGCCATTGTTTCTCACAACTACATCACCATACTAGCCCGCATCGTATGTTTTGTGGATGATCGCTTTTTAAAAGTTTCGCTGCTATCATCACCTTCCCCATCATCCCTATGTCCCCGTTTCCGTCCTCATTTTCGTTGATGGCTTCAATTCGACTCGGACCTGCGTGATCCGCAAATATCGCAGTTTATTTATCGATCAATGATCCACCTGGGTTGACAAGGTAAGTAGTGATAGATGAAGGATCTGGATCCATGTCAGTCGGTTAATTATAGAGCATGGCGCAGTAATGTGGGGAGACGCGGAGATAAACACAAATCCACTCTAATTGGATGCAGCATGTCAGCAAAAGCAAAGTAAAGTCGCTTACCGGCTTAACAATTGGGGTGACCGCATTGGACGACCGTCTTTTCCCCTACTTATACATGTGACCTGTAACGGTTGCCTAATTACACGGCAAATGGCAAGCGAGGCTCGTAGCTGTACAAGTACTGTAGCTGTACAAGTACTTAAGATGCCGTTGACAATATTGTACTGCTTTCCCAAGCACCTCATTTATTCTTCTCCCTCACAACCACCATGGCAGCCACCAGCTTCGGCCACCACATACCTTTGATTTACGCTGCAGTCGCCGGCGTAACATCGCATATGGGATTGTTCGTCCATGGGGAATGGGAACGATACGCAGAGAGGCTTGCGATGACTGCTCTGTTTGGTCCGCCCGTCCTACTTGCAGGGCTGGCATTCATTCAAGGCTTGAGCATGTTCTGGGCCTTAATCATTACCATCGAGATGACTACGGGCTTTTACGTGGGTCTATATGGCAGCATGGCGATATATCGCCTCTTTTTTCACAGTCTTAGGAGTTTCCCAGGTCCTGTTAGAGCCAGGTTGACCAGTTTCTGGTCTATGCGAGAAAGTGTTCAAGATTTCAAATGGTATCTGAAGGTTCAAAAATTACATGAGGAATATGGGGATTTTGTCCGCATACGTAAGTACCCCCCAAGGCTCCCATGGGTTACGAAGAAGCTAAAGAACTGTACAAGGCCCACGAGAGATATCTATCGCTAACGTGGACGCCATTCATGACATTCATAGTCCAACTACCAAATGCGTTAAGGGGCCTTTCTACGACGTAGCCTATCCGGCTCGTTCTCTTGCAATGACGAGAGATAAGAAATTCCACTCTCAACGGAGGAGAGTTTGGGACAAGGCTTTCAGTCCGAAAGGTTTGTATCCACGAGGCTATTCTTAAGAGATATAATCATGCTAACAGAACTCCCAGCCCTCAAAGACTACGAGAGCCGTGTGATTGGACACTGCAACGACTTGATCTCTCAGATGACAGCGTCCGACTCAAAACCCGTCAACGCTACCGACTTGGCCGACTACTACGGCTTCGATGTGATGGGCGACTTGGTCCTTGGGAAGTCATTTGACATGCTCAAGACTGGCGAGGCGCCGTTCATCCTCAAGCAAATCCGAGAAAACAAGAAGACGACAGGCTGGGCCGTCTGCGCCACATGGACATTCCACCTATTCAAGATCCTGCGATTTGCGGGAAAGGGGCGGATGACATTCGTCGAATGGTGCAAAGAGCAGCTGCAAGAGCGACGAAAAGTACCTATCTACGAAACCCCAAGCACCAACACCAAAAGCGCCATAACTAACAACGCTTAGAAAACGCCCTCAAAGCCAGACCTCTACACGCACCTCAACAGCGCCGACGAAGCGCGCTCCAAAACCGTCAACGCCGCCCTCATGGAAGGCGACCTCGTGCAAGACGCCGAGCTCGCCATCATCGCCGGCAGCGGCACCACCACCTCCGCCCTAGCCGCCACGCTCTACCTCCTGGCTAAGCACCCCGCCGAGCAGCAAGCGCTTTACGCAGAGCTTTGCGCGCAGTTCGCCCCCGCAGATCCGCTTTCGCATCAAGCTTTAGTCGGGAAGCCCGTCCTCGAGGGCGTCATCAACGAGGCCCTGCGCCTCTTCCCCCCGATCCCCAGCGGCGTGCAGCGCGAGACGCCGCCTGCCGGCGCTGTGATTGCTGGGCGCTGGATCCCGGGTCGCACGATTGTGTCGACGCCGACTTGGACGCTGCAGCGTGGTAAGCAACTGCACACCCTCCTCTCTCCCCCTCTCTCCCTATCCCCCTACCCCCACCCAAGCCAACCTACCCACAACTAACCACCCGCCCCCTTAGATCCCCGCAACTTCACGCACCCCACCGCCTTCCTCCCCTCGCGCTGGTCCACATACCCAGATCTCTGCCCCCGCAAAGACGCCTTCAACCCCTTCGCCGCCGGGACGTATTCCTGCGTGGGGCGGCCCCTGGCGCTGATGGAGCTGCGGCTGGCGGTCGCGAGCGTTGTGCGGAAATTCGATGTCAGGCTAGCTGATGCGGACGAGAGCGTTAGGAAAGCGGAGCTTGAGCCGGGGTTCTTGGACTGCTTTACTTGGAAGGCGCCGCCTGTGGATGTCGTTTTTGTTGAGCGGAGGGTGTGTTAGGAGCTGGAGGGTTGTGGGAGGGTTTTGTGAGTTGGGATTGGAAGGTGTGGTTGGATGGTAAAGGGCGCTGGGGTCTTGGACGGTTTACATTGCGCGCAGCCAATGTGTGTACTGCTGTAGCACCTCATCTATACGCTTCAGTTGTATTCGATAGTAATATTACTACTACTACTACTACTACAGTGCTTAATTTAAGATTTGGTATACCACGCTAACCCCAATCACAAATCTGTATGCACCCAAAGAGATTCGTTCCTCATACCCTTCTCCTCCCGCCCCCAAAACGCCGTCGCATCGCATCGCAAACCAATCAATATGTGTTCGAAAAGAAGCCTCCCATCCATCCGTCCAGTCTTATTCCTTTGAAGCGCCCAATTTACCAGTCTCCTAAGGGGATATCATACTCCCTGCTCGCATTCACGAGATCCTTCAGCGACTGCTCCATAACTTCTCTCCCACGCAGGGTCGCCCACACCTGATGCGGTGCCTGGTTCACAATTTCCCAGGAGACGAGCTTGTCCGTCAAGTGCGTCAAGTCGCGCTGCTTGCGCTCCCACTCGCTATCCTTACGGACCTCAATTCCAGAGCTAACGATCGCGACCGGGGTGCCGCGGTCCTGGATGGCGCGCGCGCTGACGAGCTCGTTCTTCGACAGGCTGTCCGCGACAAGGTTCTCTTGCAGCTGCGCCTTGATGAACTTGCCGCCCTGGTACGCGTTACGCCCATAGACACGGTCCTCGCGCGTGCGTCCCTTGAAGATGGCCCCGCCGAGCCGCTCGATACCGAGCGGGCTGATCACGCCCCAGCCCCAGAGCAGGAAACCCCGTCCTGGGCTTCCCATCCGGTGGAGAAGATCTTCGTGCATCGGGTCGATCAGCAGCATTCCAATCACATCGCGCAGGTGCCGGCTTGAGAAGATACGGCTCGTCACGCTGCCAATGCCTGCTGAAACGAGGATCCAAGGGCCTTCTTCGCCTGCCCGTGCAAGCGCTTCTGAGAGTGCGTCCGCGGACATGCCGGCGGAATGCGGAGAGGGTGCGTTGTCAGACCAGGCGTAGCCGGGGCGGTCCCACCAGCAGTAGCGGCTGATGGTGCCATTTTCCACGGCGTTGTAGGCCCAGTGTTCGAAGTCATACTCCGACGGGTTTTCGCCGGCTTCAAGGATGATGGTGGGATCTTTCTTGCCGTTCGTGTGGGTGACGTTCCCAAGGCAGGCAAGATGAACCTGGTACTTGTCTCCATCGACGTAGTAGCGCTCTCCAATCATTGGCAGTGTGGAGTCGCGGGCGCGGATGATCAAAGTGCCGGTCATGAACACGGTAATGATGACGTAGACGACAAGAATTATGGTCGCAACCAACACAGCCGTCCATTCCTTGAGGGTACGACGGGTCTCGGGGCGGCCGGTTAGTCGTTCTTCCTCTTCGCGTTTGCCCCATGCCACGACTCTGTCTATCAAGACGCACCAGCCGGCGATGAACACTGCCCAGACCACCGAGGCGATGCCAATCCAGCCTTCCTCGAGGCGCATTCGAGGCACAGCCAGAATCATGATCATGTCAATCAAGAGGACGCCGGTGATCAAGCCGGCTGAAATTCGCATGGCCTTGGACGGAGCCGTGAAGAATATCAGGGCAACGAGGAGGTTACCCACGGTCAGAGTGGTGAAGGAAAAGTCGAAGAAGCCGGAGCCGCGCGAGTGCATGCCCGGCGGAGAGACGAAGATGCAGACCAGCAATAGAACCCACCATAGGAAAGATAGGACGAGGAAGAGAACGGTGATGTAGCGGAGAAAGCGGACGGTCCAGAGATTATAGGGAGATACCTGTATATGTTAGCAGTAGTTTAGATGTGAAGTTGCAGAAATGAAACCTACAGCTGGGTCGTCGGGATCCAGATAGCCATCGGAATTGGGTGGGCGATGAGCGAGAAGCCTCGTTCGCTCGTCGGCCTCGTGCGCATCGTATGAACGACTGGAGCGCCCATCTTCGTAGGCGCGAGGCGTGGCAGAGCCAGAACCAGCGTCCTGGTCGTCGGACTTGTTTCCCCACAAGACCATAGTCGCAGATTTGGGATCAGGCGAATTAGAGAGAGAATCTGGGGAAAGAACAAGAGCTGGAGAGTCGTGGATGATAAGGTGATGGGAGAGGATCGGAGCAGGGAAGGCGTAGATCTGGACCGGAGACGTTTACAGACGACGTCATTGAGGCGATGGGAGGCGCGGTAGGGAATGCATCCTTGGCGCCACCGCTAAGATGGAGTCCACATGGAGAATAGGTGGCGCCCACGCACTTCTCGACTACGCACCACGCACCCAACACCCGCGCATGTCGTCGCACTTGCTCGTTGCCGCGGCCGAGTCGAAGCTTTCCATGCTCGCCACACTCGGCCACGCCGCGGCTCGTGAACCCGGACGTGAGCAGATCGTCCACCGCACGACCATCACATGCGCCTCTCCAGACCACTCGCCAGCCTGCTCCTCCACCATCAGAGGTCTAGAGTATCGCCACCGTCGCGTGCAATAATAATGACGCGCTCGTGCCCGCGGCGAGATCGACGTGGCCGGGATCGTCGCGTCAGCCACTCGGCTTTTTCCTTTGGCTTCGCTTTTTCATCAAACTGGTTTCCGGGAGGGGCTGGCTACATGCTAAGAGTACTCGAGTACTCTGAGCAAACGCACATCTGCGACCTGCGACTGTCTTTTCAGCGCCAGTTTCGCTAACTTCGGCATACTAATATCTTGGGGTAGCCCCACATCCTGCCGCCATGTATACCATCAAGATTTGCCATCCTGCGAGCATGGCATTCCTATGAAAATGCCATCCCGCTTTGTCCAGGTTTGTACCACAAGTAGCTGTCATTCGCGGTTTTGGCTAGCTCACGTCAGCCAGCACGACATGCTTGTCTAACGGCAAAGTCACGTTCAGAGCCCTACATGCTGAATGGTGACTTGAAACCTCGCAGGCGAGTGTTACGTAGAATTGCCATCGCACCTTTAGCCGATTAGTTTGAGGAGGTATTCATCTATTAACAATCGCTTTTGTATTCATTCCTTCGAGATGACTGCTACTACGCGTTCTGATCCACTTACCTTGCTCACATCCCACTCTCACCATGTAGAACAGCAACTAGGAATACCTCCGCCTTACACAAAGCCAGCGCCGCCCTATTCATCACCGGACAGCGACCCTACAGCTTCCGCCGACAATGCTCTATCCTTGACGGCTACGAGTACAGCGGAAGACATCGAGGCGCCACCAGACTATGACGTTTTAGACCCATGCGCCCGACATTTTCACGTACGCGCGCCTGGGCTCGTCTACGCCTACAGCGCTGGGTCGGATATCCCGCACTATCAGATCAATACAATATACAATCTGTATGACCGTCCGCAACAGCTGCTTATTCGGCGCCTCATGGTGAAAGAGAGCAGGCGTCTCTCACAGCAAACAACCTCACAATCATCGTCCTCCGGAGACTCTGCTCCGCGGCCAGCGTATCCGGCCTGGGACCACAACGCGACAATGTACACGGCGACCATTTACTCAGGTTCAGGCCTTGAGATCCGTGGACACCGCGCCTCGACGCTGCCCGGACGAATCAAGCTGCAGCGCAGCATGCGCGGCACCTGCAGGTTCTGGCATTACACGCGCAACCTGGCGGCGAACGCGCTGGATCCGGCGAACGAGGCGCGCATGCTGAAGTACGGATACCACGCAGACAGCGAGTGGAATCGGGAGCTGCTGTTTGCGGCGAAGAAAAACCTGTTTGGTAGAAGAAAAGAGAATGTCGAGTGGCGGGATGGTGACGGTCGCGTCGTCGCGGCCGAGGTGGGGGACGGCTTGAAACTTGTAGAGACGATGGGACGGAAGAGGAGGGACGTGTTAATTACTTGTTGGGCGGTTCGGAAGTGGGTCCTTGGAACACTTGCCGAGAGAGAATAACGACCGTGGTTGCTGGAATACTGGCTAATTTGGGACTGCACATAGGCGCTTATATGGGAACAGGCACATAGGAAATACCACTTCCGGGTTCTGTCGTTTTCTATATACAAGATCCGATATACGGCGTTCTAGGAGTAGCATACATAGCTAGGTTTGGTCGAGCAGACAACCCTCACTATTCGGTTTCTATTTTGAATTCCTCCAAGCATGACGTCACGGCGTACAACGTCAAAGCTCCACACAGCTCCCGGAGCTTCCATGAGCTCATCCAGCTCCAAAATTCTCGGGCGTTCACAACAAGACACTAAACAAAGCCTTATTTAACTCTCTCTCGCCGTCGCAGCTGCAGAAATAATCCAAAAGCAATCCACTACTCGTCAGTTCTGCAATCAGCCTACCACCACCACCTCAACAACAACAACAACAACAACAACAACAACTACTACTACTACTACGAGACAAGCTCTATCCACGAGCACAAACACATCACACCACACCACAAAGAAACCACAACACCACCAACAACTCCACCAACAACAACCAAAATGCCCACCGACCAAGACCGCACCTCGCTCCTCCGCGCCTCCGCACACGCCTTCAGCCACGCACTCATAAACCCGCCGGCACCCAGCGAGCTACTCTCGCGCTACTTCACGTCGACGCCCACAATCCACGAGCACGGGCCCTCGTGGGCAAGCACGCAACTCCCGTTCCTGGGCCGGCGGTTCCACGGCGCGCACGAATGCGCCACATATTTCGAGACGCTGTCCTCAACGCTCAAGATGCAGCTGCGGGGCGACAGCTTCCCTGGCCCCGAAGGCTTCGTCGTCGACGCCGACGCGAACACGGTCACGGTTGTGGGCAGCGGGGTTTTTGAGAGCACGCGGACGGGCCGCAGCTGGGAGGAGAGGTTTGTTTGGGTGCTGGGGGGGTGGGATGACCAGGGCAGGGTTGGCACGTGGGATGTTTGGGCGGATCCGCTGAGTGCGTGGTGTGCGGTGCAGGAGGGGGAGGTTGAGGGCTGGGGGAAGGGCGAGCGCAGGTCTTAGTTAGCTCTGCTAAGAGGGCTCGGTGCGAGGGTTCTGGGGAATGGGGTAGTAATGTCGTAATCAAGTGTTTAGCTTTGGAATGGTTTAACGTCCGGCACCGTGAAGCGAGATTCACCGTGAAGCGAGATGGTGATCCTTGTACGGAGTAGAAGAAGAGACCCAGTTAAGGTGTGTAGAGTCTGTGCATGCTCTAAGAGCTTTTCACCTATACCTAGGACTCGGGCTGAGAGCTAGGCGAGGAGTACTCTGTAGGGCTGCTTGCATCGTCTCCTGTCTCGCTATACGGTGGATCTCGGTTCGCGATGACGGACGTTAGCTGAATTGTTGAGTTTTGGACATGATGCTATATGTCATACAATGGTCGGAGTGTATGTTGTTGTTTACATGCCCCTCGTGAGCAACGCACCTAGCCATGAGCGCTGCCTCTGGATCCACCTATGGAGTAGTCTGTAGGGAGCGTTTTAAGTGGACCGCAAGCATACCTACATGCTCTCACAAGTAGGATAATGTTTAAATTTGGAGAAACTTGACATGCTTTCGCTTCTACGGAGCACCACTCACCATAGGGATATGAACAATACCTCCCCTTCCGACCTTAGCACGTTAGAACCTTATTTATAGCATTCCTCCCTCCATTTTCGTTTCCTTTCATGCGGTGTCGGTATATATACTGCAACCATCCCCCCGGTCAAACGCATTATATAGACACCCATACACCCCTCCCCTTCCTAGCATTCTCCACCACTCAAACCCCACCGTTCCCCATAGGCCTCTGGATGATATCCTCCTGGCTAATCGGCCTATCTCCCTCGTTAATAACAACGGCCTCGCGCCGCTGCCGCCGCCGCGCCACCTCCGCCTCGCTCTCCGTGCTGCGCGGCCGCAGTGCCCGGAACGCTGCCCGCGACTGCTCACGCCGCCGCCGGTACTCTGATGCCGAGGGCCGACTGCCCAGGACCACGGTTGCGGTGCCGTCGCGCTCGGCGACGGAGATGGGGGGAGGGGGGTCTGTGGGCGCGGTGGCGTTAGCAGCATCGGCAGTAGTAGTAGTAGTGGTGGTAGTAGTGGTAGCGGACGGAGCAGCAGCCGTCGCAGTCGTCCCCGTAGACGCAGTTGCAGGCCGCTCTAAGCGTCGCTCGTCGTGCGGTGTCGCCGCTAGCTCGCGCTCGCGGTCCCACTGCTCGTGCTCCTGCTCTAGCCGGCGCAGCGCGCGCTCGTTGACCTGGCGCTGCTGCTGCTGCCGCCGCCGCGGCGCCTCCTCCCCGCCTATCACCGCGTCAATGGCTTCTTGCAGCGTGCTTCCGCCAGTGGAGAAGCCCACCTCCGCGGCCGTGTCCTCCCCGTCGCCCATGCGCACCTCGCCCATCCCGACCACGGCATTTTGACTCGCGGCGTCGGGGCTGGTAGCGCGGCCGCGCCGGCGGCTGCTGTGCTGCTGGTGGCGCTGGTGGTGGTGCCTCGACGCGCCGCTTCGGCCATGGTCATGGTGGTGCGGCGGCGGGGCAGAGCGGTCGCGGTCGTCGTGGCGCGGGGGCTCGTCGAGGTCGAGGTCCTCAATGTCGACGCCGTTGACGGCGCGCAGGAGGGCGAGTGCGTGGTGGGCGTCGCGCTGGGCGCGGGAGCCGGCGGGACGGCGCGCGTCGGCGAGGATGCGGCGGAGGACGGGGGGGTGTTGGAGCGCGCGCGCCGTGATGATGCTCGTCGCCGCTTTGCGCACTTCGAGGTTCGCGTGCTGTGTCGCGAGGATGCGCAGGCTCGCGAGCGGTATGTCTGGCGTGCGCCGGGCGCACAGCGCGTCAGCTTGGCTGCTTGCAGAGGGCCGAGATGCGGCTGCGGCTGCGGCGGCGGCGGCGACTGCTGCCGCCACTTGCCACTGCTGCTGCCGCCACTGCTGCTGAGATACTGAGGATGTTGTTGCCCGCGCTGGAGGCTCACCGTCTTCGGTGCCCTGCTCGAGGCCGTTCGGCGGCGTCGTCTCGGCTTGCTCTACTTCGGTCAGGTCGTAGACGGCTTGCAGGCCGTGCGCGACGCCTTTGACGGCGAGGTAGAGAAACGCCCCCAGCCCGAGCCAGAGGTACGTATCTGGGATGTGAGGGGCCATGGTGGCGTCGTGATACTGGCGCGCTACGACATTGTTTGGTGTTGCGGTGGGATGATGTTGCGCGCTGTGGGGTGTAGGCGCGGGTAGGGCTGAAGGCGTGGGGTGGTTGTCCGGGTCCGGGTAGGGCCCGGGTGGATCAAACAATGGCACTCGGTCGAAGTCCATCCGAGGAATTTGGAATTATTTCATGGCTCTCTCCGGTACCGGTATCTAGAGTATGAAACCACGCAACTTCGAACCAAGGTTATCAAGACATGTGGTAATGTCTCACCAGACACATATGCTGCTCCGACTACTTGTGTATCATCTTTCTCTAGAGATCAACAATATCATTGACGCCAATTGAACCTATAGCGGTATCACCGTCCCGCATGTTTGCGATAATGGAGTCGTTAGAGTACCGGCGACAAAGAGGGGATGGATATAACTATGACGAGGAGTTTACCGGGATTGCGGTAAACAAGCACGGGGCTGTGGGGCAACGGTTCCAAATTAAAAGTCCCTGGCCCAAACCGGACAATGTGGGGTGATTGAGCACGTTTGTTTTGCACAGAGCGATGCATGAGGAGTACAAGAGCATTGGTTGTTGACGTGAAAGCTGGGCGTGGACTGCTGACAAACCGCACACTTGTTAAGAGAAAGAGAAGGAAGAAGCTGCGGGGATTATTTTGCGGGAAGTTTCGCGGAGAGTTTTACGGACAGTTTGTGGAAAGTTTTTGCGGGAGTAAGTGATTGTTTAGCTGTCTTGAGCCTCTACCTACCTACGTAGTACACGGGCATGCGGGGCTGACGTCGTTGGCTCCCACACGTGATTGGCCCGAGCCCGGCGAGCTTTGACGTCTGGTCCACTCCGTTGTTCGCGAGCTAGGATTTGTGGCTGTACGGATCCGTGATAATGCGTCCTACCCTCCTCCGCCCGTGCTTATTTTTCCTCCATCTTCTCTGATCCTTTTCCTCTCTACCTTTCCCTCTCCTCCGGCTGCTCTCTGATCTCACGCGTGCCACGAGGGTCGCCTCTCCCTTCCGCTCATCTCCCTGTCTCCTCCGCCACCATGGGCCTCTCAAAGTCGCACAGGATTATGATCCTGCTGGGCATTGATAGTGCCTTTTTTCTGCTCGAACTGGTGGTTGGTATGTGCTTCCTCGCTCCATTCGGCGGCTTGCGCTGACCTTTCCCAGGATATGCTGTTCACTCTCTTGCTCTCGTCGCCGACTCGTTTCATATGGTACGTTGCATCCTTCGGCCTAACCATCCCGCCTACTGACGCGTTTGCAGCTTAACGATGTCCTCTCTCTCTGTGTCGGTCTCTGGGCTGTGAAGGTGGCGAACGAAAAGACGCAGTCGCGCCGCTACACCTATGGCGTAAGCACTTCTTATATCCCATCTAGCGCAATATTCTGACTTTCCAGTTCCAACGTGCCGAAACCTTGGGCGCCTTGATCAACGGCGTCTTCCTTGTTGCCCTCTGTCTCTCCATTTTCCTCGAAGCCATTCAGCGCCTCGTCGAGCCGCAGGAAGTTAGCCAACCGAAGCTCGTGCTAATTGTTGGATGTTTCGGTCTTGCCTCCAACATACTTGGACTTTTCCTCTTCCACGACCACGGTCATAGCCACGGCCCCGGAGGCCACGACCACTCGCACGGCTCTACGGACCAGCTCGGTGCTGCGGAGGAGGGACACAGCCATGCGGCTCACGAGGTTCACGCCGTCGCGGACGAAGGGGGAAATATCGCAGACATCTTGCCTCAGAACAGAATCGGCGGCTGGCCCCAGACCAGCTCTATGAACAGGCGCTCGGTGGATATTAGTGAGGAATCCAGCGACAGGACGCAGAGACCAGAGACGAGCCGCAGCCGTCATGCTCACAGCAGGTCGAGGTCCAGGGGTTTCGGCGATTTCCCCGTTCACCCAGCGTCCTTCAGAAACGAAATCATCAACGCTGCCCGTTTGGAGTCTGTGGAGTCTGGTTCTGGGTCGGAGAGCGAGACGGATGAGAACGGTGGAGAGAACACCCCACCGAACGAGACGACTTCTCTGCTCTCCAAGTCCAAGGGCAACAAGACTTCCGACAAGAAATCTCAGCACCATCACGATCGCACGCATAGCCACGATATGCACGCTGGCCACAGGCACAATCAGAAGCAAGATGCGGGTCATGAAGGAGGTCACGGACACGGACACTCTCACGGCGATCTGAACATGCGCGGAGTCTTCTTGCACGTTATGGGTGACGCTCTTGGCAACGTCGGAGTCATCGCCTCTGCTCTCGTTATTTGGCTGACTGATTTCTCCTGGCGCTTCTACTCGGATCCCCTCATTTCGCTCATTATCACTGTCATTATCCTCTGCTCCGCTATCCCGCTCTGCAAGGCGGCGTCCCGCATTCTCTTGCAGGCCGCTCCTGCGGGAATTGACGTCGACGATATCGAAGCCGACATTGTCGAGCTGCCCGGCATCATCAGCTGCCACCACCTGCACGTCTGGCAGCTCAGCGACACCAAGCTTGTGGCCTCGCTGCACGTGCAGGTCGAGTTCGACTTCAAGGGCCAGGGCTCAGCGCGGTACATGGAGCTGGCGCGCACGATCCGCAAGTGCCTCCACGGATACGGCATCCACTCGTCTACGATCCAGCCCGAGTTTTGCCTCAACGAGGAACACGACCACGTGCAGGGCTCAGGGAGCAGCGACGCCGACACGTGCGATGGCGACAACCACCCCGTTGGCCGGCAGATCACCAAGCAGGCCAGCAAGACGGGCAGCATCCGCAGCAAAAACGAACCCGAGGCCTGCCTGCTCGAGTGCGGCGGCGACTGCGGCAACGGCAACCAGTGCTGTCCTCCCAGCACCGACGCGACGCGCGACCCCAGCCCAAGCAACAGGTAGAGGCTCTACCAGCCAGCCTCTGCCCTTTCCTTTCCACTTTCCTTTCTTCTCATCTCCTTTCCGTCTCTTCCCGTTCTTTCCTACAATCTGAGTTGGTCTCCAAAAACACGGTTATATCCCATTGCGCCCTGTTTTCGCTAGCGTTTCCATCTCGCGTCGACGCGACAACCATCTTGTACGCGCGACCAACTACATCAAGCGGCATCTTGCTTCTTATTTTTCTTTTTCTTTTTCTTTTTCTTTTGCGTTTAAAAACTGTATGGCATAAGCCTCCTCCCATGTTGGAGATTTTTTCTTTTTTTGCTCTCAGCGCAGCCCCCATAGAATGGGCTTCTTGCCTACACAGCTTGCGAAAAACTATCTCTGTTTCCTTTTTTTGTTGTTGTGCTTCTTGCAGGGTTTACGCTGTATTTGTTATGTTAGGGGAAAAGACGAGCTGGGGACTTGCAGTGCAGTGCAGTGCAGTGCTGCGTGGTAGGCGCGTGTGCGGTGTGAAGCACGATATGTACGGCGGATGTGCAGCGCTATAATACGCTACGGTACGGTACGGTTCATAGCTCCTACATACCCATCAAGAAGACGCGGTCCTGGGCGTCGCTGCCTCTTCTACTAATCACTCTGGCTGCGCGCTTCTGTCGTTTTCCTTTTCCTTTTCCCTTTCGTGTCCTCTTTGCGTCTTCCCTCTCCTCTCTCTCCCTCGTAGACGGTTTTCAGCGCGCGGGCGTGCGTGCCGCGTCCGGCTGTGCCGTTCTCGGTGGTTGTGGCTGGGTTGGAGTCGAAGTCAGGTACTGCACCCCTGGCTTCTTTGGTCTTTGGCAGTGGGAGTAGTGCACTGGGGTTGGGGTAGCGGGGGAACGTGTTAGGCGGGGAGCGTGTAAGGGCCAGAGGCTTCGTGGGTGCTTGGTTTTGGTTTTGGATAGGCGTGTGCGTGGCGCTGGCTGTGAGGGTTGTCGGTTCTGTCCTGTCCTGTCCTGTCCTGTTCGGCACGGTGTTTGATTGGGTTGGACTGAACTGCTCAGCGTGGCCTGGCATTGGAGTACTTGAGGCAATTGCATGCGGCACCACATCGTTTGTAACAGCTAAAGAAATTCATAGGCATTTTGCGCTATCCCCCTGCCCTGCCTTGTCTTGTTCATTTGTCGTCGCTCCGTCGTTAGTCAGTCAACCAGTCAGTCGTTCAGCTACACCCACCCTCCCTTTCTCCTTTCTCCTTTCTCCTTTCTTCTTTCCTCCTTCTTTCCTCTCCTTTCACCCATCTCTCCACTCTCCTTCTCTCCTTCTCATACCAACGTCGTTTGCAAAAGACGCTAGCGCTGTACGTACAGCGCAGCACCTACGCAACACGCACGCACGCATCTGAGTGCCACGGCGCCGGCATTGCCTCAGCCAGCAGCGAGACGAGACGAGCCAGCCGCGCCTTGTCCTATTCGACAATCTCGACAGAGGTCGCCGCCGTGCCGTGCCGTGCCGTGCCGTGCCGTCTAAAACACCCAGGAGAACGTCTCCTTGACCTCGAACGCGGCCTTGCGTCTAGAAGCGGCTTTCGCGTCAGCCACACCCACCAAAACCCCAAACCCACACCCAAAAACTAAAAAGAAAAACACACTTACCGCACATCCGCCGCACTCCGTCCAACCCAGACCTCATACCGTCCCTTCTCAACGACCCAGTGCCCCTTCTCCTCGTCCCAGAACGCAGCGGCGTCGCGCCCGAGCCGCAGCACCGCGGAGCGGGTTTCTCCCCCCTGGAGCTCCAGCTTCGCGAACGCTTTGAGCTCTTTCACTGGCCGGGGGACGCGCGAATCCGGCGTGTGGATGTAGGCTTGGATGATTTCGGGCGCTGTCACGCTGCTCGTGTTCGTTATTTGCTGCGTTAGTGTTAGGGGGGTTGTTGGGGTTAGGAGGGGGAGGGGTGGGGTTGTTGAGGAAGAAGAGGATGGAGAGTAAGAGGAGGAAGAGGAGGAGGTGTGGGGAGACGCAGGCGAAGAGACGCGCAGTTCCTCGTACTCAAACTCCGCGTACGCCAACCCGTGCCCGAAGGCGAACAGCGGCGCCTCCGCCCCCGGCGCGTCAAAGTGCCTGTACCCGACGCCTAAGCCCTCAGCATAGACGACGCGCTCGTCTTCCGTGGCGCCCCAGTTGGCGTGGGCGGGCGTGTGCGCCAACGCACGCGGAAACGTCGTCGGCAGGCGGCCGCCGGGGCTGTGGCGACCGAGCAGGACGTCCGCAAGCGCGTGCCCGGCCTCTTGGCCTTGGTACCAGGCCTGCAGAACCGCGGGCACGGCGTCGATCCAGGGCATGGCGACGGGGGAGCCGGACTGGTTGACCACGACGGTGGCGGGGTTGGCGGCGGCGACGGCGGCGATGAGCGCGTCTTGAGACCCGTTTTTGGGCAGCGCCAGCGTCTGCCGGTCGTACCCTTCGGACTCCCATTCCGCGTCTAGCCCCGCGAAGACGAGCGCCGTGTCTGCGGCCTGCGCGGCGGCCACGGCTTCCGCGAGTAGGTCCGCCCCTGATTCTTCGTGGTAGCCGAGCCGCGCGCCGCCGTACGCGTGCGTGGGCCCGCCGGGCTTGAGCTTGCTGGCGGGGCGGATCGCGTTGGTGCTCTCGATGAGGACGGCGACGGGGCGGTTCGCCTCCAGCTGCACCGTCTTGACCACGTCTTCCGACGCCTCGAACATGGCCTCCCCCTCGTCGGTCCAGTCCCAGTTGTCGATGAACAGCTCGCCGTCCAGGAACAGGCGGCCGGGCCCGACGCTCGAGAAGCTGACGCTGTGCCGGCCCGTCGAGCGCGGCGTCAGCGTCGTCCGCACCCGGAACGAGTACGCTGGCAGCACCGCCGCTGGCGCGCTGTCCCAGAGAAACAGGTCCGTCGTGCTCTTGTGCTGGACCGCGGCGGGCGCGCCCTCGAACCCGTCCCCATAGTAGTACTCGAGCGTGACGCCCTGCACGGCCGCCCCGTCCGACTCGTCCCGCACGCTGCACACCGGCCCCGCCAGCGGCAGCCACTTGGCCGTGTCGCAGCCCTGCGCATACACCAGCTCGATGCCCGCGTCCGCGGCTTGCGCTTCCAGCCCCTCCCACGGCGACACCAGGTAGTACGGATTGAGGCTGGCGCTGCCGCCGCCGCCGGCAACCGCGCGCCGCGCGTTCGGCCCTATCACCGCGACCTTTGTCTTCCTGCCGGCGGGGCCCGGCTCGCCGTGGCAGACGGGCAGGACGGCGCCTTCGTTCTTGAGCAGCGTGAGCCCTGCGACGCCGGCTTCGCGGATCAGCGCCCGCGTGCTGGCTTTGTCGTCGGCGCGCTCTTTCGGGGTCGGGGGGACGGCGTTCGCGCCGTGGAAGCCGCGCGTGCGCTGCACGAGGCGCAGGAGATCCAGCGCCGCGGCGTCGACGGCTTGTGCTGTTAGGGCGCCGGAGTGGATGGCGGACAGGGCGCGCTCGCCCCGCCATTTCGTTGGGCCCGGCATTTCGAGCGCGCAGCGCGCTGTTATGGACTCGGCGACGGAGTTGGTGCCGGTCCAGTCGGACATGACGAGCCTGGGAGGGGTTAGTGGGTGAGTTGAGGTTGTGCGTGTGGTCTCTATCCATGGAAAGAGTGGGGGAGAGAGCAAGGAAGAGAAAGAGAAAGGAAGAGACAAAAAAGGCACATACCCATCAAACCCCCACTCGTTCCTCAGCACATCCACCAACGTAAACTCACACATGTCCGCCTGCACGCCATTAACCTTATTATACGCACTCATCAGCGCCCAAGGCCCCGCGTCCCTCACAACCATCTCAAACGGCTTCAAATACAGCTCGCGCAGCGCCCTCTCCCCGACGACACTATCCACGCCCATCCGGCCGGTCTCCTGCTCATTAGCGACAAAATGCTTCACGGTAGCCGCGACGCCCGTCCCCTGGACGCCCTTGACATACGCGGTGGCGCACACGCCCGTGAGCACGGGGTCTTCGGAAAAGGACTCGAAGTTGCGGCCGCCCAGCGGCGAGCGGTGCAGGCAGACGGTGGGCGCGAGCAGGATGTCGGCGCCGCGCGCTCGCGTCTCCTCGCCTAGCGCTGCGCCGATGCGCGCGATCAGCGAGGCGTCGAAGGTCGCGGCTAGAGAGGCTCCGCAAGGGAACAGCGCGGCCGGCGTGCCGTTTTTGAAGAACTCGCCGCGGGCGCCGGAGGGGCCGTCCGTTGTTTTGAGGGAGGGGATGCCGTGCTGCGGGAGGGCGACTGTGCGCCAGAAGTCGGCGCCGGCGAGGAGGGAGATCTGCGCGTGTTAGGCGGTGGTGAGGAAGGGGTGGATGGTGTGAGTGTTGGTACGGATTGAAATGCGAGTGAGTGAAACAAACAAACCTTCTCCTCAAGCGACAGCCTCCCAAGCACCTCCCTCACCACGCCCTCGTCCACCTTCCCATCCCCCTTCCCAGCCGCCAACTCCCTCCCCTCCTCATCCAAGACATCGATAGCGATAGGCGGCGGAGACATGACAACAGCAGTAGTTAAGCTTCCAAACGAGCGGTATACCCTCCCATCGAACCGCCGCAGCAACCGCCGCATTAAATACCCACTACCAGCACCACGACAACCACAACTCTCACCACTCCCTAACCCGCACCGCACCCCCACCAACATGGAAGCACCAAGGAACCCGGCGCGCTCATCCGCCTTAGCCCTTAGCAGCACAGAGCCGCCCCTCCGTCCCTTGCTGCGCTCGCTCGGCCCGGACGCGCCCCCTCCGCGCCGCTTCGGGCGCGCTACCGGCGCTGGCGGGCCTGCGTGCCGGCCCGCCCTGCTACATAGGTTCCTTGCTCTGCACGTGGCGTTTGCGCCTTAGGTACGGCCTGCAGCACCACGTAAATAAACAGAACATCAAACCTTGTTCTTAGTTATGTTCTTCGCACCTGCGCGCGTGGACAGGGATGCATGGGTCGGTGTCATGGCTGTCCCTATCTAGGTACATGCTTCCGTACATCCATCATACGCACATACGTACACTCGTACATACATCCATACGCACGTACTCCGTAGGACAAAACACTCCAACGAGGAAGAAACCCGATAGATAACTTGATAGCCACACACACATACAACACATACAGTTTAAATTTATCTTAATATGCAGTCTGCCCGTCTATCAATCAATCAATCAATCTCTAGGTACCGTGACGCAGCAGTGAGTACGTACGCCATGCACACCCCGACCCGAGCGCAAACGAACTCCGCCCTCTTCTCGAACGCAAAAGAGAAAGAGCAAGAAAAGAAAAGAGACTACGAGAGCAAAAAAGACCACACAACAGCAGCAAAAGAGACACACACACACACAAACACACAGACACAGAGCTAGTAGAAAAAGGGTAAAGTAAACGACAACAACAACAACAACAACAACAACAACAACAAGACAACCATGCCCGCTCGCACCACCACCCACCCCACCCACCCCACCATCTATCTACTTATCTACCACTCCTCGTCCTCATCCTCTTTATGCCGCATAGCCGCCTGCCTCGCCTTCAACGCCTCCGCCAACCCACCCGCCATACTAGGCGCGGGGCTCTCAGCCCTGCCCTCACCCGAATAGCCCGAGTCGCGGGGCGCAGGCGGCGGCGCCGGCTTGGAGCGCACAGCCGGGCGCTTCGCAGGCGGGGCCGGGGGCTTGGGCTTTGCCTTGGCGGCGCCATTGACGCCGTTGGCTGCCGGCGGCGGCGTAGGCACCGGTCGCGACGCCACGGGCGGCGGGGGTGGCGGCGCCGGCTTCGCCGCTTGTATGTGCTCTTCGAGGTAGGCTGAGGGCGTCCAGCCTTGGTCGGAGCCGTCGAGCCGCTTGCCTAGCCACCAGCCTGTGCGTGTGTGTTAGTCTTGCTTCTTACCTGTTGGGTTGGAGGGGAGTGCGACGTACCGTTGTTTTCCTTCTGAAGGACCAGGATGATCTCGTCTTTCGAGATGCTCAGCTCGCCGCCCGTCTGTCCATTGAAGTCGTACAGCGCCTTGTAGGTCGGCTCCTTTGGCACCGCTGCAGGCGGCGCAGGCGGTGGCGGCGGAGGTGGTGGTGCGCGTCCAGATGACGAAGAAGCGGTACGAGCGTGGCCAGGACCGTTGCTGAGGGCAGCCACCGGCTGAGGAACCGCTCTTGGCTGGGCAGCCGCTGGTGCAGCTGCTGGCGCAGGTGCGGGCTTGGGCTTGGGCTGTGCCGGACGAGACGCCAGCTTCGAGGGGGCACCGCCAGGTCCACCGGGACGCAGCAGCTTGCCGCTCGTGATGGGCTTGCTGGCGACCTGCTTGCCCTTGGGTGTGGGCTTGGACTTTGAGTCTGGCGGTTCACCCTGGCTGGTGTGGATGGTACTGCTCTTGTATGCGTCCTGGTTCGCAGGGATCGCGGGGTCCTTCTGCGTCTTCACGACGGCAAGCTTACCCGGCTTCTTGTTGTATTCCACCGTCGGTCCGATCTTGATCTCAGTGGCGCCGCGGGTTGTGTTCTTCAAATGAGTGAAGAACTCCGTCTTGAACACGCAGTGCACCAGCGGGTCCGGCTCCTGCGGCGAGGCAGCTCCGATGGAGAACCAGTCGTCCTTGAGGTTCGAGCAGCTGACGAACTTGATCGATCCCAAAGGAATGGTCCGGTCGGCCATGATGGTAATCTGTTTGTTGACCATGGCCTGCTTGACGAGGATCACGGACTTCTTGGTCAGGATCAACGTGCGAGGCTCAGCCTTACTCGAGCGTCCGAGCTTCGAAATGAGTGTCTCGGCTCTACACGAGAAGAGGACCTCCTCGCCAGACCCCAGATTGATCGACTGGGCGATAACGGAGCCTGGACCACCTTGGTTTTGGATGCCAAGATAGTCACCGAGGAACCTACGTTGACCAAGCAAACTGTATCGTCGCCTCTCTTTCCTGCCTGCCAGCACCGTGTGGCCCTGGTCACGCAGCTCAATGAACTCCTTGCCTCCATTGAGCTTCCTCCAGAAGCGTTGAATCCGCGTGGCGCATTCGGCACGGTAACGCAGGTAGTTCCTCCAGGCGCGCTGGATCCTAATGGCCATGTTGTGCCAGTAGCGATCACGCATCGTCTCAAGAGCAAACAGCGTCTCAGGGGTCTTGATGAACACCTTCGTCACACCTATCTGGAACTCTTCTTGAGGGATACTGGTGTCTTTCAAGATATACTTGGTACCAGTCTCGTAGTCACCCGTCCACGTGTATTCACCGGCATACGACAGTCTTGGCGAAAGCAGGAAGAAACGCTCGACGAACTTCTCGAACGTCTGTCTCGAAGCAAAACCGGCACGACGAATCCTGACGTTCTCCTGCAGACCGAGGTACTTGATCTGATGCAGGACATTGCCCTCGTTGTATTCCGTGGGCGACTTGTTCTCGTTTGGCTTGATTGTCCGGATGTAAGAGGGGGACGCCTTCATAAGGGTGGCAACGAGGTCGTTCGCGGATGCCTTAATCTTATCGCCGGCGGTGGGCGGCCGGCGCTTGTTGTCCTGGTCGACCTGGTGAGGGAAAAGGGTGTGGACGAAGCGGTTAGAGCTCTGGCCGACCAAGTTGAGCAAGTCCTTAAGCAATTGATCCTTGTTCTTGTCCGTCATTCCATCGGTAGCGTACGTGACATCACCAGCGTAATGCTTGATGACGAAGCGTCCCTGTTGAGGCATAAAGTTCGGGTTCGAAGAGAGAGCGTTCAGACGTTGAGTAAATGTACCGTCGGCAGCGGCTGGGTCTGCGTGCGCCGTCGCGCAAGCGTCGTTGAGGGCAGCGAAGACTCCTGGGGGCCTCTTCTCTTCGATCAGTTCGCAAACGACCTTGTTGTCGAAGTACTTAATCGGCGTCCACTGGATCTGCTCCCGCGCATACTCCTCCTGCTCAGCCCGCAGAGTCAACTGAATGAAGATCTGCTGCAGCTTCTCGTTGACGTAGTTGATGCACAGCTGCTCGAAGCTGTTGCGCTCGAAGATTTCGAAACCGTAGATATCCAGGATACCGATCGACTGTGATGATGCTTCTCTTGCTACCAAAGACTGGTTGATTCTTGCGACAATCCAGTCGAACATGTTGAAATAAATAGCCTTCGCCAGAGCGTCCCGAACAGAACCCGCCTGCGCACGGTTAAGCGGGACATCGTAAACGGACCCTCTCCGACCACCGCGGCTGGTTTCCATAACTCTTGTCGTGAGGGCCTTGTTGACATGCGCCGATTCAACTTCCAGGAGGTAAGCGACAAAGTCAACGACCGATTGGTCTGCTATTGCGGCGTTGCCCTCGTCGTTCTCGACAAATGTGACGTTGCCGAGCCAAAGTATAGTTGCCAACATCCTGAAAACGTCGTCCTGCTCTTCTTGTGGCATCCCAATAATCCGCATAGCCTCGAGAGTATCCTTAAACTCCGCCAGATCGTCGATACCGTCCACATCGTAACACTTCGACCGGCTCAGGTAAACGTAGGCGTCTGGTTGCTGCAAACCAAAAAGCTCTCGGTATTGTTGCGACGCGCCCTTTGCGAACTGGTAGAAAATGTGGAAGTTACGTTCGTTGGTGATCTGGCCAACAACTCTCGACTTCTCCAGCAGGTAGTTGTTGATGTTAGCTCCCACAGGCTCACCCTGTGCGTTGAACTGAATTTCTAGGTATTTTCCGAAGCGCGAGGAGTTGTTGTTCCGCAGAGTCTTAGCATTACCAAAAGATTCCAGCAGCGGGTTGGTGGCTAGCACCATGTCCTTGATCTCCTGAATCGACGAGTTCGTGCCTCCGGATACGTTCGCGATGTACTGCATGATCCGCTTCGCAGCCTCCGTCTTGCCTGCTCCCGATTCGCCAGAAATGATTACACATTGGTTCTCCTTGTAGGCGTTCATGTTATAGTAGGAAGACTCGGCAATGGCGAAGACGTGCGGGGGCATCTGGTGTCCTCAGGTCAGCACTCAACCGGCGCGTGAGCGTATGAAGCGCCTACCTCCAGCCTGTTCTTGCCCTTGTAGCTCTCCAGCACCTGATCCGTGTATATGCCCAAGTCCCGGAAGGGGTTGACCGAGACCAGCACATGGCCGATGTACGTGTATATTTCGCGGTTGTCGAATCGTTTCTTCAGGTTGTCGTTGATGGCTTCGTTGGAGATCTTACTGATCAGGGTGAGGTCCGACACGCCAACTTCCTTCTTCTTGGTCGTCTCGAAGACGGCCTTCTTGGAAAAACCACCGCCCGAGGCAGCGGCCTTCTTGTCGCCGCCGGCATCCTTCTTGCGCCCCGCGCGCTTGGAAACAGCCTGTACGAGGAGGGCGGATTAGCCTGGATGCGCGCCCGGCAAGGGTGGAGCGGGTGGTGGCCTACCATGGTGCGTCGGGGGAGTGCTCTGAGATGCGGTCAGGTACGGAGTCAGATGCGGTTGGGACGCACTCTAGCGTGGGCCCGGGTATCAACACAGTGTGGGCGCCAAAGAAAACAGCGCCTCGGGAAACGAGAGAGCAGAGGCCGTTAGGGAGAATGGAGTTGTAAGGAGGGGGAGGGGTTGCGCGCAACGGTGATCGCAATGGAGGCGCGGTAAGGTACGGAGGGTGGAAATGACCACTTGGACGTCATTGGGCACTTGAGCGAAAGAGGCGCGGCCTAATGAACACCCTGTGGCGGTGCTATATCGACGCGCAAGCTCAACCACACTTTACCTTTCTGCGCGCGATTATTGCTGCCTGGACATGTGGCGACGCCGACACCACCGACACTTACCTACGTGGCGCCCGTCTGGAGATCCCCAGTCCCCACAGTTGACGAGTCGGAGCATGCACCGACATGTCTACCAAAACACCAGCTGCACCAGCTGCCATCGTCTCCTCGTCCATAGACGTACGGATACGTAGGTAGGTAGTGTGCACCCTCACTCTCCCGTCACCCGTTTCATGAGTCCTCCTCACCAGCCAAGGCCCGCCCCTTCCGCTGCGGGATTTCTGCACGTCCAAAAGCTTGTGCCAACCAGACTGATACCGCCTGCTCTTACACTTGATGCCCAAGTACTGCCAGCAAAGGCCGTCTGGCCGTCGGGGAGCTTGTTCGATAATCTCGTCAGGTTTCAGCCCCTCGTCATCTCCGCAAGGAACGATCCGTCCCCACACCCGAAGCACCCGCGATCAGCAGGGTATAGTGTGTATACTAGTAAAGGGAATTCGTTACTTCCGAGGCTAGGAACTCCGTCCGCCAAAAGGAGTGTACAAAAGCAACCGCGAGTAATCCAACGCCAGCGCCAGCGCCATGCTCGCTGTCCAAGGTTTTCCTCCAACACCACCGCTACCAATAGAAACAGAAAACAAAAAGGGACGTCCTGAAATATTAACACCCTCAACATTGATCAACCAGCACCCCCGGGGTATGTGCACAATCCAACTCGGAACGCTCAAGCCGTCCTGGCAGCATCACCACCATAACGCCCAACCGTAACCCATTCCTGCTTCTTCCCGTCCTCAAGCTGTGGTCCCTTCCACTTCAGCTGCTCGGTGTCGCTGGACGCACATCCGAGGCCGCCGCCGGCAACCCAGGCATCCACGACGGTGGTGACAAAGCGGAGCTTCTCCTTCAAATGGTTTGCTCTGGCAATCTGCCTTACAACCATTCCCTTTTCGCCAGTGGAGTGTAGAAGTGTACGGATGCTACTGGAAAGGAGATTGCGCTGCTTAATGTACTTGAATGGCAGCTCGCCGCATGCGGCGAGATGCTCTGCAGCCTCGACGGAGAGACAGGTAAAGTTACAGTAGCAGCCATCTGGTGAAAGCACAAGCTTTGTATGATCTGGGAAGTTGAACTGCAAGGGTTGTCAGTGTTGATTTTCTTATAACTAGGATGTATTCGCATACCTGGAATGCGCCATCTTCGAATCCCCAAATGCCTACGCTTCCGAAGCGCTGATAGAATCGCACAAAAGTCGTGGGCTTCTTGTTGCTGTTGTCCTCTGAAGAATCCTCTTGGGTTGGCTGCCTCAATTGATTACACATGTACCTTGCAAACTTTGACCATAGGATACCTGTGGTCCGTTTTCGATCTCTGGAGACTTCGGTCTTTCTTATGCCATCATCGCCGCAGTCCGCGTAGAACTCCAGAGGAAGTTTGTCTATGGAGGTAATCTGGCTATGCAATGACTTGAGCTCATCATAGCCGTTGCGTACCACGACATGCGTCACCGGATCTCGCGCCGTGGCGTTGAGAAGGCAGCCGATGCTGTTGTCTTCTAGAACGTAGCCTACGCCGTGCTTACGGGAGTAGTCCACCCATTTGCTGACAAATGGGAGATGATATGAGCTTGCTGGCTTACGGACCGGATTGGGCTTGTTCGCCAAAGCTTGCGCAATGTTATTCCGGAACGTTGATGCGCGGGCAAGGACTGTCGAAGGATCGCTATGCGGTACCACATCAGGGTCTGAGACAAAAGGCCGTGCTTGAGGAAGATCCATCGAATCGACTCTCTCCGGCTGCTTCTTTGTAACTTTCACAATGTCTTTGTGAGTCGGCCGTACGGCTTCCTCACTATCATCTGGAGAAGTTGGCGGTGTCCTACTCGCGGGCTTCTCATCAATGCATGCCATTTCTGGTGCCGACTTGATCTCTCGCGATGGACGAGATGGCCTACTCGAGCTCACAGTCCGGATTGCCGTCTGCATGGTCCGAGTACGCTTGGGCCTTTCAAGGACTTCTCCAGTCTGCATTGGTTGAGGAGCAAAATTCTCCTTATGCTGACGACTGGTCGCTCTCTTCGGCGGTTTGCTAATTGCAGCTTGCGCGCGGTCGTTAGCAGTAATTTCCGCCAATGCGTCCTGGGAGGGTTCTTTTTCTTCAACAATCTCGCTGAGGCCTCCTGCATTTGAGGTCGGGAAGGGCCAGTCTTCGCGCTCCGGGTATGGTACGTAAACGATGTCGGACGGAATGGGCACCACGGGTTGCTTGCCTAAAGCAAGTTCCTTTTCACAGTCCTTGACCACGGATCTGATCTTCCTGCCACCGATGATGGAAAATACCCTGCCATCCGGAAGCTCGCCAACGCCCGACTCTTTGCATATCCTGAACCACTCGTCCGTATACCCCCTCGCCCGTGCCTCGGACGACAACGGCTTGGGTTGCCACTTCGGCGCGCCTAGCTTGTACCTGACATCCAGGCGAGAAGGGGTATATCCAAGCCGGAAGAAATCGTGGCTCACGATGAGATCCGGGTTTGGTCGGTCGTCCTCGTGGACCAACAACGACCCTACCAGGTCTTTTAGGTCTTGTGAAATGTCGTTTGTAGTCTTGCCGACTTCCGGCCATTGGTAGTCGCGTGTCTGAAGCTTCTTGTAAATATCCTCCCTCTTTGGCGCGTGGAAAGGCGCCTTTCCCACAGCAAGGGTGTAAGCGATAATTCCAATCGCCCATAAATCCACCTTTTCATTATGTCCCCTCCCTCCCTTCTCCAGGATCTCGGGTGCTAGATAGTTTGGGGTTCCACACATGGTCGTCCTCCGCGCCCCCAGGTCGTTCTGCGACACCAACACGGCGGCGAGGCCAAAGTCACCGACTTTGACGTTCATGTCTTTATCCAGAAAGAGGTTGCCGGTCTTCAGGTCGCGATGAATGATGTTCCGGTGATGGAGGTACTTGACTGCGCCGCACGTCTGGACGACGAAACGACGGATCTCGGGCATAGTAAAGCATCTCCTCTTTTTCAAGATATCGGCGAGGGAGCCGTTTTCGCATATCTCCAGGACTACGTAAGTACTGTCTTGGAAAGAAAAGGCGCGATAGAAGTCGACGATGTTCGGATGATGCAATTTGGAATGAATCTGCAGCTCTGTGACAAACTTGAAGTAGTTAGCAACACTTTAGCTGCAGCAATCTGCAAAGCCAGACTGCACCTTTTGCGCGAGCTTTGGGGGCTCCATCTTGGACTTGACAATCTTGAGCGCGACTACCCGCCCAGTGGGGTTACCCTGGTCGAGCAGAGTGGCGCGATGGCAGATGGCAAAGCCACCCTTCCCCAACTGTTCGGCGGTCTCATATTCAAAGCGACGGGGCTCCCGTACCAGCGGCGGCGGCGGCTCAGCGTGGACAGACATTGAGGGGGTGGAAGGGGGTGCGACGTGGCGGGCATGAAGCACGACGGGGGAGAAAATGGTCGGTCGGGCGTAAACACGCTACGCGGGCCACCTAGCAACCGGCCGCTAGCGCTCGAGAAGCACGGCCGAAAATGCAAGGCACCAACCCCCCCGGCGGCGGTGACCATGACGCAGTGGCAGCGCTGCGCTGGTCGCTGGTCTCCAATCCGCTCACCCGCGCGCGTGCAAAGGCCTTGACCTGAACTTGCCTCTGCGCGACCATGTCTCTCACTCTCAAGATCGGCTCTCTCTTCATCCGCACCCTTGCCAAGCCCATAGCCGTGAGCACCATTGCGATCCCGTCCCTCTGAACCACCACTGATCCGGACCCCAGAACGGCATCAAAAAGCGCGCGCGCGACCATGATATCTTCCGCAGACGTTGCGTTTCCTTTGCGCAAGGCCTGCATCGCCTGGATGTGCGATGGCGCGTAGGTCTCTTGCAGGACCCCGCCATCATCGACAGGCAGATCCAGCGTGAGCTCCGGGAAGCCGAGGAAAGGAGAAAGCGCGCGAATAGCCCCGTGCCTACAGTAAAAACGGAATCTCAGGCAAAGGCCGACGAGGAAGCCGCCAAGCATGAGAAGGAGGCGATCGAGGAAAGACACAAAAGGCCGAGAGTACGCCCGCTGTCCGAGGCAAAGGCCATAGACATGGGCGCAAACTTCATCTCCGAAGGATTCATGTTCCTGGTCGCCGGCGGTGTTATCGTCTTCGAAGCTTGGAGGTCAAGACGGAAAGCCAGTGGACGTCGCGACGTGGTGGACGAGAAGCTAGAAGAGCTCCAGAAGCAGAACGAGGAGCTTCAGCAAAAGCTTCAGGTGCTGGAGTCTCACGTACAGGAAGAGGAGCACAGGAGGCAAGAGCTCAGGAAGAAGATTCGCGAGATGGTGGCCGAAGAGCGGGCAGAAATCGCACGCATCGAACGCTCAGATTCAGAGAATACCGCCGATCGGAGCACCACGGGAGCTTCTAAAGAGTAAAGACAACTAAGAGTTTCAGTACTACCTGGAAGCCAGAAACGGCACCTGGATACTGCTACACTACTCGGCATGTTTAATATTGTAAAGACCTTTTCCACTCCACCGATATCTCCACTCGATACCCGTGGTCTCACAGGAAACCCAGTTGTATAGAAAAATAAGACATTGATTAAGTTCAAGATATATGCACACCGAAAAATGGCTCATTAAAGCCGAATTAGATAATTATGAAGAAAGCTTTTTCCATGCATCAACACCTACCCTTTGTGACCTCAGACTTGCACAAAAAGATGGCCGAATTTCACATATCCGTACATATGTTCAGCGGCCTCCTCACCTACAGAGTAGTACGGCTGGGATCTAGCATTATACAACTACAGCCAAAAACAACTGTACCTAATATCTACTAACATAACGTCCGTCAACGACAGCAACGCAGCAGCACGCAACCCTCACGAGCAACAGCAACAATAACCACATCATCATCCTCAAAAACAGTAAATAAAATACATCTAAAAAAGGTAATCTGCATCGCGTCAAAGAAAAACCACATCCAAAA